GCATATGTTGACGGTAAAGACACTGCCAAGGCTCAGGGGCAGCAATACGTCTTTATCTATGAACTGGCCAAGCAGACTGCGGACCGGACAGTGTTAACCGATCAAATCTTGAATATCTTGCTGGCTGGACGCGACACTACTGCGGGTATTCTGAGCATTACCTTTTTCATCTTGGCTAGGCGGCCTGATATTTGGAACAAGTTGAGGGACGAAGTACTGACGGTCCCGGGAGAAAAGCCAAGCTTTGAAGACTTGAAGTCAATGACTTATCTCACTTGGGTCCTCAAAGAAAGTAAGTCTGTGTCCCTCCCCAACGCCACAGAAAAAAATGCGCGGGAATACATGCTATGCAAAGAAAATATTGAAATGATACCGAGGCTAAAATTTATCGACAGCTTTGAGATTGTATCCCTCTGTGCCAGTCAACTCGCGGACAGCGAACAAAGACACCTATCTTCCAGTTGGCGGTGGTCCGGATGGCACAGACCCCATTTTTGTTCCCAAGGGACAGGAGGTGATATACAGCGTATATAGCATGCATCGGCTGCCGGCAGTATTTGGACAGGACGCGACAGAATATTGTCCGGAAAGATGGGCTAGTCTGAAGCCGGGATGGGCTTATATCCCATTCAATGGCGGGCCAAGGATCTGCCTGGGTCAGCAGTTTGCCTTGACAGAAGCCAGCTATACCATTATGCGTGTTCTTCGACGATTCAAGAGTATTGAATGTCGAGACGGGCAGCTTTTCAAGGAGGCCCTGACGCTGACTTTGGCGAGCAAGAATGGGACGAAGGTGTGTCTGACGCCAGCATAAGACAATGGACATATGTACCTCAAGCTGGACGTAAGGAGGGAATAATGGCCTAAGTAAATTCCACAGTCATCCTATTCAAAATCATGATCAGAATACTATTTGGACCTTTGCGCTCGGTTGTTGGGGGCACTACCATAATTTATTTTTCCCAAATCACCTCTGTATTCATCTACCATCTCATCGTTTCTTACTGGAATGTCTCAAAATTGCCTTACAGACATACCATGAGCGCGATAAACCCATGATGACCAGGTTCGCCAATGAATTTATTTTCTTAGCATACCTTCAAGGGTAGGGTTCAGGGTGGCCAGTCTCGCACCAAACCTACAGCCAGCCAAGATGGCGTTAGCCCCTGGACAAGAGGCGGCATTGATACGCTGAATTGAGGTTTTGAACCAGGCTTCATCTCCACCCAATGCCGTTATAATCTGGAGTATGGCATTACAAATTATCCAGCAGCATGACCCTCCTAGGATTCCAAGGGCTTATTGGGAGACCATTTTATCAGCACTCTCTCCGCTAACCTTCAATATTTGAAGTTAAAACCTATGTAGAAGGCTGTATACGATGCGGCTACCCCTGATTATCTTACTCCATCGTACGGCCGCCTCGAGATTGCATTCAAAAGGTATAATATTGCCCTGAAAATTTATATAATTTCGAAGAAACCGGGTTTTGCGTTGACGAAGGAAGGACAGGGCCCTGCCGGATCGCTTACTTCCCTTGAACGTATTTCCGCCGATGGTTGGGTAGTGCCACCACGGCTTTTCGATGAAAGGTCAATTCTATAACATATGGAGAGCTGGTAGAAACCAACTCTTTCTCGGTAAAAACGTTTCTTGAAATATCTTGCCAATCAGAGGACGACCTCGTGAATTAGTTCATTTTACCCGTAACCTCAAGCGCTATCGTCTGATACCTATTTCGTAGGTGAGATGGCAGCGATGGTTGCGACTGGTGCTAACGCACAGAAATTGCCCCCTGACAAGAGAGGAACACCAGAACTCGCCGCCCCGGCGCCCGGCCCTCATCGACGGATGACATCGCAGAGGGAGCCTACCGGGTGCTAGATCACATGGAAAGCCATGGTATGATGGACTGATACGTCACTGGCTTTATTCGGGCTCTCCGCCAGTACGCACTCAACACCCAACGGGGTGACGGCCAGCGGTTGGTCGAGGTGCTCGAAGCGCTGACCAAGATCAACGCCGACACCGAACGTCTGAACCAGCGAATGGACACCATTGAAAAGACAACAAACACCTTATGAACAACTTTTGTCCTCACCGCGGCGGATTCCGCAGCAGCGTGGCGCGACTTCCGAGCCAGAGACTGGCAGCGCGGCTTGGCCAAGGCGGCGACACTTAACGTCCGGAGCAACAGCACGTCATCTCTCGGGGTGCCAAAAATCGAGCTTCGCGAGGACCGCGAAGTCATAGTGAAGGTCGGACCAAATCGTGAGCAGGTTCGCAGGCTCTCGCCGAGGGAGCTGGTCGAGCGGGCGGAGCGTCAAAACGCGACGACTGCTTGGCAGAAGAGATCCGGGTTTGGGGGGCAGGCGATACCAGTCAAGTGTGCCAATTGCGGCAATGTACATCGTCCCACCACTCGAGAGTGTCCAGCGAAGATGGCGGCGCTAGATGACGCAAAACACGCACTGGCCGACTGCCCTGCATACCGCTGTATTCACTACACTTGCGAAACACCGTAAGCAGTGACATCACGTCAACCCTGCATTTCTATAGAAAAACTAATTACTAAGTGGATTAGGACATCTAAAACTCTAGTATGACCCCGAATATGACAATTAGAACACTGCGGTGGCGCTTGTACACGCGGCCTAACTGCAGAAAGCACTGGATCTATAGAAAGTATATCTTGAGCTTTATTAATCTTATTCTCACGCTGAAATTGCTCGAGACTATTCTCTATAGCTAATCCCTCTGCAATAGCTAGCTGTCTATTAGAGCGCTTCTGCTTTTAGCTTTGCCACTCATTATTAGTGCGGTATTTGTGTATTTCTTCACGCGCAAGAACAAGCTTATTTAGAGTCAATTGATGACCTTTAATAATCTTGTCTAATCATATCTCAAGCAAAGATAAAGGGCTTTGAGCATGTTCTCTAAGCAGTTTTCTTGCTACAGATACCTGCTTCTCTAGCTGTCTAGTAGTGTAGGATGTTTTAGGCGCTGAATTAGTTAACTGACTGCCTGGTGGTGTAGGGGTCTTTAGTTAGATGTCTAACTTACTGAGCACCCTATCTGGATTAAGCGGAACTAGACTAGTGACTGTAAAGCTATTCTGAATATTCTCTGCTGTAAAAGCGCTTTTGCGAGCTTTTGGGAAAGATTCTCAGAAAATTAAGCTTATTAATGTGGCTGATTTCTAAATATATTTTCTGCTTTACTAAGGTACTGTACGCGCCTTTTAGAGACTGAAAATAGCCTATATCAAGAGACTGAAGCTTATTAGAAGAGTGTGTAGGCATGCAGATAGGAATGATATTATTCTTACTGCAGATTTGGTCAAATTTAGGCATAAGATAACTGCTATAGCCATCTATAACTAGAAGATAGTATTTTCCAGTTATACAGCTAGTAGTTACAGGAATAAAGATATTTTTAAGCCAGCAAAGGCCTATCTCATTAGTAGTCCATCCATTAGGACTAACTTCAATCCTGCTTTTAGGTAGAAGCTCCGATTCTTAATACCAACTCTCTATATAGACCTTTCCTTTAAAGATAATGTATGGAGAAAGTGTCTAATCAGTAGAGTTAATATATTTAATTAGAGTAACCCATTCCTGATTTCCTGGCTGTATAAGAAGCGCTTTCCTATAATAATTAGCTTTAGTAACTACTCGGGCAGCAGCTACTAGACCTATAGCAAAGTCAGTTTCATCAAAATTATAGATATCTTCCTGCGCGATCCCATGTTACATTATAGTGATTGTACGCGATCAAACCACTCTTTAATAACATTAGAGTCTTTATATTTAGCATATCGGTAATCATATCGTCGAGGATAGCAGGATTTCACTTTATCACGGCGTTTAATAAAGTTGGTAACCCAGTTTGCTCTGACCGATTGAATAGGTATAGAACCGCGGCCAGCAAGAAGAATATTAGCCATTTCTTGTATATCAGATAGCCTAGAAGGCGCTCCATGTTAATATAGTGATAGAATCCATTGTACAAGTGATTCCTCTTTATTTTGACTTAATTTATGGTTATTGGCGCGTGTTTCATTGTGATATTTACTACCATAAAGTCAGTCGTGGAAAGTCGAATGCAGTACATTATAGACCCGTGCAGCTTTAGCAATTTGGGTAATTTGCTTGCTTTCTATAGCGGAAATCGCTAATAGAATCCTGCGCTCTTGCTCAGCTTGATTTCTTAAATTTTGACGCGATTTTGGAGGCATGGTGGATGGTTGAATTGAGCGAGGTTTTCGACCGCGGTCAAAACGTGTTGTGGCGGCTCGCTAGTGAAATACGTTATGTTATTCGGGATTACTAACTTAAGGGACTGAGATATTGTAACCGCCGAGTATCGCCAGTACGGGTGAACACGCCCCGTGCACAGGCTATAGGGACTCCCTCATATCCCTCCTTAATCAATCATCCAATTCATCCTGTTTTGATTCCGCTTGGTCTCATTCGTCATGCATCCATACTAGACCATACCAATATAGCTTCACCTGACAACCTACGAATAACGACGAATCGAATACGAATAAGCACTGCCCCCCCTCCCCGGGGCCCCAAAATCGCTATACGAATAATGAGTTGAGGGGAAATGACGAATACAAATAAGGAAAATCCATATTCGTGTGCACCCCTACCGATAATCAGCGGGACCAATCTCTACTGTTGTGACCGGAACCTTTTTTTCATGTCGGGTTAGACCTGACGTTTTTGAGATCAGCTTATCCAACCAGGATCAAGAAGATGACCAGGTCGGGCACTAGTATTCGTTGTCACTGCGGGGATCTAATTGCGGGGTTGATGAGTATCAGAGACTGTGAACCTGGGGGTATGGTCTAAGATTACTCGCATGCTCCTGTTCTCATGACTCACAAGCAATAATCTGACAACTTCTTATGCTCCCCGTCCTGACTGCATCCTTAGCGGATGGAACTATGCACTTCTCCCATTCACACAATACCACTGTATTCATCAGCCACCATGACACCGAAGGCCTGCGACCGTTGCTACCGGAGTAAAGAGAAGTGTTCTTTCGCCCCTGAGGCAGAGGCATGTACACGGTGCCAGCATCTGGGAATTCTCTGTTATACGTCTCGTAAAAAGAAGCGGAAGGGTCGCCGGCCGGTATTGAAGTCCTTTGGCCACGGTAGGCTAGAGGTCTGGGAGCCGGGACGAGACGATGAAGCAGACGCGAACAACGCCGAACCAGGTGCTTCTAGCCGGGTCAACATCGGGTTTGACAATACGGCATTACTTGCAAAACCGGGGGAGAGCAGCAAGAACATGGCATTAGGTGGGTTTTTGGAGGAGGTGCTTCGGCACCGCTTCATACCACAGACTGCCTTGGATGCGATAGGCATCCTGACGGACGACGACAAATTTACGACAGTACATATTCCCTTTGCCATGGGACGCAGCTTCATACAAGATCTCCGAGGAGCAATATACTCTGTCCTGTACCACTCGGGCCCAGTCGTGATAGACGGCTATCTTGCTTTCCTGGGTCTGGTAGCACATTGCCAAGCTTCTCGCTTACATTGGACCGCTCCCGACCTATGCAGGGGTGCAACAGCGTTGCAGAACCTACGTAACGTGGAGATTATGCGTCCCCAAGGCGCCCTCTGCGTCCTTCTCCTCGGTCAGGCCTTGTTTGTTTTCGAGGTTCTTGCCAACTACTTCACGACCTCAGCGCATTCCATTGTGCAGAGTGCGCTTATCTCGGCCAAGCCATGGTATTCGCTTCTGAGCAGAGTACCTGCCTTTGACACTGTCACCTTTTGTCCGGTTCTTATGGACATTGTAGGTTGTCTGGTATATCGCAAGGTACCTATAATTCGGATGTGTGTTCAAGATCGGATTGTTGTGGATCGTTACGCCGGTCTATGTTCGTCTCTCTTGCCTTTTCTATACCGTCTATGTGTACAGAGTCACGCAACCAAGTCCGGTGCGGCCATCATGAATAAGGGATCGAGGGATCGAGAGCTCCCTGAAGATTGCTACACAGACATAGAGAGAAGCATTGAGCTTTGGGCGCCGATCATCCCACCTGATTTCTTCACTGAGTACGATGAGGTAGAAAGGCAAATGATGATGACCCAAGCCGATGCTTACCGCCTTGCAGCTTTGCTTGTCATTCATCGCCTACGATTCCCCCTTGGCGTCCAAGATACCCTCGCGCAGCACTATGCTAATCGCATTTTTCATAAAATCTCGTCATTTTTTGCCCATTCGAATATGGAGGGTGCCGGAGCGTTTCCCGTCGCATTCCCTCTTTTCATATCCATGTTTGAAGTCGAAGGCCCCGGCGAGGACTTGCTGGAAAATCTGCGCCGCTTTCCCATACAAAGCATATGCATGCTGAAGCTGCATGACTTTGTCAGGCATGTTAGAAGGATCAGAGAATCAGGTGATAGTGTGCTATTGTTTGATGTCGTGGAACATGACCTTACTCACGCGGTTATCCCATAAAGCATAGATATTATAATAGAGACTTAATATACGGCAGTGGTTACTAATACCGGTGAGCCGCAGTTACTGCTCACGGCCGAGGGTCTGCGAAAAACAAGCAAGCGAGGCGAGGGGGTGGCTAGTAGGCAGAGAGCCAGCCCATGTCTGGTAGTTTGCCCCATGCGTGACCCCTGTTTACCTCCAGCGCCCAGGACTACATTTTGACTCTCAGCTCTCATTCGGACTCTTTGTTCCTCAGAAAGTATTGCTGATGTCTCTTTCTCGCGCCGCAGCGCGATTGTCAATATTGAGCCCCCAAGACGGGCCGAGCCGCTGCCTCCGAGAAAACTTGCGTCCTGCTTCTCCAAAATATGCGTTGAAACGGCACCCCGCTCGATGCATTGTGGACCCAATCCAGGAAGGCTCCATATTCCGATTAGCTACGCGGGAACCTTGCAAATTGTTTTTATCTCCCCGCTTCACCCTGTCAGATCGAGAGCTAACTGCCACAGTGATAGGACATTGCCGTATTCCGGCGGCTCTCTTCTCTTGCGCACGTCCATTCCGAACCTCATCGTCACGCATGATCCGCCGTGCTACACCGAATGATTTATCGCAGTATTCGACAAAAAGAAAGGAATCGCGCATAAATTACCATCAAGAAGATCCACGGTTCCTTCCGCAACGACACCGGCCGAAGCTACACCAAATCTCGCCATGAAGCAAACGCTGCCGAGCAATACCTTTGCCCCAGTTGAATAGTTACCACTACTCCAGTATCCTTTGACTTGGCGCAACTGCATATCCGCTGCACACTGGCTGTCCGTGCCAACAGAGAGGGCATTCAGCTATTCACTGGAGGGCATCCGCCTGCGCCCACATCCGTTGTCTCTCGTACGAGCTGCTCCTGTTTCTCGAGTATATTTGAACGAAATAACAAGCTGACGCTTGCCATGTCTCTAGATCACCCATGGTCGATGTAAAACCAATGCCATGGTAAGTATGTGCCGCCTTCTGACACTGGAAATGTTGCTGATGTAGAGAGGTAATGTAAGAAAGCAACGTCCTTGCTGCCAACAAACGTATTCGCCGCTACCACCAACGCGACCCGGGAAAGGCGTGCCGCGCCACGTGAATGCACCGCGATCCCTCCCGCGGCACGCGTCCCATGGAGCCGCAGGCCGATCACTTGATCTCAAGGCCCAAGGTGCGTTGGCTTTGGCGACATGCCCATACTATGGGAAGGATGGACTCACCATATCCACTTGAGGTTCGAGATGTAGGCAATTCTTGTACGTATATATCAGAAACTTTCCGAGGAAATGACTTGGAAAGCCACGCTAGTTGTGCTAAGACAGCATGATAAGTCGAGATCTGATGTTCCGTCCAAGGTACAAGTGAACGCCCGGTGCTGGAATTGAACCCGTGCATCGTTTCAGGTACGCCATTTCAACTGGGCCAAAAGGTAATTCAGACGTGGCAGGAAAAATTTTGCTTACTTATTCTCACATCATCCCGTGGGGAACAGCAGCTGCCATATCTGAAGTCGACATTTTCAGCTCCAGCAGCGTCGCTCATTCGGCCATACCAGGAGGAAGTAATACTTGGGATAATACTTGGGAACCGATGGATAGATATAGTTTAGCGTTTATAGATTTAGCTAGTGGTTTTTCTCATAGCAAGGACATCCGAAGAACCTGGCCAACCAGGAAAAAGTATTGTACCGTACGTCAGGTTCTTGCATAATGCGCTGCTCAGACTCTTCCACGCGCATCTAAGAGGTAGGTACCTTTTGACCACTGCAGTGGGTGGTTTCCTGGATAGTTGATTCTTTTGAGACTGTGGGCTACAGTAAGGTGTTGCCTGGCTTCTACGCTTGATCGTAAAACACCAAGACTTTCTTAAGGGAAGCTGTATAATCTATGGTGGTTTCATTTGGTATAGACATAGTACCATTCCTGACAGATATACAACACGGACAAGCGAACAATCAAATCCTCATCGTCGTCAGAACTGAGCCCGGAGTCATATTGACATGGATCTCGCTCCTTTGTTTCCTGGACAGTAAAGAAGGAAAAAGAGTGTTACAGGGACATACCACAGCAAAAGTCCAGAGAATTGATGATTAATGAGGTTGTTCAACCATGAGAGTTTATTCCAATCATGTTCTAGCGGGATCACGTAAGTATTCCCGTGATTAGAGAAGTAGGAATAACATGAGATATGGACTGTTCACTCTAGCAAGCATGAAAGGATACAACTTAGTTCGTGCACTTAGTCACAATGTCTTCGAGTTCCTCCTCTCTCAGATGTTCCACACCCAGCAAATCGTTGCTAAGACTCTCAACAGGGAACAGGCTGCCGAACCCTTCACCGAAAATAGCTCGCCGGAGAAAGTTGAAAACAAATACTGCTGGGTCGGGGTTTGGCTTGCTGAGTTCGGCAAAACCATGCTTCTCCAACTCTACCGTGCTAATAGACTTTGTAGCGAGTTGTTTGCCCGAGATTTTCAGCAGCTGATTCTGAGAGACATCAGCTTCACGTATATACACTGTGCGGTTCTTAGTGGCCTCAAGATTGTTGATTATGCCGCAAACTCCTTTGGCCACTCCTGAAAGCGTAGTGGTACTGAATTTTCTATCACCCCCATCATATAGCTCAGCTTCTGGTCCCTCCCAGTTCAGCAAGAACTTGACCATAAGACCCCAGTCGAGGAAGGGACCATTGATCTGGATAGTATAGGAGAATTTCCCACCGGACTCCCTGGACTTCTCCTGGAGGTATTTTTGAACAGCAATCTTGTCTTGGTAGACAGGTAGCTTGGCCGCATTTTCATTGGTTGTGTCGGAGCCGAACTCCGAGGGAATGAAGCGCTGTACCTGGGCAGCGACAGCGGCGTCCACCAACCTGAGATGTATGTCTCGAGGAATAGCTCCGAGGGTGCTGATGACCACTTCTTGACCATCCAGCGCTGAGGTCAAGGACTCCAAGGAGCTATAGTCGACTGCTACCACGCGTGCCTGGCCGAAATTGCTGTTGTCATCACTTCCAGCCCTAGTCAGGACGGTCACCTCAAAGCTCGCCTTGAGCAGAGCTGTGAGCACAGCCGGGCCAAGATTGCCACTAGCCTGCCAATGGATAATATTAATAACTCTATTTGTATGTGCGTTAGTGGGAGGATCGTTGTACTAACCCCCGCAATTGCTACTCTTGGTGACATCTTTCCACAGGTGGCGTTTTACTAGTAGAACGCTTTGGCTGAAGAATAACCAGAACAAATATGTTGAGAATCCTTTAGATGAAGTTTGTTCCTGTGGATATCTGGGCAGTCTTATATAGTCTTACTCCAACAGTAGGTATCTCAGAAGGATGCTCTAATTGACACTGTGGATTCGTCATGACGTACTATGAAATGCGGGAAATGGCAGAGCCGAGAGTCCGGAAAACCTTAACTGGATGCATAAAGTCCTTCGAAGGAAGGATAACTGTGCATAGCTCATATAATCGCGTCACATGATTTCTTGTGCTGTGCAAAGTTTTAGGAAAGTAACTGTGTTTGGTTAAACATGGATCAGGCATAACTAATTCCGCTTAGATTAATAATGTGCGGAACTGCAATATCTCGTCCTTTTAGTGCCGATCCTTTGCAATAGGAGATATATTCCCTTACTCAGTAAGCTGGGCAGGCCAGGTGCGAGGGCGCTAAACTTATTTTACCCGACATATTGGCTGGCTTCAATGGAAGTCTACAATGTTCACGCCTACGTTTCGGACCTTCCAAGCAGTCTCCTCTACTCCTACTACGTATAGTTTTAATGTCATCCGCTGCCATTGGAGCTGACCTACTCCATTTCAAGATGAGTGAACATGATTATGCAGACGATGATCTTTCGAGACAGTACGAGCTCCCCCTCAGCCGCCGCCGTACATCACTGGAATACTCACCGTTGGTGGTAGTGCACCCCTCCAACCGCTCATTGATGCGCTTGATAATAATACCTCATCCGGTAATTTAATGGAAGACTGTTGGTTTGCCCCTATTGTGGAACGATGCCAAACTAAAGGGTACTAATATCTAACCAGGTAGCGACTCCTGTTCACATAGTCCTCTGTTAAATACTCTTTGTTCAGGATCTAATGCACGCATCATCTCTCCCGATATAGCCTCTTTTATCAAAGAAGAAGTCACGAAATCAGGACTGGATTCATTGTCTCCGAATCTGGCCAACATCATCCTACGAACTCCTATTACTATACCTCAAAACCATCCAAGCAATGCGATGCTTGGTTTTGAGCCGCAGAACAAGAGGATGATGCGAACTCCCCTGCCATCAGACAGCGAAATCCAAGATCTGCTCAGCACCTACTTTCGGTCTTTCAACTCCCTTTACCCTTTGTTCCAGGAGCCTAGCTTGAGAAAGTTATTTCAGGAGGCGTTGGTTCTAGAAACCCATCTCGATGCAGGTTCCTGGGCATGCATTCATGCAGTCATGGCTATATCGTATAAGCTACAGCTATGGAATACATCTACTCCTGGTCGCACCGTTGATGCAGCATGGATGTATTTCAATGCTGCAGTGCGCCTTTTGCCTGACATTATCACTTCGGGGACAAGTCTAAGAAATATCCAGGCTTTATCAATCATGGTAAGGTTGTCTTGCCTGTCTCTCGTTTGTGTACTAAGCATGATGGTCAGTCGGTCTTTCTGCAAGGCTCGATGCACTTCAATAATGCCTTAAGTATCCTGGGGATCGCCGTCAATCAAGCCTCCGGCCTTACAGAAAGCCTAGAACCACATTCTATCATTTCAGAAGAGACAGCTACCCAGCATGTTTTATATATTTTAGATAAAGAGTATGGATATGCACGCCGCCCGATTTTGCGATAGGACAGAAGAGCTGATACGGTTAGGTTTTCGTTTCAGTCTGGACTTCCATCGCTCATCAAAAGTCAGTATCCTCTGGTACAACCGATGCTGGAGAATAACTGCAAAGGCTTCGTGTCTGGTCAGTTCGGAGAAAGTCAATGGTTCTTGCAGCATTCCTCTTCTCTCGCCACGGTTACAGAACATATATACCGGGCGCTCTATTCGGCAAGTGCGAAAGATGAACGGCCAGAATACCTACTGAAATTGACGGGTGGTCTGGATCTGGAACTGGAGATATGGCGAAATACCCTCCCACCTGAAATATCATCTTCGCTCAGCTGCAGTAACGGCGATAACTCTCCACACAGATTTCCAACAGCGCTGTTAACACTGATGTACAACAACTGCCTCATTGCTATTCATCGCTTAGAGGCCATTCACTGCCCATACACGGGTTTACTGTCGCGGATAGAGCCATCTTCTCCACTCCTTTCTTGCATCAGATCATCCGCAAGGAGACGAACTGAGGCAGCGCTGGCTTCAATACACCTCGTTCAACATCTGGCTTCATTCGACGATTGTCCATTCTGGTAAGTAGAATTCTAGCTATGGCGATGCGCTCAACTTGCATAATAACTTTCTTGCCTACAAGGCTTATACCATCCTATATCGTCGATGCCGTTCTTGTTCTCCTGACGTCGGTCATTATCGATACAGACGATATTTACACCCTAGAGATTTCCCGTGCTGTTGACTCGGCGGTAAGCTTTATACAATTGGCGAATGATAGATCGAGCGGCGAATTCAGCCAGATACTTCGTATATCGTCAGGTGCGGTCGAAATTGTGAGAAAGATTTCACGCAAGAGAAACGACGATATTGAAGCAAGAAGAAGAGCACAAGTCGCCATCCAGAATTCGCTGAAAGAACTTCACCATGTGAGGGAAAGACGGCGGAATCAGAGGACAGTCCAAGGAAACTCAGAGCTACCTAGCATATGCCGTCCTGCTCTGCCAAGTGCGAAATCGGAGACCCTGCTCGCTACAGCATTTGCTGCGCCTCAACCACCGCACGAAGGTATACAACTAGATCGGCCGTCTCAGAATCGTGGAAGCGGCCTTGAACCGGGAACACACCCTGGGCGATTGGACGTTGATATAAGCTGGGAAGATTTTATTCTTGATATTTAAGTACCCGTTAGTTATGGCCATAGTTTGCACATAGTCATCCCCATGCACCATGTGGGGTACGGAGCAAGACAACAAGCAAGCTGATCTAAGAAATGAGAAACAATATGTGTGTGATATTGTGTAGTGGGCAAGGATACGGTCAGGCAAATGCCTCGGGAACTCATACGTGAACTATTTATGTAAAGTGATAAGAGGAACATTGTGCGAGTGACACTAATTACTCTAAGGGATTATACATGGCCAGAAAGGAATCTTCCTCAAATCCTCCTGTTACTCATGCTACAGTGGCATTGAAAATCTCAACATGGAGGGTTTTACTTCTCAGTTTGCATACCCCTCCGTGAGTAGGCATCCATACTCCATTTTTTCGCGGACCCTGTGTTTATTTCCGATCCAAGGCATTCTAGAGCGGCCTCATTGAATCAGTTCAGCGCATTGTGTTTCAGGTGTCAATAAATGCCTGGGTTATGGTCGGTATCCGCCCCAGTCATACTCCTCGGTTGGCGATTGAAGTCTTGAGCAGCCAAGAGCGCTTTTCCGCTTCAACTCGGGATTCCTGCAGTCATACGCGATACAGGCGATGTGATCTACAGGCAATGAAAAGGCAAACTAGACCAACATCGCCACTCTTAATGCGGATCGATGAGCGATGAGGTGGCTTCCTGTTCGGTCTGTTAGTCTCATTTGTTTGGATTTTTTGACCTACCGTAGAGGCGTACGTCTACACCGATTTGAAGCTCATCCAGACACTCTGAAAGCCGCCCATGCATTGTCGAGAGCCTACCAAGGTGTCCTTGACAGAAGCGAGATATTCGCACGCCAGTTCGGAGTTAAGCTGAAAGCTGACGCGCTGGAGGAAATTATTAGACGAGCATTTACAAGTGAAAGTCCTCAGTTTGAAGACGCCAACAACGCTGAAAGTGGAGACTTCAATCTTAGCTGGGTGCATGTTGTTCGAGACGTTGATCCCAAAGAGATTCAGAGAAAGCCCGACGGCACCTACCAGTGTGTCACGCTAGGGTAGATGATCAAGCTGTCGGAGTCCGATTGTGCGGCCTTACGAACTGGTCTTCTTCAAAATCTGGCCATCCCATGGCCGCATCAAAACGATGTCCAGGTTGAATTAGACACAGTTGCTTCTATCGTCGCAGATTTGACCAGGTGGGATCAGATTGCATACAGAGTAAGGGTAAATCTGAATTATTACAGTTACCGGCCGCGTATAGGCGTCTGACAACTAATAGTTATTGACCGGAACCATCACGTCGTTGAGTTGCTGAACGAACAAACTGAAATGCTCAAACTCCTTCGACAAGAGTCCCTATGTTAACGTGCACCTTCATGCAACCGTAGGTCTGCTATAATGGAAGCCCCTCCCTTGCAATTCGACATGAATCAAGAACAACCGACGCTGGATCAAGAAGATGTAAGTACCAGTGATGCCGACCAGGATGGACATACAGCGATATCTCACAGGTACACGATAGCTCTCACATCAGCCGCGTCAATCAACCGCAGAGGTATCCTAGCGATGTACAACTCATATCTTCAAAGTTGCAATGCATTATATCTTCTCGCGAGGCCAGTCTCGTTCCTTGGACATTGGAAGAAGAGTCCTGTTTGTTGCCTTGGTTGAGCGCTCACCAAGATTTGGACTGGCCGGAAAAGGTGAAGGAGTATCTTCGCCAATTTGGCATTTTCCGCCCAGTAAGAACCATACAAAGGAAAATGCGTGAATTGGAAAACCGAGAATTGCGCAGCACAAGGAGGGCTCAAAAACGTCAGAATCAGCAGAGTGGTGCGCTGATGATGCCACGTCCTATACTCGACGGCCCTAACGCTGGGACAAGTCCACAATTGCAGATGGCAACTCCACAATCCATACGGCCACCTCGGCATACAGCAGCCGACGTTGTATATATGCAGTCCACCTGCCCCTCATGATGAGAATAATAACTTTATACCTCTGGACCTACTTCAACATGAAATTTGCGAATGCGAATGCAAATACGAATATTCCAAATCTTATGAATATGTATTCATGCCGACCCCTACCTGGTTTAATAATAATGAAATGAAAATGAAGAGTACTTTAAGCTCTTACTCTTAGGCAGGATTGACAGACATTGTGACATATAACATCACATATTAGCTTAGCCCCAAGTTTCTATTACATTGCAGCGAAGGATCAAAGTAGCAATACAAGCTTTATTGCTTCTAAATCATGTGCTAGCAGAGAGGATTGTCTTCATCCAAAATAACGCAGCCGGCTTAGCCGGCTACTAAATAGATATAGAAACAAGGCGAGACAGGCAGATAGAAGTCGCAAAAATCGTGTGATCTTTACTTGTTGAATTCCGCTGGACAAATTCCTGGTTCTGGATGAAGTAGTTGCTCCAAATCAGTCACATTTCTGCCGTCCACACCCTTAAATTTCTTCCTAACCTCCTCAAAAGCCTCTGGGTCCATATATTTTCCAAAGAATTCCAGCATCTTTATAATTTCTGCCGGGCTTGATTGCTTATAATCTATTACCTCGCCACTTGAGCTAAAACTGCGGATTACTCCATCAGTAGCAAGGTGGGTGAAGCCTTTGTTTGATGGTGAGTGTCTGAGGAGTGGAAAGGGCGATGGCTCGTCGTCTTTCTATTGCGGTGTCAGTATCGTACAGATGCAAGCTGTCAGAAATACTATTACAATGCAAGACATGATTCAAGTGATCTGTTTGTGTGATATGATGGGGATCTCTCGGTTGTACTGTGTAATAGAGAGAGGATAGTTGAAAGGAGGCGAAGACTTCTCTGAGAGGTGTGGCTCACCTGAGGGGAAGTTGATACTTAGAGCTAATGCGGAGAGGAAATGCTCACATGATGACCAGTTGTCACTTGCCCTGAACAGGGGTATAAGAGAGCCTTTAAGCTACTCTGTTAACAAGGTACTTTCCTAGTTATACACATGACCTCTTCAGGCAAATGTCTCATATGTCTGTACTATACCTTACCAACGGGTTCATTGGACACCCACCACTCAATGCACTCATCTTGCCACTAAAACCTAACTTATATTTTCGTTTAGAATTATCACTTGCAAATCTGTAGGATTCTGATACAGTTTGTCCATTATTCTTAGGTGAATTAAATTATACAATCATGACAACTCAGTGAAGTACAATAAATGGCATTGGTAGGCAAGTCAACTAGAAAACAAAGCATGGGGAACAGGTGAAGGTATTCACAGGCAGCTGGTTAGTTGAAATGCACACTCACTGAGTGGTGAGCATGTAACCAGTGAGTAAACAATGTCTGCCTCAGGCGCCAAGGTGTTGACTCCTGGAACAATCATCACACATATAACCCATTTCAATCTGGACAATCTGATACATTGGACCTTCACATCTAAACATTCAGCGTACACCTTTTATAAAGGTCATTTAGACAGTTGCACAGATCCGACGGCTCTGGTTTTGACTAGATCTGAGGAAGGCTTCGGCAAAGAGATGAGTGAAGAATGAAGATAGGTCTGTACCATCTAGGATGTGTGTAAGACCATCGTTTATAAAGGAGTAAGATACTGGAACAACTGTGGGAAGTACTAGCCTATCTATGGAGGTGGCAAGGTGCGAGGGCAACAGAAAGTATGCTTCACTAAATGCAAAAACCTGGTGCTCCTGGATAGGTCATATCCACCCTATAACAGACTCTGCAGCCCATGAATTGGCAAGCTGGATCATCACTGCAGAGTTGGCCTCTGCAGTAATAGTCAGACTGTTGAAGAGGGTCGGGAGCGCTCTTAGACTGAGGTGCCTGATGAGGCATGGGATTTCGAAGCTCAGCAGGAGGGTCAAGTAACTTTTTCTTATCTGTAACTTGACATCCGTCAATATCATCAAATACAGCGTGTAAATGATCCGCTTCCTTCTTCCATGGCTCTAGAAGGTTCGCGAGCAGCTGCTTAAGCTGGTTATTGGTCAAGGGAACATAGTCAATAACGGATTAATTCTTATCATAAGCTCGTGCCACTCCGTTGTCCGCGATGTGGACATATACATGAGGTCCTGATTTCAACTTGGCCATGGCATCGAAAACATTGATGCCCTCCTGAGCAGCTTTCTTGGGAGCCGCGAGTGATGATATTGCCATGAGGCCCAGCACTGCAAGGTAAAATAAATGCATGATTAAGAGAAAGGAATTTGTTTAAGTTTGTCTTTGTAAAAAGATTCTTAGATTATACTTGAGAAGTCAGTGTTTGCTTTAGCTCTGGAAAAGACAACTACATCTCCTGGCATGTCAATCAAAGTATTTATACCCATATTGGCCATAAGATATGCCTGGACTCGCGCAGATGACTGAGACTCTCTGGAGTGTAAAATATTAAATCTGGCACTATGGAGAATAGAGACCACCTCTAGAGGTAACCGATCCCAAAGCTAAATTGCTTAAAGTCCATGCTGCCAAGCCGTTGGAGGTGGAAGGTTGGGAAATACTGGTGAGGGGTATGCGTTTTTGTGACCGAGCGCAATGCCAGCGGCCTCTAACTACTCCGGAATACTACATTCCCGACCCGACACTCTGGGTGAGGGTGTGATAGCGACGCATTAGTCTGTGGATCAGAAACCTGGGCAGGCGCCTTCCAATTTCATAGGTAGGATTTCAGCGGACCGGCTCGGAACATGAGGCGAGCTGAACCCAAACGCATATAAAACCAACAAGACAACAAACCAAGTCCTCTTTGGACAGTGTTGAATGATAACTAAATTAATCAGAAACATACTAAGATGCAAAGGTCATCAGAATGGCCTGACATTCTTTCCCAACCTCTTTCTGATTTCATGCGTTTCATTTGTTATTGACAGGGGTTCATGGGCTACTTTTCCTCCCGCCGCGGCTTCTCTTTTTCTTGGGACAATTGTGTAAGAGAAGATGGCTAGGAATAGTCGACGCTTCCTGATGATTTTTCGTTATTAGCAGGGATCTTAGACACCCGCACTATGTATTGGGTTTCGCAAGATATCCATCTAAATGTAGTAAGGGACTTGGTATTCACAGGTAGGGCGGAAGAAAGTACTATCTCTAGCCCTTAGCTTCCTAAGACTAAGTAGGACTATTATAATACAGGCAATGATCCTTGCCCTTTTGTATAGTGCCACCTATCAGCCAATAATGGATCCTTGCTATTGTTGGGGGTGGTAGTGGAGGTTAAGGGCTTTTAATGTTTGGAACACAGCAGTGAGCGGAGTTTAGTATACAGTTGGAAAATAAATAATAGTTATGCATGATTGACACATGATCAATATCGAACTTTTCTGGTATGCTGTAATGCTGGGCCCAGGAAGCGGAACCTGAAGTGTCAAGCACTATGCTAAACTAGGTAATATATCACCCCAATCATAATCTGGGCAGGAGGTGTGTGCTAGTCCCAGGGTCTAGAGCATACATCAGAACAGGAGGCGAAGTGATGGTTCTTGCAAGAATTGGGTTAGAGAAATCAACCATCTGTAAAATAATGGTGCCACGGCCTCATTTCAGTACATACTCCACAATTTACTGGGGTTATAGCATGGGTAATTAGATAAGGCATTTTCATTTCCTCTTCTTTCTCCCGGTGAATCAGCCCTTTTATGGTTGTATTTTATAATAGAGACATTATTCTCTCAACAAATATGATCATGCGACTCTGTTGTCAGTGATGTGAAAATATCCCTCAGAGGTCCATTTTCATTTTACCAATAGCCTCCCCAACTTAGCAAGTACCTTGGGAACTATAAGTGATGATATCACTCTTAAACCTAGCACTGCAATTAGATTAAAATATATATTAGAAGATAGGATCTTATTAAGCTTAATTTTGTGTAAAAAGGTCCTCAGATTATACTTATAAACCCAGTGTTTATATATGCTCTGAATAAGATAACCACATCTCCTCACATATCAATCAGAGTATTATATATATATATTGCCTATATAACTCAGCGCTTAGTTTGTTCTCTGACTTATTATTCCTATGCCTGTAGGCTGACAACTTGGCAGGGGTTGTAAACTCCTACATCGGGCACTATAGAAAAGTATCCTGTTTCTCTTAGCCTAAGATTAAGTACCACTTCCAGAGCCGGCCGATCCCACCCCCGATTGCTTTAAGTTTATCCTATCACAGTGTGGGAGGCGGGAAGATGGAGATTACTGATAAAAAGTACAATTTCTTGTGAACTAGTGGTGCAACGACAGCGACCTCCTTGACTTAGAATACTACAGTCCGGGACCCGACATTCTGGGCAAGAGTGTGATAGCTAAACATTAGCCTGGTACATGACCAACTTCCGACTTTTACATGTTACCTACGAGAGCGGGAAGTAGAACTTAGAAAAGTCTCAAGCACTATCCCAACTAGGTAGCTCGTTGCCCCGATCATAACCAGAGTAGGGTATAATTCTAGTCCCATGGCTTCAGAGCGCGAATCAGAGTGGGTGAAGAAGTGTTGGTGATCCTTGTAAGGGTAGTATAGAGAATGTAATAGACCTAGAAAAGTCTCTGCTATGAAACACCAATGCTCGAGGGCTGTGTCGGCTCTTGTGACTACTCCCACCAGAAGTGTTCTACCCAACGTGAGAAACGCTGAAGCTACGTCAAGTGGATCGGGATTGAAATCCTGGGATGAATGAGAGAGCTCTCTGCCAGGCTGGTGGATCCTTTTATCAAGTGACAATTGGAGGGCTAATCCAGGGTTAATATGCAGCCAGGCAGACTAGGAAGTGAGTTCCAAGTACTATTGGTAGCACTAAACAGGGGTCAAGATTCACGGAGATTCATCCCAGGCTACAATACATGGATTACTGGGTCAGGAAGGATCGCCTCTTACCCTGCAGGCGCCATATGTTGCTGCGACCCAGGAAGCTAGGCAGCTGTGTAAGATACCGAATCCACCTTTTTCAGTCCTCGCCAGAGGGAGTACGCAAAGTTTCCGATGTTACGAGTGGCTTATTTCGCTGTGCGGGCCTGATTAATCTACCTTTATCTTTTTTCCCGGTCAAAGTCGAGAACTAAATGACATGGTATTACCCAGTATATCTAGGTTCGGTAGGCTATCCTTCAACAGACCATACAGCACGCGGTTTTCAAGGTAGAGGTAGACAGATACAGAATTCGTAAAGCAATAGATTAATCCTAGGTTGGAGGGGAAGACAGTTCTAGTCTCATAAGGGCGAAATATTACGCGAAAATAAGAAACACTTGATTAGGAAGCGATGTACCATGTAGTACCTCTACCAATTATACCACATTTCCCTTCTGGATCACTAGTAAAAACCATTTGACCATAACAGGCACAATACGAGTGATCTTCGACCAGCCGCATCCAGCTCCCCATACGACAGACCGTGCAGGGATTTTACTTAGACAACTGTTTTTAAATATAAAGCCAGTATTCTTCCTGGAGCATCTAGCAAGCCAAGCAGTAACTCTGAGTAATATAATCCTGATCCGTCTACCCTTCCACTCTCTATCTAGCCTCAACAGCCGGCGTGAGAGTACCCTGTCACATATAGCACCATACAGGCTATTAAGAATAGTGTTAGTTTTAATGAGATCTCTTTGCTGCCTCTCCCGCGGTTAAGAGCTCGCGGTCACAGGACAGAGAAGGGTAATCTACAGCCATGTGGCTCGCTGCCTTCTCCTAGTCACAATCTGTGTGGCTCTGGTTGTACTGTATTTATCCACTTTCCCTTCCAATATCCCATCCATTGATTTAGTTGCTACTTAGTATATGGTTTCTCCTGAGCATGGTCTCTGTTGACAGGCTCACCCCTCCCGTGCATGCGAATGGGCTGCAGCAGATACAAGACAGCTGGAAAAAGCCATTGGATTCCATTACAGCGCTATCCCCCTAGCCCAAGAACTTTAGCCAGGGCATCACACCCGTCAGGTGCTATTCACACAATAACTACTGGCATAAGGTCCCACTGTTCGATGCGCTCACCGCTGGTTATATAGGTGTAGAGACAGATGTATAGCTAGATAAAATGTTCCATAATCTACTGGTAGGCCACCAAACCTTGTCCTTATCAGCTGACCGCACTCTACAGTCTCTATATATTAAGCCCCTGATCACAATCCTCACCCGGATAAATCAGGGCGCCAATATTTCTGTCTCCAGGTCTGGAGTTTTCAAGACACTTCCTAATGCCAGCCTAACACTCCTGATTAATATCAAGACCGACAGGCATACTTTCTGGCCCGTGGTAATAGATTAACTAGCCCCCTTACATGCCGGTGGCTGGTTATTATATTGGAATAGGACCGGCAATGGGCTTGCCTGGCGGCTAATCATAGTAGTGGGCACTGGGAATACCCTATTTAAGCTAGTTAATGCCGACACCGAATACAGGGACGTGTTCTTTGATGCTTCACTGGATTAACTTACAGGCAATGCCAGCTTCACCTCCAATAACTTATACTACGCAAGCGCATCGTTAAGGAAAGCTGCTGGAATTATCTGGCCCTGGGGCCCAAGCAGACACCAGAGACCATAAAGAGGATAATCGATACAGCCGCCGCAAGGGGATTAGTGTCATAATTCTGGGGTATACCCGGGTGGCCGGTGTATCTACGGATGAAGCTCTGCGGATTCTTGGTAGAGAGCGGGATTGGAACACTGAATGTGGATAAGTTGTTCGAGGCGACGCAATGGATTCGTGATAGGTGCACTGTTGCAGGTTGGGTGTTATGCTAAGTGATTTGACAAGTTGGGTCGCGGCACTATTTTTTCTTTTATAGTTATGAATTGAGGCTTGATAAGGCAAACTATAGAGCTTTATATACGAAATAATCTCCTAGAGAACAGATTGATTTCCATCTTCCTCTATATAAACCTTCAGGATTACAGTTAGCATGACTGTTGGGAGGGGATTTTCCCTAAGTTTATTGGCGAATTTACTGGGATGCCAACCAATTAGAATAGCAATTCTCGCGTCTGGACCACGGCCAATGCACTGGTGCCTCCCTTGCAGCCGCTACTAACAGTGTAGGCCTTTGGAGCGGTCTGTAGCAGATGGTTGTGTTGCTGAATCACCTCCTCTCTTGTATTCGCGATAGTGATTTCTGGTGGCTTCGATCATAGGGGCACGGCCATTGGCTGGATCGTCTCCAAGTGGAGACTGTCTCAAGCCTGGAGGAGTATTTCTCTGCTGATAGGACACACATGTCTTTTATGATCATAAGGGGAACATCAGGCTTATCCAGGGCCCTTGCGGCGTTAGAGACGGCGAGTTCAATGGCAGAACTCGAAAACGCGCTAATGAGGATGTAAGTAACGCTAGTCGTCTGAACATTGTGCGGGACGAAAGTAGCTGCGAAGGCTTTCACCGCACTTGCAATGATGATACTCAAGGTGACTCCAAGAGTGGTTTGAAAGAGTATGAGGGTATGCGCTAACCCCAGACGAGAGCCGAGAGATTGTGTCCCTTTATCCCAGTTGTTGACACTTCGAAGATGGGGAGACGGAACCGTCGACGCTCCACGAAGTCCGCACCACAAAAGGTGTGCCTCAACCCTAATGACCTACCCTTGTTTGACTGCAAAGGCCAGCTGATTACCGTTTCTTAATTGTCCGTAGGGTCAAGCAGATATCTCTGAGGCGCAGGTTCTCGAACTAACGATGCTGGGAAATAATATGTTCGCGATCCTTCAACGTCTCGCGCAAGCGAGACCTCATTACCGTTATGATTTGAAGGAGATGATTATATACGACCCTGCACTGCTTGACGAAATCTTAGATGGCCCACGATTGGATGTTATTCCGCTCGACCGTCTCCCTGTCCGCTTCGAGTCCGGCCGACTAGTGCCCCAGCCAGGTGATGAGGGACGAATTAAGGAGACGCTCGACTCCTTATCAAGAGACCAGGTTCAGAAATTCGCACAGTTTATCCGCTGGATGGAGTCGGCAATGGATTCATTTTTAGCTGCCTGAGGAGCGGCAATTTCTAGGCGGATTCATCGATCGCATGGGAATCAGGTTTGAATGTTAAGGAATACATCAGTGTCTCCATAGTTGCCGATTACTACGTATACACTTTATTCCAACATTTTTTGGCGAGTAAATGGAAAATACACATGCCTGTGCTAGATCAATGTATGAAAACATCCTGCGAATCACGTTCGCGGATCGTTGGCAGGGAATAAAGTGCCTTCGGAGGTTCCAAGACTGGTAGTGATCAACAGAACAGAATCAGAGGGTCGAAGCCGCAGCGGGGTCGATGGGTGCTTGGGCTGTCTTTGACCCGGTACGGCGGACTGAACAGTTTTGGGTCCCCATACGACTCAAAAGCGGCGCGGCACGTCCAGCATTAGATAAGAACAGGCACAATGTACGGGCCTAATTATGCTGTCAAGAATAACTTTTAATTTCTTATTAAAGTAAAGTCAGGAATAACTCCTTAATTCTCAGTAAATATTACAAAAATAGTAGTGACTCCTAAGCTGGGATCTCTAATTATATTGCCAGTTCAAGAAGTCCTGCGGTATATAATACTATCTGAAACTCTAGATACTCCGTTATATATTAAAAATAATCTAGTTATTAATAGATTCTATAGTCAATATCAGAAGTAGCCTGATTAGGGAATCAAGGAGATAGTAGAAGAGTAAGAATCTTTAGGCTATTTACTTAATAGCTTACTCGCTCTTGAGACTAGATAAGATATCTATAATTTATAGAATAATAGAACTGCTCGTAGAGGACATTATCAGGTTATCTAAGAGAGCAACTGTAGCAGATCTTCTAAAGGTGAGTGGAACTCCAAACAGATCACTGGCACCCTGGCAGCCAACTTATCAAGATTAGCATTCCTATGCATTAGCCTGGGACCGTGGTGTCTGCGCTCGATAACAAGTTCTAGGAAGGATGATACTGGCCTACAGCAGGATGAAGATATAGGAATATTTAAGGGGTTATTTCAGTGCATTTTTTTTGGGCTACAGATTTTTGGAATTTTTTTTAATACACCCTTGGCCATGCTATGTGTGAAGAAGTTAAGTATCAAGAGTGGTGCTGGATCCTTGTGCTGGCATAAGAGTAATTTCCAGTTTTAAACCAACGAAATTTAGAAGCGTCCTTGTCTCTAAGCTATATAATTACCTCATTCTACAAATCAAGCACATACGACCATAGGGTGTGGAGAACAGGGCTTCCCGTCCGCTCAGCCGTACTTAAGCCACACGCCGGCCGGTTAGTAGTTGGGTGGGTGACCACCAGCGAATCCCGGCTGTTGTATGTTTTTTCTCTTCCTAGAGAACAATAGGAAAAAGATAATCCTAGGACCGTCTAGATATAGAGTATTATATTAATAGCTATCTATATCTCGCCTTTGTCGGTTGAGTGAGGTATATTTCTAAGGAAAATATATTTCCGCACATTTTAGAGCATCGACATGCTCCTGTCTAAAAGAAGTTAGTCATATGCTGCTAGAAGAACCAGTAGAAGGCCTACTATTAGATCGAAGACGATATTGAGATTAAATTAGAGTTATCCTACGAGCGACCCTTCATAGCGAGCTAGCGGGACCTTACATATATAAAATCGTCCAAAGATTTTGAATTCCTTAGGCTTAAAGTTGTCATTTACTATAGGTGACAAACCACTGGATTATTCTGTAAGAGACAATAAACTGCAAAGTGGCTTTATTACGTGGCTTGTTGCCGCACTATATTTGCACAAACAAGAAATTCTGGTGTTTGATTGAATCCCCCACCAACGATCAGGAGAGGTATGGACGGAGTTAGCTATTCCAGCGATATAAAGAGAAAGTACCGTCGATTCATTTTCTTCTTTTTTGCTCTTAACTTGGAGCCTTAGTATGCACAATCGTCGACATAAAATGAGCAATGGGGTATATCTCTAGCTGAGGCAATCTTGCTTCAACTTGGATATCTTAGCCCTAAAATACGATAAGGATATTAAGAAGGAGATAAGTAAGTCTATACGCGCCGGAAGTTCGGCGCCAGTGAGCCAAAGCTATCAGCAGCGGGTCAAGAAGGTCAAACGTTGGCTCTTGGGTTGCATAAACTAACGTAAGTTGCAAATGATAAGGCCTCTGGGATAGTTTGGAGACTCTGCGATGCCATGTTAAGTTGAGTGACTAGGCTTGTTGTCTTCACGATGGCTCCTGGTCAAGGGTATAGAAAAACCCCCGGGAAGGATAGCTCTAGCTTTGTAGGTACATTACTCCGTCTGGTGCAACGTTTTACCGTTCTGGAACTGAACATATGAGAAAAGGCTGAAGCTATTACGTATCTGTTTTGGGTTGGAAGACCGGAAGATCAGTGGTAAGGCTGCGACCAGCTAGTCCCCACTGTGGACAAGGCCGCCAAAGTGGTCTTTGACGATACAACTTGACACTCTAGTCATGAGTTCCATGTCATGCCAGACTGTTGCACTCGGCAAACTAGCCTCGCGTCGGAACCCACAGGCCGCTGTCAGAAGAATAAATTTCTCCACGGCAACGAATAAAAGGCCGTAGATTGGTGAAATTATGACCGTGGGCAGTTAGAAGACTACGTAACTGAGGTGCGCTAAGAACTAGCAGCATGAATATCATTCGCCATGGATCGTCGGTCGGATTGTTAACGGGCGGCCACAACAGTTTGGAAAAAAGGAGGGGTAGAAGAACTCTGCACAGCGAAGTGGGGAGCCATAAATAAGAGATAAAGTCCTCCTCTGGTCTGAAGGCTTCGCTTTTCCTACCTCTTAATTGCGACCGCCGCAGACTTCATTTGCTCAACTATGTCGCGCGAAATTGACAGGCTGGCCGCGCCCGCGGAAAAGAAAAAAATGCGGCTCATTGTGGCCAGCTGCAGTAGGTGAGGCACTATTCATGCCGGAGAGGATAGATTAATTTTGTTTGATCGCAAGGTAAAGGGTGCTTTTCCAGCTAACTGAGGAACCGCAGGACAGGTACATTGGGCCTTCATGAAGCTCTGGAAATGCTAGGATACACTCCTTATCACATGATCGACCTGATGTTCAAGGGCAGAAAGCCTCATATGAAGGTCTTCACGGAGGCTATAACAGCACACCACAATCGTTTTTCAGGTATCAAGCGATATGAGACACCGGATCTCGAAAGGTGGATCGGCAACCATGACGTGAGTTAGACCCCTATGCTGAAATTGCGTGCCCTTATAGTGGAAAACCAAAGTATATCCTAACAATGCCCAGTGCTTGATGGAGATGCCAAGTTACATCGGCATTAGGTCCCTAAAAGGCTATGTGGACGACCCCGACGTGAAGTTCATCGTAACCGAGCGCAATCCCGACAAATGGGTGAAGTCCATTAATAATACCATTGGCGTGGCTGTAACGCAGGCCGACATGTTGCCGATGAATGTCTTTAAGCGCTTTGATTCCGAACTCGGCTGTTTTTTCCACCTGGCTCAAGTGATGTACTGGGCGTATTCGGATGGGACAAACCCAGGCCACCCGAACAATGAAGCAGCTCTCCGGAGGAACTACGTAGAATAGTGAGTAGTTTCCTATCCATATCTCTCCTTATACCAACATGGATATCACTGACCGTCCGGAAACACAGCATTCGGGATATAAAGGCGGCCCTTCCCAAAGATAGGCTTTTGGTTATCACACTTGAGGACGGTCTAGATTGGGAACAGATTTGCCCATTCTTAGATGTACCAATCCCCAAGGAAAAGTATCCCCGTGGTAATGAACCGGACAAGTTTCATAGAATTATTGAGGACTATGTAGGGCCCAGGGTGAAAGCGGCCATGTTAAACCTGGGCGCACTGGCCACCGCCATAGTTGGAATAACGGGATATTTGGGATGGAGATACTATCATTGTTGATTCATCCTCGCTATTTAATGCGTCGAATATCCTCGGAAGGGGGAAGGCGTTATGGCTTGTTATAAGGTTGAATTAAAGTAGGTTGATGGGGTTACTTAAATTCCACTTAGAGTCACCTCAGGCCGATGGCGTGATTTGGCTTATTCAGTGCTCATTCGACCACCTTGGCACTTCAGGTATACAAAATTATCTACACTCTTGAACACAGTTAACTGGTTGTCTACCTGTCAGAGTAACGAAATAATATCGGATAGATGATGTATTGTAGAGAATTTGAGGTCCTTGACTACATCGTGAGATAAAAGGACAGTACAATGCAATTATGTATAAGTAGTAAACCGAGGCTATTCTAAACGTTAAAAAAGCCCTGGAATCAACCACCAACAGACCAATTGTTTGTATCGCTTCCACCACAACCCGTACTTGGCAGGACAGCGCCTCTCATCCTGATAGCAGCGATAGACCAGCAAGCCCAGCAAGCCCAGCATCCAGAGGACGAAGATGAGAAATGCCACAACTAGCACATGCACAAAAAGAGAATATAGTATCATTGACATAATTAGGATACCGGACGATACCCCAGAAGCCTGTTATATGTTAGCAGTTACCTGCTTGCGTCTGAATAGGTTGCTTATACATACCAGAAAATAGTAACAGAGACTCGTGGGATTTACTGCCGCTCGTAGTGTACCGAGCCCAGATCACACGGGTGGTTTTCCTGCGATTTGGCCGTTGCCCCGTGTCTACCGAAAATGGTATCTTTGATGATTTGACAATCGGAACAGTATGTAGCTAAGAATGCCTGATACAAGGAGAATAATGAAGAGCAAAGGTGAGGGGTGCACTGGGTGTGAGGCGAGGTATTGTGCTTGTGTAGTGTATATCACAGAAAGCCATACAGCGGAGCCCCAGCCTAAGTAGAAGCCGAAGTGACTACAGGCGTTGCCAATAGTCCAAAGATACCTGTCGGTAAAGTCAGTCAGTTATTAAAGTGTTCGACGTGCAGAGCGGGATCCAGGGACAGTGGTAAAGCTTATCTACCATTTTTCGTTAACCAAAAAGTCGGCTATGTATAATTGATGTAGTCTGATGACGAGGGCCATCGAATTGGAAAAGGTGCAGAAGAGACAGCGTTGTTGTACCACGATGCAAAGACCGCTTGCTCTCATTAAGCAAGAAAACAGAAAAGGAGCGAATCTGATAGGCAGAATCCTACATAACTACCCATAAATTCATGCCCAACCAGCCGATTTGGAACAGCTTTGAATGCCACTCACACCCCAGCCGAGGATTCAGTTACTCCGGCCAGAAGGTCATGGAAAACAGAGCCTACGTGTGCCAAATAATCTTGATTTTGCCCACGGCGCAGATACTATGAACTCACCATTTAACCGCCGATCCTGTGTTGAGGTAAGTATTATATATCCCTTTAACAATGCTAGCACTGATACTAGCAATCCATACATGTTGGCTGCCATGAGCACCGCTGCCCAATATCGAGCCACACTTACAATGGCCTGGAATACTTCTACATAAATTATGGAGAGGCTGTGCCGACCGTGACAATCTAGGACAATAGACTATTTATCCTGTAGGGCAAATAATGACCTCCTGGAGTTGGGGGCCCTGTGGGCGATCTTTCCCGGAAGGACTGAAGAGAGCGCCGCTTGGAACACCAGCCAAACACCATAGCCAATTATAGGACTCAGTGATAGATCATACAGGTAATCCTAAAAGAATACAATTGGAGAAGGCGATGACAGAAAAGCAAATGCTCCTTGTAACGAGCCATTGAAATTACTGAGACTGGTGCAAACGAAGAGAACAACTATAGTAGCCGAGAGTACAAACGTCAGACTGAGGAAGCCGGAGAGAAGTGTGACATGCATTCGACGGCCCCAGTGCCTATTTCCTTCATATTTCTCTAGATAAGACAGGAATGTGTTTTGTCTTTTTTTTTTTTTTTTTTTTTTTCGGTCGACGGTTGTGGAGATGCTCGCTATTCGGCTTTGCAACATGTTGTTCAGACTTTCAGCTTGCAAGTAGCGTATTTGTGGCCACCGAGTGGATATTGACCTGGACGGTATGGCAGAACATGAAAATTATAGTATGTATCTCTGGAATAGAAAGACGAGAATGTAACCAGTCACATTAGCGGCAAGGTAGAGGGAGGATTTGACATTAGATATTCGTGAATCAGGGGGATATGCTGAATATATTAGATTTTGTCTCTCCCGTAATGTATGCACTTGTCCACGCCAAGATTCGTCTTTTCAATAGAAGATATACCCAGAATCTGCAGAATAATGTTTTAGTAAATAATTTAAATGTAACCGACGAAAGTATTCTGGACGTTTGTCGGAGAGTCAACATGTACGATTTCTTAGTGAGTAACCGCCATTTCAAACTTATACAAGGCAGGGTCGGCCCAATACAAGTCATGCACCCTATTAACTATACTCTGGAGAGATATTCCTCCCACGCGGTCTCTATTCCGTTGTGGGAACCCGCGAACACAACCCCTTCGGCGGCCAAAGACAGCGCATTGCCATTGCCCGGTCTATATATCTACCCATGCCGAGTATCTATTTACATATTTGTTTATCTTAACGAACAATGCTAGACTGAACGCCAATTATTTCTATACTACTGCCATCCAACCGAAGGGGGTCCACTTGGTACGTAGGCAGAGATAGAAAGAAAGATGACGAATCAATAGCAGAATTATACGAAACGCAGAACCATTCCGTGACATTCCTACTCTCGAGGAGGGTAGTTCAGTCAGTGTTCTACTGCCGGAGGGGTAAAAATAAACCAAGGACTCCGTACATAAGGGTTGGTAAACCGAAAATGACAAGGACAAAAGGTAGTCTCATGTACGAATAAATAAATGGGGCGCCTCCCGCAGTCTAATCTCTGCTTGAGTAGGTCTGCTAAGAGTTGATCGGGGAGTCGAACCCTGCAGCCATAGCTTCTTTGAAAAATACTTCGTTCCTCTCTACTGTTCGTCTCAGCTTGTTCATGGTTGAACTGTGCCTTGCTGTCTTCCTGACCGGCATGGTAAGCAACGCAAGCGATCGGCCGATATTGTTGAGGCTGACAACTTTTTTATTTCGTGAAGGACCAAATGATTCTTGCGACGGTGGCTCCTACGCTGACCAATGAGTTCCATAGCATTGACGATCTCGGGTGGTGGACCGCTGCTTATCAGTTGATGCTGAGCGTTTTCCAAATACCATATGGCAAGCTGTACAGTCTATTTTCGATCGAGATCATATATCTGTCTGCAATCAGCGTCTTTGAATTGGGCTCCCTTGTCCGTGCCACAGCCCCTAACTCAATCGCCATGACCTTTGGGCGCGCGATAGCCGGTGCTGGAGCGGCGGGCATTTTCACAGGGGGGATCAGAATCCGCCGGTTTGATTTCATGGGAATGGTAACTATGATGGGGGGCACCGTGTGCTTGCTGCTAGCGCTGCAATGGGGTGGAACACAGTATCCTTGGAATAGTGGGAGGATCATCGCACTATTGCTGGTGGCTGTCACACCCATCATTGGTTTGCGCTCCTACAGGTGTTTGCCCCCGGGTCGAAGACCCTCCCTCGCAGCGTTGCGAGTTATGCATTGGTATGATATGCCGTCGAATACGCGATGTGTACCACTGGTGGGATCTACGTTGCTGTGCTTTACATTCCGGTGTGGTGCAGGCCGTGCAGCACAAATCAGCTCTAGGCTCTAGAGTCATGCTGACACCGTGGATGGTGGGCTACGTCATATTCTCCTTAGTCGCAAGAGTGCTGACTAGCGGAGTGGGCTACTACAATCCACCTATGATCCTAGGAACTACCCTTGCCAGTGTTGGGGCGGGTCTCGTGTCAACCTTGTCGACCGGCACCTCCAACGACTCATTGGTAGGATTTCAATTCTTGTACGGCGTGGGTGTTGGACTAGGGTTCGGCCAGCCCAGTTACATCGTGCAAACCGTGCTATCCGATGAGGATATCCCGAACCGGGTGACTTTAATTACGCTGGTGCAACACTTGAGCTCGGCGATCTTTGTCGCCCTGGGTCAGGGAGTCTTTCAGAATATCCTCGCCAGCAGCGTGCGGTCGTTGGCTCAGGAGACGACCATTCGAAGCTGACGCATCTTAGTGCCACGCAGCTCGATCAGTTCAACAAGCAGAATACGCCTTACGAGTTAGATGCTTACAGTACAAGGCCGATTCCGCTGCCAAAGGATCCCGCATTCATCCTTGACCTGCTGAAGCGGGGCCCAATGGAGTAGATCTTCACTTTGTATCCGAATAGAAAGAGCAGAAAGAAGGCGACTGCTCAAGCCACCGTGATCACCAAGAAGATGCTGGAGACGATGGCAAACCAGGACCGTTTGTGGAATGCAAAGATACGTCGGTGGAAGAGAAGGAATACTGGATTTGATCGGCCCGTATGCGGCAATCATGAACAGTTGGAAGTAGAATTCGATCTTCGCTTCGCGTTCGTACGCGTAGTTGTAGTTTGCCATTGCCTTGGATCGGCACCTGCGGGGTATGGGGTAGCCCATGATGCCGATGGAGTAGCCTTGAAGGGGTGAGTATGCGGACTCGCAGATCTAGTAACCCTTCCGTGGAAACTAACCGTAAATGAAGCAGATCCAATCGCTTCACCATTAACTGTTTCATAAGGTGAGACACGTCAGCAGGCAACCCTGTGTTATCTGAAATGATGGGGAAGGGACAATACCACTGCCAGCACGAGTAGCCAGTCGTCCAGGCCCAGATGAACCTTCTGCTTGATTCTGGCAAAGAAGTGCAGTGTCACACACAGAATACACACGATAGGAAGGGCTATCCCGATGCTAGTACCTCACCGGCCGAAGCCAGACGAAACGGGAGTTTTGTCTAGTCTGTTCCGGTAGCCATGGTGAGCCTCTTTGAAGTATGCGGATGGAGGGAGGGGACATAGTAAAATCTGCAGGATTATCTGAAATAGAAGAGCCTCCCCGAGGAATTACATAGAGCTTTTATTTTTGCAGTTTGTATCTTACAACCCTATCCATTTGCATGTCAGCCATGTCTTCTGCACGCAAGGTTGATGCTGACATGCTGTATGGATATGTGTTTCGCGAATCACAACCCGCATCTTAGAGCTGGCTTTGTCTTGCTGAGAGTACAAGCAACCCGGTGTATTTTATAACCTATATGCATATTAACCCTGGTCATGAAAGGGGGTCCGAATGAGGGGCCAAAACCAGGAATGGTGAGCAGTAGAATGTCAACCTAGTCGCCAGCTTCTGCCTCATTATTTTTTTCGTTCGTGTCAGCACAAAATGGCTGGTATCCAGCCGCGTCCCAAACACCCATTCCTTTCAATCCGAACCAAAAGAGGCTGAAAATGGGCGCGATGAAGAGCAATACGAGCTTCTTCCTATCGGCCATAACAGGGAAAGGACCTGGGACCCGATCCTACGGGAGGGATATGGAAGAGGAAAAGGGAATATACTTGTGCTACTTCTTCTTTCACTCTTGCTCAGCACAGTGTTGACGCTTGGATGGGCATCCAGTCCATATGACCTGTCTAGATCCCTACAGCCCGTCTGGGCTGGCTCCAGTCTCGATGAGAAAGCAATGAAAGTGGGATTTGATATGGAAGAGACAATGTGGGTGGAATACTGAATACAGTGGCAGCAACGAGAGCGAGGTTAGTGATCTCTGGCATAATCACATCCCATGGGAAAGCGGGATCATCGCCATCGACAAGAAAGAAGCTAGTGCAACGGGATTGCCGGAATCACAGGTGTTCCCATGGGATGAGGCAAAAGGAATCTACATCATTAACGCACATCACATTCTGCATTACATCGTAAGTTGGGCACAGGGAGCTTTCTCAATATCACTGGTTTCTCACCTCTCTAGCGCAATCTATATATCTCCATCGAAGAATATCGCTGCAGCCAGACTCAGAGTGTCGCCTATCCTCATATTTTGCATTGTCTAGACAGTCCAGACAGTCTACGGGTGGAAGCAATGTGCACGGCCGACGACACGCCGCGATATATCCCTCTGCATGACGTCTCCGGACTCAAGCGTGGAGACGGACAGAAGCGAATGTGTCGCGACGGGCACCAAATGCCGGCCTTCGTAGAGGATCACGATCCCTGCTATCGGTATGTCTTTCCTCATGATAACACAGCGAATCTTGAGAGACTCAAATACTGTCCCAATAGCTCGCGGTATTTACCCATGATTCGTGAATACTTTGGCTACGGCAATGATTGGCTACCAAGTCCAGAAATGAGGGTGCTTTCATAACTTCTTCAAATAATATCAGTGATCTCTCTCCTGTCCGCGAGTTAACTTCTTTCCGATCCCACCTCATTAATCTCGTTCTTCTTTCCATTTTTCCGCGTCAGAGACAGCATTTCTTGGGTTCAATGACGGACAGATCGGGGTTCGCATCGGCGAGGGCCTCGGGTTGCGGTATTGGTTTTGCTATTGCAGCGCCGACCATCAAGTCCAACACATAGTAGAGGATATACATTTTGTTTGGTTTCTACGAACATAAGCGTATGACTTCGAAGTGTGCCAAGTAGATGAGGAGGGCATCAAACCTGAGTAAAATGCTTTATAGGGATGTGTGATGTGCAGTGAAGAGCGATATCCCCCCGTGAGGCTGTGCGTACAAATTCCTTCTACTATATATGTCTACACATGCGTGTACCTTGATTAACTTATGGATCCCGCTTTTCCATGCTCGCTTTGGTGTCAGATGACCATCTATGCAAAGGTTCGAATGGTGGTACTTCAAGCAAGGATCGTCACCACCACTCTCCTTTCTTAGGCGCGATGGTTATTATCCTTACTATAATATATTTTAATATTCTTCCCACTTCCCCGTATCAGCTTATTAGCTCACTTTTCCATTCGACTGGTCCCTAATGTCACCCCAGTTAGGGCATTCTCCCTCATTCTTTGTTTACTAATAATAACCCCACTGAGTATCCGTCCTGTCATTCACCCTCTACCAACCCAATAATGCACGGAAGGTGGGTATCATCCTGTCAATACCAGGCCGAGCCTTGTCCTCCAGGCACTCCTTCACCCACCTATCGTTCAAAAGTGAACCGGTGCCTAAATGCCTCACATTGATAATCCACTTCTCTTGTCCTCATTTTACTTCTCACTATCCCCCATTCCTTACCATCAGCCTGAGGAATGAACGCAAATCTATCCTCTCTTATAGCCGAACATCATGGACTCGGTTGTGGATGCCCTGATCACTAATAGAGGACCTGCCGGTCTCACAGCAGCCCTCACTCTAGCCCGCCAGCTCCACACAGCTGTTGTCTTTGACAACAACAGCTATCGCAATGCGAATTCAACCTACATGCACATGATTCCCACCTGAGGGCACTGGCACCCGGCGGAGGTCCGTGCCCAAGCGCGCAAGGAAATTCTCACCCATTACTCGACCATTCAGGTTGAGGATGTAGACCTCGTCAAGGCCGAGAAGACAACTGACGGGCTATTCCAACTAACAGATTCCAACGGCGTGACCTGGAATAGGAGAAAATTGATCGTCACCACAGGCTCGGAGAATGTGTTCCCTGACATCCCCAGGTACGCAGACGCGTGGGGAAGCGTATGTAAGAAACATACAACCATCCCTCTACGACAATCCAACTAAGGCCCTTGTAGCTTCCACTGCCTTTTCTGTAAAGGTTATGAGGACCGCGGCGCTAAGAGTGTCGGTGTTCTCGCTGTACTAGCTACTATGCCCCTTAGCACTCGATCCCGGAGGCCTCTACCAGCCTCGAGACTTCGCAGTATGACTTTTCTACACCCTTCTCTAGTATCAACATAATCCTACTGAACTGTCTTACTCGCTCGATGCTACAATCAACCAATTCTTCTCTGAGCGTACCATCACTCGAGAGGCGACCGTACTGCAGTTCAGCTAGCTCGTAACCCCGTGGAGCCTATTCCTCCTCAGGGAGCATTCAGCTACACGGTAGCAGTTGAGGAGCTACTAGGGCAGTTCCAAGCACCCGAGTCTCCCTTGGATACAAATAAACTGGATCTTGCTCGGATAATCTACGATACCATGGTGCCCCCGGGTGTGAAGAGCGGTGTTCTCGGTCCATCACAATCACTCACCAACTATGTGATGGAGACTTTCACCAGAATCACCCACATCGAAAAGGCTTTGATGACCCTTCACTCAACCCCACGGGAAAAGCAGCCTATATCAGGCTTTGCAAGGTGCTTTACTTACCCAACTCACCCAGAGACTATTGACAATCACCGAACACTTCTCCCAGATTCTTCGCCAACTCATGGCAAAATTAGCTTACAGAGCCACATCATTCCGAGCTCTCCTTACCAGATCTCCAGGATAAACCTGATAATCTATCACGACACCTTCCTTCGCATTTTACCAGCACCATTCCCAAAACCCGCGACGGGTTCCTGCTTCTCTTTGTCCCGACGTATCCACTAGTTTTAATCCACGGCGACCTATGTAAAATGACATCATGGTCGGCCCTGACGCAGGACGTATCGCCGGCATGAGAGATTTACGCATTTAGTTCATTGTACTTGTTATTCTCATGCTCTATTATCTAGTATGGACATTTAAAAGGATTATGACACCCCTGGGACTATGGATCTCTACTTGGCAGGTCAGCTTAAGAGCATGATAGCCCTGGCTTATATTGGCAATAGAAGGATAGGGTTTCCAACAAGGCCGGCTGGCCCAATGGTAAGGCGCTTGACTACGGATCAAGAGATTGCAGGTTCGAATCCTGCGTCGGTCAACTTTTTTTACTCTTTTTCGTTGTTTATTTGGTTCGTCTAGAGGGATCCACCCCGTGTCTATGAAGCCCTACCAGTTCAGAATTAGCGACGCATTCTTGATGTTTTACATGGTACAAACTCGAGATGTGCTCGTCACTCTCTGTCACATTACATCGACTCGTATTTGTCACATTCTCTACTTGGCCTCTATGACATCTAGTATTAGCAGGCTTAACGCGGCACCTATAATCCGATGTTTTATCTTGATCTAAATGAAGCCATGATCCGCGCGTAACCGATAGGCTATCTGTTAGGCGCACCTTACAGCGCCTGCGGGTGATATAGTAGCACGTGCGGGTCACGTGCTACCCGCTGCGGTAAAATCTTTACCGCACCCCAATGGCTTCAGAAACCAGTGATCAACCTCTGTGTATGGTAGTAGATCGTTCAATAGAAACCCAGTCCTCTGCTCCTGCCACCTGCGGCGCCGTAGCACGTTATTCCCCTACTACCTGCGGCTCTCTGAGCTGCAATTAACACTATCCCTCTACTTTTCCTACCTTGCTTTTTTTCAATTTACCCTCTTTGACCTCATTACATCTCTCCTCGCAGAACGGCCTATCACTACCTTGAACTGCGGGATACGTGCCACGAGGGCTGTTACCCTGACACAATTTCTCAAGCTCTACTCCATAGGGGCTTGTTGGGGTATCCTGGACTTATCTCGGCGGGTAAGGCGCACCCAATTTAACAAGCAGGGATGGTCAGTAATTCTAAAAGTCATGTACCATTATTGTTCAGGCACTTGCAGTGAGGACCCCGAGTATCTGATAGTTGGTTGAGATAGCAAGCCAATGCCAATGAGATGGACTTTCACCGATGGAGAGGCCCCGAGAATGAATCGTACAGATGAGTGAGGGCTCAAAGAAGGTGGAGGAAAAGATCAGGGAGCAAAAACAAGAACAAGAAAGGAAAAGTAGATGCTCCTCCGCAACGATCCCTACATTCATGACACGCTGCTGCACAATGTCCGAACGCCTTCGGAATCGATTTAAAATTTTACCTAAGCCTAAAAATAGAATAGAAGGATGACGCATACCAGATTCCGTTCACATGCTGTCCTCCATCTCCCCGGAAGTACGGGAACAAACTCGTCCATATCACGTAGCCTGGAACTGGACACACGATAAGAAGAGTGAGGAAGTGCTGCTACAAAAGCCGTACTTAAGCCGTGCTTTTAAGAAGTAACAAATGTTTGCAACAGCAGGCTCACCCCTTATACAGCTATCTATCTTACCTACTACTTCTACAAGAAATATTCAGTCAAATCAAGGCTTGAAACTAAAAGCACATGACAGAAATGCCGAAATGTAGTCTAATATCCCTAAATTCACTGGGGCATCTCACGGATTCACACAACGTGATTTCAATTGCAGCATTCAACTCTTTCATTGGAAGCAGCGAGAGTTTTGCTAGCGCAATGCGTCTTAGCAGCCACTAAGGTGGAACCTGGAAGCACCAAGATATAGATCTTCCAGGAACCTTAGTTGATTCTCCAAGTACCGGCTTCTTGATTTCGTTTAGTACAAACCTGCATTACAGGTACATGCTATGCGCGTCCAGTTTTTGATCTTGATGTTGTCGTAAGATTTACCAGGTATTGACGGAATATCGATAGAGTATACCATCCAAGCCCAGCGCTTTCCTAAGAAACCAAGGGACAGAATAGAGATTTCTGATAGGCAAGGGGAAGACTAAGTATTTTAGGGGTCTGTGGTCGTATTAAGCTATATCCTTCTTATGCTTCTTTCGTATGACCCGGGTTGATGGAGAGGGTAGAGGGTGAACAATTTACCAGACCCAGCGGAATTATCAAAAAGGGTGTCCGTGCTATCTGCGTTATGCCATCTTAGATACTATTCTAAGAGATTTTATATGGGGAAAGGTTGACGAGGAAACGATTGAGTTTAACCACAAGCCCTAATCCGGAGATCAACTCCAACCAGGGGACTTTTACTGACCCATCATTCAAAGATAAGTTGAACCGACAAGTACACTCGGTCCCTTCTACTGCTCGTGTACCATACAATCAACCATGGATCTATCTCAGAATATCGTTTGAAACCCTCCCATTTGGGCTACAGTAAAGGAAACCTATTTCACACGGGGATATCGGGGGAAATCCCCGCACCAAGGCTAATTACAAAATTAACATTCTCATGGCGTCAAAAGTATCCTGTTACTGGCCCGCAAACTCCAGGAAATTGTAAGTATCATCTCGGACTAATGCGACCGTGAGGCTTGACATGCCCTTATTACCAGACATCGGCGTTGCGCTTGCAAGGGTCACGGAAAGCACACTTCACGGGTTGTTAGTCGCTAACTGAGTCTACCACTGCCAGTCAAAAGAGATAGACAAAAAAGACTTACAACTCCAGGAGCTCCTGGAACACCGGGACGACAAGAGACACACGTGAGGCCTTCATCACAGAAGGCACCGGGGTAGGGGGCACAAATCTCACCCGGTCCACGCTGGGCAAGAACCAGTGCGGGAGCACATGTGGCAATCAGGAGGGCGAGAAGATGCATCTTGTGTTATGATAGAGGGATTGTATTTGTATAGAACTGGTAGGGTACAATTGTAGTTGATGGGCTGGGAATAAAGGGACAGTTTTGAGGTCTTGCAAGAGCATTTATAGCCACTGGGTCTTGCGTACTGATGTCATGACTATATTGAAGTTTGCTGTTTGCGGCCGCTAGCTTTGAAATCTGAATCTAGCTGAGCCTGGATGCTGTTCTGACCTCATGACCCTCCGTACATACATCTTTGAACGTAACGCATGGAAAGTGTGAAAACAAAATGTTACGAATAGTGGCAAGTACCAAACTCTCTAGCCTTGTCCCAAGGCCTTGAGCTTTACCTTTCCTTAAGATTATTGCGAAGAGATCTAGAAGGAGAATGAATCATCGATTTAGGGTTCTTGACACCGGAGAAGCCGAGAGGTTAGCATACCGGGAAAACCTTAAAAGGTCGGACCCGATCTCCGCAGCTTCCGAAACTTGTATTTTGCTTGACGACTATTTTCGGGGAAGTAGTTTACGATATGACTTCAGTGGCCGGAATACATGCCCGTCTCCCAGGTTGAATTGATGATGCGCTCTCTAGGAAAAATGGGCTTCGGCGTTCTGCCTAAAACAACATATCATGGACCCAGATCGTTAGATAGCCACCTCACGGAGCATATTCCCGAAGAGTTTTAGGATTTGGTTTGAGGATTTTGGCATACGGAATCGATTTTAACCCTCATTTCCGCTCCATTGGGCCGCACGGTTAGGAATCTACAAATCGCAAGGAGGATTCCTTAGGTAGCTCCGAACTACCTCTCTTCTGCCGCAGTGGTATACCACAGTATTGTCACTTTTCGTGAATAGATATAATGAGTTTCCATTCCGTTACACTTTCTACGGTTGGATAAACTTTGGGAAGAGGCTCAACCTCTACGTCAGTCCACAGAGAAGGAAAGTTACCATGATTACAGGCGGTCTCATGGATCGCAGATTCTGAGAGCTCTACTTCCATACTTCATGGTCCCCACTTAAAATGAAAAGTCCCGATTTCCGGTGGGGACCCTCGAGTGCTCCAGAGGTCAGCTCGCTGCCCAACTGTTCATGCTAGTGTATATCCTAGTGGCCAATGAGGATTGTATACATTAAAAATAAAGCTAGCCTGCGACAGCTTATCTACAAAGATGGGGGACGAGCCTAGTTCACGACGGATAACCTGTTATGCATCAAGCACTTGTTTCCCAAGAGCAACTCTTCGATTTACTACAACTATTGATACTCTTTTATGGGACCCTAAAGGGATTTGACCACTTCATTTGGAGCTTGGGGGTTAACTAGGGTAAATCTAGAAATCGGAAATATTGAAAGCAGAAAAACTTGAGTATACTTTTGTCTTAGAAATATATTTCCACACGCACCCCTGCTATAGACGAGTTATAAACCCCTTCAGTCAAGTAATGTTCAACTATTCACTATTATAGAGACCTATAAGGTTTCCTGTAAGCCAACAATTGCTTAAGTCGATGCTTGCTTCCGTTGGGATGCTGACAATTCAGAGTAATCAAACGTGACCTTGCGAATATGATCTTCTGTTTTTGACACTATAATTCCTAGCCTTTCAACAACAAGTACATACGACCATAGGGTGTGGACAACAGGGCTTCCCGTCCGCTCAGCCGTACTTAAGCCAGGTGTAGAACGTGGTCAACACCCAGAAAGCCCTTTTGCCTCTAAAGCAGCGGCGTGATGCTTTTAGTATGAGTGCTGGTGATATGGGTGAGGACCCCATCACCCCTGGTGATGATGGCTCACCGGTGGTGACGAGGGCTCCAGGGGGGTGACGAAGGCGAACTCAGCAGTCGACCGCGGAAGAAAACAATGATTGAGCTGCTTTTAATGGGCTCTGCGCCCTGCAGTTTGAAGAGATGCACTTGATTGTCACTGAATCCCATACAAAGTATCAATCCTCTCAGCTTCCACCCCTTTGGTCGCACGTGACATCATATGACCATGGCTTCCGAGGATGCCAAGTTACAAAAACTATCTGAGCAGCGTGCCAGTAAGCTACCTTGATCAGAAAATCTGGCTATAAATATACATATATTGGATGCAGCTAGCATCATCTCCACTGCTCATGACCTACACTCACTCTTAACACTGTCAATCTGTTGTGATCTCAGGGGAAAGATGGGCAGGATGAGGCTGTATCAGCTACACGTACGTAGCCTACTGAGGACCGGATGCCATTCTGATAGGTGCTTAATTCTATGGACGACTATATCAACTATCTTGACTTCTTCTCCTTCTAATGGGTAAAGCCTTCAGGGGCACAAGAGTTGGTGATCCGGCCAAGCCGCTAGGCGATCACGTGTCTCCTATAGATTCATATCACTTCTGGAATTTCTTAAGCATTGGTTCCAATCCCAGCCAAGAGACTTGATACTAATATCAGACTTTATTCTTGGACAACCCTGGAGTATAGTGCCTGAACTATGCAGAAAAAATTTATTAGTACCTGCCACCAATGGAGCTAACGGGGATATGTTGTCAGCTGGCCTGTTGCCTTTGCTTAGACCTAGATCCGATGTTTGAAGGTTTGGTTAGTATCAAACGATACTTGATTCAACGCACAGAAGATAAACGGTCGTCCATGTTATAATCATGAGCTAGTAGCTTTGTATTCTTATTTATCATGCAGCGGTCACAAACCCTCTAAAAGAAGTCTCTGTGCGAGGGCTTTGAAATATGAGTTTAAGAAGCACTCAAGATAGCAAAACCCCTGCATACTGCGCAAGACTGTATGAGAGCTGACAGCTATCGAATGTCTGATATCCCGAAGCTTTGTCAGGACACTACTAACATCACACAACACCCGGCCATTGTGAACCAGATCATCTGCTAATGGTTCCACCACTTCAAGGATCCCCATTATATCAGGCTGGCGAGATTGGATACCATCTATCATGAAGTTAAGGGTTTCAATGTCATGGTGGTATTATGACTTCGAAACCTGTTAGCGTAGTTATGGAAATGTAAAGCAGGTGTCCCTGAACTCACATCAAGTTGGCCAGTTTTTGCGAGCAGAGTAATATTGAACTTCGTCCTAAACTATCGGCCAGAAGTGACCATCCCTTTCCATATATTTTGCATTCGTGGAACCTAGCCCGTAGTGCTGATTTCCCTGTGTCATCCAGGGAATCCCAGTTTCTATGGTGGCTCTGCAAAATGTTATCGATGACCACAGATGAGTCACTGCGACCAACTCCCTGGAAAGCTTTGCGCTTCTTCTTCGAGGCTTTTCCAGACTCGCAGGTCTTCACATACTCATGGTGGAGCCTGATAGTCCTATAGATTCGAATTGATGACACTCATCATCTTCCCTTTCATATCTCACACAGGGGGATATCGGAGTTGAATGCCAGTCGTTGACTAGTTCGACGACCAAGCGTTCCGTTGGTTTCCAGGAATAAATACAAGGCATGAGTCCTTGCAGATGTAAATAGTGCACATCTCTTCATGTTCCCGCCCCAGTTAGAACCTCTTAGCAATTTCTTCCCATCCAGACCTGGTCCATTGGCTGAATCAGCTTCTGGCTGTGACAATTTAAAGTTTTAGTCTGTACTCTGTAGAATGACTAGCAGACTTTTTCTAAGCTGCTAAGCAAATTAAGGGAATAACACTTATACCCAGTCATTGATGTGAATCCTTCACAGTCTATCTAGTTACATTAATCCACTTTCTATATCTTTATATTTGTCTAAGCATACACTGAGGTTATTAAGAATATTAATATCTACATTAAATTAGCCTCGCTATCTGATCATTAATATATTACTTAGTGAGGTTAGGGGCTAGTGGGCTACTGACTACTGTAGTGAATATAACTTCATCTCACTTCCTATTACCGTTCTCTCACCTCTCTGAGCTCATAATGACACCCACTTGAACACCTAACTTTTAGGCATCAGTTCAAATACCCCCTTTCTCCCATCCCCATCCTGCTTCTTTCTTCCTTCTTCACCTCCCCGATCATCATCACTTCCGTCGTCTCGCAATCTTCGAACTTGGAATAGAGCATACTGAGTGCTGAGCTGAGGCCCCCGCAATCAACATTCGGTAATTCGAAAGAAGCTAGCACTTGGACCTCTCTATCACACTTCACCTAGCAGGGTACCCAAATATCTCAAGTTCACAATGACAGATACGATTCGCCCTGATAGTATCGCGGATTTCAATGCAGTTGGCCGCACGACAGGAACAAAAGCGGACCTGGCGGGCATGGAATTCTTGATCCACTGCCCCCCCGACCTCCCTCCAAGAAGCCGGATCGTTTCGCTTTGTGGAATTACGGACTGGGGCGATGGTGCCAGCCCCCAAAAAGATGGGTGGTTCATATCGGACTTTTACCTCTTTCACCATCTCCTACGCCCTCGTGGTAAATTCGTCTCTTTCCTTGGTGATTGCTCTCTTTTACATATGAAACTTAGCTGACTAAAAGCTCCCCAGATCCTCTATCAACTAACCAGATCTGGTTGACCTCAGAGAGCCCCGACGATTTGGTCCGAAAATATACAGAATATGCACACGGGGATCCCCACGGGGAGAGACGAGTCGTCTTAGAGACACAGTTGTTGGATGAAATCTCCTCTGCGGGGAACTTGCGTGTTGTCGCCAGAAAGGACCTCCTTGAGAGATTTCTCAACACCGTTCGCGAACAGGCCCTGATTGCGGAACGCCAAAGCGAACAGCTAGTTATTATGATATTCGGCCATGGAGATGCCGTGACCTCTGGGGTCCTCGTTGGCGACGAAGGAGACTCTGAGAACACTCCGCGACTCTTCATGCGAAACATCAGCAGATTGCTTCCCAGCGATTTGTCAGTAACTCTGCTGATAACATCCTGCTATTCTGGAGGCTGGCTCGTCTGCCCCGATCTCTCTAGATCTTCGCGATACCTCAATGTGACCGGTATTGCCGCCGCCGGAGAGGAGAAGGAATCCCACTCCTGGCCCGTTAGCAGAAGTATAGGCCGTGCAAGCGGCAGCTTGGCCGCCTCTGCCATTCTTGCGTCCCTGATCAAGGTTGAAGACGAGGTGTCACAAGAGTTGGAAGAAATCTCGCCACATCCAACATACATTGAATTTAGCCATTCAATATTTAAAACCATCAAGGCAATGCACTTTTTCGGAGAGGAACAGAGGATACACTTTAGCGCAGAAGACGACGAATGGGAGATGAATTACCAGAGTCGTCTTGGGCTCCCGCTGGCATCCTACAAGACTCGATGGGAGTCCCTCCGAGAGATCCCGGCAACCGCCCCCTCTGAAGGGGACGCAGGGGAAGCTCTTCTTCCAAGAACAGGTAATGCACGACAATGTGGACGGCTTCAGGTCCTTGCTCGAGAATACTTTGCTGCGAATCCCGGTCCAGACAATGCTGGGCCCAACGTAGCGTTTCACAACGCGCTCAGATTCATTCTGAGCGGGAGAACCGATTCCGCCAAAGAGGAACTCAGCAGATTGTTTGACATCGTGACATACAGGCTTGGCTCCATGCATGAAGCCGACTACCTCCGGACGCAAATGGAAATTGAGTTTCCTTCAATCTTTGACGTTGATATCTACGAATGGAAGAAAGCGAACTGGCTTGAATTCACTGCCCAAGACAGAGCGGAGAAAGAGCACATTCAATCGAAAATTCGTCGTCTCATACAGCAGAGGCGGCTCCTGACACACCCCATCGGGGGTGGCTTGTCATACACAAAGCCCATAAACTACCTCGCGCTTGCCCTCCTTGAGTCGGGGTTACCTTGGGAAGAAATCGACAACCGAATAAAAAATGCCAGTCTCCAGAAGGTGGCATGGTACCGTTCGGTCTACAAGGCATGGCGAGGGAAGGGTGTGGTAAAAAATGAGGCGGTCATTACCCGCCGACGGGCATTTTTGGAAACGGTTAAGAGGATGGGTTGGAAGATCACTGAGAGGAGTGAGTCATGGTGAACTAGGTTTGAGCTCACTAGGCTTGATGCTTAGTGATTTCGACTGGGGCCAAAATTTGTTGGTGCCGGAGGCAGCATTCCGGTTACACTGTAGCATGGACCATGACTGAAATGTTACCCCAGGTACTGACAGACAGCATGTGACCTGGTCACGTGCTTGTTGCTACTTCCCAAATTCAGTACCCTCTTTGTATCTTAGCTAGTCGAGTACTACGAACAGATTGAATCATACCATCGAATATCGTCTCAAGGGATACTATTCCATCGAATCCGCCCATCCAGGTCTTTTCAGTACTTTGCAGCAGTAGGAGCTGCTCTCCAAAGCAATTAATATTCAAACTCGAAATAGCAGAGAAGGTCGGGTTACTGCGATCATATCTATCAAACTATATCTTCTCCTGTTATAATCCTAGCTCTAAATCCAACCTAACTTTAGTCTGATGCGTGCCAGCGGCCAGTCGAGGCACGTCCGTTTGCTTTATTACGGATCTCCGGTCTGGCCCTTACGGAGTAGGTCTCAAATGGCGAGTGCTGCTGAGAGAGGACACAGCAGGACAGGCGTTGGGTGGGGTCACTGGGTGCGCATTATTGATGTTCAGGCAGTTCAGGTCAGCTTCAGGTGAAGACACCGAAGGGGCTGAAGGCAGGGCGGCAAGGACACTAAACCCAACGAAGCAAAAAAGCAAGAAAAACATACAACATCTAAACTACGATGTACACTTCAGCATAAGGTAAGCAGGCTCCCTCAAAAGGGTGCCCCAGCCCAACCCTTGGCCCATTTTTCAAAAGAAGGAAAGGCTGTGGCTATGCACTCTTAGTGAAACACTTAGAGTCTTATAGTCTAGACTTTCCTCCAATTAAGTTTCCTAGCGTAGCGCCTCTTGAATCAACGCCACTCCTTAGGTGAATTTGCCCCCCCCTGCAGGTGATGTATGCTCCAGGCTGGTGATGTGTTCTCCAGGCATCACCACCTCACTACACTGCACCCACGCTAATCACCACTTCGTTCAAGCGGCATCACCCCCTATCACCCGCAAGGGCACCAAACCGGGTATTGACCGCGTTCAAGCCACACGCCGGCCGGTTAGTAGTTGGGTGGGTGACCACACCAGCGAATCCCGGCTGTTGTATGTTGGTGCTCGCTCATTCTTTCATTTCTTATTTGGATAGATAGGCCTTTTGTTACCCCAACAACCGGGATGACTGCAAGAATACGGGGTACACCAGTTTTGACACGATTGTATATAAACTCTGTAGTCTAACTCGGCCGGAGCAGCCAAAGCTACAGTAGCCATCACCCCCCAGGTGAACAGTAAAGTTCTTAGACTTACAAACATCGCGTGAAGTACTGTCTATGAGGGATTTGCTAGCCATATGTTAGGAGGAAGACTTCATGAGGGGTGGCATAGGAAAACATACTTGGAGACGATATAGTATCTACTACATAGTTGTCAGTATTTTGGAAAGAAATATAACCTCGCAAGGAACAGAGTGAGGAGAAAGTATTTATATTTTGGTACTTCATACTCATCCAAATGATTGGATTCATGCAAATTTCCAGCTCAATTGAAGTCCCCACTGCCCTACCTAAGTGTATATGCAAATATGACGTTTACAACCAGTGTCTTGTTACGGAGAATTCCGCTTCCGGCTACCTGTGCCTCTCCTTTAGAAGTCGATGTTGTCATATAAGGTGGGATATATTACTTAGCGCTATGATTCCTCTGGTTGAATCGACACAAGATTTGAATCTAAATGAATTCTGCGTAACCCATGAGGTTAGAATAAAGTTAATATGTACTTGGGAAACTTAAGTTATAGCTTTGAAAGTGGAGTATCTGTAATGCTAAATGAATCTGGTTAGTTTATAAGGCTTGATTGACAGTATGTTATTAAATTGACTTTAATAGGCTAACTGTTGAAGTAGCAGTAGAGGAGCTTAAGGATATGGCTCACGGCGAGGACACCGACATAAAAGTGGTTCAAGATAATATTTTTGGACTTGAACAATACTGGCAAGGCGCAATTACAGATGTTGAGCAAATACTCAGCTGGCTTCAGAAAGGGGCAGAGAGGGCAGTAGGTATCCAATCTCATCTAATAATAAAAAGAAACTAATGTGTGATACTGCATCGACTCTCAGTAGATCCTTACTTGTTCGGTCCTATTCCCGGTTGGTCCCTACTCTCTAGTGGGTTCCTACTCTGGAGTCGGCCCCTACTCTGCGGTAGACCCTTCTCTGTAGTAGATTTCTACTCTGCAGCAAGTACCTACTCCCCGGTCTGTTCCTACCTTATAGTAGGTTCCTTCTCTGCAGTCGATTTCTACAGGAAGTCCCTCTAGTCTGATATTGGCCCGAACAGGTGACTGCCTTACCAAGTACACCAACCCCATTTGTTATCAATTTTTCTCAAGCGCGGTCTTTTATTTATCAACCCTTTCTGTGAGGACAGTCATGTAAAGTATGCTGGCTCGGCGTGAGAATCAGTTTTTGGAAGTGAAGCAGTATTGAGCAGACAGCGGTAATGTAGGACTGACATCATAATAAGTGAGGTACAAGGCAGGTGCGTGGGCAGTGATTGTCTCAATACTTGGTGGGGCTTGGGAACCGATTCTTAGGAATCATGTAATCTTGAGTCGGTGTCTGACCCGGGATAGCCATAATAGGACCGACATCTTCATAATAAGCAAGGTCCAAGGCAGAATACGACCTGAGCCGTGGGATTTATATCTCGTTGCATGTCTGAGGAGCTGTGAGCCAGGGCTTGGGGGCAGGGAAATAGAACCGCCTCCACAAGCCTGATTCTGGCTTGAGACTGTGGTCTTGAGACTAACCAGGACATGTGACTTCTTTGCCAAGACTCTCTTGCTCACGTATCCCTACCGCTACTGTGCCAAATCTAACATAACGACTTCTAAAGAGGACACGCTTCTGTATTCTCTGGGATAGAAACAGGACAGCCTGTACTAAAAGTCGACCACCGATTGCGCGAAAAATGCCTCCGGGCCACCTCCCGGCGGGACGGGCCGCGACGCGAACCCCTGAGCCACCGGACCGCGACGAGCACGAAGACTCAGTACCGCGGCTGTTGAGACCGAGACGTACCGCTGAACCACCTAACAATTTTACTTGATAATAAGAGAAAGAAATTGAGCAGAGAGCCACATGCTTCCAACAGAGAAAGAAAAAGCAAGCCAGGCCAGCAACTTAATATAATAAACCAACTTTAAATAATCTCCTGACAGAGTGTTGGGTGCTTCTGATTATGGTGTGGAATGATTGATTTCTTCAAGCTGCAGGAGCAGGATGTTGGTAAGTTCTACATACAAAGCGGTGAAAGGGGCGGTACAGCAAGGTAGGCAGAAAGGAACGGGAGCGACAGCGAACGGAACGCAACACAGAGGGCAAGGATCTGGACCCTATCACACTGGTGAAAGAGCTTACCAAAATCAGGAGAGAGATCAGATAACAAGATAACTTGTACAGGAATAAACTAAAGAAAGTTAAAGAAGAATTTAGTGCTGTTCTAGTAGAGATCTAATATAAGCTATAAATACTGATACTGCAATCCTATTCTAAGTTATGCTTACGAAATACCTATAAAGAGATCCTTAATAAAATCTAATCCCTATATATCTTAATTACCTCCACAGGTTCTATAAATAATCTATTTTATATAGATATTACCCGCATTTCTTTAACTGGAGAGTTGCTTCAAGTCCTAGTATTCAGATTTTCTTTTTCTTTTATTTAATCTCTTATTCTCTTATTATAGAAATAATTACTAACCTTTCACTATAAAGTCATTTTTTCCATGTTAAGTCAATTAAAGCTATCCTCCTATATGTACCCGCTATAGATTTAGAAATCCTTATAAGCTTTCTGGTGAGTTATAGCGTGCTTAGATATTCTATATTACTGACTTTAGTATTTTTCCTTTCTAGCGTGTCCAATTTAATAATATCATTAAACTTATCCTATCCTAGTATTCTTATGTCCAGATAAGAAAATCAAGAGCCTAAAAGTGAAGTGAATATAGAAGTAAGGATTTACCTGAGTAATCAGGCCCCAGTGAGATCAAGCTGGTCACTTATACTAAAAGAAGTAAATAACCAGAAAGGATCCTAAATAAATATATTAGGAATAAGATAAAGCTTAATGTATCTTGACACTATAAGAGAATAAAGAGCTGATGAACAATGTACCCGACATAAACTAGCTGTATTTAGAGAATGTATTATTGTAAAGGCGGGTATTGGCGTTCCTGGAGGAGCTTCACCACTGTCTTATGGCGATTCAGTACCGCCCAAGAGAGTGGGGTCTGGCCCCAGAAATCCTCAGAGTCGATATCCACTTTTTCTGTGTCTAGAAGAAGCTTCACCACTGCCTCATGGCCATTCTGTGCCGCCCAAGAAAGTGGTGCCCGGTCGTCTATATCCCTTGCGTCGATATCCACCTTTTCTGTGCCAAGAAGAAGCTTCACCACAGCTTCATAGCCATTCTGTGCCGCCCAAGAGAGTGGTGTCCAGCCATTTGAAGTCTTGGAGTCGACATCCACTTTTTCTGTCTTAAGAAGAAGTTTCACTACAGTCTCATGGCCATTCGCTGCCGCCAGAGCAAGTGGTGTTCGGCCAACGATATCCTTGGAGTTGACATCCACTTTTTCTGTGCCAAGAAGAAGCTTCACCACAGCTTCATAGCCTTTCTCTGCCGCCTGAGAGAGCGGTGTCCGGCCACCTGAAGCCTTGGAGTCGACATCCACTTTTTCTGTCTTAAGAAGAAGCTTCACTACAGTCTCATGGCCATTCGCTGCCGCCCAAGCCAGTGGTGTTTGGCCAACGATATCCTTGGAGTTGCCATCTACCTCTCCTGTTCCAAGAAGAAGGTTTACCACACCAGCGAGCCCCAAAGCTGACGCTATCAAAAGTGATGTAGCACCCTCGGGAACAACATGTCCATTGTTTTCATAGATTCCGGACCACACTTGATATACATCAGAGCTTGGGTTGCAAATCTTCTGCGCGCGGATCATCAGCGGGTCCCCATCTCGCACACAAGCTTGACGGAAGTGCGCACTCCAGTAACATGACGAATATTGTTCAAAGTTTTCCTGGTGGATTCTATGTCGAACAGAAGTTAAATATGAAGTACATATATCTGCAAGAATCCGATTGGACTCCTCTGGCAGTAGTGAATTCTTCCATCTTGCAACTTCAGGAAAGTTTGTACTTCTAGTGGAGTTGTTGCCATAGACTAAGAATTCCTTCGCAGTTTGATGAAGGAGATAAACTTTCTTATCTATAACAACCACAAAGAGTCCACAGACATCCCTCAATGTTTTCCTAAAGCGGTCTTCTGGCTCCACTTCATCGTGTATATCTATAAGAGTTTGATGACCTGCACTGATTGCCAAGGCAAGAGATAGCTCTCCCAAGGAGAGAGGCCGCATTGCAGATGTAATAATATGAAGAAGAACTCTGGCTTTGTCAGCATCCAAACTCCGGTCCAAGATTTTTTCATAGGCGCTGTCAACAGTTGCGGGTAGATCCTGAATTACCCGACGGATATTGCCTTTCGTGAAACCCTGGATATTCTCAAGTACGTCCAAGGTGAGGCTAACCCATAGGTATGTTCGATTTCCAACTGCATTCAGCTGTTCTGTAAGCAAAATCCGCTCATCTTTCTCCAATAATCTTTGTCGGCAGATATCATTAATCCTCTTTTCGATAACAAGGTTTATTTCACGAGATATCTGCTGGGCCTCTTCCTCGCCATCCCCACTTAAATGGATGGTAGGTAGTTTGGCCTCTAGCTCCCAAAAGCCACGCCGTATGTGATCGTATGGTCTGCTTGTCATCAAGAATTTTAGCTTACTGCTTTTATAGGGTCCCAAGTAAAAGTCCTTAACTGCGCAGATAAATCGATTCCGGTCACCATCTTGACACTCATCTAATGCGTCTAGAATACAGATAATCTCTCCGGCCTTCGGATTGGCAGAAACAGATATAAGTATATTCCATAATTCAGAAAATGATTGGACAAGCGCATCACCGTCAGTATCCAGCTTATCTAGGACTGCATCTTGCAAAAGCTGAGGCTGTGCTGTAAAAAGCTGACGTAGTATAATTGAAAGTGCGCTTGTTGCACTCCTCTGATCCGAAAAGTCATCTTTAAAGAAGAAATAACAGACCGTTCGTTCATTAGTGTTGAGAAGAAGTTCGTCAACTAGGTATCTGGTCAAGACCGATTTGCCGCAACCTGGATCGGCTGACACCCATAGTAGACCAGAGGAATTACCTGTACTCTGTTGCCAGGCCTGGAATATGGGATGATTTGTGAACCATTCACAGGTTCCGGGCACACGTTTGCCATTCCTCTCTTTTCGATCCTTATATGGGCAAGTGTAGAGTAGCTTGAAGAATCTTTTTATTCTCTCGTCTCGAGCTGATGTAGTTGTCCATATATCGCGTTCGCGTGAAGTGTTCAGAATCTCTTGATGTCCCTTCAGAACCTCCTCGTGCCTCTGGCTTGAATCCGCATCTGCAATGAGGGAAGTAAATCGATATATAGATTTTTCAAATCTCTCAATGTCTTGCAGCAAGTCGGCCCATCCATCCCGGTTAAAGATGTTTCCCAGCAGCTGGAAGACTGGGTGTCTGTGTACATGGCAGAGCGCTCGAGCCTGGAACTCCAATATCTTAGAGTAGGTGGAGACCAAAGTTTCTTGAAACTTCCCAACTATATCAATGGCCTGTTTTGTCTGAGAATGCAAATAAAGGTCTTCCATCACGTGGAGTCGAGGTATCAACCCAGAGATCAATTCTAAGCCTTGTAGGAGAACGGCATGCTGCTCTACCGCTTGGACGACCATCTAATTCAAATTAGAATCTTAACAATCGAGAGTATAAGCGAGGACACTAGATTAGGGCTTACCACGAAACAAGCCGTAATGCTAGCACAGGCGAGCAAAGCTAGTGGGCTCGCGCTTGCAGCAGTATTGACAATATCTTTGATGGCCAGGATATTTTTGAATACCTTGGTGAGTTGGTCCCGAACAGTCATGCTACGATTACCTATGTGAATCACCCACTTTTTCTCCTCTATTTGAATTGCTTTCGCCTCAAGGAAATCGCATAGTCGTTTGTGGTGCCTCGTATCTCCTGGTAGAAGTTTTAAACTGTAGTGGGATTCTAGTATTTTAACCGAGGCTGTCAAAATCTTGTCTAGCTCACTATTCTGTCTCAACGTTTGCTCGGCTCTAACCCAAAAATCGTTGGGTCGAGGGGTAGGTTCAAGGCGCTCCTCTTGCTTAGATACCAGGCTGTTCGACGGATTTGTACCCTCTTCTTTCAAGGAATTGTCTTTTTCAGGCTGTGGTTTCTTCTCGAGTCGTAGTTTCTTCCAAACTTTAGCCTTGGAGAGAAAAAATGGCATCGTGCGACTCTCTTTTGGGTTTACCGTTAGAGATAGTGGAAGTTCCTTCTAGAATTGTCTTTTAGGAGCTTGCTGAGGGTGGGTTTGGCCGGTACTCTTCAACCGGAGATGGGAGGGTGCTATTGTCCTTTTTCTTTCCAAAATTGGTACCCCGCATTTAGATGTGCTATCGCGGCTGAACGACAGGGGTACGGGACCTTTGTTGACCAGTTACAGCCGACTATAGGATACTCCTATGAGATGCAGGAGATTTCTGAATGGCCACTTCCCTTCCAGGCATCATGGCGAGCGTTGGAGCAGTCGAAGTTCATTCCTTGCCCCTTTCATTAGGAGACTTTTTGGTAAATGAACCCAAATGAGTATGTACTCCGCGAATCTATAAGCAAACTAGGAAACAGACTTAGGTACAAGAAAGGCCATATGGTAGACCCAAGACGATTGATTGATTGTTGGCATTCTCGGCCAGATCTACAGGTACTTCCAGTGGATCCTTCATAGGAGGGTTGTACAGGCCTCATACACGGGAGGCAGTATGTTACAAGTATATAATATGCAACTGCCCTGAAACAACCGAAGGGAGAGGAAGGGTTTACCATTGTCCGCGGGGCTTGCCAAGAAATCCCATCTCTTTGAGAGCGTGCACTAGGCAAAACTCGCACCAAAATCCTGCCAAGCTTTCTCTCCACGCTCTCCACGCGCTGCTCTGATATGCTGTTTATAACATTTCCTTCTTGGGGTTAGTGTTTGTCGTAGTCAGCCTGCTTTGTGTGGAATACTGTAGAACAGTGCCAACTGACCTGTAACCTGTTTCCCAGCTTGCATATTATTATTATTAATCAAGTTTAACGTCCGTATCGAGCCGTTGGCTATGACAGACACATGTGTCTAGGCATTGGGCTAAGCCACTGCCTCTAAATGGTCCCTAGGGGCTCTATCAGCCCCCTCTATTGTTTGTGTGTTCATTCTAATCCTTTACTCGCCCGAGCCGCCTATCTGCGCCAGAGCCTTTGGGCTATGCCCTCCTTAGTGTTCATTACCTGCTGGGCGTCATCTAGGCGTGCCTAGATGTCCCCTTCTGCTATCCTTTTCTTCTACTTTCTGCTTTTTACACTGGCTCTAGACCTCAAAGAGTATCCCTAGAGGCTCTATCTATCTCTCTAGCTACCTCCCCTGGGAAGCAGCCGATATTTGTTATTGTAAAAAAGGCCGTGAGGGCCTTGGTAGCTCTCTGGTTCTTAAAGAGGCAGCATTCTGGGACTATTTCTCCCCATCCAGGTGGTGTTACCCCTGCCTTGACTAGGGCCCTGTACAGAGCCTGTCTCTGGTGGCACCACTGTCTGCATTCCACTAATAGATAGGCTGTTGTTCCCTGTGGAGACTGGCAGCTTTGGCATCTAGATAAGTCTCGGACCCCTATCTGACTCAGATAGGTTGGTATTGCTGCGTGCCCAACCTTGAGCTGATAGTATCGACAAGCGAGCTGCTTTGGTGCTGCTCCCGCCACCGGATCTAGTTTCCGCCCTTTCTGGGGTTGATAGCGCTGTTGGGCCCTGTAGGATCATTTCTCCAGGGCCTGTACAAGCCATTGGTGTCTCTGGGCCTGGTTTGCCTCAGTACATGTTCTGTGTAGGTATGCTAGACTGAGGCTTCGATCTATGTCCTTAGGGGCCATTTCTGCAGCTATCTTAGCAGCTTGATCAGCATTCTCGTTCCCTAGGATCCCTCGGTGGCCTGAAACCCATTGAATAGTGACTTGGCATCCTTGATTCTGAAGTCTTTAGATTGTATGTTGGGCCTGAATTACCCAATTTTGCCCTGGGCCAGTTCCATTGTCTCGCAGCCGGGCTATAGCTGCCTGGGAATCTAATAGAACCCTCATAGGGCCTTTATATCCCAGCTGCTCGGTTATTTCAAGTGCTTTACAGGCGCCTACTAGCTCTGCATCAAACACCTCTTTTCCCTGCCCTAATGGCACCTGTTTAGTCTTCCAGGCGCCTGAGGACTCTAGCCATGCAATACCTGCACCGGTTCGTCCATTCTCTAAGCGTGACCCAGAATTGCTTGTTAAGATAAAGCTAAATATCAGCTAGTTAAGAAAGTTACAGAAGTAAAGATTAGCACAGAAACCTGGATACTCTATAACAAACTTTATCTAATTAAAGTTAACAGTGTTAAGAAGACTGTGTTACTAGATAAAAAGAATAAGATCAGAGCTGGAGCTACCACAGTCTTCAGTAAAAAAAACAAGATTACATCCCAACGCTGGTTGACGGTAAAATGGTGGCCAAAAACGGCAGTCCGTCAATGCCGTTTTAAGCCCACTTTTTATTCAATAGTGTTGTGATCTCAGGGGAAAGATGGGCAGGATGAGACTGTATCAGCTACACGTACGTAGCCTACTGAGGACCGGATGCCATTCCGATAGATCTCAATTCTATGGACGACTATATCAACTATCTTGACTGCTTCTTCTCTTTCTACTAATAGGTAAAGCCTTCAGGGGCACAAGAGTTGGTGATCCGGCCAAGCCGCTAGGTGATCACGTGTCTCGTATAGATTCATAACAAATAGTAACGTATTTCACTAGCGAGCGCCGCACACTAACGAGCGCTGCACCTCCACTCTGATTTCTGCCCATGGGCTAAATAGAGCCTTTTATCAACCAAACAATTGCATTTCTATATAAAAACTAATTACTAAGTGGATTAGGACATCTAACTCTAGTATGTCCTTGAACATGACAATTAGAATATATTGGGGGGGCTTGTATGCGCGGCCTAACTATAGAGAGTACTGGATCTATATAGATAGTATCCTGAGCTTCATAGACCTTATTCTTGCGCTAAAATTGCTCTAGGACTTCCTGAAGAGATAGGCCCTCTGCAATAGCTAGCTGTCTATTAGATCGCTTCTGCTTTTAGCTTTCTTATTTATTATTAGCGCGGTGTTTGTGTATTTCTTCCTGTACAAGAACAAGTTTATTAAGTGTTAATTTATAACCTTTAATAATCTTGTCTAATTGCTTTTTTAGTGAAGATAAAGGGCTTTAAATATATTTTCTAAGCAGTTTTCTTGCTGCAGATGCCTTCTTCTCTAGCTGCCTAGTAGTATAGGGTGTTTTAGGCGCTAAATTAGTTAATTAACTACCTGGTGATATAGGAGTCTTTAGTTAGATATCTAACTTACTGAGTACTTTATCTGGATTAAATAGAACTAGATCAGTGTCTATAAAGCTATTCTGAATATTTTCTGCTGTAAAAGCGCTTTTGTAAGCTTCTGGAAAGATTTTTAGAAAGTCAAGCTTATTAATATAGCTAACTTCTAAGTATATTTTCTGCTGTACTAAGGTACTGTACATGCCTTTTAGAGACTGAAAACAGCCTATATCTAAAGGCTGGAGCTTATTGGAAGAATGTGCAGGCATACAGATAGGAATAATATTATTTTTACTGTATATTTGATTAAATTAAGATATAAGGTGGCTGCTATGGCTGTCTATAACTAAAAGACAGTATTTCCCAGTTATATAGCTAGTAGTTATAGGAATTGTTGTGATCTCAGGGGAAAGATGGGCAGGATGAGGCTGTATCAGCTACACTTACGTAGCCTACTGAGGACCGGATGCCATTCCGATAGATACTCAATTCTATGGACGACTATATCAACTATCTTGACTGCTTCTTCTCTTCTAATGGGTAAAGCCCTCAGGGGCTGAAGGAGTGGGTGATCCGGCCAAGCCGCTAGGCGATCACGTGTCTCCTATAGATTCATATCAGGAATAAAGAGATTTTTAAGCCAGTGAAGGCCTATTTCATTAGTAGTCTATCTATTAGGACTAACTTCAATCCTGCTACTAGATAAAAGCTTTAAATCTTAATACTAGCCCTCTATATAGATCTTTTCTTTAAAGATAATACATGGAGAAAGCGCCTAACCAGTAGAGTTAATATATTTAATTAAAGTAATCTATTCCTGATTACCTGGCTGTACAAGAAGTGCTTTTCTATAGTAATCAGCTCTTGTAACTACTCAAGTATTAGCTACTAGGCCTATAGTAAAGCCAGTTTTATTAAAATTATAGATATCTTCCTGTATAATCCTATATTATATTATAGTAATTTATACACGGTTAAACTACTCTTCAATTACTTTAGAATCTTTATATTTAGTATGTTAATAATTATATTATTGAGAAAAGCAGAATTTCACTTTATTACAGTATTTAATAAAATTAGTAGTCCAGTTTACTCTAACTGATTGAATAGATGTAGTACCGCGGCCAGTAAGAAGAAGATTAGCTATTTCTTATATATCTGATAGTCTAGAAGACACTCCATATTAATCCAGTGATAGAATCTATTGTACAAGTGAATCCTTTTTATTCTAAGTTAATTTATGATTGTTGGCGCGTGTTTCTGAGCAGGAAGTTATTTTATTAAGTCGTCACCGCAGAGTTCTTTCAGGGACATTATAAATACGAGCTGCTTCATGAATACTGCAAATTTCTTGCTTTTTAAAAGCAGAAACTGCTAGCAGGATTCTACCCTCCTGCTTGATTAATTCTCTTCAGTTTTGACGCGCTTTTGGAGGCATGGTGGGTGGTTGAATTAAGGAAGGTAAAACAACGCGTAGATTTTTGAAGAGGTGCGGCACTTGTTAGTGTGCGGCGCTTGCTAGTGAAATACATTATCTCACATCCGTGTTAGTCAGCTTTAGTCACGTGGGTATACTCACCCTACATCACTGAGTGCTCAGTGAACGCTCATGGTATACTCACCCCTACTCAGTCCAGGCTCCCTGAGCACTCCCTGATCAACTCACGCTCTACTCAATCTGCTCAGCACACATTACAAATTGCATCATGAGCATTTCCAGAAATTTCGCCGCGCGTAGCCGCCGCATAATAATCATGGCAGTCTTCACTCCAAGTAGTTGTTATACCCACATTTCCTTCTATTTAAGGACTACCCCCAATGCTTGACATTTTCCTCTTCATCCAATTTATTTATTCCCTGCGCATTATATTTTACTTAAAGTTTCTGTTCTTCTCTCTTTGCCTTCCATTGGACTTCCTCTTTTTCTATTTGACATTCGTTCCAACTTGAAGAGCCAGTCTGATTTCCTGCCCCTTCTCCCTTGAAATCATATTTTAATAAGAAATCTCCGTTATAAATACTTCAACTCGTCGTGGCTTTAGGAAAAAGACTGTCCTTGGTCCGGAATACTATCAGCGACATCGCCGAGATCTAGTGAACACGGGCGTTTTTCAGAAACAGCATGGCAAAGCGACGAGGAACAACATCAAAGGCATCAAGGATAAGTGGACGAAGTAAGAATCTATTCCATGTACTAAAGCTCCTAGGATGCTTACAGAGGATTGATGTCAGGCACTGCGGCTTTCTCGGTGAACACCAACTAGAATTTCTTGTGGCTGCCCGGAAAGAAGATGTCATGATCTTCTTGAAATGGATACTTGACAACTACGCGATAAAAAAAATCAGCAGTTTGTATGAATACTGGAGGCTATGGTATCAGCTGTATTGCCAAGCTGTTGGCCGCAGTCTTCACGCCAAATACCGCAGTGATATTAATGATATGAGATCCATCCCCCTAGGGAGGCCGCGGATCACGTTGCCGCGTGATCTGCCGAGTGACGTTAAATAGTAGCCAAGCCAAGCCAAGCCAAGCCCCTGAAGGCTTTACCGATCAGTAGAGAAGAAGAAGTGATCAAGATAGTTGATACAGTCGTCCATAGAATTGAGTATCTATCAGGATGGCATCCGGTCCTCAGTAGGCTACGTACGTGTAGCTGATACAGCCTCATTCTGCCCATCTTTCCCTGAGATCACAACACTGGTGAACCAAATGCGTGCCGTAGCCGAACAAGGCTTGCAGGTACACGAAGGCTTCAGCTTGGAGATGGTCGTGACCAAACGAGGACTGCAGATTAGAAGAGGGCCAGAGTGAGGATACTCCTGCCTTAAAAGATCGTCCAGATAGAAATGCACTGGTGTCACGATCACAAACGACGCTGATCACCCGCAATCACCAGCGCTCACCCCTGGGTGACCTCACTAATAGTATGATTGGAGGATCACGAACTGGTGAACAGTGCGCAGGTGTTTTGCATTGATACTAGTCAGGTACTCCGGATCATTACCTCCACTCATCTGTGCTGTCTTAGCTGAAATAAAGTCTGGACTTAGAGAGACTGGCATGTGATGTCTCTCCCTAACTTCCCAAGCACTGCAGTCTCCCAAAGCTCCAATCTTCCTATCGCTATACTGCACCTGTTCCCATAAAAATACCGACAACCATGGTGTTGATATATGATGGCGATAGAATAAAGTGATGTTTCTCTTGTGTTCTTTGGCACCGTTTGACCATGCTACCTGTTTCTTTCCCTGCCAGCAGTCCCGTCTCCCATTTCGCATACTCTTCGGATACCCTCACCCCAGCTCACCCTTCCATCACCCTCCCCGCGCGACTCTTCAGCCAACCGGTTGGGTATAAGAGTGATGGAAGGTTCACTCGCCTTTCTTACTTTCCACATGCCCGTTTCCTTCACCCTTGGGCATTGCTGAATGCCTTTGTCCACCATGGTTAGACCGCGAAGGATCCAGAAGCGTCTTTCGAATAGCCTGCGATCAAGATGCTAACAATGGGCCTGTTGTAAAGAAAGTTTGTTCTTCAAGTTCTTCGAGTACTGTTAGAGTGCGATGCGGATATCTTCATCGTGATCCGGCTCAAGCAAAATGGCCAGATGCACTTCTTTAACTCCAGCGACAAATGGCCCCCTTATCTTGGGGAGCTGGTAGATCCTTCTCCTTCCTCGTGAGGTGCTGGTGCTCTGTACTGATTGGACCTGTAGGCGTCATACTATCTAAAGCCGAAACAAAATAGGTGGGAAGAGTTGGCCGCTAGATACACCATCAAAGGTTCTGTTCCTTCACCCAACTAGCTACATGACGAGGAATATGGAGAGAATCTAGGGGATTGTCGTAAGAGGGAGGACAGTGAGCGAGGAAGTGATGCATAGCTGGAGTCTGAAGGCTCAAGTGTTGCAAACAATATCACGTCAAAAGCTTTACTTGCGTATCTATTACGATTACAGCACTGTGTGGAGCCTTCAAAAATGAGAATATAATATTGCAAGTGTCCTTTATGGAGAGAATAGGAGCGATGACACTCCTGTGATGGATAACTGATCCCCACCAAGGAGAGACTCCAATCACGGTGAAATTGCCGGCGCTACACGTGGGTATTGTGGTCAGACATCACTTTCCCCATATAGGACGTATGGCGACGATGCTGTACATCCCAATCTTTTTTTGAGCCACCACCTCCGCACCGTTGCGAGCCAGTTCCTGTAGTTCTTGGATCGGGCCTGGTGCGCCGTGGGGGAAATTGCGCTCGATATTGAGCCGTACAATCTCAAACCAATGTATCACCTCAGCGGTTGACGGTAGCTGCCGGAAGTCCTGCAGGACTAGTCCGTTCTGCTCGAGAACCCCAAGGTAGTAGCCCACCGTCTTTCTGTTGCCGCAAGCCACCCGATCTTTCGTATCTTCTATGTGTGACTTATAGGATGTCAAACTATCTGTCCTGTAGAGAGTGTCCGAGATTAGCAAAACGCCACCAGGAGCCAAGCGTTGGGCCACTCGCGCCACCGAGTCTTCGAAGACTCGATTTTGAAAATGGGTGTAGACGCCTCGCACAACCACTAAATCGTAAGGTATGGCTGGATCAGGCAGTAAATCGATGTCCTGTCCATTGCAGTGGTACAGGTTGATCCTGCTTGATAACTCTGGTGGTAGTTTTTCGGCAAAGTAATCAAGCTGACGCTGGCTGATATTGATCGCGTCGATGCGCTCACATTCTGGGAAACGCCTCGCTAGGTGCTCCGTTATAGATCCCCAGCCACAGCCGACATCTAATATTCGACGTAATTGAGGTTTCTCAGCTGCTGGAAATCCAGCGAGTTCCAGCTGGTAATCAAAGTGCCGGACCTCGGACGGCCCAATCGGCCCAGGTCTTGCTCCCACCGCAAGTTCCGCGTGGTCGAACAACCCAAACTGGAAGCCTAAGCCTTCGCTCCCTAAAGCTTTCTCCCACATTTCTGGTGGATCATCGTATGTCTTAACCACTTTGCCTTGATAAGGGTCATAACGGGGGCTGCGGATCAGTGTGACCTGTGCACAAACCATAATGAAGTGTGAAAATATCCAGTTCCAGCGTAGAGATCAAGGATTTCTAGCTGGAAGTCCTACGTTGCGAGAATGTGGTAGGGGATTTTACTCTTTATATGAGACACCAACGTACAATCATAGGCCTGACTGTATCGGACCGCTTCCACACCGCTCTTTCGTAACCAAACTACGCATGCACAGCAGAAGATAGATAGATCTTGCATATAGTCAGTGCGGCCTATCTAGAAAATGGCGGAAAAGGTCTATCTGGCGGTCAAGTAACCGATCATTTTATGTAGCTGGTTGGTCTGTGGCTAACAAGGAGGCACACTTTATTGGATACTGATTTATTATGATAAACCCTACATCACCTGTCTACTAAGATCTAGTGACAGATCTGATGCTACCTGACGCGAAAGGGAGTTAAACGCCATATCCTAAAGTTCAAGTAGCACCGTATGCATATTATACTAAAAAGGGTCTTTTGACCGCTATTTTGTGTCTTATCATGGGCTGGTTGCCAGCCCGTTCAAGGCCGAGGGGATATTTGTGAGTAGACGATTTCTATTTCATTTTTTTTTCTTCGCTTCACTAGATCCAGGGGAGTTTATAATGGAGACAGGCTTCTCTTTCCATTCCCCTCCCGGGAATTCCCAGCGTATAGCCGCCAGTGTCGAAGGAGCTTTAAACTTTCGCGACCTCGGTGAACATCCAAGCGATGTTAATCAGCCTGCTATTATGCGAAGAGGGTTCATCTATCGCTCTGGGTACCTTTCGAACATCACCAGTCGAGGGTGGAGAAAGCTGAGAGAGCTTCAGATATCAACTATAATCCGCTTGGTACCCGCGAAGGAAGCTGACATGTTATACGGTGATACGGAAATCGAGAGGTTCGAGGGCTTTAGAGTCATCCACCTTTCTTTCTCCCAGGCAGAATTTGAAAAGACATATCTTTTCGAGAAATATACCCGACTTGCAGCCGGGGGTGATACTGTCAGCTTTCAAATACCCTTTTTGTATCGATATATCTAATAATTCCACAGGCTGTTGCGCAAGAGTATATAAGTTTACTTCGAGAGAGACCTATTATACTTCGAACCGTACTGCTGCTCATCCGCGATTATCCAAATGAAGTATACCTAATTCACTGCTCAATGGGAAAAGATCGCACTGGTATTATCTGCGCGCTTCTTCTATGCTTGGCTGGGGCATCCCATGAAACCATATCAACAGAGTATAGTCTCAGCGAACCTGCTTTAGAGTCGCTAGTCCCCGGTATCTTTCGGCTTCTGGAGCATATTGCTCCATGCGGTACTAGCGAAGCTGATTGTCATCAGCTCGCTAGGGAGGCGATTAAAGCAAGGTAACAGAGAATACAATACCCAGATTACATCATTAGGTGTTGATAATTTCCTAGGAAAACGGCGATGCTCCGCACCCTTCAGTTGGTTGACAAAGAATTTGGCGGTGCCATCAACTACGTCACAGAGTACTGCGGCTTATCTGCGGAAGACATTGAGCGTGTTCGACATAACCTGTTACATATAGAGTCGTAGCCGAGCATTGCAGCCTATCCCTCAAACGGTCGCTTTATCTACTTTATACGAGAAGCCGTTCTCGCGAAACTACCGCCAAACTCTAGTCATGGCACATCTGCAGGGTACACAGTGAAGTTCCGCATTTGTCACCCAATCAGCCACATGTCGAAGATCGAGAGGGATCTTGGGAATTGTCACAAGATCAGAGAACGTCAGTAAGCGATGTGTTGGCTGGATCCTGAATTCCCAGGAGTTGCAAACAATATAACATCTAAGCTATCCCTGTGCATCTGCTACGACGCAGCGTAGAGCAACCGAAATAATACCTCCTTGGTCGAGCTCTCGGTAGAGGTACGTCTTAAGGTCTTCTCGATCCTGATATTTGGATGTTGCTGGAACAGGTCTATGAGATCTGGGATATGGGGCCGGCTAGTGACAAGAAAACGGACTTGGTGACTAGGAGCGATATTCTTAATGCTCTGGGGGAGGGATTTCCGATGTTCCGATTCATCGAGCCCATCAAGCACTACATATGTACGCCTTAGACCTGAAGCAATATTAGTGAGTAGTCGTTCGCATTCGTGGAGGCGCATTGGACCCTTGTGACCGCTCTTCTGAAATAGCTCGGCCACGGGACTCGGACTTGCCGGTAGCTGCTCAAGGAGCTGTCTAAGCATACAGCAAAAGACTTCCAACGTGCTTTGAGTAGAGTGGTCCTGATGGTCAAAGTAGAAGAACGTGACAGGTAAAGCTTCCCTGGAGCTTGAGTTAAGAAGCTCATCGATAATGATGGAGCTGGTAAATCAGTTGAAGCGCCAAAAGCAGCGACAGGTGCCCTATGCAAGGTTTGCTTTGCCAGAGCCTGGAATACCATGATACACCAGAATATTCGACGGAGAGCTATCGCCTCGCCACCGAATAAATTCGTTTTAGTGGAGGATCCAAGTCCCAGTATTTGGTGCCCTCGACGCTTGGATGAGCCGGTGCTTCTGGTCGTGCTTTAAGGTCGATACCCAGTCCAGAATACTCCTTCTACTCTCCCGCTCGATATTCACCTGGATTGCGCGCTTATCATCTTGAACTAAGTCAAGGATTCGAAACGTATCTGCTTCGAGTGTCTGGATGGTCCTGAACTGTTCTAGCTGTTGTCTTATCAACTTCAAAACGTCATCCGACGTCCGCGATAGAAGCCGGCAGCCGTCGACCGACAAGGCAAATTGCATCCAATTGGTGAAATGGCGTAATTCCTAAATGTTTCTGCTGGAATTTGCCTGAAGGGCCTGAATAGAGCGGCACCATGCTTACATGGCACTTGGTGAGCACCGTCATACTTATGCTGTTGTATGTTTTTGCTCGCTCATTCTTTCATTTCTTATTTGGATAGATAGGCCTTTTGTTTATTTATTTAACAGAATCCTAGGAGTATATAGAGTTTAAACTTAATTTTTAGGGATAGTATCGAGAATATAAGTATCATTAACACCCACAACAAGTCCTTCAATAAACCAATTTCTTCTGCGGTCTCACTGCCTTGTAGGCAGGAATCTCTTATTCTTCCGGCATTGCGGATATCAATTCTCCCTGTAACTGTCTATCAGGGTCTTCCTCAGGTGTCTCTACCCTCCCTAGGGATCTACCTAGCAATATCTCTATGGATTCGGAACTTGGTTCGACTATCTTAACTGTCTCGTCCGTCTCGGCCGTCTTGTTTACGGTTGCCTCGTCTGTCTCAGTTGGCTCGGGTGCCTCCGGCGTCTCCGGCAGGTCTTCTCGGTTGTCGATCTCAAATGCCCCGGGCACTACACTCGGCTCTCGGGTGTCCTCACGGCTTAATATATATCTCCCTGTCCTAGGGACTTGCTCGCGCGGCATCTGACCTATTCAACTTTCAAGATGTAGTGATTCGATAGCCCGATCAGGGATAGGTAGGCAGATTGTACGGGCCTGGCCGCTTTCAACAAGATCAAGGATCAACAAGGCTTCAAATCTGCTGGATTGGGCAAGGTAGTTGGCCTTACGCAATCCCCCAAGGTGTTAGACTGTTGGTTAGACACGTCGTAGCAGCCCGGGCTCATAATCTATGTTCTGATCTCCGGGGAAAGATGGGCAGAATGAGGCTGTATCAGCTAGACGTACGTAGCCTACTGAAGACCGGATGCCATTCTGATAGATGCTCAATTCTATGGACGACTCTATCGACTATCTTGACTGCTTGCTTACTTGTCTCTACTAATGGGTAAAGCCTTCAGGGGCTTGGTTTGGTTTGGTTTGGTTACTATTTAATGTCACTCGGCGGATCACGCGACAACATGATCCGCAGCCTTCCTAGAGGCAACTGGACGTGCTACCTAAATAAAATCCCGCTAGGAACTAGCTAAATACATGCTTAAAGTAATAGATCTAAATAATATATACTGGAGAAGAGTGGAAGAAGTACCTAGCACTACCCTGGACTGGTCTTCTGGAGATAGAAACCTGCTTTAGCTATCTATAGATAGAAGAGAATACTGTCTGCCTCTATCTAGATAGAAGTATAAACTGTTACACTATTTAGGACTTGAGCATGCCCAGTTTGGGTATATATTCTTGAAAAAGAATAAGTCTTACATAATATAACTAAACTCTTTAGTTCCAGTAGCTGTACTAAGGAGCCAGTTAATTATTTCTAACAGGCCTGCCTTTAGACACTTCTATCTATTCCTCCAGCACTTCCTGGTATACAGACAGAAGAAAAAGTGAGCAGGAGACTTTCGTCCACTGTAGGAGTAGGTTGCTAGGTAGTCTGAATAGTGATATTTTTTATAATATGCTGCAAAGTCCCTATGGCCTATACAGGCAGCTATAAGCCGGCCTAGTACCCAGTAAAGAAGAGAATGTTCCTGGGAGTAACTGCTTTTTATATAGGATCGAATATTTAGATCGCGATAGGCCTGTGGTGCAGTCTTTATATATACTGCTGAGAAGTCTGCGCGGTGTTGCTGTTTTGTCTTCTACCTGAGATATAGTAGAGGGAGATATAAAAGCTATCAATTATTGTACCTTGCTTGGCAAGTTGGTCTGTGAGTTCATTCCCTGCTATTCTAGAGTGGCCTGGGATCCAGTGCACCTCTAGGGACTTATATAACAAGTCCAGAAGAGATAAGGCTTTCTTCCATTATATTAAAAGCTATTAAAATGTATCTATAAATCCGCCCTGGTGGGGTATCGGCCTATTATATATAAGAAGACTAGCTGCTGCTAGATTATTGAGTTAGATAGTTAAGCAGGTGGTATATTATATATATAGCTGCTTGATTACGGCTTGGAGACCCTCTACTGCACCCATAAGCTCTGTGAATAAATAAGACTATTAAGATGGGTTTACAACTATTTACGTTCTCAGCTATGTCAGTTAACTGTAACAGCATGACCAACTGTCCCTTGGCTGTGTGACTATACCCTTATTAGCGGATTGGCACTCCAAGCTACCTAATCAACATAAGTCCTTCTATCTCCTAATACAGCTGCGGGCGTTTAATATACTAAGCTTCAAAAACGGACGTGTCGCCGCGCCTATCTGGCTCCAAGGCGTTATCAGTAGTATCTGCTCGTCTAGGACTTGTCTGCATGTCCTCAGCCAGTCAGGGATGGCGACTTCAGCCAGCGCTTCGACCATAGCTCTGTGGCTCAGCTGGACCACGTATTTGTCAGTGAGAGGGACCCAGTGGGAGTAAGAGCACGGCCAACAGCACCCCATTGATATTCAATTGGTGCAGCCAACAGGCTAAAGTAACCGTGGGGCGCATTTCCTTGGCAATCTCCCCAGCCTGCAAACCATGAATTGATTCTCCTTGAGTGGGCTTTATGCATCTCATCCCGCTTCCTAGCGACAAGCCGACGTGGCTGGTGGACGTATTCTATATTGCGTAGTCGCCTGCTCGCTCTTGAAATGACTAATTTAGGTCTCAAATATTGGCTATGCAATGAGAATGATCAAGGGAAAAAGAAAGTCAGCTGTGTAAATAAGAGTGTGTAAGGCATACGAACGGAACGCGCAGGGATAAAGGTTTCAGTCTTCGATCTACTACTTAATAGCTACTTATACTACTGTACCATACTGGCAACTTTCCTCCCTACCACCTAGCTGAATTTCCTTCCCATGCTGATGCTTCAAACACCTTTTGAATCATCATTCCGTACAAGTCTCCTTCTATTCATCTGTTATCATCTCGATTCTGCTCCACTTATAGTTTCATAATGCCCTTCACTGAAGGTAAATTAGCGCTTCCTTCTCGTTCCCTCTTTGATTTTCCTTTCGTATTTTGCAACACCCATGTTTTGCCCTCACTCCTACAATTGTTATGCTGGTCTCAGGTGCCCTCCAGAGGCGCGCTAAGTAAATGATGATATTTCTGTTGGCACAAGGATGTTCCTGTTCCCTTTTGCCACGTCTCTTAAGTTATCATACTCTGTATCCGCGCTGGGAGCAAGTGTCTATCGATTGCAGTGCTGCATCTGACACATACCGCAATATCTCGCACAAGCAGTGGTGCATGTCACCGTAGGTGGGCCTGGGAGCTTGGTAAAATGAACAGGTCAGGTGTCCAGGCATTCAAAGACCCTAAGTATTTTTCTGCTCTTTTGTCAGCTTATTGGTATGATTAAAGAATCGGCAATGACAATGAAGAGGTACAGCCAACAGGCCAGAGTAACCGTGGGGCACATTTCCTGTGCAATCTCCCCGTCCTTCAAACCATGTCAGCCTAAGCATGACTTGAACAGCTGCCGTCAACGCTGCATACCCCTGCCAGTGTTTCTGCTTACGGGAATCACAATAGTCGCGTATCCCTCAATTCACAAGAGTTGGAAGCTCGTCCATAAGGCCAGCTGCCTCCATCTCAAAGCAAAGTATCCCACGTTGTTGAGCTAGGCGATCTAGCGTTTTTGAGCCCTTCATCACCTGATCCCCGGAGATAATCAATCCATAGTGGATGTAAGGCGTCCTTGTCACGCTGTGGTCGTTTGACTAGTTACTCTTTGTCGCACTTTTCGCGAGTATCCTCCTTTTCAGAATGGCGCTAGGAGGAACAATGGTTCAAGCGCTCGCCGAAAGAGTCCCACTGATTTGAAACTACGTGACTTAGGCAGCTATCAGGTACTTGATCACTCCAAAACTTATACCTTCATGTGCAGTAACTAACAGAAGAAATTGACACACTTAGGGCAGCAATTGAGGAGTGGAAGAGTGGGGCGGCAAAGGCAGAAGATTCAATGCATGATACGCGAACTGAGCTACACGAAGCACAAGTTGTGGCTGAGAAACTCCAGATAGAGGCTGTGGATTTTCAACAGAGGTCTCATGATGCCTTTCTCATGGTTCAGAAATATCAGAAGGCGGCACAGACTTTGGATCAAACGCTTCAAATATTTATAAAGGCAGTAGAGGAGGCGAAAAGACAACTAAGCCACGTATCCTAAAGCTGTGAAAGAAAAAAAAAATACTCTTTCTAATTGTACATGTCAAGCACCTACACTAGTACATAACATAAAGTCAGTCTTTAGATTTTCGATCCTTATTGCACATGAGCTGCTCTCCACACGACTGCAATCATTCGCATACCCAATATCTCAGACTGAGCAGTAGAAAATATGCGTGGGTTTATAACACTTAGTTCATCAGCCGGCTTATTGTTATTTCTTTACACACTAACTGCAGATTCAGGTCAGAGCTCCTTGGCCTTGCCTGATAGACATGTTGCAATCCTCACTCAGCTTGAGCAACCGGGCGCACACAACCATCACTGAAGTGTCCGCCCAATTATCTCAACCCCAGGCGTGCCCTCTGGTAGCCTAGGGCAACCCGTCACAACAACCAGCCAGCCGGTGAGACTACCAACAGCCGGGGCTGTCCTAAAAAACGAACATCCAGCCTGCTGTGCCCTAATCGCGACCGCGTCCCTCAGGCTTGCGGTATGAGTGTGGTAGATGATCATAACCTCGGCAAGAGTTGGAGTGGTAAGCAGAGCGGAAGCTGCAACAAGACCGACCAGAAGTCGCATAGTGGCGGATTCCTGAAATTCAGAAGTTAGCACTAATTGCTCATCAGAAGAAAGAGTCTGTCATAATTTATTAGATCCAACCTTTGCCTGATTGAGAATAGAAGAAACCTCGAGCACTGAAGTAATGTTATATTTTGCCGCCCTGTATAACTGATATTTAGCAATTCACTAATTATGCTTGTAGTGAAGATGTCTTACCTGATGTAAGGGGCCTGTCCCGAATCGAATCGACTAGGTCTAAGGGATTCTACACACAAAGAGGAATCGATTAGAGAAGAAAAGAAGAAGGAAATGAATCAGCGATGTGTTGTGATGATTTTGTAGTGGCTAGTCGGTGAAAGGGAACCTCCAGTTTAGCAAATAATGGGTGTTGGTAGAGCGACGCAGACGTGAGATGTTTGAGGCGGGGTAGACTTTAACAGCTAGCCACAATTTAAAGCCGTCGCTGTGAGGTGCGGATGTTCACCCCTAAGAGCATACTGCAGTCCCAGCATACGGAGTAGTTCATGTTATTCTGGCCACTGCGCAACGCGTAGTAGTACCCAATTGGCGGAAAAGCGATGCTACTTTGGCCCCGCCCAGTCTGTCTGGATAAAAGTGGGTACCGATACAGATATCATTGTCACCGACGTACTACCGATTCCCCCGCGGCCGCTGGATGTCCTGGGTCGACTGGTGGCGATCCCCACGCATAGTCATATAATATATATCGCGCCTGAGGAATCTACTACGACCGGTTGATTATATTTGGTCTTTCTGGCCTAGGTGAATGGCATTGTCAAGCCTTCACAACAAGCCCGAAATGTGACCGATCATATTTAAACCGAATCAGCCTTGCTTAGTCTATTAATTTAACATGAGCGGCAAGAAAGAAGTGACGGATATACAAACAATTGTCCTATTTTCATGATTCGAGTCGGATGAATTTAGAGACATGACTACCGGTACGTTGTGCCTTTTTGTATAGTCCTAACAGTTAAGATAATACAACATTACTTAAATTGGAAAGCCTTACTTATTCTTTATACTGTTATTATTATTATTTCTTTGTTGCAAAAATCCACCGCCGCGCACACCGGACGCCAATGCTCACATAAAAGCTATAGAGGCACACTCAAAATAAGAAGGGAGATTATTGTTCCTGTACTTTTGTTATGAGACTGGCCAGTACCAAAAGACGCAATAGCGTGTTCCTTGCTGTCGCAAAAACTCGTGAAATTCATAATGAGACAGCGAATGAAGTGACTTCGGGGCATACGATGTCAGCTGACCACTTTCCCCCCACCTTGTTATTCGAGACTTCATTTCTTACCTCCGCTGCCCATGCTTTCTTTTCTCTCTCTCTCTCTCTTTCTTTTTTACTGGTCAACCAGCTAAATAATATACCCAGAGACTATGTCGGGCGTTGAGAACAACCGGGCTTTCGCTCGGCCCCTTCTACCAGAAATTCTAAGTCGGATCATGGAATTTCTCAGTGATGATAGAGCTGCTCTGCGATCAGCACTCCTGGTGAACAAGCTCTGGGCTGCGGAAGCCATGACTGTCCTTTGGCAAAAGCCGCCAGTGGAAGCCTTGGCCTCAAGCCCGGATGACCACCGCCAATTCTACGCCCGTCAGGTTCGCGAGCTAGATTTCGGGGGCGACAAGGACGGGAAACACCATTCAACTTTCCGTAGCCTGGAATTCCCAAGGCTGAGGCGTATAACGATAGACTTTTATCGACCCGACGATGGTGAAAAATTATGGCTGGATCAATACATACAGCCGAATCTCGAGGAATTCATTTTTTATGGCGCTGAGCCTGCCGGAGACCTACTTAACTTATTGGAAACCCGTTGCCCACGTTTGCGGTGTGTTTTGATTGGTTATGTATGGGAGGGGGTAAGCGCTAGCCGCTTGATTAAGTTCTTTGATTGTTGCAAGTCTTTGAGATCGATATGCCTTCCATCCAATATGGAAAGGTTCCTCGACGACCAGATGTTTGCCTACTTCGCCCGTCGTCATGACCTTGAGGAACTAGAGTTTGGAAAGACCATCACATATGAGATGGTGGAAAAGGCCCTTGATGGGATTCAGAGCCCTTTCAAGTATATTCAGCGCCTCACAGTTCCAGCAGAGTCAAAGGCACTTAAGCTATTAGCTCCAACGATCAAGTCTGTTACCACCCTAGAACTCAATGTTGAGGATAGCCAGTTCAATCCTTTGCCACTGGTCAGTTCGCTGGTTAACCTTCGTGAGCTTGAGATTGCACCTCAGTGGGCAAGTTGGTCGGCCACAGACTTTCTTGCACTCAAAGGTTTGAAGAATTTACGCAGACTGGAAATCTATCCGATCGAGGACGACCTGACGTCCCCCAATTTGACAGACCCGGATTTCGTCCAGATCTTTGCAAATATGAGTGAACTTCAGCAAATATCTTTCCAAGTCCAGTGCACATTGTCAACAGCAGCGATCACTTCGCTAGGACAGCATTGTCGTCAACTCACATCCTGCGACCTACTTGGTTCCTATTACTTAAACAGCTGGTTAAATATTGAACGACCGCTCTTTCCACATTTACGGCAGCTGGAACTCGGTGCCATAATTCCCGAAGAGCAAGGACCCCAGTAAGCTCATTCTCCTATGATCTCTATAGACTAGTCCATCGTCTGACAGGTTCTTTGAATTTAAGGCCACCTTCATCGACTACAAGAGCTCAGAAGCTTGCGCACTTAATTGTCGAGCATGCACCAAACTTGGAACAATTACAACTATGGGACCGCGATGAGTTTTCGAAAGAGGTGGTGGCTGCTTTCAAAGCCGAGACTGGCAATGAATACAATCCATAATACATAGAATACGAGCGACCGACAGATTTAGACACATGCGCATAGCTTCAAATGGAATTCTCTACTAGGGATGCACACGGTAAGACTAATACTCGATAGAATAGAGACACCGGCTATCTACCACTGGATACAGCGTAACATCACAGAATCCCCTTCTCGCAAACTGCTAGACACCTCCGTTCTGTCCGATGTCATGCCTGGAATGCTCAAGCTGAGGCTACTCAGCCAGAGCATTTGCCGCTGAAGCAATAGCCACAGTTCTCACCACCTCCCTTGTTCACATCGATTCCTCCGGATCCATCTTTATTCTTGGCGCAACACTTGCCGTTGTTTTTGCTGGAACTGTTCGAGTTATATTAGCGAGTTATTCCGGGTCTTTCAGGGCATAGGGTAATCTACCAGTTATGGAAGGAGTTCTGTTCTGCGAGCTTCTTCCCACCACACACGTCCGTGTCTTTCCTGTCACCGCTGCAGCCCCTACGCTTCTCGAAAACGTTCGGGACCCCAGCATCAGCGGGGGTGACATTGTCGGCGGCAATGTCGCTGTTGCCCGTGGGGCTTGCAACACCTAGCGTGGTGATGGCGAGGAAAGTATAGAGGAAAGCAGTATAGATCTTCATGTTGCCGGATGGCTGCTGAGTATCTAATCGAGACGGGCTCTGGGAAAAGAAGGGAATGAGTTGTTTCTGATCAGGACAGTCCCTAGTTTGCTCGCGCGCAAAGCCCTCTTTATAGCAACGGTCCAGGCACTGCACAAGACATTGGAGTCAACCGCCACGGGCAATAATCACGCATCGCCCCGGCCTGAGCGGAATAGAGGCTCCACTTGCATCTCAGAGATGTCGGCGAGTGAATTTTCTTGTTGGGCTGGCGCCCGCATCTACAAGATGACAGAACCACAATATCGACCGACGAGTGAGGAGTGCCGATCAAGGTCAATTTGCTTACTCTGGCTTACACTCAGCCTCCCTCAGGTTGTAATGTACTCCGCAGAGATTGAACACGAAGCTGACGCAGGTGGGCTGACAAAAGCAAACAAGAAAGGAGAATGGGGGCTAAATCGCCCCCACAGTACTGCGCGAGGAAGGGATCCACGGCTGACTAGAATGATCTACAATCTGATTTCTCGACGTGTCTGGGGAAAAGCTTGGAGCTGACGTACAGACGTGCAGATCACAAGGCGCAAAGCTCCAATAAGGATGCGCATCACCATCAGCCCTAATGCAAGGGCAGGCCACACTGTTTTGGCCGAAAGTAGCGCTTACTATTATTCAGGGTGAGCTCACTGAAGCTGGTAAGCCAACATATGCAGGAATATTAAGCGCACCCATTGGTGCAGTGATCACATTCATTGCTTTTGAAAGAATTGTAGATGTGGAACTTAGGGGCCTAATATTTATGCGGCATTTGTTTCAAAACCGAGGCTCTCATGCAGTAAGCCGCATCAGGCTGGCTAATACTAGATACTAATGTCATATGTAGGTTTCCTTCTGGCCATTACAAGTAGCCTGTGGCAATGGAGGACTTCACATCGTTGCCAGCTCAAACACCAAATATGTTTGAGATCCTCGGGGAGTTTGAAAATATCTTGGTGGGTGTAGACAAATGTTTCCTGTTTTGAGCTGGATGTTCAGTAGCTCACCAACTCTGACCGACGATTGCGATGCAAGGGTATCCGGGAGAGTGCCTCGAAGACGGCAAGGCTATCTCGATCGTTTCTCCTCACTTAGTTGGTTCTTCTATGACGGCGATCAGCAGTTCTTCTGGTGATATGCTGAACCTGACCACGAGCTTCTAAAACAGCTCGGCATAAGTGAATCCAACATTCCGATTATCGCTCTTTAGAGATTTTTGACTTGCATTGCTTTGTTTCTTTCTGAGGATATGAAGTAGTGCGATATTGTTGTGGTGTGTCAATGATGGGCAATAGAGACGGTAATTTATTTGAATTATGGTTTTACTCACGTGCTTGTATAATTTTGTATAATTTCTTAAACCATCATAATAGAAGAATAGCCGGTATCGGCGGCTTGTGCGAATAGGGCTGCCAGATAATGGATCTCGTTCCTTCTTCTTTTAGAACCTCATATTCTCGACGAGGTTGGTCTGCAGTAGAAGTCAATCATTCGGCTTCTCCAGTAGTACATCACCCCGTACCTATCTTTAGAACTTGACATACACTCATTAACCAGACTCCGGAGAAGGCCAGAGGAGTTAAATCATCGACAGATAATGAACCCGTTAACAAAGGTTGAGCTAACGGTAACCGGGACAACTTACGAACCGGGACAAACTACGATAAACCTGCCTCTTCAGGAATCCAAATGTTGCACCTGCTACGATACCTTTCCGTCATCCGAGACAATTCGCTTGGAATGTGGTGATATATACTGTACTGATTGTCTCAAGGGCTTTTTCATACGAGCAACCAAAGATGAGCAACTATTCCCTCCAAGATGCTGCCGTCAGAATATCCCAGTGTCTGCTATTGCCGCCAAAATGACGACCGAAGAATTGCATGTATTTGCGAGCGCAGAAGTGGAGTTTTCTACAAAGAACAGAGTATATTGCAGTAATCTCAGATGCGGCAGGTTTATACCTCCGAGCAGAATCATATGGAACAGAGCGCACTGCGGTTCCTGCCAGTACTCAACTTGCGCGATATGCAAGAATATCTTTCATTATGGTTATTGCCCTGAAGACCCGGGTCTCCGGGGTACCTTAGAGTTTGCTTCAAGTCAAGGCTGGCAGCGCTGCTTCGCATGTGGGACTGTAGTGGAATTGGAGACTGGCTGCTATCACATAAGGTGAGCATTTGCCTTGTCTCATGCTTGATGAGATAGAGCGAAAAGCGCTGATACGACGGGTAGGTGTAAATGCAAGGCCGAATTCTGCTATCTGTGTGGTGCACGGTGGAAGGTCTGTTCCTGCAGACTGTGGGATGAAGCGAGGTTGAGACCAGCAGCATTTGTTGACCGAAACCTGAATCTGCCAATTCCTCAGCCTTGGCCGGAGCCGCAGCAGGAATATCGGCGTGAAAACGTATGTAGGCATCCAGGACGAGGACGGTTTAGACGCGTGGATGGCGTTGGATACGGATTTGTGTGCAACAGATGTGGAGCTCGCCATTGGAAGTTTATTCTCGAATGTCGTCTTTGTCAAATCAGAGTATGCCAGAATTGTCGACTGCGCATCCTAGTAGGAGCATGATAATCGTGTCGTGGAGAATGGGGAACTATCTGCGCCAGGCTTTGGTGGAGAAATGAAATGAATCAGGTTCATCGGGGGGGTGGAATGGGGAGGATTCCGCTACGGCTGCTTGTTTACTCTAGATATGACTATTCTTAAGATTTGCTTACGAAGACCAATTCATCAGAGTCATTCTTGTCTGTGCCGTAATATGCAGCATCAAGTAAATATTACCTTACGAAATTACCTTTCCACGGTAGGCGCAATAGATATCTACAATAAAGGAAACCTTTGCGGAGCTACTGGGGCTGGACTCGGTGTGTCCCTATATGCTGGCGGCAAAATATCTTCCAGAGATGCCTTGATCTGCAGGGCTAAGGTCCGCGAGTGCCACCGGTGCTGTTGCGTATAACCACCCATGACCCAGAAGTTATCAACACGCGACTGGCGCTTCCATAGACCGCGGATCTCCCCCTCCCCATCAATACCCCCTGTTGCGTCAAGGCGACTTGCAATTTCGCGAGGACCGAGAAAATGCTTGCTTTCATTTTCGCTCTCATGGTTTGGTGCGTCCCCAACCAGGATCTGGGCAGCTGTATCACGCACATCTTTATCGGCGAAGCCTGTGCACCACACCACGGCATCTGCGGCCACGGAGCTGCCATCGGAGAATCGAAGACCTGTCGTCGTGAACGCGACAGGCTCGACTCCGACCTTGATGCCAGCTTTGCCCTCTGCCAGTAGTTTGGTGCCGCCCACATCGACGTAGTGTCCACCAGCCCGCTCGATCAGGTTATGCATAAGGGACACGTTCGGGTCACGGCTGTCAAGAACAGGGAATCCAGCTGCGGCCAGTGCATTGTACCGATGCGGCTCTTGGCTCGCAAACTGCCTCATCAGGCCACAGGCAAGCTGGCTGTCCACGCAGGTTGGCAGCGTCATAAACAGCCGATCGGCTGCCTCCACGCCCATGTCATAGGCACCGAGACTATGCTTATCACAGATGTATTCTACAGGGACAATGTACGTTGGGGATCGGACAACCATTGTTGTGTGAAGTCCAGCAGCGTGGCAGTCCTCGAGCACGTCAAATGCTGTGTTAGCAGAACCGACGATTAGGACGGACTTATAAAACAATTAGTTCAATGATCACCCTTGAATCAGTTCGCTATTTTGCCCTCAGCTTTCAAACCATTGATGTGACTTAGACTCACCTGGGCTCCCTTTTCTGCAAGCTGGTTGGCATTCTGGTACTGCGCCGAGTGAATACTGATGCCCTGATATAAGTGACTGTCCACCATCGTTGGAAGATAGGGCTTCTGGGACCCAATGCCGGTCGCAAGGACAAGGTGTTTGGAGTTGGCTGTGAGCTGACCGGTAAGAGTATCAAATTCAACCTCCCAGTTCTTAGAAGACAGATTATATCGCGTCGACCGGATCTGAGCCGAGGAGACCACATTAAGGTTGAATGTCTCGACATATCGTCGGACCTGTAGTGCTAGCTCATTCCTCGCGAGAAGATGTGGAGTTTGGAGCTCCTGGTCATAGCCTAGCTTGCGGACTCACTGTCAGTGCGCCTCATCCTTCCTCAGTGCTTTCACCGTGCTTACACATGTAGGGCAGATCACAAAAGGACGTGGGGATGTGAAACCGCATGCAGTCATAACGGAGAGCCCAATTGTCGCCTGGCCGCGGATTCCGCTCGGCCATGACGCTTTCTACACCCAGAGCCTTAAGACGTGCGGCAAGCGCGACAGCCCTATATGATATTGGCAAGAGCATTCTTTTTGCGATGAATGTCACAACTTACGCGTTGCCTCCACCGATAATGAAGACATCTGTGTCGAATGACGCAAGACCATCCAATTGTTTCCTCGGAGACTGGAGTAGTCCCTCGTTCTCTGGTTGCAAATCTAAGCTCTTGAGAATGGTGCTGAGGATCCAGACTTTCCACACAACTGTCCATTTATCACTTTTGACAGGCAAGAGCACTACCTTCCCTTCGCATGTCGCGCCTGGAGAGTCCGTCCGGAAAACAATTCCGCAATCGATGAATTGCTGTGCACCCAACTGTTAGCCACGGCTCTCTTCGCGTAAAGCCTTCAAAATCTTGGATCACAGGCTCACAAGTGTCGGCGTCGCAGGAAGGAAAATAGCGGCGCCTTCTACCGTAATTTCCCCCTTCACATTCCTCAATGTCTTTGTTTCCAAAAGGCTCGCGGCGATTATTCTGGGAGTATTGAACGTGCGGAGGTGATAGGTGAGAGCCAACTGATCCTTCCAATATGCTTGATTGTCAAAGAAGCAGCCCTGGAGAGCATTAGCATCGTCGTCGGCCAGTGCGGCGCTCAAGCGCTTCAACACAGCGCGCGCCTGTTTGGTTGCCTCATCGCTAGCCATAGAAGTCGGATCTATCATACTAGAGGGAATCGTAGGAAGTGGCTGCTGGGCCATCATCTGACGCAGATCCGCTCTTGGCGGGAACTCATCGTCTAACGAGGACGGGAGGTTGTCTGGAGGGTTCCTATGTGTCAGCCTGTGCAACCTTTGGTGTGGCCCACTTGCGACTTGGGGAACTCACTGGAAGCCATGGTGTGGTGTAAGTGGGAAAGTATGACACAGGGTGTCATACGGCGGGGGATGGCAGCATTTAGTAGCTGAGGCGCATCGGGATGGCAAGATCATATGGGCCAAAGCGTACAGATGCGCGTATCTAGCCTCACAGGACTCTGCGGAGCAAAATGCCGTGATGTGCAATAATTGGCCGGTCTAGCTCCTCACGAAAATTCCAGTGTGGCAACGGACTGCGTTTCCTTCGGCGATGAGAATGACTCAATTATAAAATATAAGGTACTAGTCGCCAGTTTTCAGAGGGTTGAACTCCTATTTCTGATCTGGTAGTGGCGACTTGATTATATCGTTTAGGTGGCTTGAGTACCCCACCAGATCAGATCAGATCAGGTAGCGAACTCCCTAAATGCGTCCACTAGTACTATGTAGGTTTTTGACAGAGAACGACGCAATTATCCGGGCCCACTGAGCGGCACACGTCACAGCATACATGTCAATTCATCACATTGACATGTAGAAGATCGACCTATGAGGGGGAACCATGATGGGTCAGCCTGCATCTGGTTGGAAATTGGCCGAAGCTAAGACAAACGGTCTGTTCCTTCCGGTTGCTAGTTTTCCTCCTTACATCTTTAGTTTACCCTAGGAGCCTGCACATCAAGAATAGGACGGAAAAGGTACAGGAGACGGTCCGCGCTGGTAGTTAGTGGGTCCTCGGGCCCCATTTATTGGAACGGGAACTGAAGAATACCTTTGTCTTGGGCAGCGAGATAGGGAGAGAGAGCCAAAAGAGGATCTGAGACAAGGTTTGACAAAGGCTGATCCTTGTGTCAATCCTCAATTGGCAGATTTGGGGTTGCCTTTGTTTATTAGACGACAACAAGCCCTGCCTGTCTGCCCGGGTTCCGGCTATCAAGGTCGTTAAAGATGCCACCGGAAGAGCTCGAGGCGCTGCTCGCCGCGCCGGCTCTCGCACCACCGCCCGGAGTCACGCCGAATTTCGACAATCCTCACAACGGCAATGGTTATGCCTGGGGTATCACCACGGTCTGTATGATTGTTGCTACACTATGTCTATTCCTACGCTGGTACGTTCGGATATGGTTGGACCGGAAAGTGCGTATCGAGGATGGTTAGTTGGAATCAAGTCTAATAAACCTGGAGATTATGGCTAACAACTTGGTAGCGCTTACAATCTGTGCATATGTGTGCTACCCTTTCTCCAGCCTCTACCTTTGCTCACTCAAACTGACTGCCCCCAGGGAGCTTACTGCGGGACGGCCTACGCTGCATATGGGATGATCTCTACCCCCGGCTACTATGTCCACACCTGGGACCTTCGTAACAAAGACTTGATCCGACCACTCTATGTAAGTCATTGGAAAGTGCAACCAGGCCTGAAGGCAACTAATCAATTCTTACCATAAGCTTATTTTTGTATATGGCTGCTGCTACTCCGCAGTCCTCCCGTTGATCAAGACAGCTATCTTGATGGACTGGTGTCGAGTCTTCGTCATGGTTGATCGACCCAAAAGCTTTTTCTGGTGGGGCTGCACGATAGTATCATTCATTCAGTGCCTGTGGGGTGTTCTATGCATCACATTGCTGAATACACAATGTCGCCCGCATAGGGCGATCTGGGAATTTTATCTTCCGAGCAAATGCTACTCGCTTCCGGACGTGATGCTTTGTTCAGCCAGTGTGCAGGTAATCTCTGACGTGACCATGTTCTTGCTACCCCAAAAAATGATCTGGGGCCTACAAATGAGCTGGCAGAAAAAGATGGGTATTTCGGTTATTTTTGGAGTTGGTATCCTGTTAGTGATGTCCACCTGCAACCCGACTTCGGTCAATTTATATACTCACCTTGCGCCAGCGCGTCTATCGCAGCATGTTTCCGTCTAGCCCACACAGCCAACTTTGCCAAATCAACCGACCAGATGTACTTTATCGGACCTCTCCTATTCTGGGCCTGCGCCGAGATGACTTGTGGTTTCTTCATCTTCAGCGTACCCTGTCTATCGAAGCTAGCCATGGAATCTGGGCTGCGTAGAAGGCTGTCGAGCGTTCTCGACCTCAGTGACAAGTCGGTCAGCGTCCCTTCAGATCAGGGTTCCAAACCACAAGGAGGGTCGCACCCTAGACTTAAGCCTTGGAGTATCTCAGACACCACCTATTCGAAGATCGAGGAGGGTAATATCATACCGTTGACAAATGTGTCGTGGCCACAGGGAAACCTATGTGAGGAGTCCCACTCGAACGATGGAAATAACACTATGCAAGTGATTCGCACGATGGATGTCAGTTCTGCTGACCCAAATTCTAGCTTTCAACTGAAGGATCACCGCATTCCTTGGGTATCTTAGAAATACCAGCATCAGTCTGCAACATCCGGTATTAGGGAGGTGTACCAATGAGGTTCTATAGAAGGAGCATAATAATGTCTAATTTCGGGCGTAAGTAATACATTATACCAAGAATATGTGGGCTTTTCTTTTAGAAAAAAAAAAAAGGTAGGGATAGGTACCCCCTTTTTTTCTTCATTTTCCTGTTTATAATATAAAATATGTATGATAGCGCACACAACCAAAATCCCCCCTTGACTCAGGCCTGAAGGAACACTATCTCTCCGAACAAGCTCAGACCCAGGGAGAAGATCCTGTGCTTGAAGAACTGTAAGGCGAGGCTTGCGAGATAGGCCATATCACGCGATAAGGGTCATGCAGACCAAGCTTGATTGCTCGCAGCTTAGAATATGTGTCAATTCTTAGCTGGAAAGGTTTTATCCTCGTGCCAGTCAGCCAATGGGAGCTGCCGAAACCTAGCTTCAGCCCACTAAGCTATATACAGAAAGACGCAAAATCTGCCAGTGAGGCAACAATGCCATACAGAAGCCCGCTGCACAGCCCTACGTGTAATGCTAGCCACTGCGTACGAGTCTTGGCATATTATCCAGATATAGAGCTAGCTTGCTCTGCTTGGGCTTGAAGACTATCATAACAAGGTTGGAATGTGCATAATTGCACTATTCTCAGCCCGATCGTATGCAAGTAAACATGTTATGCGTCAGCTGACTCTAAACAACAGGTGCTAACCTGTTCTTTCTTTAACATTAATCGAGGTACCGATTATATATTTCTTCAGAGATTTACATATAAAGATCATATATATTGCAGCCACATATACTTGTGGCGCTCGCCGCTTACCGCAGACCATAGTCTATAGTGGAAGCAGGTCCCCAGACCCAGACACATGACCAAATTGTAACTTATATCAAGCTTCTTGACATCGATTTTGGGCTGATGACAAAATCAGTGGAACCGTAAATCATGCCAGAGAAGGCTTCCACGTTTCGCACGTTCGGTTGAGTGGCAGAGTTTCCGGGAATGGGAACTTCGGAAGTGCTCGTATTCGGCTCAACCACAGATCTACACGGGATCTCCATAATGACGAACTACCACATTTCCGGATTAGGCAAGTCTCGTATTCCTTTGTCCCGGGAGACATGACGATTTGAATATAAATATGATAGCTAAGTGTCTTTGTTCTGTTCATATTCAGGGATAGCATTGCGAACATAGCAATATATATCTGCCTCTCGCAATTCCCTCAGTCAAGTTTTCACCTTCACATCATTTCAGAGAAAGCCGGAAAGCACTCATGGTTCAACAATTCCAAACCCTGCTGGCAGCCGCAGGCATCCTTTCCGCTGCAGCGGGTGCACAGGGCCAACATCGACGCCGATGCACGTTTGGTCAAGATTGCTGGCCAGACGCACAGACATGGAATGACTTCAACGCCACCGTGGGTGGAAGGTTGATTCGATCTGTACCCTCCGCCGCCGTGTGCCATACTGAGAGGTACAACGCCGATCAATGCGCCGACGCGAAGAAAAGCTGGCTGGACAGTTTTTGGCGAACGAACCAGACTGGTGCCTATTCTGCTACTTTGTGGGAGATGGGGCCGACGGGGCAGTGCTTTATCAATACTTCAACCAGTGCTCCTTGTGACCAGGGAATAGGTATGGTTCTATTTATGAGTTTGTGAAAGTAGTGAATATTTAGAAGGGAACTAATCATTTGATGATATCCAAATAGTGCCATATTATATGGTTCGTGCCGAGTCCGTGGAGGACATCCAGGCTTCTGTGAAGTTCGCTAGCGAGAAAGATTTGTCGCTCGTCACGAAGAATACGGGACATGATCAGTGAGACGGTCGACGCCATCGATTTGGAAATATATTGCTAACAGCGTTTCCCATTAGTCTTGGTCGGTCGAGCGGTAAAGGTTCGTTCGGAATCTGGACGCACAACCTGAAGGGAATCGAATTCCACGATTCCTTTACCGCGCAGGGCGCACCGACTGAGGCCAGTGGCATTCCTGCTGTGACGTTGCAGGCCGGAGAGCAGTGGTTTGGTGAGTCAACGAGTCTTGTATTCGGGACAGGGGCCGAGGCTGACAAGGAGATGTAGACGTGTACCAAGCTGCAGCCAAACAAGGAGTGCTCGTCGTTGGTGGATCAGCGCGCACTGTAGGAGCAGCAGGAGGGTACCTACTTGGCGGAGGCCACTCACCATTTGCGCATTACTATGGCCTCGCCGCTGATAGTAAGTGGCAAAATCTTCCTTTATCTCATTGCCGACGCTGAGACAGTGCAGACCTCTTGGAGATGAGCATTGTTTCCGCCGATGGCGAGCACCGAGTCATCAATGCTTACACGGATCCTGATTATTTCTGGGCTGTCCGGGGCGGGGGCGGAAGTGCTTGGGGGGTGAGTGGCCCTCAATGCCCAATTGACCCAGAGTGCGAAGCTTATGATAGGCAGATTGTGACATCCGTCACTTACAAAACTCACCCGGTCCCACAGAACCTCATATTTGGACTAGTTCAATTGAACTCCACTAACGACTCGAGCTTGAAGCGTGTCGTTGCGGAATCAATCAAACTCCTACCCACGATTACGGACGCGGGCTACACAGGATATGCGACCATAGAGAAGGGCTTCGGCGCCATCTTCATGAAGCCCAATAGCACCGTAGCATCCTTCAATGAAACGTTTGGCCCAGTTTTTAAACTAACGCAGCTTCCCGGTATTGAGGGAGCTATCACAGCGTACCCGTCGACCTGGGATGGATATCTGAAGACTATCCTTCGAGATCCGAACATCGGGACCAATATCCAAGACACATCCCGATTACTGACGACTGAGGTAATTCGCGACAGGGCGGAAGATTTGGCAGAATTCATCGTTGGGAGCCAGCAAGGAGCAGGGTTCAACTTTAGTAAGTGGCAAGGTGATCCAGGATATGTTCTGTTCTTCGTCATGCTCATTCCCCGATTCCTGTTTAGTTGGTAAGGTCAACAATGACGAGCGCGATAAGACGGCCATTCACGAGATTTGGAAACGCAGCCACGGACTCTTGAGCATATCTGTGGACTGGGCAGATACTGCGACAAGCCGCGAAAAGCATGAGAAGCGACAACGGGCGGTCCAAATGAGTGAACGCCTTACAGAGTTAGTCGGCACAGAGGGAGGCACGTATATAAACGAGGCTAATCCGTAAGTATTTGAATGCTTCTCAATTTCTCATAAACAGACTTGGCTTACAGGAGGCTGTTCAGGTACGAGCCTGAGTGGCAAAGCGTCTTCTGGGGAAAGAAGTACAATCGGCTGCTCGCAATCAAACGACGAGTTGATCCTACAAATTTGTTTGTATGCAATCGATGTGTTGGGACAGATGTGGTCTTGCAGCCCTAAGACCAGTTCGTGTATTTTTCTAGGCCCGTGTACCATTGAGAGATATTATTCGAGGGCTTTAGTGGGACGAAAGAAACGTTGCTCAAAATGAACTTTATAGTTGGACTATTAGACTACAAATTCATGACATGGTATCGGAGGATCTTTCCTACTGGAGTTTTATCACTACATATACAGATAAGCGTCACATTAGCTAAGCTGAGTTCCACCGAAGTTGGAACAGCAGGTATTACCAATAGCTGCCTTGGGAAACTGGGTGGAACAAAGGCCGAGACTGACTCGTCTCGGACCATCGTGATACTCAGCGCTCGGGAAGACATCACATCGTGAGTACATGTCCCGCAATTAGTATCATTTAGGCTCTCAAACCCAGGATCACAAGGTTAATAGGCTGTCCGTCTAGCCCAGGGATTGCTTACTATTTGCTATTAGCTTAGAGAATTTAAACGGTACTTTGATCAAGGTCTACTTTATGGTACTTGTCCCAATCTCTGTCACTCATACGCCTTACCCACAAATATTATTTCTGATAGCTGTAATGAAAAGCAATCTCTCCTCAAGATAAGTTAGGTCTAGAGTCAATCTGGGTTGTCCTTTTTGGCCCCTTCATTTTCAACTCGCGTTTACGATCTTTCCTACGGTTTTCGGACCCGGCTCCAGACGAGTTAATGAATGATCTAGGGCATTGGCTAGTCCAAATTAGCCTCATTCGTGTAAGCCCTTGATATAAGACGCGCCACAGTCAAGGATCTATATGATATAGGCAGGGCAGCTCGTATTCAGCTCTCCGTCAAGTGACTAAGGCGAATCCGTCCTAGATACTAACTGGACCCGTGCGCAGAAACCTATTTTACTCACTCATCAAATTCTCTGACAATCAACAAGCACTCCTGCCAAAGGGCTATCCCTAAAATGACCTTCAATTATACCACACTTAATGACCAAGAAATTCGACTGGTCACGATACATCCAAATAAAAGCTGGGAGGCACTGATAGAATGTTCACTTGAAGTCGCGTCGCTTACACAGCGACCGAAGTTTGAGGCTCTTTCATATGTTTGGGGAAGCGTCGACACCTTTGAGACGATTCATCTCGACAGACAATCGTTTGAGGTGACACCGAACTTAGGATCAGCTCTTCGCCATTTACGCCACCCAACTGTTAAACGCGTTATGTGGATTGATTACATCTGCATCAACCAGGACGATGTCCCGGAGAAGAATAAGCAAGTTCCTCTGATGGGATCTATATATATGACTGCAGACCGCGTGATATCAATTCTGGGCGAATACTCACCCGAGATAGAGATGGCTGTTTCGTGGTGTGAGCGATACATCCACAAGAGGACCACCAAGCAAGCTCTATTCTGGCGGAAGCTGGAACTCAAAGAATTGTGGTCTGTTGAGGCTAGACGGGAGAAAGAAATCGCCATTCTGAAAACGTTCATTGGCTTGCGACGTTTTATCATCCTCCCTTACTGGACTCGGATGTGGACTTTTCAAGAATATCAATTGCCCGAGCGTGAGCCGATTTGCATGTGCGGTGCCTTTACTTTTAAGGCGTCTGCTATTCTGGGTACGTCATGGGATGGAGTTGTCCAAACTCCCTTTGCCGCTATGGTTCGGGTGGGACAAGACCCCGTCGAGATAGAAAGGAAGAATAAGCCTAGCCTCGATCAAGATGAAAAGACAAGACAGCATTGCTTGGAAGTACAACGGCTGAGTGCTATAGATGATGATGAGTTCACTCGTACAATGGAGCGCTTCGCCTTCTTCGATATCCTGCGGGACCGACACGCTCCTGCGTATAAAGGCCTGGCGTCTCTCATGTATTTAGCATACCATCGCCAATGTGGCAACCCACGGGATAGAGTGTACGCTCTGTATGCGCTTGTTCCCTCTGCTCAGGAGGCATATCCTCCAGACTACAACAAGTCTTTAGAGCAGGTTCTGGTTGAGACAACAGAGTACATCATTCGAAAAGAAACAAGAGCATGCATTTTCAATCTCTTTGCCGTTCGCAACAATCATCTGCTCGATGACACGCTTCCTTCATGGGTCCCTGATTATACCACATCATGCACTCGAGTAAAAGGGCTGCCGTCGCACTACATCGCCCGAAAGATAAAGGAGTCTCTGTGGACTCCCGCTGTGGAGTATTTCCCTCATGTATCTGAGGATTACAAAACTCTTCATCTGTGGGGGCGTACTGTAGGCCACTGCAAACCTATCTTCCGCTTTGGTTCAGATTTGCGACAGGTGGTCGCAAATATCATGAACTTCTTCGAAACGACGGAAGCGTGGGGCACGAATTGGGATCCCTCGACGGTACGTGAAAGATTCGTCGAAGCATGTCTGTGCCATTTCCCTCAGGGTGACACCTTTACAATCCAAGAGGCGATCGAGGCAATACACGAGCTAGCGCACACGTACGAGAATACCAGGATCCAGGGCCAATCGAATGATACTGACCCGGCTGCAAACGAACAATTCCAGTCAAAGCTCCGCAAAGAATTGAGCGCCAATTGCAACCAGTCCTTTTTCTTGATCGTCACTAAGAAGGCTCAAGGATTCGGCATTTGCCCAGTCGCTATAGAAGACCAAGATGTCGTGATGATTGCCGATACAGCGGAGCAGCCACTAGTGCTGAGAAGGCAACTGGATAGAGAGCATGAGCAATCGTCGTATAAACTGGTTGGCCAGGCGTACGTTGATGGTCTTGCAGAGACATCAAATTCACTCGATAGCCCTCTCTATACCATGGTGAAGGATCAACCTCATGAAGAGTTTCGCGTTCTATAGGCACAGCGAAACCGGTCGGTACTTAATAGCACGAAGATTCATGAGTGTTTGGGCCCTAATGTAAATTTCGCGGTGAGATGCAAACTTTCAGTAGCCGACGACGATGCTTCCGAAGCATCGGTAGCTTACAATCTGCAAAGCTCGAGATCCGTGGCTCAGGATTTACAGCAAATCTTCACTTGTATTATGTTATATGTTATATTATGGCATTGACCAAAGCACCAGGCATAAAGGCCTTTGCATTCGCATCAAGATATGGGAAAACCCATCAGTGGGGAAAAAACCATACCAAGGTCCACACAGCAGCAGGCAAATACAAGGAACAATGATCCCAGTTATGTTAATCACTTTAAAATGGCTTCAAGTGGATCAAGAAATCAAGAGACGTACTTTTAAACCTAACGCCTTTTGAAAAACCGAGTCTTCTGTTACCGACGGCGAATCAAGGATGAAAACATCTTCAAGCTCACCCATTATTCCTCGTAAATGGCACCGATCGCATCAACCTCATAGCCAGCACGTCCCTGGAAACCAACGAGATGACCGTTCCCTAATCCCTGATAATAGCGCTGCCCTTCCTGGACTCCGAGCACTTGTGGCTTGTTGGTCCGAGTAGTTCTAAACTCGATTCCAGTAACGAAGCCATTTGGAATCCCGGTGACCGGGTCGGTGTGGCCCCAGACATTCATCTCGGTGACCTTCTCGCCTTGTTTGAAATCATAGGCACTGTCGGGAGGGTGACGGCCTACCCTTCCCACGTCCAATTCATCACCATCTTCGAACTTGAGTCGGAGGCCCCTGATGTCTTCGTATCCATCGGGAAACCCATACCATGCTTCTGCAGCAACCACCGGGGAATCGTGTTTATCGAATGTATCTCCACCCCTACCGGGCTCGGGTTTGTTCTTATAGTACTGGCCTGATCCGACCATTATGTAAGATCTTGTTGAAACAGGTACAAAGCAAATTAATGATTTAGTATGATTTAAAAGTGGGCCATGGTAGTGGAATCCTCGTGGTATTTATCTTCGTGCCATTGGCCGTGGTTTTGACGTACGATGGGAATATGGCGTGACTAGGTCCTACAGGCTCAGTATGCCTCGAGTAAACCGCCCACGTCATGACAATCTATGTGTTACCAGAAGCAGGACGATAATGAGGGCATTGGTGTCATAACGGATCGTGTTTTCCGTTTGCGGAAGGGTTCGGCGATTATGACATCCCTGAACCATGGATCTCGCCGAAACATCAATTAGCTGTCGCTGAATGTATCCCTCCAGGATTAAACCTAGCTTTCTACTAGCTCGTCTTGCGTATATTACGGCAAGGTAAATCATCATGCGCACTATCGAACAGTCCAGCTATACTATCCTCGTGCAGACCTGAATAACATCCACCAATAATGCAATATACCTAAAATCTAGCACTCCACCATGGGCTAGACTGGATGAATATTAGAAATCCTATATTCCGATCGCCCTTAGATCCAGCACGCCACCGAGTATTACATAGGCTTACAGCTCGAATAAAAACGGTGAACACGTATGTCTCGAATCTGACCATGGGCGGTGATGCATTCCTCGCTATGAATAGCTCATTTCGGGTCGTTGACGTTAGCTTTGGTAATGCCTCATACGGCTTGCTAATAGCAGCCTTCGAAAGAGAATCAAGCTATTCAAGGTCACCCTCCGTCGCAGTATGCTGAGGGGCGAAAGAGAGTACTAGCCTCCATAACCTAGGCCTTGCGTGTACATCCACACCATCCGCAAGCTCTCCCTTTCTCCTGCCTGGCTTGATGATGGTGCTTCAGACCACCTTTGTAGCAAACCCAAATACACCAACAAATATTCCTTCCAATAACAAATTATGGAAGAGAAAGCCATAGGCAAACCAACCATCTCATTAACTGAGCAAGTTTGGTTACCCCCGTAGATTACACCACATACAACTGTATTATATTTTGGCCCTCTTGGCGGGAACCCTGAGTATAGATTGCTGGGACATACATGCAACCATATTCCCCTCTTCATCCCAGAGCTTGCTCTCACTAAACGTGCGCCCGGATCCCGCACGGTGGTTGATAGCCTCCCGCAAGTGCCATCCATTGATGGCGAGACGCGGCGTAAAAATCCTGAGACCAAAGTCAAGACTCGAGCATGCACCAACATCATCAAAGAACAGGTGGTTGTGGGCCAGGGGGAGAAAAGACAGGAGTCCATCCATAATAAACCCCAAGCCGGCCATCTGTTCCGCCTCTGTCCGCAGAGGATGTTTTACCCGAAACCAATCCGCGGACGACTTTGCCGTGGGAGATAGTTCATCCTGGCTGGTTTTGATCGTCTTTGCTAGACCGATCAGATTTTGTGACGAGACGCCTTCAGGACATGGTCGACCTTCATAGAGATCCCTAGATAGTCCGAATTGTTTAAGAAACGCTTTAGACTGCCATTCGGTTACTTTTCCGGATTTCACCTGGTCCTCGATGATGCGGTCCCACGTCATACAATCCTTCCAATTGCTATATGCCCGACTCGGTGCTGCCGAATGAGATAGGATAGACGACTCGTTCTTGTGGAAGTCGGTTGTAACCTCCATGCACAACAGAAATTCACCGCTCGGCCCGACTTGCTGTTCCACGGAAACGCGATATGTGACGAAGCTTTTTGACTTGCGGAGTTGAACCGTTTTGCAGACCAGTTTTGCTTCCGTGCTCACTGCTCGGAGAAAATGCCCAAAGGCGGAATAGAGGTGATATCCTTCCGGAGCGCTTTTGCAGGCTGCATGGATGGCAAGGCCAATGGCGTATCCTCCGTACGCTATGGGTGCTGAGTTTCCCATGCGCTGTGGTAGGTGGGTCGAAATGTAGCCATCGTCGGTCTTTTCAAGAGAGATGTGTTCAGCTAAAGTAGTTGCCATCGTTGGTTTCCTCCGGCGGTGAGCACGTTGAGAGTGCTACTCTAAGTGAAATGTTGGAATATGGATTATGGAATGGCACTTAGTAGTTAACCGTGATTCTGTAACCCTGTGATCATCCCAGTCTCTGGACTTTTTAATTTATACTTTTCGACACATGTGGTCGAGTAGCGACATATAACTATATCTCGCTTAGTAAGATACACTGAAGTACCTCGGTTCGAGGGAGTACGCTATCTTATCAAGCTTGGCCCGTGGTCGCATGAAAGATAGTCATCAGGGCCATCACGGCTACCCGAATTTATAAAGACCTACCCGGCGGTCGGAAAACTGCGTTGCTGGTCATGCCGAGGTTCCGACATGTGGAAATGGGCTATTATCAGGCAGAAACCCCCGACAGCATGGCGACTTCGTGCGACAGCATAGAAGATCGCGCTCGTATTTATTCGGATACTAATTCCGTAGGTATCTTTCTGTTGGCAGTGGCGCTAAATGCGCCAATCATGGAGGCTGCCATAATAATCGCCGAGCGCGAGGGGGGCTCAGCCTCTCCAGGTATCTCGATCCACGATGTTGTAGAATATCTGATAGTGCTCTACATCATCCATCGCGGGTATTATGGCTATAGCATCTTGGGTTGGCCCGCCCTTCAGGCCAGAAGGAGGAATCGAGGAGGGAGATTGTGACAAGCCCGCAGGAAGCAGCCCATAACATTGACGCCTGGAACGACGCTGGGAAGCCTTTTTTTTTCAATCGGGAGATGGTCCAAAATGTCTATGAACAGCTTCTCAAGTCACTCCAGAACGGGGGCAACATCTATGTGCAGAGATTGGATGGCTGCCGCGGTGGTTTCAAAGTTATAGCCGGTGATACGGAGGTCATTCCATACCACGGACCAGGGACACGTGATGTAAGGATATGAATTTGCTTCCCCTGGTAGCCTACATAGCATAACGACAATCTGTTTTAGGCGTAAGCCGATGCTCGACTATCTGTCAGTTCGATATCTCAAGGTCAGCCTTTCTGAGGAGGGGTCCGAAAATTATTTAGCCTATTGCAACCGTCACATTCTACATTCGATCAGCGTCTGTGGCACGGTAACAAAGGAGCCTGTCTCGAACTATACTTGAGATCATTGGATGAAGTTGATGGCCTCCTCAAGAATACCTTGGCGACCTGGCAGGATACTGAAGTCTATAAGCACCTCGGTTGAGCCCTTTCCTCCATTCATGATGCATTAGGTATTCGAAAGATTATCGGACTGGCCTGAGGGTCAATGGCCCAACGCAAACTTCGTAATGAAGCCTGCAGGTCCACAGTTCAGCACGCACTACTTCAGACGCTCCCCAGACTACTCTCCGTGGGAGACCAGAAAATTACTTGTTTTGCTCAAGACCCAACATATACTGAGGTAGATGTAGAGATCCTGCAACCACCTGGATTCCAAATCCTATGGGATCCGCGGGCGTTCTTAGAGGTTGACGATTCCTCCATCGTCTTCTCATGTGCGGCGGAAGTTCTAGTGAAGCAGATCGTCGTAGACATTGCTCGACCTGCCATTCTTATTTGGGACAAGGTGAGGGACGGGGAAGGTGGAGAGTTTATAGCATGGATTGTGCGGTGGGTGCCGTTCTCTTTCCATCTATCCTACGTTTCTAACATGCTGGAAATTAGGATCCTGGTTTCCTCCGGGTACGTGGAGTTCATTCATGTGTCGTATTATATTTTTGAATTTCTACCGGATGATCGCTTCGGGGAAAAGGAGGTATATATCAGAAAGGTTTTCTTGGGCATCGCCGAAAGCGAATGGAATCCTTTAGCCCATGCGCTTGAGATGCATGTCTGTTACAGGAACGGGCGGAGGTCCTGGAGAGAAAACTTCAAGATTTTGGATACACACACACAAGGTTCTGCAGAAAAGCTGTTCTGTTATTCGAGGGGAGCTGATATGGACAACACATTGGGATAACATAGTGGGATTGCGGTGCGAGCCACAACCAGATACCCAGGGTCTGTGGAACTGGACGGAATTGAAAGAGTTGAAAATAAGGGGGCGTCTTCGGTCGCGAAGCTTGCCCTGTGAAACCGATCCGAGGGTTAGCACTGATGTTGCTGCACATCTCTCACCCAGGGCTTTTGGCAAAGGTTGGATGGCAAAAGGACAGTTCTTATCAGCTAGGGATAGTGTCTTTCTGCTTCTTGCATAGAAACGTATAGTATCTGTTATAGCAGGAAGCTCCATCACGGCATTCCTCTTGTTACATAAATCTTCCTTTTATTTTGCGCTGACTATAAAATCTCCCAAGGCTTTAATTGCCAATAGCAAAACGTTGATTTACTGGAATTGTTTCACTGGAATTGATTTACTGGATGATTGATGGCTCCGGATACCTCGGTTCATAATGAATCCAAAGTATCCTAGAAGCTGTAATATTGTAATAGACGACAACGTAGGTAGGCACCTCACCCGGCGAATGAAATCTCAAGAATTGCATTAGGCTGCTTCGGATCCCGAGTAATCTTCTCCAACATGAACCGCGGATCAGCTATGTTGAGGATCTTCTGCCACTCAACGATGGTACGCTCGTGAGAGCCAAAGTACACTAGCATTGTTACATCCATCGATCTAACCATAAGTCAGTTCATCTGTCAGGAAGCCTTTTCAAGAACAGAGGCCTAGTAGTACTTTCCTAGACTTACCTTCTGCGTCGCTCCTCAAACGGAGATACAGTAAGTGGTTCATGCAATGTAAAATCATCAATGATCAGCCTCGTCGCTGGGCGCATCACCGGTATATGATTCCTCAGAATCTGGACACATTCGGCATCGGGCCAGTTGTGGAAGATGTTGCGGAAGTAATAGATGTCTGCGACAACGGTCTGTGGAGTAAAGAAATCATGAAGCTGCCAACTCACGGTATCATTATCGCCTAGAATAATGTGGTCACTATTTGATGTGCGTGTTGAAGGCAGACACGATGTATGGAGGCCAGCATCTTGTACAAGAAAGCGGAAATTTGGCAGTTGCTTGGCTAAGCCCAAGCTTATGACGCCGTTCCCTCCTCCAACATCAACGAAGAGAGACCCTGGTGCATAGAGTTTGAATGGGACGCTGCTGAGTATGAAGTCAAAATTAATCTGGGCGGCCATTGCGCTCATCGCGCTGTTCCATCGTTCTAGGCGCTCGGGCCATTTCTTGAGCTCCTCGTAGAGGCCAGATTTGGTGTTGTTAGCCAAGGAAAACCCCTGGAGACATAAAAACGAAGTCAGTGCTGCAGAAATTACATATTGGTTATTACGTTGAGGGCCTACGAACGGCGAGGAGACGTTACATCTAGAATAGCCGTGACAAAATGGTTGACTTACCGACTGATTTGAAGACCTGCTTTCTCCATATTTTACAAGAGCTTCGACAGACTATCTTGCAAGTGGGATTGTCAGTGCGAGTTGGTAAAACATCATACAACCGTTAGGCCACTCAACTCGTGCAGACGATGGAAAGCGTTCTTCGCAGATGATACCCGAAAACGAGCGGGTTCTCTCGTCCTCGGCTAGTAGTCTGGTGGCTGCTGTATGGGCCACAAAGTCACATTTCGGTTCCGAAAAGACATGTCGTGTCATGGCGAGGCGGAGGACGCGCTTCAAGTCGATCACGTTGAGTCCGCATCGACTGGAAAGCTCTTCAAACGAGACTATTTCGCCGGGTTGAAAGCATTGAGCAATGCGGTACCGATGAATGACCTGCATACACAGAACATCGTTTGCCTAGACATTGTAAGAACGCAGGAAAACTGGTGGTGGTGTTCAGGACGGGGCTCTGACGTTGATATCCTCCAGAAGACCAGCGGGTCCCAGAACAAGATCCAGTAAAGCTCGTGTAGCGCTTATAAGGGACTTGCGTGCATCTTGAACCCGCGCGGGACTAGAAGACGGAAGGATGTTCCTGGTGGGTAACGCCCCAGGGCCGAAGGATGGGCTAGGATGGCCACTCGATGAATAAAACTCGTCCAAAACCAATGCATTGTCACCGATTAAGCTGGCTAGTGTAAGGATGGACTCAGGAACCATTGTGTCTGCCTTGATTGAGTGGACCGCGCACAGATCAATACAATGGTAGCTGGACAATGTGACAGTTACGACGATTAAGGGTTCTGGTACGTGTTGTACACGCTGGCTAAATACTGTATGCTTTATATGCTGCCAAAAGGACAGGGTGTATGATATCGTCCAATCTACACTCAATTCTAATGTATATCCACTCGTGGCACTATAACTGTCGAAATATCCCAATCGAGCCTCATCATTCTATCACATGAGACTCATAGGGACTACAGTTGAGCATTTCCTCGGTATTCGCCCAATCCTACCTCATTCGACTTGCATTGCGTTGTTTCGCTTGTTCTCGGATTGGCTAAAAATATACATGCCCGTGTGCCTAAATGAATGGCGCCACCGTTTTAGCGCTCGAAGACGGACGTGTTCAAAACAAGTCCCCAGCCCCATTTGGGGGCGAACAAGTGGAGACTTCGGGGAATTATCCCACACTTATAGACAATTTCCGAATGAATACTACCCTGAAATATACGCTAAATAATGGCATCCAGGGTGGGCCCTGGCCGTCTAGGGCTAGGCCTCCAGATATTCTCCACCTGTTAGATTACAGAAAGTATTCCATGTCAAATTATGGATCCATCGTCGCGTCGTTCCAAGCGGAGGTACAGGCCCTGAAGTTTAACAAACCACCTGAAAGGGACGTTAGAATCAGATTAGCGCGTCGAGAGCCGGCTATAACCCCCGGACTTACCAGCAGTTTGCCAATATTTTGGCTTTAGGGTCAGCGAAATCTATGTCATACTCAAGTAGCAGGCATGGCAGGAGCTTGGCATGCTTATCAGTTAAGTCTACCCACAACAGGCCTTGATCGTAGTTATTCTGTTCTCACCTTTGATATCTCTAACAAACTGAGACCTTGTAGCTGTCAGCCGTATGGAAGGAAGCTTTGCATATGGGGGAGGGAGGGATATTTACTCTTGCCAATACACGTTCTCGACCCCGCGCCAAATGCGAAGAAGAAGCGTTCTAGCCAGCTAGGTGTTTAGATTTCACGCAGTTCTTCTGACAAGCACAACCAGGATCAGAGCCATACCTTTGCGGCTAGCATTACCTTCTAGCCATCGTTCGGGGCGGAAGACATCCGCATCCTCCCCGAAGATCTCTTTGTTACGGTGAATCACCCAAGGGTTGGTTCCAATGACAGTCTATTTCCCCCAAGTCAGTACATCTCCGTAGCTCGTTTGGGAACTAATACACAGAAAAGACGGTCAATTTCAGACTCGTTAAACTTACGCCACCAGGGATATGTCGACCATCCACCACAATCCCCTCCGGTGGTGTGACTCGTGGGAGAGACATTCCCACGGCCGGATGGCAGCGCAGTCCCTCCTGAATGCAAGCCTGCAAGTACGGCATCCTCCGAGCCACTTCATATGGGACATTTGCGCGCCCGATGCGGCCAGCCTTCGCCTCTGTGGAAATCTCCTGCATCAACTTGGCCTTGCATTCCGGGTACCTGCACAGATAGTAGAGAATGGCTCCAATGGAAATAGCAGTAGTGTCACTCCCCGCAAAGATATTGCTCGACGCCATGGACAATACTGCCGTCATATCGAACTGACCTGGACTCTTGCGGTGGACGTCCATCAGCTTTTCTAGAATGTCTGGGTGATCACCTTTGGTTAGTTTCCGCTGCTCGACTTCTCTCGCCGCGATCTGCCGTAGCATTCCATGACGGTTTGTGATCCCCAAGTAGTTGCCCAACCAAGGGGAGAGCCAGTCGTGGACCCAGTATAGCCACGGTACTTGACCGATCCACGCGGCGGACTGCAGCGCACTCTCGATCTGGGCGAACGTCCCCTTATCATCCGCCGTGTCGATGAAGCCAAATCGCTTGGAAAAGGTGAGTTCACCGATAACATCTGAGCCTCACTCTCAGCAAAAACAAGAGCATCACTTCGCAGTGAATGTACCTACCAAAAGCAAATAGTTGAGCCCAGTAACTCATATCGATGCGACGCACACTAGTCTGTGATAATCGCGTGAGAAAGACGGTCAGCACATCGTCCAGATAGGACTCGAGCTCTTTCAGTCTACTCATGGAGTAAATGGAATTGACGAGTCGGCGCTGGGCAGCATGGATGTTTGCATCTCTTTCTGGGAAGAGGTCGAATTTCCGCCGACCTTGCCAAACACTGTACCAGTCACTTTTGCGGAACCTGGATCCTGGTCCTGTAGTGGTCATGGTTAGTTCGTATACCTGGATAGTAAATAGAGTTGGGAGAATAAACAGCGGCAGGATAATCACATACCATAAATTTGCTGAATCGCGTCAGGATCCGAAGTGCTCAATTCATTCGGGCCTGTACGGACTAAGCTACCATACTTGTCGTGCATCTGGATCATAGTTTGATGCATGTCACCCCTGAGAGCATGGCGGACCATCCACAGGGGCGACCACCGAGCCCAAAATGGGCCGGGGACTGAGGAGAGAGGATCCCAGAGTTGGAGGAGTAGTAGTGGGATACCGATGGCCGCAAGAATGGCCCCTACTATCAAATAGTAGCTCGTGGCTGACCCGTTTAAAAGGGAATTGGACAGCATGGTTGATCTCAAGCGCGGGGAGAAAATAGTAGTAACATGGGTGTACGCCAAAGCGAGAGTGATGCAAGGGCTATCCATCCATTTATAACTGTGCTGTCCTAAAGCACTACTAAACAGTAACCACCGTGTTAGTGTTGCGTCGGACGATCACTCGACTATAGCACCAATTAGTAATAACACGCAGCCTCGGTTAAAGAACACCTGGTTGGTTAAACGATACCCACAACCCAGGGTCGGGGAATGAATGATCTTGGAGGTCAAAGTGTGGCAATATTTAATCGTCGACTTCCATTTATCCAGTGAGTCTAGTGATCGTATCTTTTCAGTAGGTACCAATATGACAGCCTCCCAATTTCGAATCAAAGAGCACACCATCCCGTGTGACTCGATTCGCGAGTATCATCATGCAGTGAAAGGAGTTGGCCCTGAATTGCAATTAGCAGTTAAGCAATACATTCCTCTGAACAATCTCGATCCTAGCCCAGACGACATTACAATTATCGCTGGGCATGCCAATGGGATTCCCAAAGTTAGTTGCCCTCCTTCCCTCCGCCTACATCTACTAAAGTTCGATACCTTCTGTAGGAGTGCTATGAGCCAATCTGGAATGATCTCATAACATCGACCAGCGTCAAGGTCAAGGCCATATGGATCGCGGACTGTTCTCACCAAGGGGCTAGCGGGGTGCTCAACGAGCAGATCCTCGGAGACGACCGTAAGCTGTGCCACCGCGTATCAACACTTCTTTGCTCACGACGATTCCATAGCAAACTGGTTTGATCATTCCCGAGACCTCCTACTCATGGTAAACCATTTTCGAAAGCAGATCCAACCTCCGATCGTGGGAATTGCACATAGTTTTAGCTGCTCGCAATTTGTGCATTTATCGATCATGCATCCTCGCCTCCTACACAGTCTCGTCTTTCTAGAACCTATGATCCAAGTCGAAAGCCCCAGCAAGCTTGGGGGCCGAAGTCCAGCTCTATGGGCCAGTTCTCGCCCCGATGTGTGGGCCTCTCGGAAAGACGCGGAGGCTTACATTCGGGGCGACCCATTCTGGCGTCGATGGGATCCGAGGGCTGTGGATCAATACGTACAATTCGGGCTGCGAGTCCGCCCCGAGTCGGTAACCCTTACAACTACTAAGGCGCAAGAAGCCTGGACGTATCTGCGGTTTAATGCTACTGCACGCGATTGTGATGACCTGACAGAGCGTTTTCTGAGCCCAGATCTCGCCAAAACGGCAAAGGAAGGAGATAATCACAATCCTAACTACGTAACCATCTGCCCCTGGGCTTGCATCGCGTTCGAGTTTCTGCCGTATGTGCGGCCGTCGACCTTGTTTGTCTTCGGGGAGAAAAGCCACATTAACATTCCCGCGCGCAGGCGGGATAAGCTAGAGCGTATCGGCACGGGGCTGGGGGGCAGTGGAGGAGTGGCGGCTGGGCGGGTGCGTGCTGAGGTTCTACCGGGCACATCACACATGGCGCCGCTGGAGAAGGTACGCGATACGGCGCATGTTATCTCACGCTGGCTCGAGTTACAGTCAGAAATATACCTGAGGGAAAAGGAGTTCTGGGGTCGCCAGTACAACAGCGGCAAGTCTGACCAGGATGGAAGGGTCTTATCAGCGCAATGGATGAGGTATATGAAGGAGCCGGTCGATACCAAGCGGCCTAAAAAGTCTCACTTGTAGCTGGCTATATCGATAACGTCCTTATCATGTCAGGCCTCGGAGGGGTTTGCTCCTGTATGATTTGCATCGTTACACACGCCAATACTGTTCACGTCGCATAGCATATAGACTACCGTTCAACCCGCTAACAACGATCAATGGCAACCGTCTTCGTAACCTGAATTCCTCCATTGCTAAGAAACGGCGAGCCTTGCCGCTTAGAAGATGCAACATTGCCAAAGGCCATACGAGTCAGAAGTGTCCTTCGATCATCCTGCTTCACCTCGTTTGGTTCGTCTCCATCCACCTCAGAAAGCAATTCAAGCGTACGGTTATGACTACGACGTGCGTATTTATGCTCACGACTGCTCCCTCCAATTGTGTATAGAGCAATTCCTCCACGCTCGCTGGGGTCGGTAGACCCCCCGTTCCGAGATGACTTGAGATACGGCGACATAAACCGGCTCCAGGCACGCTGAAGGAGTGGTCGGAAAGAGGGCATACAGGCCGCTAGGAAGTAAATTCCAGGTTCGATATCCGTCCACTTGAGCAGCTGAACAGACGTCCAGGTGTTATCCTGGAAAGCATCGTGGTTATAGAAGATCGCAAATCGTAGACAAGAAGTAATAATTCCGCTATATGCAGTGTAAGACAGGGAGACGCATTGCCGTAACAAGGACATCATAAGGGGGGGGAAACCATACGCTCCACCAGTTGCAAAGATAATACCGAGTCCGACCTTTTGACTCCGGGTGGTATGTAACCTACACACCATAGGTAGTGGAAGTATCAGCATTATAGCGTCCGTGACGATATTCGGGAATGACATCCAGCGGTAAAATGCCAATACGTCGATGCAGGTGCCCCCGCCCGCTATATTCTTATCCCACTGGTAGTGGATGGGAGAGCATTCGAATGTAGCAGTTAATCCCGTGGCTACGAAGGTCGCCGCGATGACTAATATAAGGGTGTAGCTGATAGCTCGCTCGTAGGGTGCTTTGAAGAAGCGCAGGTAGAAGCCTACGATCGATATCTTGGGTAAGGCCACTGCTAGCGCCCAGAGCCAAACGCAGGCATAGATGCCTTTCGACCAGGCCACTAGTTTCTCAGGACTCCGCGACTCGACAGCCACAAGATGGGTTCCCACTCCGGCAAGGGGGATCAGGACTAGGAAAGAGGATCTCGTCTATTAGGACGTGTTTCGTTCAATTCTGGAGTGAGGTGAGGAATCAAGGAATAGTTTAGGACCAAACCAGAGATATAACTCTCTATCCTGCTCTCCCTCTTGCTTGTGTATGTTGGAGTGTATTACGATGGCATAATATTGAAGGTGTGCATAGATGAAGGACTGTGAACTTACTCAATCCCTCAATGCACAGGATAATATTCACCACCAGTGCTGGCCAGATAAACCAGTCATCTAGACCCCTCTCCATCTCCTGTCTTTCTTTCGTCCAGACTCGCACGGTTGCAAAGACTATCTCCAGGACCATGAAAATGACGGCAGTTGCAAGTAGTTCATCACCAGAAAACGCGTCCATGTACTCTGGAGGGTAGTCCTTCTCATTCATCGCCATTGACCCCATGACTTTCGGAGCTACAAGCGCTGCAACGCAGAGAACGGAAGGACTTTTCAATTATAGGGACAAGGCGTACGTCGAGTAAATATTAGACAGGAGATAATTTTAAAGGCATGACCTCTGCGCATTAGAGAGCCTGTAATAGCCATGCAACTAATATAGAATTACGGCGCCGCATTGCCATACACTAGCCGCATGGAATTTCTAGTGGCAGATGTAGTGTACGCAGTTAGCCCTCGGGCGCGCTGCGTTTTGTTCTTCTACCGTCAGGGCCCAGGCCACGATGGCCCTAGTACGAACTAGTTAGGGCCGTACATCGCCAAACCTCCGAACATTTATGTTGGTCAGGCAACTAAGCTATCTCGCATTACGCTCGAGGGACGAGGCGTGTGATGCATATTTAATTGCACTTTGTATCAGCCAATGTGACGACTAGGCAATGTTCGAACCGTCGGCTATCCGAATCCTACAGGAGGAACAAGTGCCTTTCCCGAGTGTCGGCTATGCGGTCGATGGAAGCCGCCGTACAGTTGCTGAAGGCCGGCAGAATTTTCGTATCACAAGGATAGTGGTTAGCCTAGCTATGCTGACGAGGTTACACTCACTCTCTCGTCTTGCGTGAGAATCATACGAGGGGTGATCTGCAGTCGTCCCGATCCCTGTCTAGTGTAATTAGGATTGCCCTTATATGTTACGTAAGCAATATCGAGTGAGGCACTGCCCATATGTCAAGCAAAAAGGTGGGGAGAGTGAAGACAACTGGACGTTTTAGTTGATCTGATCTGTGAAGTGGGGTCAGAGTGTCCGCTGGACCTTGGCCAGGCCGAAAATTCCCAATCAATCAATTTAGAAGCTGCAGCTAAATTCTCCCATGTTTCACTCAGTATAGTGGGCAGCCAAATCTACCAAGTGAGACAAATCTCTTTACATAATTCACTAGAGCCCATGATAGGAATTGTGTGTTTATTGTTGCAGTTATGTCTTTTAGTACTTTACGCCAGCGCCCCGGCGGAACCGATATGCCCAATGATAAGCAACGTTGGGGCCCAGATGTAGAGACTTCCGGAAGACCGAAATAATAATACGCACTATACATCAAGTGAGACATTGCGCTAGAAAGTAATAGGGATATCCACCAACCAACTAACCGGGCTCCTAACTGGATTGATATATGCTCTCAGTTGCGACAAAGACTTTATTCCAACATACGTGTGTAACTCCTGATAGGAGAGAACATCTCCATCTATCGAGCTACCCTATGTTCGTGATATCCGCTAGATGGGAAGACAGTTGGTAAGCTCTCCTTAAAATCCCGCGTTCTATCACGTCATAGCTCTATCGACTATTCTGCCTGTTGATTCAATCTACGACCTAACTAGCCCCGAATTCTTCAAACAGCAATCTACCTCGGGCTACCACAGTCATACGTCCGCGAAGCTCTATCGCTTCGTTCGAAAGAATTCGGGAATTTCTTTTTTAGCGGGGCTTGGTTGAGCATCCCACTCTATACAGGAATGGCACAGCGAGGGCTGAATCTGCAAAGATCCTCGGGACGCTGACCAGCGAGATGTACCTCACTATCAGTGATGAAACGCTGCATGAAATTGTGACGGGATTTGCTGGATCAGGCTCGTCGGGCTCAGAAATTGTAGGTACTTCTATAGGTGATTAGTATTGCTTGTGCTTTCGCTTTCGATGAACCAAAACAAGCATTGGTCTGTGTACAGAAAGCATGTTAAGGCCCATGTGCCCGCGGCGCTATCATACGGGGCCTATTCAGCACAAGACCACCAATCAGTGAGCGATATACAGACGTCAATCTCGTAGGGAGCTCGACCCGGCAATATCACTTAATTATTTTATAGGCAGTCCTGTAAGGATTTTAACTCACCTCTGCAAATATCTCTCAGCAGTATTGAATGTATGCTTAAATCATGCGGTCTGCTACTCACCATTTCGATCGGACACAACCTGGACCACCGTTATGCTTCAGACGTAACTGTTGATGGGCCTTGGACACTTGCTGTTATAGTTCGTTTGAGAGGTTGTAGGCCCGTTTGGATTAATACTCTCCCGTTAATGTGCCGCATGAACAGAATCCGGCACAATAATCAGCCGTAGTGTCTAACTTTCGTAAACCTCGAGTGATATTCCTAAAACGCTAAATTTTCAACCTCTAAGATGGTCGGGTTATGGGATTCCTAGACATGCACTTAGTTGTAGATGCTGGCATTCATTGGTTGATAGAAACTTACATGTGCGGTGTCTGCTGAATCATTTGCATCCAGCTCGGTAAACGGGTGTCACATCGAGTAAGTTATGGAGCTGGTACTTCTAGGATGGTACACACCCTCTCCCTCCCTTCTCTTCTTAGGATTTTCTCTAATTCTTCGACTCGATCCGAACTCTCCTGCGACACCGCATCACTATTTCCTCAAATTCGACCCGTCTGCTCCGTCGTGAAGGACAGCATACTAATTGGCTGAAGTGTAACTTTGGAGCTACGTGCCCTTGGAGATATCGATGATGCGCACTAACCTCTACACGAGTTTGCCGTTTGTGGAATTATCTTATCAAAGACCCGAAGGTGATCCAGACTGCTCTATTCTTCATACCGCTATCTGAAGAGAACGCGAAAGGCCAGCCCCGCAGAAGGAACACACTCCTCGCGGACATTATACGGGACGAAATTTCTGCAGGAAGTTGAGCACGCGTCGGCGCTCAGCGGTTGAAGAAGCTGGGCTTCCGTAGATAAGGCCACCTCAATTGGAATAGGCCTATCTATGCCCGGAAGCCAGTTGGAGATACATGCTATTTCATCGACCAGTTCGATCTGCTAGAGCGCGGCGCCTTCCCCCCTAATGGGAGTTCAAGAATAGTTTCCTCTGCTTAACAGATCTCGAGGAACTGATCGACAAAGGGATCATAGTTCCTCCAAAAGACCCTCGCGTGTTATGGATACTACACGAATATCGCATCAGGGATGAAAGGGAAAGGTCCTGAAGTTTTGGAACGTTGTCAATGCATGCTCTGCTAAAATGTGATCTCGGTATCTTCGGTTTCTTTGGTTATTTATTATACGAGACCCTGGAGTGCGTTGTGTAAGCCGCTCCGCGATAGGAGTTCTTCCCAGGAGTGGCGTAAGAAAGAAAAGGCTGATTGAGAGCGCTGGGTCAGGGAGAACCGTAATGTCGTTTTGCAATTCCATCGATAGCGATAGCGTAAGCTTAGGGGGAACGATGAAAAAAGAAGAGCTATGAAGAAGATAAGAATAATTTAGAAGGATCTGGATGGTGATTGTTGGCGTTGGATCAGGCGTCATCATCTTCTCTCGTTCGGTTTGCACTCACAGCGGATTAGCTCCTAGTGATGCGATGCTGGAGAATAAATACTCCCCTGCAGGCTAGCAAACGACCTGCATTTCTTGGTGTCTCTGTTATGCTTGCTTGCTTCTATCTTTAATTTACAAAATACTTGATTTCTCCATTGGGGAGGAGTGCCTGGAGTCATCTGTTCGATGTACCGTTAATATTTCATTATTCTTTCTAGCGGCTAGAACCAATAGCCCCAGTCCCCCACACGCTAGGCCTGTCGAGAGACATAGTATCTTCTTCATTCAGGTATAAATTCGCCGTCTATATGTAGACGAGAAAAGGCACCAAATGTTAGAGTATAGCATGCTGCTGATAATGCGTTAGAGATGGTCACCTCTTCGACTCTAAAGTGGCATTTGCTGTAACTACTTGATCTTAATTATTAAGTACATAGCTCACGGCTTTCTGACTAGAGCTATCTTCATATTTACTGACTTGAAGGAAAGACTAAAAATAAAATTTCGTTTCACATATATGTTTGAGTAAGAAAGTGCATGTCACACCAGGCACAACACCAAATTTTAATTCATTCCTGGTCCTGATTGCATTCGGCAAAATACTCAGCAAACCATGAATCAATCACAATTTCCCCTGCATCTTTGCTTTAATAAACCCAATCGCCCCTGAAGTCTCAGCCCACGCGTCGTAGCATAATTTCAACACTACCTGCATCTCTTCCACGGCCCCCGCCGAGTGGTACTCAGGCTTCGCGGAAAGATGCAACTCCGGACTCAAGAGAGCTGCCCAAAAGTGCGTGTTTCGCCGGCCGATCGTCGTATACAATGTATGAATCTGTACCTTCAACTTTTTAGTCTCTTCCTGGCGTATTTCACAATCTTGAATTTGGCGATTGGCGACAACGACCGGGCTCTGAGGCACTGATAACTGGATCTGATCGAGAATTTCACGAGGGACCCTGGCACCAAAGGCGGAGGCTGACTGGTCCAACCTCACTAGGTCGAACAGCATCTTGATTTTCAGAAGCATCACAGCAACGGTATGGCTAAGGTCGACAAACTCGCTACAGAAACGGTCGACGGGTTCAAAGGCATCCGCATTTTTAATGTCATAGTAGGGTAAGTTTGTATCACCCCAGTCATAGTCAGACTTCTCACTTATCACAACCGACCATGTCACAAAATCATAGCATTCCTGGTCCTTGTTTAGACGGAGCATCATCGCTGGGACCACGAGCCGCACGCCCATATTATCACTCCGACATAGCTGAAGCAGGTCCATGCAATGGTCCAACCGTGCCTGAACGGATTCGACGTTGTTGATCCGAGACATGGCCTCCACCAGCGCAAATCGAGCTCGCATGTAATCTCGTGTGTCAGGGAGGCCCCAGAAATCACCGACGCTGGTGTCAAAAGGGTCTCCCGGTATTCCGCGCAATGCCTGTTCTCTCTCCTCCATGGACACCCGGCGTCGTCCGATAGTGCTGCATGCAGACTTGTGCGAGGGGTGGTGAGCAGTTTGATGGTCCCGGCCACAATATGGCATCACCTTGCACACAGCACATCGGAGGAGTCCTTCCTTCTTACCGCAGATCCCACAGCCAGATGGAAGATTGAATAATTCCATTTCCCCTGTTTTCCATTTGGATAGAAGATACCATCTAGCTTGATTATTCGATGTTGTTGGTGCAGCTTGTCAGGTGATAGTAGTAAGCAAATAGGATAGAGGTTAAGCCTATCTGGGCAGGCGGTCCAGTCATGCCATGGACTCTCCCCGGATTGAAGCAATTGCCCTAATATTAGTAGTAACACTGGTTCATGGCTTCCTCACCAGGACCTTTTGATATCAGTAAACAAGAGCTCTCCACAGTCACTCGTAAAAAGTCTCCTACCATATGCCCACCACACCCTCGTCCACAGAGCCTTGTTGCCTTTTTCATCGAACTTTACCATAACAACGCTTAAAAATGGCCCCCAAGCGCGAAATGCTATACCATGCAGTGAAGAACGTTAGGGATATGAGTCAGCGGAGCATTGAGAGATTCGAATAGGGTGCCATCGTAACGCTGGGACGATCTGTAAGCTGGAGAAGGAGTATGAGTTGGCGACAGAGAACGCCAAGCTAACAAAAGTAACTCCTGTGGAGTGGGCTTGCTCGGTAGGTTACGTCGTGCTTGCTAGACAGCAATGGCTTACGAAATTGATGCAACCAATTTGACGAGGTAACACCGATTCCCGAGAATGGCTCCCAATAATGAGGCAAAATCTCGAACTCTAGTTGGCGTCCTCCTGGTCCTCACTATGTCGGAAGGTTTGCATTGTATCGAGGCCACGAGAACAAAACTGTATACGATATCCTGAGCGACGAGAAACCGATATACCTTCTATATTCCTGATAGTGAGAGCCGGGCACGTTAACAAATACCCTGATTTTGGAGTCCATTACAGACATTACATAGTATAACACACTGGATCTGAGATGGTCAGCCTGACTCCCAGATAAAGATCGTCGGTATCCTCTGGCAGATCTTTTGACAAGCATCCCTCCTGTGGCCTCATCCGAGCGTCTCTCTACAAGGTTTTATATCAGATTGTCGCATGAGCGGCTAATCTTTACCTCATGTTGCAAAAAGGTCCCCTCCCGTGTCTATTGGCCAGGCCAGGAGTCCTTTAGGTGAAGGGAGGGAAATACTTGATCCCATTCTTTGTGGCCTGACATCCAAAAAACCTAACCAACGCCTAGCAGAATAGCAAACAGCGTTACCGAATTCCGAAAACGTTAAAGACCGGGTAGCCCTGACGCAGCTACTAATAGCTCCTGGGCTTGGCACGAGCCGGAAATGTAGATCTGGATCTGCCATTAGGACGACCGTTTTTAACCTGACGAAGTCTTGAGGCCTGACGCTAGAGAGACCCTCCTCCGCCCTCCTCCCCCCTGGAATCTCCGACAGTCTCAGTTTGACTTGTTCACAACTTTGTGCGTCTGCGCGCTGCGGCATCAGAGATTACTAAGCCTCTTCGCTTTTTCTGTCTTGCTTCCTGAAGTTTTCCTATGGCAACCTCCAATGCGAAAGGCGAAGCTAACGTGAACAACTTGTGTTAATGTATTTCAATACCCTCCACAACGGTTCAGCAATCATCTTCGCCTCTATATGGCACGACATGCCAACGCATTGGCGAGTAAGACTGCTGTTGGAGTATTGCGAAGTGTGGCATCATAGGGATAAACATAGTCTACAGATGGAACAGGGGCAATGAGGGTTCGTGTGTTGCGGTGGAGGGAGCCCGGAAATAAAGTGTTCAAACAGCCATATAATTCAGTATTGGATCTGTGGGTTCTATATATCATCACGAGATGAGCTTCCATGTGATGCATGTGACAAAGCCCTTGGTATTGGCATCAAAAAGAGTATGGCTACTGATGTTGAATGTATACTCTGTCAACCACTATATTGAGAAATCCTGGCGGTAAACATGAATATCTCAAGTCAGAGATCATACTCTGTACTCAAGCTTAATGACTAGTTACAACGCTATAGTCAGGTGTCACTGTGCGAATAAGATAATTTTAAAGAGGCCATCCATCTGAGGATTATATAGAGTGACATCGGGGAGTTCAGAAGGGCCATACCCTGTTCAATTATCTTTCCACATGGATGGTATTCTGCAGATATTAGCTCACTTGCACGTTTTAGTCCAGCCTGTAACTTACAGAACTTCAAGGACTGCACTTTTCCCTTCTCGAACAACATTTGCAGCCTCCTTGATTGCGAAGTCTAACTTGTCTTGTTCGTTGACGGCAATGCCCCATGCCTTCCCTGCCGCAGTAGCAACCCCAGGGTAATCAGGCGATGGTTCGAAGGATAGATTGAGATCTAAGTGGTGGTGTGGTGGTCCAATTAGCCCCGCCAAGTTGGTCTACCTACGACGTCGTTGCCGCCGGCATAAAGATAGGCCTGATTCAATGACTCACCTCGTCTGTTCGATTTTGAAGCTAAACCATCTTGGTGCACAAGCAAAGCCGATAATTTTGGTGCATTCCACCCGCCATTGTTTAACACGATAAGGAGGAACGGGATGTTGTACCTCCTGGCGATCCAATAGACGCTCTCCATTTGTGAGAAAAGGAATGTCCCATCTCCAACACTGCTATCTGGTTAGGCTCCATGAGATTATATTCGGCGTTATGAATGCTCACATTGCACAAACGAAGGATCCGGGTTTGGCCAGCTTCACTCCGAGTGCCGCACCGCCTCCCCAGCCCAGGCCACCAGCACCGCTTCCAACCAGCGTTCCTGGCTAAGTTTTACATTAACAAGAATAATTTGATTCGTTTGGGAAGATAGTATACCTGAGTCAAATTAAGGTGTTGGATAATGGAGCTAGAGTTAGTAACAGCTTCGACGAGATAAACAGTGTCATCTGGCAGATGGTTTCGCAGTCTAGAGGCAAGGTAGGAGACGCGTATAGTGCCGTCCTCAGATGGGGATTCTAAATTGCGTAGCTCTTCCTTCCAACCCGAGTAGCGCTTTGTCCGTGCCTCAAATGCCGAAGCATATCTTGTCTTTTCAATACTCTGGCTATCAATGAAGGCATTCAGTTGCCAAAGTGCAACCTCACAACTAACTTTCAACCTGCGTGTCGTGTTTATTGCGAACACTGTTAGCACATAGTTAGTAGGGCTATTAGCTTAACCTCAAAGGTTACGTACGTGGCATTTGTTGCTTGAGTGGATCAACATCGAGGTGAAATATCGTTGTGCCTGGAGGCTTAGTACATGCATGGCCAAAGGAATTTGGCTTCTTCACCCTTACCTTTCCGCGGCTTCCCAGCGTTAGGGATCCAAGGCACATCACAATCCAGTATTAAGATCACATCCGCTTCGCAGACTGCCGGATGCGTGGTGACAGTAACGCCAAGATATGCTTCGTGATCGCTACGCAAACACATGTCGGAGCCGACAGTCTCAATAACACTAATGGGAAGCTTGTCGCAAAGCTCTGCTAACAAGGGTGGTGCTCGTGGATTGCGACCTAAATACCCTGTGATAACAAGTGGTCTTTCGGCGTTTATGAGTGATTTCGCAATGAGCTCCACCTCTGACGATATGAGCAGGAAGCCCGATATGCAGTGAGGTAAATTCTAACCTGGTTCTGGCAGGGCGCTGGGAACAATTGGACTAAGCATCTCCCCTTCTAAAAATCGTCGTTCCACATGCTAAGTGTCCCTTTCATCAGCGATCGTTTCTTTAGACCACCTTCAGGGTGTATACCTCTTCGAGTACCTCCCTCGCTGCTGTGAGGTATACTGGCCCCTTGGAGTCGGACATTGCAAAATGCAATGCTCTATAAACCATCTGTTTTATATTACGTCCAGTCTTAATCTCACCCGAGTACCTGCAATACTGCCGAACAATTGCTGCTTGGTCCGGTACGTCCTGCAACCAATGAATGAACCTACAATAATGTTAGCTCGATTGAATAAGACGCATGAGATCGAGCCGTACTCCGTCCTCGATCCGAGAAGCTCCCCGTTCTGAGTGAAGGGACTAAGCCCGGCAAAACATAAGACTGGCACTCTACCAACTGAAGCGTTGTGGATAGACTGCCCCATGGCCAGAGTGCCGCAGTCTACATGTACGATGACACATTGCTAACAATGTTTCAGTAGGTGCACAGGTATCAAGCTGACGTATATCATACCGGAATTCCCGTGACTTGAGCATATCCAAGGGCAGCAGACAATGCGACCAATTCAGAAGGGCAAGTGATGATAGTAGGAAAGGTGGGCGAATTATCTGCTGCGTCGTTAGCTTCGCTCCGTGTAACGTGTCCCATGGTTAGTACCTTGCTTTGCCTTGATCATGGCTTCCAACATGGCAGGATGATCGCTTCCCCTATGCTTCGTGTTACACGCAGATCAGGCACGTATATACTCCATACGGCTTACAGATTAACAAAACAGTGGGTAATACCAGCCTCCGCTTAAAGGTTCATTAGTTACTTACGGTAAAGGATGCGGACGGATCTCGACATACAAATTGCTTCAAAGAAGCCTTCCGCAGCAGAGGTCAGGTTGCCATCCTTGACTAGCTCTTCAGGGACACCATGATCTGGACCCTGCAGTCCTCCATTCTTGCGCTTCATCATGCTGGATTTGTTTGTCTGCTTAGGGTGACACCGTTTCCAAAGTCTACGAGGTAGTCATAGCGGGGTAGATATAACATTTGAGGCGTGCCGCAGATCGACACGCCAAGTAAACACGGCTTCGCAGAGCCAACCGTTTACGACCCTGCGAAAATACTTCCATCGGACCCCGCATATACGTTATGTGGACCAGGAGCAATGTAACTGTACGAGTCACGTTGCCGTTCGTCATGGCTACCTTGCAGCTAAGGTCATCCATTGTATGGAAGGTGACTCCCCATGTAGCATATCAGATTAGGGTTGCATCGACCTAAATCTTGATCGATATCAACACACCGTTTACAAGGATCTGTAATAAGACGTCACCATAATCCACATTCCACAACCCCGTATTTTACCATAAAGATCACCCAGTGTGTGTAGATCTAACTACGGGACAAGTCTAGCACAGTAAATGGCAGCAACTGGAGTATTTCGCAGATCCATCTCGCTCTACATACACGACTATGATAGCCGATACCACTAAATTCGATTAAACCTTTGCAAAATCCTGTGTGCGGTCAAAAGACCTTTAGATAGCAGCAACTAAGACATTCTAGGGAATACGTTTCAGGATAATAGTAACCTAATTAGCCTTCATAAGCAAAGATAAAAGACTGGCCAATGATATTGGCCGATCAGGTCACCATAAGTTCTCGATATCAAGAATTGTACTCATATTGACTCATCGAGAGCCCTATGCCTGTTTCACTGGCCTTTAAGATTTATTGATCACCTTACCTGCTCTCCATACCAAGGAAAACAATCACAGCAAGGAATCCGCAATTATTTCCAAAAGATGGGTCACTCCGATACCACCTTTCGGAACTGCAACTAGTCTCAAGCTGCCATCTACGCACAGTCTCGTCGCTCGTACCCAGACAAGCTCTACATTACAATCATTAGCCCCCATGCGGCGACAGGTGGACGCTTTGTCACCTAACTTGATATCGGGTGTGGTCATGGGAACGCTACGCGCGACCTAGCTCCATCATTCAGGACAGTAATTGGAGTTGACCCCAGCCCAGAGATGAAAAACACTGCTCGTCAAATTGGGGGGAGGACCAAGCCAGATCGCATGATTAAATACGCCGTCGGCGCAGCAGAGGAGTTTTCTCATTTAACCGAGGCTGAAGGAGGTGTCGATCTTCTTATCGCTGCTACGGCAGTAAGTACCATCGACCCATTAATATCCTTACCAAGAAGCTTAGTATAACTTATTATATACAGGGCCCACTGGGTTTTCGATGCCCAAGTTCTGGGCTGAGGCAGCCAATATCATAAGGCCGAGGGGCACAGTTGCTCTATGGACTTGCGCCTCGCTTTACTGCCGTAGTTATGTGTCTCCAATGACAGAGAAATCATGTTGATATCTCTACCTAGACCAATCTACCCAAAATGCAGACGAAGTGCGAACACGCTTGATCGCCAAGGGCAGGAGATACTCAAGCCGTACAAACTCACCGGAAATAGGCTATCTGCTGATCTCTACGACGATCTACCCCTACCATGGTCGGTGGATCCCGCTGTGACGGCGTTCCCAGGATCGGATTTTGTGCGCGTTGAATCGGAACGTGATGGGATTCCATCTGATGGGGAAAGTTTCTTCATCGGCAAGGATACTACGGTAGATGAGCTTGAGCAGAATCTTGGAACAGCCAGTATGGTGACTCGTTGGAGGGAGGCGAATCCGATAGGAAACTCGTGTGTGCTCTTGTTGTTCAAGCGGTGTTAGGAATAGGGGACAAACTAATTAGATAACAGCCTCACTCCTTTCATGCGCATCCTCAGTCTACGGGTAAATTACACTAATTTACTCCTCAAAGATTCTAGACTTAAGGACCGGGCATCTTAAAGTTTCATGCACAGTATTCTCATTCGAAAAGGGTCGGTGAATACAATAGGTCCAGCCTAGCACTCTACAGTACCAGTGTAAGCTATAGGGTTATTTTAGGCTTCGCCGCTTCATGTGCTGTTCAAAACAAAATCACGAAAATTTAAACTATATACAACAGTAACTAAGTAGTAATATTTCTTGTACGAAGCTTGCATTGAACTGCGCTAATGGGTATGAAATGATGGTAGGAAAACATGTATTCGGGGTATATCAGTTGTTTGCCGAGGGATGTCGCAGTCTCAACTGTTTTCGCCAAGCGAGGATAAACTAGTGATCTCTCGCGGTAGTTCTAATTCACACTGAGTAGCTTTCAATTGGATATCTTGTAGCACATCTTTTGCTAAAGGCAACCGACCTGCCCATGTATGAAGAGCAGTAAAGGAGCTCACAAATGACCCTGTACTTTCCTCGTTGTCAAGATCGTCGAGTAAAGTCAACAGCGCAACTTTTGCGTAATGAATATAATTCAACGGCATATAGATTGCGGGCCAATAAGATGTATGAAGCCCAAGTAAGAGGGATAACGTACGGGCCGCAGACACACGGATATTGCCAATACCAGTCCGCAACGTATTTAGTTCACTAATATTTATGGAAACACCGATACCATCAAATATAGAAATTATGGCATTATGGTATCTCATGCTATCAGGAAGCAGTGTTAGTGGTAGGGTAGAGGGGGGATGAGAGGATCACCACTACTAACTGCATATCAAGTATTGCCGGGGTTGGTCTGCCGGTTTCCAACATTGCACATTCAGGGATCTGGAGAGCCCATTCCTCTAGACGCTGTTTAAAGGCGTTGGCCATGTCCTCACTGCTGGAACGAAGTTGCTGCCCGCTAGCTCCAAAGAGGCTGTTAGAAACATCCCACAGAATGAGCTGTAAGTTAAACAAGGCATTAGTCACGCAGTTACCGTGCGTTGACACGGAATCAGACTTTAACGGATACGGAAACCACATGTCCCCTTCACTATGGTCTTGAGGCGGCCGCTCACACGTGGGCTCTGGCATTATAGACAGTTGGTGGAGGCTAGCAAAAGCGACACTAGGACGAGTTAGATAGCTGCCCCTGCGTTTCGAGTAGCTTCACTCACGGAGGTACGCTGAGCGAACCAATGATTGCTACGTTCAGAGCTCGAGAGATTTCTTGATCCTGCTCCCTCGCTCTCGCAATGAGTGTGTTCCGTCTAATCATCAACTCTTGGGCACAGTCAGCAATCTCCACCAAATACTGCCAACCCAGCATATTCTTTCCCATGCCGCATGTACTACATGTATGATTAAGTTAGAACAGCACGTAAAAAGGGTCGATGTGAAAAGGTACCTGATATACATCGCACAACGGCCTTGAAAACCCGCCAAGGAAAGTTTGCCTTCTTCCTGATCTAAGTGCCACTTCGCCTCATTATAAAATTCCAGTCCTCCGGGACGAGGAGACGTTGATAGAGTACTCAGAATCGGTGAATTTGAGTAAAACTGTGCATTTGTTATTTAGCATACTCTTGCTTGTGTATTGTTCATGAGGTAATTCCTACAGAGGCAACGGCAAGAAGGGCATTAACGAGAAATGCAGAGCAGAACAGAGAGTCCGTGCAACCACTCTGCATGTCTCTGACGAACAAATTACGGTCAATCCAGCTTTGCACGGGGTGGTTCCATGTAAAATATAACGATATAAGATGTGAAACATAATTGTTATCATCCGTCACTGACGTCCATGGCTGTGCTGGTACACGGTAGAGAGGATCGTCATGTAACTACTCATCGTTCAGCGCATGGTGAAGCAGATTAGGGCATGGATGAGTTCTGACTTCTTGCTGACCATGCTCCAACTCTCCTGGGGTCTGACTTTCAGCAAGAGACTGCCGGATTTCATCCAACGAGTCGTTCCTCCGGATAGAATCCAAGGCTCTATTAAGCTCATGTTCATTATCGTTGCGAATACTTCCCACCAATCCCATTAGTAAGCAGCGATCTCGCTCCAAAGCCTCCAGCCTGCGTTCGATGCCGGCCTTGCGGCGGCCATCACTATACTCGTCGAGGATACAGGTTGCCTGGCTATGTTGGCAACGGTCACACGGTACACCTCCACTGCACTGTAATGGTCAATGGCAACATAAAGGAGACCCGAGGGGTGGAGAAAGAATAAGTCTATAAACGTGCCTTCATTCTGCGTTTGCGGCATTCTGTGCAAGCTACCGGGGCCTTCTTGGTACGTGTCCGAATGGCATTCTCACTTCGAGGAAGCCCAGTCGAAGGTGCAGACAGGAGCAGCCTCCCCGGTGGGTGCGATGCCATGTTACGATGTCAAGTAAAACAGACTTTGGTGTACATAGGGTCCGTAAAAGGATGATACTTTCGAATGCATCGGGACAAAAGAAATAAATAAAGAGGTAGTTATAGCTAGGTGACGTGTAGGTCAGGCAAGTATGATTTAATAAGCCCTAACCATGAAGGGTCGACGATCTTCAGCAAACTTGGAACTTCAAGGAAACAATATTACATCGGCTATTTCTTCCGCCCAATCGCTGCCTCTGTGGCCAAGGCCGTGATGTAATTTTAATTATCAGGAATGAAAATCCTACCTGGAAGTGTCACTAAAGAATCCAATGATATTGGAGTATTTTTCCCTCTTAGTAAGGTGGAAGATACGCCAGATAACTCCTTGACTAGACATGTCTAAGGGGGGGCGGCACAGGCCATATCCTCTACTACCCGAAACCATCATAAAAACCTAGCGACCCGGTTTTTCGGCTTCACATCATATATTGCAAACTACGTATCGTAATACCTCATTAGAGACAGTGGTTATCTTTTCTATCGTTCCCCACCTAGTTTCCTTCCGTTCATCTTATTTCCCAAGCTAATGGGAAGCCACATCGTCCATGTCGATACACTTGCAACCCTTAGCGATAAAACCGCCAGGAGTCTTTCGTGGTCCTAGCGCCTCTCTACCCAAGAAAACGAAAACATCAAGTGCTTGTATATCCTGCAAAAACTCGAAAGTAAAGGTAACTAGTTCCTCCGTTCTCCTAGTCACGACCCAACGGGCTAAGACATTCGTCGTCTAGTGTAGTGGGCAGCAACCTTGCGCAACCTGCGTCAAGAAAAACCTCGAGTGCGTTGTGGATCCAGAGAGTGACGGGCGTAGGAGGATACAAATCAACCGTAAACTGGATAGCCTTGAGGGAGACCATGAACTCTTTGTTCGACTTCTTCGAACTCTGCGCCATCAGAATCAAAATGTGGAGAAGCTGCTCAACTACATTCGCGAGGGAAAGCCTTCTTTACCGGAAATCAAACAATTCATGGACCGTGAATTGCCACCACGAGAAGTGATAGAGACTCCAGAACTGATCCACATCGACGAAGAAGTCAGCTGCGGGCCCCAAGGGCCCATCCCTAGATCGGCATATCGAGCTCTGGACATTTCTCGGCTTTGTGATATACCACCATTCACCGGCCCAGCTCATCCATGGACCACAGTCACCGATGATAATGATTTTGTGTCTCACTTGATCTCGCTTTATTTCACCTGGCCTCATCTCTTCTTTAACTGGATTGATCGAGATCTCTTCCTGAAAGATTTCCGTTCAGGAGATCTGAACTCTACTTTTTGTTCTCCATTTCTTGTTAACGCAATGCTTGCGGAAGCCTGTGTAAGTAATGTTCTTTCCTAATACGTCAACGAAAGGTGTTGATGGTTTGTTGTTGAGTACTATTCGGATTATCCCGAATCCTGCGCAGTTCTAGGGGATATCGCAACTAAAGGCGAACACTTCTGGAGGGAAGCAATGAAGCTCCTCGATGCCGAGGAGGGCCAAATTAGTCTCACCACTGTTCAGGGTATCGGGGTGATGTACTCATGGTAGGGATTGTTCCTCGATATTACAGTGCCCTTTTGTTACTACTACTGATCTTGGCCTCAGTGCGTCAGCCATGGGCAAAGACCGTCTGGGGTGGATCTACCTTGTCCGAGCAACGAAGGCGGTCCCAGTGCTGCGTTCTAATCGACACGAGTTATTAGGCAATGTCGACCTTCCGGAGCCGGTTATTACGCGACTGCTCGATCGCTTAGAGCTTGGGCTTTTTAGTTCAACGGTGTATGCTTAAGTCGCCATCTGTACCAGAAGATGTACACTGACATTTGCGTACAGGCTTAGTTGTCTCTGCCATCAAAGAAGGCCGCCAATGGACAAGCCCACTCATATACGACTACCTGTCCATCAAGGCGGTGGAAAAGAGTGGTTTCCATATCCTCGTCAGGTAGATCCCGTTCCAGCAGCACACACAAACTGTGTCATAAATCAGAGGGCGGCTTTAGGGGAGATCGCTTGGGACCTTAGCTATGGCCTTTTCGGAGACGACGCCAGATCGCCGCGTGCCGATATGAAAGAACTGGCGACTCTATGCTACGGTCGCCTTCTGCAGTGGAATAATGATCTGCCCGAATGCATGCGTTGCACCGATGACTCTGTTCCCGAAGTACTAAGTGTACAGTAAGTTACGCTCACACTGACACTGACCATCTCTTAACGTTTGTATCGCAGTATGTGCTATCATACCTTAATCATGTCGACTTTTTCCTTTTTCAAGACTCCAGTTCCAGACGCTGACCAAACGGCCTTTGAGTTTGTATCGCGAGCCCAACAGACTTGCATTTCGTCCGCACGCATCGTTAGCGATCTCGTAGATATTCACATGACTCGATGGGGCACTGAGCGAGAGACAGTTCCTGATATTCACTGGATCTACACAGCACTCTTCATACTCATCGATGACCTGAACGAAGAGAAAAGCCACAACGCTTTCTTGCATCTAGCGAAAGCGGCTTTGTCCTTTGGTAGGCGATGGCTGCTCACCAAGGGGATGTTCCGCCTAGTGCAAATCGCTACAAATCAGGCCAATGGGTTCCTGCCTCCGGATATCATTGGTCTTTTCAAAGAGTTCGAACGGCGCTTATGGAGACCTGAGGATCGTCGGCACTTCAGCAGAGCTTACCCCAATGTAGCCGCCAAGCTTCGGCAGCAAGATGATAGATTGATTTGAGTATCGCCGTACCAAGCGATTCAGTCATTTCTTTCCGAAGTACACTCTCCACTCCCACTGAATCAAAGTCAGCAAAGGCAATTCGATATGCAGGGCATATCCATATTGAATGATTATCTAAGCAGCACATACAAATCCCCCAGCCAATTGCACTGTCGAACTATCTTTATGTAAATTAATCTGGGTTTCATTCGATACTCTCATCAGGAAGCTAATTAATTATGATATGTACAGTTGCTGATGATCAGCTCAAAATCATTCGCCTTCCTTGTTTTTGAGAAAGTGTCCATCTCACGTACTATGTCAATCAACTGACATGGGTTTAGAGCAGGTTAACTGCTGAATAGGTCTCCTGTGATAAACGTTGGGCTGGCGAATGAGGTCTAGATGTCCAAATGCCGGTGTCTACTATATGATAATGATCGGTATGCTTCCGAACGAGGGTCATCGCCGCAAAACAAGGAAAAAAACGGAGAAAGATTGTAGCATTCAAGTATGAGAGTCTTGAACTTCCGGTCTGCTTCGGTCCATTCCTTGAGAAATATGTGTCCCACCTCAAGACGGCGAGCATAGTTAGTGTCCGACTTCCTTTCAACGAGCATTACATGCAACAAAACGAAGCTCTGATGCTTTCTCCAGGAGGAAGGCATAAGCGTTGGATCTGGGCAAATAGAACCATTCATATCCCAGCATAATAGGCCGTAATGTAAATCATCTTCACCAACACCCATCGTAGGATATTCAGAATATCTTTGATCAATAGCCGAGATAGGTACAATCATCAACCCAACTAGTCAATGATAATGCGATAAACTCTCCAGTCGTATTCGTGAAAGCACATTTGTTATATGATGGTATCCGAAGCGCACCGGAAGATAAATCTCTTTTTGATCGGACAATAAATAGATGTAATATCCAATCTGATTAATGTTTCAATGAGAATTTTGCCGTCTGGGTATGCACCAGGATGTGGCCGGAAGCTATCTCAATTCTCTTCATGGCATTTACCATATCATTCGCAAGCCCACCAAAGGGCATCTCTCCAGAACGCGTTGGGTGTAGGCCGTCTAGCGGCTAATACATAAAAGGTTGAGGTGCTCAGAGATATCTAGACCGGGCGTTAGCTTGCAATGCAACCCGTCAACCATGCTATTGCAGCCATAGCTATATAACTTACCCTGGGATTACTCTTCCATCTCTCACTACTTCTAGGCTCGCACATTGCAAGGCTTGTTACCGATTCCTGATCAGGAGCCGTCCTGATTGCGAGTCCAGCTAACACCTTCGGAGGATGCTCTATGAGATCTTGGTGAGATGCCCATAACCAAGATGGGAAGCCGTCTCTCCTATTACTTGGGCCTTTACGCTTGTGAGACCAAAGAACAGCTTTGTCAATCTCTTAAACAAGCGGTCCATAATAGTTGCCTTTCTCGCTATGGGATACTCTTGATATTGCGGAAAAGGCACGCAAAATATCGGGACCATATGTTAAATGCCTGGATGTGTACTGTTTTAGTGCATGGCAAGAATTGTCTAAGGTGGGAAACTGTATGATGTAGTGCAAAGATGTGCATAGAGATGGTTCTAGATTTGTGAGCGTCACATCGCCTATTTGTACAATCTCATGCATCTAGGGGCGGACTCTAGTCACGCCCAGTAGCCCGTAGCTTGAATCTTTGCCTGCTAAGGCAACCAAAGTACATAAGCCGCACTGGCAGATGCAGTCCATCTGATTGATATGTTCGGTTTTCTCGTCTTCGTTGTTTTGATCAATGCACACCTGGCCAGCCCAGAGAAATCGCCTCCCCATTCGTTCACATGCGTGGAGCGCATCTTGTATTGTTAGAAGCAGACACTCTCGTTCAAAGGCCGGCCATAATGGCAAATGTAATCTTTTGCTTCTACCATGTACATAACTGAGGGCCACATATTAACAACCCAAGGGAGCCTCAATCACGCGATTCTGGCAGACATCGATAACTGTCAAGTTGCATGGTCGCTGGGGCGAGCAGTTGCTTGACGCTCTTCCTTGCGAAGAATCGAACCAGGTCCCGGACCATTCCCCAATCGACAAAATCCCCTGAAGTGGAAAGCTTTTGGACGTTTCTACATTCATACTTTCCATTTATGGAGATCACCCCCTTCACTATTGGGAGACGGGTTGCATATAGCAATGGTTGATGATTCCTGCCAACCTTCTCCATGGAAATAGCAAAGCGGATGGATTTACACGAGACAAGAACAGGCCCATTGTCCCAAATCGAGACTATCATCATCCGCTCCTGCCACCTCCCCATATGCAGTAACAATGTGGGTGAAGAATCGGCAAAGGGAACAGATTGAACTTCTATGAAAGACACCACAAAGGGGCTCTTTGACCGTCACGGTTTCGTAGCACCCCAAATGCAGGAAGTTAATCAGATGCGACTCTCTTAGATGGTGTCAAAGTGAGCATAAAGCAGTCTCTTCCACGCTGCTCGGCGGACAATAAATGGTACATGGGAGGTGGAAAAGGTCTTAAATACATCGATCTTGGCCGGGCTCTGGAAACCACCAGGTAAGCTGTTTGCAGAAGTTACAATCGGCTCTATCTTCCTCGGAATCTTTCGACATGTTTGAGGCTGAGAACTAAAGACAACGCCAATTCAACAACTTGTTCAGGATCACAGAATAAACCCCTCTAGAAGGCTCTTCTTGGCATGTATATCCACCAGGGTCAGATGTGAGCCCATCGCCCCACCATTGGTAGGAAATAATCGGGCGAAAAGCTGGTATATTACGGCTAGGCAGCAGTCCTTTTGATATACACTCTGCATTTGGAGATAGTTTCAGAGCCTAGAGAGATACAAACAGAGCTTAAAAAACCGAAACATCTAGAGAACTAACTAATATTGTACCAAAGAGGTGCTTCTGCTAACCAGACTACCTGGATATAAACGATAGTAATCAAGCCTTCCCTCGGTTTGCAGTACATATCTCAGTATGTTATTTTTAAGGAGCCTATAATATAGCCAGTTGCCCTTACTCTTTACCCAAAAACTGGCCCTTCGCGCGGGCTGGGGACATGGTCTCGTGATGACTGGATGAATGGCGCATTGACCGTATCGCTAGGATTCTGACTAATTAGCCTCGTATTTATAGTAAATGCGGGGAGGGTAAGCCATATTGAAGAGAAGCTAACTTTCAAACCGATAGCTACGCAGCCACCAACCTCCTTCCCCAACGTACCAGATCCAATCTCTTATATAACCATGGGCATCGCGAAGGCAACTTTGAACGGCGCCCTTCTCGCCGAAACCTCTACCTGGCAGGAAGTTGATGAAAATATCTACGTACGACCCCATGTACCCCTCTTTATTGTCAATCTAAGCAATAATGTGTAGTTCCCCGAAACGGCAATCAATAAATCTCTATTCATAGAGTCGGACCACACGACATATTGCGGCTGGAAGGGAGGTGCAAAATATTATTCAATTGTGATTGGAGGTATTGCCTCCAATTTTATATGGCTTCTTGGTAAACGGTGGTAGAAATATGCTGACGCTGCTAGATATGATGGTCCCCAATGCGGCGTGGTATTATCCGGAGCCCTACGAGAAGGCAAAACATATCAAGAACTTCGTGGCCTTTTGTAAGTTGACCGGCTTAGTATCCTCGTACCGTGTTTCCTTATGTTCCCTTTCAAGGTCCACCATACTGTGTTGGATACTAATATATTGTAGATACCAATAAGGTAACCGTTACTGTTGAAAAGGGTCCAGGAGAGCGAAGTACATAAAATCTTTGGCTGTTCGTTTTAAGGGTCAGCCACAAGGCATGGTAGCATTAGTCAACTCGGTCAACAATCCCGTCCAATCAGTATCTTCCATGGCCAGATTAGCACTGTTGTCGAGCATTTCAGACCATATATCCTCCAGTTGCCTTTCGTTAGTATCAGCTACATCATCCGAAAAACCTGCCGGAGTTCCCAATTCTACCGTAGTCGCTGGCGTGTAGTTGGGGTCGGATGTATCTATGGGTTGTCTTAGCTCGTCGCGGCCCGTGGGGTTCACATTCGGTGACGTATTACGGTTCAACTGTCCAGTGGAAGTGGCCAGCTTGCCATGTTTCCAGTGCTTTTGTAGCACACCCATCATAGCATTGATACCTTCTTTCACCAGTGAGGACGACAGCTGGGCGTTACTAAGCATGCGGCAGGCGTCAAGGACTTCCTCCTTTCGCTTCTCAGCAAGAATATCGTCCCAATTGAAACACATGTCTAGTAGCAGGATCACAGCAGCCATAAAAACATGATGCATAACAGACCAAACCACTGAACTTGGAGGAGTAAACTTTGGTTCGTCTTCGTCCATGATTCTTTTGATCTCTAATACCTTCCGTGCCGATTGAAGGCAGACGATATGGGAATAAGAATAAGCTGGTTCGCGAGCTCCCCGGATTAAAAATTGTCGATGCAGTCGGCACAAGCGTGAGAAGTACCCTTGTTGCAGGAGGCACCGTTGCCAGGCAATGGATGGGCGGCTTTGGTACAGAGAGGTGAATCGACGCCTGGAGGCTGGATCCAGGCGGAAGAATTCCGGGATCTCTGCAAGGCCTTGGTGAAACTTACGATCCAGCTCAAGGATCTTATCGTAGCTGATTTCTAGCCCATTCAGGTGTTCGTAAGATGTAGAGTCAATAACTTTACGACATACAATGCCGAGTTTGAGTCGCTCGAGAGAAAATGACATGTCTGTTGGCGTCGAGGTCGGTTGCGATACTTTGTCATTTCCTTCAATTACCTCATCGTCTAAGTTGAGTGGCTGGTCTACCTTCATATGTTCGGGGTTGACCAGATACGTCCATTCTTGTGGGCCGCTCAGAAATCCAAGAAACCTAGGATTACTTCAGTTAATATTGATGTGGCCTTCTAGGAACCAAACCTACCAGTCATAAGACGCAATGTCCCACCAAAGCCGCCTTTTTGTTTCCAGCTCCACCGCGTCGATTGGATTAGCCGCCCTTTCCTCGCGGCATCGTGGAGAGTCGATACAGTGCAACTTGAGGTTCTTTGCGTGACTGACAATGGCGCCGTGGACAAAGAGGCCACTGACAGATGGGTGGCAACTTATATTAGATGCGTGATGCATGATAACCATTGCTGCTTGTAGCCCCTCGGTCGTCGGATTTACGGGATAGCTACTTTGGATCAAAGCAGCGCCAGTCAAGAATGAAAACTCACGACTGCAAACCTCCGCATAAATGGATGACTCCACCGATAACTGCAGAAAGAGCGAACTAGCAGCAATACTGAAGAGGAGGGCCAGATGGCTCAAATTAGGCGGCTGCCCTCCCTCAATGGCCTGGTAAATCCCATATATCTGATCCTCCACGCGTTTGGGAAATATTATGTGGTACAGGTAGTCGACATAATTGGTGTAGTATCGAAACAGTGCCATAGATTCATGTTTTTGGGGTAGAAAAGACAACAGGTCAATTGTCGCAGGGTTCTCTCGGGAAGCAGTCCAGTTACGGCAGGAATTCGGTAACAATGTTCCCAACGAAATAAGATCGTCTTTGTTTCTTAGTTCGTTGAGCTCATCTCGTAACAACTTTGGAGTCGCTGTTGGAACTCGGTCCCCCATGTGGATGTTCTCCAGCCAGTCCGCTGTCCTTAGTGACTCTCGATTGCGATACGACGGCGGAGAGTCTGCCATGGGGTGTGCATCCGCATTGCATGTGCCCTGCAGTTCAAGCGTATCATGTTGAAACGATAAGTTTGTTCTCCTTCGGTTCGCAACTTCTGATCCCACTCTCTGGATATCCGCCATAGACGGCGCAATGCCGTAGCTGCACTGCAGCCTCCGGGTGACACAACTGCTACATGGCTGCTGTCGGTTGCATTTGAGTTTTTTGCGTCTGCAGGATTCGCAGGATACTGGATCCTGCCTTGTGGCACGTTTTTGAGGTCTGTCAAGAACTTCTGACGCAGTTCTGCGCTTCATATCGTGAGTTGTCGATTGACCTCGTGAGTCCGTCGTTTTCCGCCAATGGATGAAGTTATGTGGTCACGTGATATATAGATATGACACAGCAAGAGCAAATAACAAAAGATAAGAACCATATTTACCAAATAGGGGTAGGATATTCTTCCCCAGAATAGGGCGAGATTATCTTTCTTTCGGTCGTTGTCCGGGCCTCGTGTGTTCATTTATCAGTGAAGGACAGGATTTTGACCTTCCGAGCCCTGTCGGAGCATCCGCGGATACTCCTCCCGGAGCCAATGAAAGAGTCGGCTCAACTCAGTTTAATGATTTCGTGCACCTCCACGGATTCTCCACGAGGCCTAGGAGTATTTTGTCCCTAATGGTTAGTCGAGGAGATATAAATGGGGTTTCCAACCCTTCAAAGCGGAGCCAGATTATACAAAAACTTGTCACACATCTTCATAAACACCTCTCTGAACGAGAAACCGGGCTTGTCCCGATATAAAGGAGCTCTAGCACACAACCCAATCTGTTATAATGGCCAATATCAACTCAATGCCACAAGAGAGGCCTCCGAGCGAGTATACGTAAGTCACAAATTCAGTCTGTAGAAACTTCCTATAGCCAACTCACCCTCGCAGACCGCAAGCACGCTTAACGATCCTAGGTTCCTTCACGGGCCTGTTCTGCACGGTTGGGTTCATGAACTCGTTCGGGGTATTTGAAGAATACTATGGGGAAAATAAGCTTGCTGATCAATCCGCATCAACTATCGCATGGCTTGGGGCAATCAGTATCTTCTGCATCTTTTTCATGTCGGTTTTCTCCGGTCAGTTGCTGGATGTGTTTGGACCTACTGTTAGTCGATCCCATCAAGTCGATCGGATGCATGGACTAATACGTAATTCAGTTAATGCTTTGTGTGGGTTCACTAGGGACTGTGTTCTCACTGATGATGACGTCGCTCTGCAAGGAGCTCTATCAATTTATCCTCGCCCAAGGATTCCTTCTCGGTATCTCTCTAGCACTTCTAGCTTGCCCCATGATAGCCCTTGTGGGACAGCATATCAAGGTGAAACGCGGTGCAGCGCTGGGTATAGTCCTCGGCGGTTCTTCTCTCGGAGGCGTGATCTGGCCAATTGTCATCAATGAGTTGCTCCGGAAGCCAAACATTGGATTTGAGTGGACCATGCGAATTGTTGGATTTATCATGATCCCCCTTCTCGCTGTGTCTTGCTTCTGCTGTCGCCCACCCAACACAAGCCCGATCCCAACTCAGCCACCCACGTCCGTTGACAAAGAGGCTGTAGTAGGTGAGAAAAAGCCATCGGTCCACAAGACGGACTTTTCAGTCCTCAAAAAGCCCAGTCTCCAACTCTCCTGCCTCGCATTCTTCATTATCTATTTCGGAATGTTCTCTCCATTCTTCTATACCACTTCCTATGCAGTCTCAAAAGGATTTTCCAACAACCTGGCATTTTATACCATCTCGATCATTAACGGCGCTTCATTCTTCGGTCGCATTCTTCCAGGTATAATCGCCGACCGGTATGGAAAGTTCAACTGCTGTATTGTCTTCGTTTTCTTCTCCGGGATCATTGCTCTCTGCTGGACCAAAGCGACATCCGTGGCCGGACTAGTTATCTTCTCTCTTGCATATGGCTTTGCATCTGGAGTGAGTCTACCCACCCAAAACAATCCATATTCCTAAAACTGATAATTATCACTTAAAGGCAATTCTTTCGCTCCAACAAGCTTGTGCAGCGCAGGTTTCCACGCCCCAGACAATCGGCTTAACCATAGGTACCGTCATGGCAGCAACATCGTTCTCGTACGCCCCACACCACAGTTTAAATTGCTAAGAAAAAACACAAAAGCTAATATCGTGAGCAGAGCAATGGCTGGAATCCCCATCAGCGGCGTACTAGCGGGTAAATACGGATATCTAGCACTCTCGGTCTACTCCGGCGTGAGTCTCTTAGTAGGGAGCATTCTGTTGGCGGCGGCGCGATTCACGCAGAGCACGGAGTTGATGGCTGTTGTGTAGCGGCTTTACGTTAGGGATGTTGTGGATTTCTAATATTGTGTGTAGACTATGGTATCGCTATTCTTGGTCATCAGATAGGGCATTGATATCTCATTCCACTCTCCATGCGGAGTTAGGAGCTTGGGTTTGAATATAGCAAAGTAAACTCATTAGTCTGTACATAACTATGAATATCTGATAAACCACGGGGAGGAAAGAGCGAACTAGTGATTGACTTGCAGCCACTACTCAAGTTACTGCCCAGATGGGGCCTCCGATGGCTCAGGAACTTCATGGAAGTGTACCGGGACCATGAGGGAGAAAGTTCGAAGCTACATAGCCTCTCAGAACCTGGACCAAAGATAGGTGTGGTGACAAAGTGAGTTGCTTACCCTACTCTCGACAATATCCCAATGTCGATATGACCCAAGTGCACCCTTCGGAAAGTACACATCAAGCCTCTTGAGACGGTTGTCCGCGCCCCAGATATCCAGGAGCTGCAGCACGAAATTCTTATGGGGATTGCCGAGTAGAAGAGCTGCATACTGGATTCGCTGCAAGAACTGCTCGCAGATAAATTCGGCGATGTCCATCTGTCGCATACTACAGTGGCTACCTGGAGTACCATACAAGTCGACAGGGATTCTGTACAGAACCTCAAGGGCCTCCGCTGTGATCTGCTTATTGAGTAGGAGGATGCTCGGTGTGGTACGCGTGATGTATATGCGGGGTTCGATGCATAGAGGGCCGCGCTTCCTGTATTCGATATTACCCACTTCTATGTGGTTATGTCGGTATATATCATAGGCATTTTTGTATTCGTTTGGGTTCATGCAATGCAGGTATATCATGCGTCGTATTTCGGGGGGGAAATCGAGAAAAGATGGCATTGTTGAGGGTAAAATTGAGGAATTCACCGCTTTTCGCACTTGACCAAAAACCAAGTGGCTGAAGGTCTAACCTTGCAACCTCAATATATTCAACAAAACTTGAAATAGTCCATATAAATGGGGGTACGATGTAGATGTAGATGTATGTAGTAAGTAGTATGTAAGTTGGTGAGATCCTTGGGAGGTTAAGTCGTAACCAAGTCACGCGGCCATCCTATCACCTTAATTGAGACCATTAGGATACTTACGATTACTAGTAGTATCGCTACTAATAGTTCTCTTTAACAGGTTACAGGTCGGATGGCACCGTTCTAGAGGTGAGACGCCGCGCTAGTCAATCACCTGACTTATATTACGGCTTCCGGCGCTAAACATACTCTGTTTTAATTACCCGGCATGTAAGCATTACATTACACTAATGTAGATTTTGGATAATTCAACTGCTTTCTAACTGCTTCCTAACTGATATCCAATCAATTATTATACTTCATTATTTGCTTGAATTTTGGCCCGCCGTTCCATAAGTTCTAATTCTTTCTCTTCATTTTGAAGCTGTTTTGCTTGATTTTGAATTTGTTTTTCACGTACTTCTTCCTCTCTCTCTTTTAATTGAAGCTCTAACTCACGGAGTTCTAAGGCTTGTCGTTGTTGCTCAATAGTTAGGATATTCTTTGAAGACACCTTACGAAGGCTGCGAGAGGAAGAATACGTACTTGGGTATACGGGGCTTTTAACAAAATATTTATGGAAGATAAATTGAAACTGAATTTCGCGGTAACTGGTACAGTATTTAAAAGCTGAGGTGCCGCCCCTCCTGCCAAGACCAGCGGGGCCGGCTTGCGGCTTCTCTGAAGCGGCACCTGACCTGTGTACTCTCTATTTAATACAGTGGCATCCGACGTGTAGATTAGTCATGCTAACAAGCCAGGGCTAGTTTCATGACTCAACATAAGTCTCTTGAATTTCCGTTATAGTTTGTTCTATTTTCATTATTGTTAATCACATTTTGCGTTAGTTTCATCCGTCGTTAAATACTCATTTGTTGGAGCAGAACTGTATATAGGTCCGTCGGCTAGTAATTTAAGTATAAAAGACCGTCAAGCATTTCGTAATTGTCAATGAGCCGCTGACGGTGCAGTGAAACGGATTCTTGAATATGAATCACAAAACAAGGCATAGTAGAACTATATATTATCCCAAAGAATAAAAGCTTGAAGTCCAGCTTGGATTTCTGCGAAGGCAGTTGCAGAGATGCAGGAATTGTTATTCCGCCATGGCCAATCTTATCACCATGTGACCCCGCGGAATTTTTCCGAGTCCGCCCTGCAGACGACAAGTGGCCCCGCAATTGGTTCAATTTATCTGATCAGATCGGAACGCTTTCTTCGGCCATTTCCGAGTCCCAATTTATTTCTCTTCCATTTTTTTTGGATCTTCTACTTTTACACTCCATATATTTCACCCCTCTAGCTTGTCGCTTATATTCCTCTCCCTTGTTAAACCACTCAATCACTTTCGGCGATCAAGTTTGTCGCAATCGAATTCTCCGGGGCTTCCAATTCGATCTCGAGCGACTCCACAACCCCCCAGATGGACCGCGATCAATTCAGAACCGCTGCCCATTCAGCGGTAGATGACAGTAAGCGCTCACCACCTACCTATTGAGTCGACGGTATAAATTCTAACATATATCCATAGTCATCAACTACTTTGACAGTGTTCCCGACCGGCGCGTCACCCCCACCGTCAACCCAGGCTACCTACGTCCTCTAATCCCCGAACATCCCCCCGCTGAACCGGAAGAATGGTCGCAGATCCAGACGGACGTCGACACCAAAATCAAGCCTGGCCTCACACACTGGCAACATCCGAACTTCCTGGCCTTCTATCCCGCGACGGTCACCTATCCTAGCATCCTGGGCGAGATGTACTCCGCTGCCTTCAACGCCCCCGCATTTAATTGGCTGTGCTCGCCGGCCTGCACAGAGCTGGAAACAATTGTCTTGGATTGGGTTGCGCAGGCATTGAACCTACCGAAATGCTTCTTGAGTTCGTCAGAGAACAAGGGTGGTGGTGTTCTTCAAAATAGTGCGAGTGATACAATTGCCACCATGATGATCGCTGCTCGGGAGCGACGGGTGCGCGAGCTAGCGTTAGCGGAGGGTCTGAAGGAGGGTACTCTTGAATATGAGGACCGACTAATGGACATCCGGCCGAGATTGGTCGCATTGGGAAGCAACCAGGCACACAGTAGTACCCCGAAGGGTGCATTGATTGCAGGCACGCGGTACCGTAGCGTCCCCGCCAAGCTGGAGAATAACATGGAGATGACCGGGGAAGATCTACGGTGGCTTCTGGAGCAATGTGAAAGGGACGACCTGACACCGTACTACATCACTCTGAGCATGGGAACAACGAGCACGTGCGCTGTGGATCGTATCGCGGAGATCACGGCCGTGCTCCGGGAGAAACCCTCGTGGCAGAGGATCTGGGTGCATATCGATGCAGCGTATGCCGGTTCGGCTTTGATTGCAGACGAGTTCCAGTATATTACCAAGGATCTTGCCGAAGGAATTGACAGTTTCAATTTCAATATGCACAAATGGTTGCTGGTCAACTTTGATGCAAGGTAAGCGCTGCTTGGTATCGCTTGCTGTTTCCATTGCTAACGATTCTGGTAGCTGTCTCTTTGTTCGAAACCGCTTCGACCTCACAGATGCCCTGGATATCACCCCCGCCTACCTGCGCAACCCCTACTCCGAGTCCGGCCAGGTGATCGACTACCGTAACTGGAGCATTTCCCTCGGTCGCCGATTCCGCGCTTTGAAGATCTGGTTCGTCATGCGCAGTTACGGTCTTACCGGGCTGAAAGCACACATCCGGCAAACGATCAGAGTAGGCGAAGAGTTTACAAGCCTAGTGCGCAGTCGGTCCGATCTTTTTGAAATCATCACCCGGCCCGCGTTTGGCTTGACCGTTTTCCGTATTAAAGACCCCAGAACACAGGCCAATGGATCCTCGGTCAACGGAACTGCCGTCGCGCACCCTAATGAGAAGTACGACACCCTGACGAAGGAAGTCTACGAACTCATCAACTTGCGCGGCGAGATCTTTATCACCTCCACTGTTATCGCTGGTATCTATGCGATCCGCGTGGTGTGCGCCAACGAAGCGGCGGAGGAGAAATACCTCCGGCGGGCGTTTGAGATCATCGTTGAGACCACGGACGAGGTGTTGGGTCGGTCAAATTGAGCATATCTCACCATAGTGGTGGGTAATGGACGCGATATGATTATGCACTTACCCCTTACTGAACATTAGACGAATTACGTACAAGTCCTTCAATTGCATAGAGTATTTAGATGTGTTCATTGTGTATATCCACTGGGCATACAAAGCCCAATAATAGGCGGAGTAACTCTGTGTCCGTATCTCGGATATATTCCGAGGCCATCGGCGTATCTCCGTTATCCCCGCATTCTGAGATCCATCAGACATCTACAACCAGACAACCACTTCGTCGTTCACTTCTATACCCAGCCAATTATTAAAGAGACAACGGATATGCCACCACCAACACCATCGTACGCTCCCCACCCCACATCCACACCCTTTACTAACATCATCCCAGCCACGTCCTGGTAACAGGAGCTACAGGCTTCATTGGCGCCCATGTAGTTGACAACCTGCTCGCGCGCGGCATAAGTGTCCGCGCAGCAACGCGCTCAAGCCAAAAAGGAGAACAGATGAAAGCCGCTCGGCTGCAACACGCCTCGCGACTCGAGTTCGTCGAGATAAAAGACTTCTCCCAAATCGGAGTCTTCGACAATATCATGGACGACATCGACGGCGTAATCCACGTCGCAAGCGTACGCCAACCATCCCTCTCCATTGATTTCCAATTTATATACTTCCATACACATACATATACTGATATATAAGAAAGCCATTCACATACAACACAAACAACAACGAACAAGAACTCATAATTCCCGCCATAAATGGCGTAAAGTCCATCCTCTCAGCAGCCGCAAAACAGCCCCTCATCAAACGCCTCGTTCTAACCTCCTCCTTCGCGTCCGTGGTCGACATTAACAAAGCCCCCGACCCCGATTTCACCTACACCGGCACCCACTGGAACCCACTCACCTACGAGGAGGCGATCTCCCCGGCCACAGACGCGGTGGTAGCATATCGGGGCTCGAAGAAATTCGCCGAGCTAGAAGCGTGGGGGTTCATGGAGCGGGAGAAGCCGTCATTTGAGCTCGTTACGCTTTGTCCGCCCATGACCTTTGGTCCGGTTGTGCATCCTGTTGCTGGCGTGGGGGCGTTGAACGAGTCGAATGCGGTGTTGTGGAGTATTGCTGCGGGAGCGGATCCGTTGCCTGTTGCGAGGGTTTCGGCGTGGATTGATGTGAGGGATTTGGCGGAAGCTCATGTACAGGCACTGCTTAGGCCGGGGGTTGGTGGCAGGCGGTACGTGCCTGCTTCTGGGGAGGCGTTTTCGTATGAGGTTGCGGCGGATATTATTAAAAGGAGGTTTGCGTGGGCGGGGGAGACGGTGACAGGGAATTATGAGAGTGGGAGGAGGCCATTGCCGGGGTATAGGTTGGATGGGGAGGCCGTGACGAGGGAGTTGGGGGTTGAGTTTAGGAGGTTTGAGGAGACGGTGGTGGATTTGGTGGGACAGGTTAAGGAGAGGTTTGCCTGAGTATATATACTCTTGCTTTAAGTATAGGTGGGGGGTAAGCTAGGGTTTGCGAAGGATGATATGTATACAATGGATAATCATCTACATGTCTCTATGACAAAAAAGGACATCATAGAACGAATTTGTTTACATTGTGATGTTTTAGACTTGTATGCAATAGAGAGAAATGGTAAGAGAGGGAAGATTTTTCCTGCGCGTAATGGGGATGAAACTGATATTTCACGAAAATCATGATTTCTTGAACAGAAACGAAATAAATGAAAGGACAAGACAAAAGAAGTAAGGGACGAAAAAAATGAAAACGAAAAATAAACGGCCCGAGCCGCGGATCGAACGCGGGACCTCTCGCAGATATGCTTGGGTTATTTCCCTAAGCGAGAATCATACCACTAGACCACCCGGGCGTTAGATATTCTCGGTTTTCAATTTTGACTTTATAATCCACTATGAAAGTAGTACCCCATGTCGCCAAACTGTGGTTCAAAAACTGGGGTTCAACCTCCAGTCTCCAAACAATCCTAGCTTCAAAAAAATAACTCCAATTCATCTTTGCTCTGTCCTACCTATATTGACCTGGTTTCTGGTGTGAAATTCATGACACTACTGATTTAGTACATTTATAGTGTAGTATTAGCTGCGTAATATTTGTCGCATGCTTCGCCATGGGATAGACCCTGGTCAAGCAAGCTATATATATAATAGGGCATGCGGGACTATCTTGTATATCGAGTCTACTACAACCACAGTATTTGAAAAAATGAAACACACTATTCTACATTGACTAAGCAATTTATCAATGAGAAAGTTATACTCTAGTAAGTTTTCTTAATTGAATGCATGTTCGAGGAAGGAGCGAGCAAATGTCTCGCAAGGTACATGCTTAGCCATTCATTTGTTATGGAACTTCCTAGTTAGGTATTGTTCATGTCCTTCTCACTATCCATGCTCATCATTTGAACGATGAAAAGCCCTTTTGGCCTCAGACTCATCAGTGAAACCGATCGTCCATTTCAATACCCCATATAACTCTGCCGATTTCGTTCGCAATCAACCCCAGCCGTGTTCGAAGCATACGCGCACCCTATTCATCAAGCTCACCCCCCTGCCACCCCTGATTACACGCATGAGCTGGTCACTCTTGGCTATCCACACCAAGATGTCATCCAGGCATGCCACGTTGCGAACTAAGCTGCCATAATATTATTTCTGTAGCACTGCAACAGCAACTGTCATAATGATCAGCCATGCCAAGACCGAGATACTCAACCACACCGTAGCGGCATTCGTCTGAAGCAGTTCGACTCGGTGGGACACCCTGACCATAACCGCCTGGTTAGTATGCGATATGGGTTTATGTTGTCTTGCCGCGGTGAGAGGTCATAGGGAGAGAAAACGCCGTCCCCAATAGGCCCTAGTCCACCGGGTAGGCTAGCGTCGATGGACTGATACACCCAGCCTTCCGTGGCAGTTGAGAGATTCTTGCTGACACAAGTGCTGGAAGAAGGTTATGCAGTTTTTTTTTTCCGGATAGCTGGCATAGGGTGTCCTTGCTGAGGAGTGCTGCGGGTCTTGATCAGCCATCATGTACATCGAGTACGTCATCAGGTCCATATTCAGTCCGTTCGCGCGGTCGCGGATGTTATACATATTGCCATCTAGTCCTCCAGTGCAGATTATAGAGACAACACTTTTCCCCTTGGAGAGATTGATGGTGTCGGCTGCAGTAATGTGGCCAGCACGCAATCTGGAAATTTCGGATGGTCCAAGTGTCCGGGTTGATGAATACTTCTGAGCTGGCTACTTCTACTAGGGGCTGGTAGTTCATCGTGAGAATATGTTACCTCGACAAGATCAAGTTCTCGTCAATCGAGGCTAAATCCAGAGGCGATTAGGGGAAAAATGGAACAAACAGAAAGGTGTCTGTTACCTCTTTAGGGTTAGAAGAAAATTTGCCACAATTTCTAGCTATTTGCTTTCCTGTATCGGCCTCAGAAGATCTGAAAGAGTGAGCGAAGTGGCTGACTTTGGTTGTCAGAGATCCATGATTTGATTGGACATATATATATGCATGTTGACGACTTGGGTGCAGGGACCATGTTGCGCGTGAACAGAAGGCCCCTGTGACGTGTCAGCACGCCAGAACTTTCCGTATTCAGACACAGTATCTGATATTCCTTTTTTTTTGTATCTAACAGGTCTCTGACCAATGAAACCCTCCATGGGATTGGCTCAGGTCTTGCTTCAAATCCTACCCTACCTGAGTAGGTACATATCTTCCAGCCCCGCTTCGTCACAAGGTCAACCCTACGTATTTGATACCGATGAGCAATATTCATCAGGTGAAATAACCCAGTAACCTCAGGCATTATTTGGCACTAACTACGGACTGGCCTTTCAGATGTTGGGCTTCTCAAACTGGTTTCAAAAAATCATGCACCCGGACGATATGGTGTACTGTCAGCCTTAGGGCAAACGGCGTGGCAAAGCTATGTCAAAAAGAAGATAGAATGATCCATCCCAATTCTTACAACACGACTCCCACGAGGTTTGGGAGGAAGGAAAAACGAATAGCTGGCATTCCAGCTATTGGCCTGACCAATGATGGACTCGGATGCTGGCAATGAGCAGCAGGAACTCCTCAATGTGATTATCGAAAGTATCGTGGATGAATTCTTCACGGAAATCCGGAAGGCTACGCTGCCCGAAGCTTCTCTCTGATCCAATGTAATAAGCTGTAAATAAGCTAGCATTCGAAAATCCTCCTCTATCCCGTACTAAGGTGCCAGAGGCCGTCGACGATTACCAAGATTACGTCTGGTAATCTATTGAAAAAAAATTTGAAATCTTATTATCAACGAGGAGATCCATGGATCGGGGAGTTGGTTCAGAATGTAGCCGCTCGGGCGAAAGAAATTACACAAAAGATATTTGTTGGAGCTGGAGATTACGCCTAAGTTGGCCATCATGGGTCTGTATGATTTTGTTACTGTGTGGTATTCCCCTACCCTTGATGCACTTTGATCCTTAACTGATGACTGGGGCTAGATGACAGCAGTTCAATGAAGGCGCCAAGCCGTATCGAAGCACTCCAAGATACCTGTCAGCGTGTCGTCGATATCGCCGGCCTTCTTCAGCAGCAAGGAGTTTGTCTTCGCTTTTTGAACTATCACTATGACCAATACTTTAACCTGTTGGGCAATCGAGAGGTTATCGGGAGAAGAATAAAGGAAGTGGAGTGTAAGGGCAAGACTCGACTGGGTACTGTGCTCCGAAGAAAGATTGCTGAGCCGTTGATCGTTAATAAGACACGGCTAAACCAGCTAAGAGGCCAGTCATCACAGATATCATAAAAGACGGATGCGTAAGGATCCCTTTGTCTCTATTTATTTGTATAAATATTGACTCGAGCTCTATATAAGCCACTCGGTGAAGCTACAACTGGTTTCGAGCAGGCTGTCTTGGACTGCAAGAGAAGTTTAGGCGAACTTCACTTCAACTTCAAGCCAGCGAGTGCTGTATTCCTTATTTCCCGGGTCGACGATGATCCCCAAGGCAGAGACAATTATGAGTGGTCTCAGGAAGAACAAGGACCTAGAGGAGATGCTGTACTGCTGTCCAGACCAGCTGGATGCGCGGCAAGATGTGTCCGCTAAGGCTGGAAAACACCGTAAGACTCTTCGTTTGTGGGTGCTCCCTCGTGTCCGCTTCTAAACAAGATTTGGACGACCATCTATCTTACTTCGTCCCTCATGGTTGATAATTTATTTGCGACTGTACTGGAAAGCTAGGCAGATACAGAAGCGTAATTTGGTTAACTTTGTATAGAATGCTGAGCCCTATAATAGATCGACATAAGAGTACGGCCGGGGTATTCTCTTGTTCTCTTTTCCTTTTTGCTATATTTTATTTTCGAAAGACGCAGATTAGTTGATAGCATTTCCTAGCACATTGATACTCGTAATACCGAGCCTATTATTATGGAACCCCAACTCATTATCTCAAATCTTCATAATATATCCATCGTTGGTAATACGGGTAAGGTGCCGTACTTGAAGCGTAAAATGTTTACCATTTCTCCCGCAGTTAAAGCCGATGAGCAGCTTAAAGCTAAAATTAATCAATGATAATCAGTGAGGTCAATCATAGGTCGATTTTCTCTACTTTAAGTTTATTGTATGGCATGCTTTAGCTCGAAAGTATGCCCTTGTAGTGTTCATGAAGCGTTGTATGTAACATATGAAATCTCATGCATACTCCTGTTTATTATATTTTATTTGAACTCCCCTAAAGCGATACCGATGAGTGACCCAGATAAAACCACTAGCCGAATGACTGTGAAGCATGATATCATGGATGACCTGGATGACTGGGAAATTATAGGTTTGTTGGACACGTCAGATTTCCCCTTCATAAGTGACATTATTTATCCTATGCAGGGCATAATGGCTCACGTGATAAAATGACTCTCCAGATTCTGCCAAATATTTGTCATCACCGCCTGCCTATTGCAGTGAAAATTAAAGCGTGTCCAGCGCGCGATGATCCTCATTCCTGCGCAACAGCGATGAACCCCTTTGTACAACGGTCCCCATTAGCAGCTTGGCATCCGGTTGGCCTGGCCTCCGCGTTCCCAGACCTTAGTCTGGACAATGACTGCCCCCGCATCGCGCCAAGCTGTAAAGCTTTCAGCATTCCCAGCACAAGCACCGGGGCTCCAGTCGAAGCAGATATTGACCTACCAGGAAATTTGAAGGACCAGGTGCTTGTGTTTAAATACAAGGGGAAAATCCATGCCATTGACCATGTAGGTGGGCCAGAGATGGACTATTGGTATTGAGCTAACCCATGCTAGCAATGCCCTCACTCGTCGTTCCCCCTTTCCCAGGGCAGCCTCTTCGACATTGAAGACTTCGGTGTCGTCCTTAGCGCCGGACTCACTTGCCCTAAGCATGGCTGGTCCTTCGATATTTTCTCCGGACAGGCAGACCGTGGCAATTACAAGCTCAAGGTTTGGGAGGTACAGCTGCGCGACCCCCCGGTGTCAACCGAGGACGGTTCCGAGAGCACCGACAAGGAGGTGTGGGTGAGGCGGAAGCAGCGAATTGGATAAGGAAGCGGCTTTATTGTTGGAGGAAATCTTGTCAGCTGCGTATAAGCAAGTCGACCAAGCCGGATCGACCCCGCAGGTCCCGCACTGCCGATTGACATCCGCATCTCCAACTTGCCGAGAAAACGGTGGCATGGTGCTCCTCGTGATGGATCACTGTACCCTACAATCCCTTGAACATGGGAGGCCGTGATATGGGACCATCGCGGGAAAGATAGCGAGACGCTCGCCCCTTTAGTAGAGGTCAGGTTGGGGCAGTCGAGTGCAAACGTGCGTCTTGACTCTTCCCGCCTGCTTCGCTCTAGGCATGCCCATCGCCGCCGTATTAATGGCATGCAGCCTCATGCAGTAGTGGTCGTAGTTGTCCGACCACAGAACCAGGTCTTCGAAGCGGATGGGCATGCTCACTGTAAATTCTCTCTGTCTTCTTGCTTCACTAGAGTTTATCGTACATATATCAGATAGAGCAATATTAATATAGAATTTTGACCCCGAACCCAACCCGTTAATAACTTGCTTAGTTCCATGACTGGCTTTCTACCCCAACTAATAGATACACTTACGGCAATTGGCAAAAAGAACTTCAGGAGAAGCAGATTATTCATATCTCCCGGTGTCTATTGTTCAGCTAGAACTACTGGGCTATAAGGGATGGTGCTCGTCTCTAATCTAGCAATGAATGTCTAGGTGGCTATGTTATAAACAAATTCGGAGTTGTGTGTTTCTTTATCTATCCTTTTGAATTTTTTTCTCTTTCTTTTAATATAATATATTGTATTGTTCCTTGTAGATACATCAAGTGCAATTACCAACATTCGTACCACATGCTGTCCGATCAGCTATTAGTGCCCGCAGATCTTCCTCACTTGTGTGTCTATAATCCATACTCAGAGTGGATACTTCCCAGGCCCTTTTCTTTAGGACCACCCCGTAGCATATGTTTAAGCGCCCCAGTAGGATTAGCTAGCGCAGCCAAGTTTGTCCGCTGAAGAAGGTATACGTTAGGTCATCACCAGCTCATTAGAGAGATAGTAGCAATACCACTTACGGTTAGGTCCCTTGCTATAGAGACAGTTATCAGCTCCAAAATAGGCCTCGCCCCAAGACATTGGGATATCAACATTAAGTTCGCAGTGGGGTTGATTGTTAGAGTCGAGGCAGGCCTGAATTCGGGTATTTCCTGCCACAACACAGGCAGAGTCATGGGAGATATCGGGGGTTGCACAGATTGTCACAGAACTGTTAACAATAATACAGCCTTTATTCACATTCTATTATATAGAAATAAACATTAGAATGGTCAGAGCCCTTATGTACAGGTGCCAGGTAGTAGTTACTTACTAAAACAGTGTTTGCCTCCACAGCAGCAAGAAGGGCAGCAGCAGCAACCAAAAGAACAGGAGTGAAGTGAAACATATTGAGTGCGTCTACCACCTCAATAAAAGAAAATACTTGTGTTGTTGTATAAACAAACTAACGAAGTGAGAATGACTGAGAAGGTTGAGGAATAAAGATACTAATCTACTGCAACGGGAAGAGGGGGCACTTATATCTCTTGTCCTCTTAAATAACAACTTTGACTGTGCTATCGTAGACAGAAGATAAACAGAGAAGGAAACTAACGGTTTTCCCTAACTTGGAGTTTCCGTGATTTTGAGATGTTGGGATGGCTCTATTCATGGTTCCACAGAAAGTATGGCGCAGTTGTGAATCCTACTGTTATTGTTTTTTCCTAGAGGCGGGACTTAAGTAACCGCCGAGCTCCAGGCTATCGTTTATTAGGTGCGCGTCATGAAAATACGGATATGATGACACTATTCCATTTCTACGGAGTTTCCCTTTTGGGGAAGAGTAGGGGAATGCGTCCTCTGTATTCAAGTCAGCGAGAACTGTACTAAAAAATCTTGCTAGGGTGACTGCTGTGCCAGGTCATGGTATAGCAAATGTAGTATCGAGATTCTACAAAGGTAGTGGCGTCCCCAGGATGTATAAACCTTACTTTATCAAGACTATGCTAAGCTTTAACTGACCCTCTTATTTTATTTTGTTGGCAGGCACCGATTTCGCCAAAGGGCTAAGATCTTCAAGCTCGGCCTCGCCTAACGTTGCGGTAATGGAACACGAGGCCTCTGCCCAATCCCGCAATCCAGGGTTTCCGAGTTGCGGGGTCGAAGGATTCCGGAGGTGATACGTTGGATTTATCGGTTTGCCTTTCTGGTATGTGATCAACAGATCATCAGATCCCATGTTACATAGTTTAATTCATGGCCCACTGATGGGAAAATGCAAGCAATCTCTTGGTATCAGCTACTACACGGGTGAATGATCTCCAGATTCTTAAGGCGGGAAGTCACTTAACTAAGATCTTTAGCTTTGATATCGGAGGTTAGTAAACTTCCGTCTTCATCGGAGAGCTATGCAACTTGGCCATATAGAAATATAATAGACTTTCTGTGACATCATAAAAGTGTCCTTTGGTCTTCTAATATCTTAGGATCACGGGAATTCCAAGTTAGGAAAGATAATGTGGCTAGAGGTGTATAGTTGAGGTTATTACTTATGAGGAAAAATGATATAAAAGCCCCTCCACTACTCTCCCCACTTGGTTGATATCCTCGTACCACTCAATTCTGCTTCATAAATTGAATTTTCTGCACAGCATTTAATCATATTTTCTGTTTATCCTACCCAACACTCAGAATGGTTCTCCTTGGTGCGTATTTAGCAGCAGCATCCATTTTTGGCGCTGTAGATGCACTTCAGTTAGTAAGTAACAGCTACCTGGCACACATTGCTAGAAATGGTCTAATAATTTATCTTTGCATATAATAGTACGTCAACAAGGGCTGTATCTTTGTGAATCAGATGACAGTCTGTCATGGTGATGTTGGGGCTCCCTGTGTTGTCGATGGCTATACTTCAATACAGGCTTGCCTTGACTCTAATAACACCCCGCACTGTTCACTTAATATGAACCTCCCCACAGGGTACGGCAATGTCTATTGGGGAGAAGACAACTGCCTGTATAGCGAGGGATCTAACCGTAAGTGATGAAACTACTGTTTACTTTTGTTAATCTGGTACTATCCTAACATATATCTTGTTCAGCTACAAAATATGGCTGCGCTACAGCTGCCAACTAGAGTGCACAGACATGTCTTAGCCGCAAAATGTACCTATTGGGCAAGGTGATTTTCAACGAACCTGAAGATTAGGACAGTGGAACTTTATCTCATGTTGAGGGAGAACATCATCTCCCCAGTGTTATTTGTTAGGAATTGTTACAATACGGGGCTGAGGTATAGCTTTGTAGGCACCACGGCGATGCCTTAATATCAGATTAGACGTTTCAGCTCTAGGTGCTTCGTCAGGTGCTACATCTGTATCTTAGAGTCTGAACTCCTGCCTGCCAGCGACTAGCTCCTGCGATATGTATAAGATCCAACTTCCTCTTCATATCGTTCTTGGTCCAACAAATTTAAAATAACCATTAGTCCGCAGGAGCTTTTCTTTCTTAGAAAGTTCTTCTAAGTCAGTCTAATAGTTTCTTTAAATCTTCACGTTCTGTTGTGTTTCATAATTTATCTACGAGTTCCAGGGATACAAACTAGTTACTGGTTAGAGAAAGTCTAATGGGCTTCTAATAAGATAGTGAAGACATGATACTATTTAATTGCTGAATGTGTTCTGATGGTTGGCGTGTCTGCGAAGATATATCCCTCTGCCATATTCACAAATACTAGTGCAACTGTGGGCTTCTCATCAGGCCTTTTGGGGAAAGGCGGCGAGATGGGAGGGCAGCAACGGTAAATCCATCATCAATCCGGACTGTGGATAAGTCAGGGCTTCTAATACAGCATGTATTGGGACGCAAGGACATGGTTTAGGTGTAGAAGATTGGTACAATACCCGAAAGTGAGATATTAATAAACGCTTCCAGACTACAAAATATGGTTTAGAGAGTGGTGTGACAAGGAAAGATATCAAACGCCACTGTCAGTGACTCTTGATATTAGATCCCCAGCTAGGCTGGCAATAACCCTGAGCTTTGCCCAAATAGGGGTATGTAGACCCAGACTTGCCGGAATTCTGTCCTACAAGCTTTGCTCTGACCCAGGAACCTGGTGAAGGAATATGATATGGGGATTTGGAGAATGCCCAGGCGATCATCCGGAGACTGACTCTCCAATACTAGCGAGACACTAACTCATCAGCGGGGATGGCACTGACCCAAAGATCCATTAGTAATTCTTAACATGACAAATTCGTTAACACTTCATGAATACCCAATTAGGGCACTCGCACTGCCCGAGATTAGTAACCTCCCTCAATGTCGTGATGCTGTTCAACCGACCTAGAATAACCCACGATGTCTAATTCTCAATTAACACTTTATGCATCCGTACAAAATAAACATCCCAACTTTCCCGACGCCTCGCGGTAGATTCTACTAGTATGACTCCCCAAGTGATCCCGTACGAGGGTATTCCCTACTTCACCCCCGCCAACAATGGCGGGGCAGCCAAAGACCCGAAGAGTCCAGATACCCCCACTCTATTCCGCCCCCTCCACATCCGGGGCCTGACATTGAAGAACCGGATCATGGTCGCACCCATGTGCATGTACTCAACACAATCGGACCCATCATCACCCTTTGTTGGTGCGCTGACAAACTACCATATCGCCCACCTAGGACACCTTGCCTTCAAAGGCGTGGGACTGATTATCATCGAGGCAACAGCGGTCCAGCCCAATGGCCGGATTTCGCCTAACGACTCCGGTCTCTGGCAGGAGGGCACTGAGTCGGAGCAGTTCCAAGGGCTGAAGCGCGTTGTAGACTTTGTTCATAGCCAGGGAGCGAAGATCGCTATTCAACTTGCCCATGCTGGTCGCAAGGCCAGTACCATGGCACCCTGGGTTGCAAAGGAGGCAGGAAAGTGCAGTCTCCGAGCTGAAGAAAGTGTTGGTGGATGGCCCGACAACGTTGTGGGGCCCTCTGGCGGCGCGGAACACGTCTGGGCGCTGGGAGACGGATTCTGGGCTCCACGCGAGCTTAGTACTGCAGAGGTAGAGGGGATAGTGGAGGCATTCGCTAAGAGTGCTAAGCTAGCTGTCCTGGCTGGTGTGGACGCCATCGAGATTCACGGAGCACATGGGTATTTGATCTGCCAGTTTCTGAGCCCAGTTACCAACCGGCGGACCGACAAATATGGTGGCTCATTTGAAAATCGAACGCGGATCGTGCGGGAAATTGCTGCGGCGATTCGTGCCGTGATCCCTGCTGATATGCCTCTATTCTTGTGCATCAGTGTTACTGAATGGCTTGACGGCAAGGCTCCCGAGTTTTGGGACCTCCATTCTTCCATTGCACTTGCTAAATTGCTTCCTGACTTGGGAATTGATTTCCTTGATGTGAGCTCTGGCGGTAACCACAAAGGATCAGGTAATTGAGCCGCATACACACTATCAGATTGATCTTGCTAGAAAAATGCGAAAGGCAATTCGACAGGCCGGACAAAGAACACTGGTTGGAGCCGTGGGTTTAATTACACAAGCAGACGCTGCCAGTCAGATTGTCCAGGGAGCACATGCCGATGAAGCAGAAGCGGCTGAAGCGATGCTAACCGGTTCGCAACCAGAGGCTGACGCTGTGCTACTGGGACGTCAATTCCTTAGAGAAGCAGATTGGGTGATCAATGCAGCAAAGAAGCTGGGGGTTCCTTTTACCGCATCTTTGCAGCTCGGTCGTGCAGTTTGAACTGATATAATGGTTTGTTTAGGGATGGGGACAATTCCATCTAACGAAAAATGATAGAGAGCTAGGAATCAGGGAACCACTGTTGTTATCCATAGATCATCTTGTTTGTGATGTTGGTTGCCAAATTTACGTCACGACATGCCTCTTCCTTGCAATCTCCACGCTTGCTGTCGTAGCCTTTTTTCTCTTTTGCCCTTATTACCCTTCGTAACCCAATCTTTTGTGAGACCTATCTCACCCGTAACCCGTTCGAGTTCTTCTAGCTAAGGGTCTGTCTACTAAAAGAGGAGTGAAGACACTCGATGAGATGGCTTTTAATTTTGTACGCAAAGTATATCGGGTCTAGGGACAAATATCTCTACGCTAAGGAACGGCTATACATATCACAGATCCTAAGGCTCGCATCATAAAATCTATAACCACAGGGGGGTAACATGTCATCTGAGAAGTAGATACTAAGAGTGATATCTAGATACTACGATCCTAAATGTCAAGAGCATTTATGACTCACAATTCTTTCCATCCCTCACTCTGTTGACCCTCCCTCCGTCTTACCATGCATCGCTTACGCCCCCATCTCACATTGCATGCACACTCTGTTACATTGCGCCTAGAGAGCAGATAGGGGTTGCCATTTTGAGGCATCAGCGATGAGGGCTATTAAAAATAGAGATAAAAGCGGCCTGTATCCATCTCCCACTGTCCAAATCCACATCCATCACACAAGCAACAAAGAAGCCAACCACAGCATCTCACCACTCCATCAACATGCAACCATCCAAGTTCTGGCTCTCCTTGCTCGCTCCCGCCACCATGGTCATGGCAGAGCAAATCGTACGTTTCCGTCCCCTGCCTCTAGCTTGTACAAAGTATAACACCTCATCCAGGGCACCCAATACACGGATGAAAAATGTTCAAGCGCAAGCACTACCCCTGTTCTACGCGGCAAATGCATTAAGACCGGTGGCGAAGGGTGGGACATACATTCTAGGCGCTAGATATCTCTTGATCACAAACGCTGACTCACTCACTACAGATCGCTTGATTTCAACAATGGGGTAGCTTTTGCATTCGGCTACGCGTGAGTCGACGTTACGACTTCTTCTCTCCTTTCTCAATTATAAACTTCGACACTAACTAGTGATCTGCATACAGCTCCGATGACTGCACCGGAAACAGAGTAAATTTGGATGACTACCATGGTTGCGTGAAGCTGTCCTCCGTGTCCGGCGTTAGGTCCATTTCCTTCGTTTGGTGAGAGACAGGTGATATGCATATCGGGGAGGTAGCACTATGATCCAGTGCTAAAATCGTTCACTCTGGTAAAGGGGTTTATTTGCGCATATGCGCGCAGGAGATTTGGTCGTGAATTTGGTTTCTTATGTATTTCGTGCTCGAGTAGTCTGTTGAACTAGGTTCTGAACATTGAAGACGAACTCCTGAGATCTGCAACTATCTATAATTATGAGGGCGCGAAAATCAGCCCAATAAATAACTTGGCAAGTTCTGGGATGAGCGTCTCACAGGACTATAGATCCTGAAATATGTGTACGTATATATATGGTACAAGGTACGATGTAAAATAACATACAGCTGTTGTCGCGTTCAAGTAATTAGTCGCTATAAAAGGACTAATGCGATGAGGACGGGATAACGCATGGCGCTAACAGCTGAGCGGACGCACACCATTAGTGTTGGACTAGATTGTGTGAGAATTTTATCTAGGCTGCCGTCCCATCGATTTATCCCGTTAGCCGCTGTCAAGTGGAATGTCTATTATGATTTTTGGTATACCGATCTCTACCTGACAAGGGAGTTTGTTCTGAAAGATCCGTTCTCCATAAAGGTACAGAAAGCGAAATGGAAGACATACCCCGCTACGTCTATTCACGTATTGAACCCGATGAGTTCCGCATCCTCAAGATCCTTGAGGTAACTCCCCAGATTATATTCAGCCTGGAGCCATTCTCCATTTACGATGCCCCAGGATACGAGGCTTTGTCGTACGCATGGGGTACATCGCCAGAATCGGAAGAGAGTATATGCAACGGCGCACGTTTTCGTATCTCCAGGACTTTGGGCCAAGCACTGCGGGGAATCTACGCATATTCCGGATCAGCTTGGGTATGGGTCGATGCGATTTGCATCAATCAAACCGACGCAGTGGAGAAGGCGCACCAGGTGGCGGCGATGGGCGAACTATATTCCTACGCTGACCAGGTCTTGATCTGGCTGGGAGAGGAAGCCGACCAGAGCGACCTGGCGTGTTCCTTGTTGCCCGAACTTACGGACAGAATCTGGGCACTGAAGGACAGTGAAGTGGGGTGGAGACCGCTAAGCACAGACGAGGTTGTAGCGCAGGGGCTCCCGCATCCTGATGATCCGCTCTGGCGCGCTGTATTTTTGCTGTACGGTCGGGCTTGGTTTCAGCGATTGTGGATTGTGCAGGAGATTGTCTTAGCGCAGCAGTGCGTATTTCTGTGCGGCGCGCGACGGATTGAGTGGCAATATGTGTTGAATTTTGCTGTCGCGACGTCAAAATCTTTCTTTGTCGGGAATATCGCAGGGCTGCACACCCAAGCGATGGGGGAGGACCAGGTGCACCGGTCGACGAACGGGATTAGGCTTATCAGGAACTCGTGGCGGTTGCAGACGGGGCTGGACCAGCCCGAGAAGGAGATTGATGGGATCCAAGCAGCAATGGACGTCATGCAGAGCCAGGGTGCGTCTGTGAAGGTGGACTATGTTTATGGAGTCCTCGGCATGCTCAGTGAGGCCATGCGGAAGATGGTAGTGGTGGATTACTCCGAAGAGGTCAAGCAGAACTACGGGATGGTTCATGCTAGCTTTTTCCGGCACTGCTTGGAGAGGGTCACCGATTGGCCATCACTGCGTTTCCCTCCGAAGACATCCCGTGTAAATACCCCCTCATGGTGTCCGCCTTGGGGCAGCGGCTGGAATGACGGCTATCTGCCCGTCGTGGGTTGCAGGGCTGGGAGACCAATTGCAACCTCGCTCCCACCATCCCCTTATCGTCTATGCCTTGCGACCGGCGGAGAAAGTGACGGGGTCCTGCGAATTTCTGGTGTATCTGTGGACACGGTCCGGGGGATCGTTCCCCTCAGCCAAGTTTTCGACGAGGACACGAACATTGTGCACGCACGTCGAATCTTGAGCGTCCTCCAGGACTGTTCCTCCCACCTCCCCGACGGCGCCGATGCCCACCAACGTCTTCTAGGGGTTCTAATTGGCCAGCATGGCTGGCTCGAATCACCCCAGTTCTCGGGCCATCCACACGGCAATATACTGGACAGCCTTGTTTCATTTTTGAAGCCTCTTGCTAAAAGCGAAGAAGAGAATGAAGGCAAGGCCGGTCATGTCCCTCTTAACCTAGATACGGCAGAATATTTTTTGGACCAGCATCGTTTCTGGCGGGGCTATCTCAACCTCATGATGGTTCGATGGCCAGGTAGAAGCTTTGCGGTAACCACGAACGGCTGTATGGCGATAGTTCCCTGTGACACCAAACCCGGAGACACGGTGTGTGTCTTTCTGGGAGCGACACTCCCACAGATTATTTCTCGGCATGAAAACAGGGTACACTGGACGTATATTGGACCTAGCGTTGTCGATGGCGTTATGAAAGGAGAGATCTTCGATACCATGAAGGATTGGATGAACAGGAAGGAGATCTTCTGTCTGAGGTAGTAGTATCGGGTAGTCGTCTAGGAGATCTTGCTGGCGATGGTGGTAGCTCGCACTGGCCTATAAGCGCGGCGGAGCAACCCTTTGGTGGAGTCCACGAGAGCGGACTGGGTCGGGAAGGTAGAATCGTGGCTCTTGAGGAATATTTGGATATCAAGAGTATCACGACTGGCATTTGAAGGTAAACAATTAGTAAATCTGGTCTACAAGACATTTTCTGTCATACCTTGAAGATTTTGACTTTTATTCAACCTTTGATCGTCTTGATCCGCACATAAATTAATGATTCCCTTCTTGGTGGTTCGTGACCGTCTACACAGGAGTATATAAAATGGCAGCGTTCAGACCAACACGCGGCTGGGCTATTGTTCTGGCCTCGTAGTATTTACTAACTCTACAATCATACTATAATCTATTATTATAGTGCCATTATCGTATGTTGAATAGTGTGTTTGTTTTGTGTCAACTGTTCTGAACTAATAATAACTATTCAGAATCAGCGCAGCACTGTGCTACAGAACAGAACTATTAGTTTGAATCAAGACACGCACTAACCCTAACTCGTTCCGGGGCGGCGCCCCGCGAGACTTCCTGCGACTCGGCTGCCTAGTCCAAACCAGGTTACCGGTCTACTAACTAAAGTGGAGATGGTTTCGGCTTTTCGCTGGGAGTGCAAGAGCCGAGTCGCAGCCCGTGTCGCAAAAAAATATGTCGAGCCGTTCGAACTGCAAGCGCTGATTTCTACACCCTACAATCGTATGTACCCCAATTTTGTGTCGAAGTATTCTATTGTTAATTAGATAGTTACAAAAAATACCAGATTATGTTTTCATCGCCCCTCTTCTCTACGAAGAAACACGGCAAAGCCGTCCGTTGGTATTCCACGAGCTCGGCAAAGGATCGGTGGTCCTGACCTCCCAGTCCTCCGCACCAACGGCCGTCAAAGCATAGAAGAGACCGGTAGGGTCATACTTCTGCTTCAAGGCGTACAGCCTCGGGTAGTGGGCTCCATAGAAAGCCTCCTGCAGATTGGGCTCGAGAAGGTCAGCCTCGCTCATGTAAGCGCCGGAGTCCGGGGCAATGTCGCGCAGCTCGTCCATCCAGTTGGTAACGAAGAGGGAGGAGTCATGAATAGTCTCCCAAGAAGCATCAGTTGCCCATTCAATACCAACGATGACATGGGCAAGGGCGTTACGCCAGGCGGGGAGGACGGAAGTATCAGTGGGTGCGGGGACGGCTTTTCCGGTTCCGGAGATGTGGAATCCGGCAATGAAGAGGTCCTGTTAAATATCTGTAAGGGTTTGCGACATGAACGATGAAGTTATGGGTTGCATACATTGTCAATAGCGTCCTTGTGTGCAGCAGCGGTACGCTGGCGAAGAGTGTCGCTCTGGAAGACGCTTCGGGGGATCAGACGCGACGCCGTTTTGACGCCGGCACCTCCGGCGAATTCTTGAGGGAAGGCGACAACCCAAGTGTCATGACTATATCAATTCACATTAGCGGAAGACCTCGAGACCAAGCGGAACAAGAATGACCCACAAGTTATCATTATGGTTGTACCATGGGGTATAGGTGATGTTCTGGCTATCCAGAACCTTGAACCACGGAGCAAGCAAAGCCTTGGTCTCGGCGATGGTCATATTCGGTGCAATGAAGGATTCCATGCGGAAGTAGTAGTCAGTCGACCCGGCGTCAGTGCCAATCAGAAGCTTCGACGCGCCGACATAGTAGTATCCGTAGGTACCGGCGTCAACGAAGGCTTCAAAATTGTCCAAGTAGGACTCAACGCCCTTCCAGAACGCATCGGCATTGGGGGCGTCGTTGATCGTGAAGTTGAAGGTAACCGAAGTAGTTGGCAGTTTGGGGTAAGCCTTAATAGTCAAAGAAGTAACAACTCCAATCGTACTACCGCCACCACCACGAAGCATCCAGAAGATGTCCGAGTTTTGGGTGGCGGTTGCAGTGACGAAGCGGCCGTCCGCCAAGACAACTATAGAACAAACAATTAGCCAGTGTTATATTACGACGGAGACGGCTGATCGTATTGATTTTGGGGCATACCTTCGATGGCAAGAACTTGATCGGCAGCCATGCCATACAGACTGCTCAAGGGCGAATGGCCACCACCTGCAGTGTAGCCACCACCAAGACCGACAGTAACAGCTTCTCCGCCAATGATGGTAACTTCATGAGCCTTGGCAAATTCATAGGCTTCCCAGACTTGAACACCAGCGCCAACTTTTATGGCCGGCCCGACATGCCCACTGGCGGCCTTGTACTGGGGAAGGAATGTCTTATCTTTCAACCAATGAGTCCAGATGGACAGAGCGCCTTTACCAGATGCCTTGCCATTGAAGTCATGGCCGGTGTTCTTCACAACCAGACGAAGGTTTAGATTCCGGGCGAAGTTGACGGCCAATTGAATTTGAGCGACATTGGAAGCGTTAACAACATACGTGGGGTAGCCACCCATTTCACAGGTGGCGGTATAATTGTAGCCAGGCGCCATGCAGGAACGGCCTTCGTAAAGGGGCAACTGAATGGAAGTTGGGTCGTCCATGCTATCAGTTGTTTAGCAAGATATGTGTTTTGCCTGGGAAAGAAAGCTCACTGAAGATTAGAAGTGGCCCACTGAGAGGTAATAGTTGCGCACTTGTCCGCGTCATACTCCGCCCAGTTAGGGTAGCAGTATGCAGCCAATGGCACTGCCTTGATCAGTCGCTTACCCAGGAGGAGATCGAAGATGTCCCAGACCAGATCGATAGGCCAGAATAGATCACCGGGCATTAACTTGCAATTATGCGGACCTCTCTTCGAGAGACTTGAGGCATTGGAGTGACTGGCGAATTTGAACAGATCCGAGATGTTCGGATTCTGGATGGATGACGAAACATCCGCAAGAACATCATCAGTCAATTGCACCGTCTCTGCAGGGAACAGCGTAGCTGCCGTTGGGAATACTGTGGTCGCAGCAGGCTTCAGAGATGCAGTTTGAACGCTGGCATCCTGGGCACTCATCACCGCGGTTGCCCCAGCCAAGGTGGCCAGAGTGAATGACACGAAGCCTTTCATGACTCTTTAATTTCAGGTACTGACGGGGAAAGTGGCTACAAAGACCATCAGAGAGGGATAAGAAGGGAGAGAAGGGGAAGGCGAAACAAAAACATGTCCGACAAGGGCTATAGTTAAGTGATTGCGAGGGCCTGGGCTAGCACCTCGCTTCATGATTCAGGAGATGACGCTCGAAGCCTTGTGGGGATACTAATTGTAGTCGGTACATCTCCACTCGCAGGGATTCAAAATGCGGTTAAATCGCCGGCTACGTTGTGCTGCAGGTTGTCGATTTAATCCTGGCCGAGTTAATCTAATATGAATCTTACTCTGCACTACCTTCTATGCAAGAGGCCACACTAGGTCTTACTATACTCACACACCGCGGGCATTGTCATGTAGGGAGCACGTTAACGACACATTTACACCGACGAATGCGTTCTAATTAACCACTACGATTCAAATTGAGCATGAACCTGGAGGATTTCTCGTTGCCGATGGAAGACTGGTGAGGCACCACCGGACTGGAAAATACCGTCGAATGGCATGGTTATGGTCATGAACTAGTGAGGACACTAATGCGGCCATTTAATCTAAACGACTCCGAAGCCCTCCGTAGTGCACGCACCATGGGGCCAGGATTCAAACCCCTGTAAAAGGCAAATTTCCGTCAATCTATTCAGAGTCTTTTTCTTCTTCTGCCTATTTCCGTCAATTGCCAAGCATCGAAAACGTACGATAGGCGAGCGATTTGTTGGGATCCGGGTATATTATCCTCCTTCCTGATCCACATAAGAACACGATTTGCCCAGGTTCTGCGATGTAACTGGCGTCGACAGCGGCCATGTTGAAGGAGAATACTAGTGATCAATAGAAAAGTTCCTCGATTTGCCAATAAGCTTCATGGAAGGAATGGCAACCTGGTCGAAGGACATGCGCTAGTGCCATGAATAGATATCGAATATCGGCAAAAATTCATCCAATCTAATTCTAGAAACTCTCAGGACAGATGATTATATTAGCCCCCTAATCCCAAGTCCAGAGCAAGAGGTTCGGGTTTGTCTAAATTGTCTCGCTCCCCTTCTGCTTTATGGCAATGATGGCCTTGTTGGGTTCCCCCTTTTGGTGTCTGGTATAACAATCCGACTCTAGCCTTGCCCACGGATTGGTCATGTCATCATCCAGCGATAATTTACAACCGCAGGCGATTGCACTGATCTTTGCTTTCCCAGCGGTTGCGACGATTGTCGTCGCTCTACGCATCTATATTCGAGTATGGACGCGAACTTTTGCGGCGGGTAAGTAGATCCTGATCGACAGTCTTATGCCTATTCCTGGCTTTAGCTGAGGTTAGACAGATGACTGGGTTATTTGTTTTGCGGGGGTAGGTGGTAGGCTTGGACGATCTTAAGATCCACTCACTAAGAGGAACGCTTTTGAAGATATTGTATTGGGCAGAGACAACGACTTCATACTATGGTAACACCCCCCCACCCCCCATTGGTCGCGAATGTGCTTCACTCGGGAACAAGCTAATCGAAGTCTAGTCATTATATATGGGTACATCGGATACCATGCTTGGTTAATCCCGAAGGATTACCCTGCAGAGCTAGCTGGCAAATATACTTATGCGGTAATGAACATGCGATGCACCGCTACGAGCAGCATAACATAACTGACAGAACCATCGAACCGCTTCCACAGACTGAACTACTCTATAACCCAATATTAGCGCTCGTCAAAACCTCGATTCTTCTATTTCTACTTCGCTTAACCGGTCAAAAGCTCGGAGTACGGAGAGCAATCTGGGGACTTCTAATATTAAACGGAGTAGCGATGGTAGCTACATTCCTCCTCACGACATTCCACTGCATCCCAATCGCATCAAATTGGGACCCGTTATCATATCCCAATGCCAAGTGTGTTAACTTTGCCGATTTTGTGACCGGGACAGCCTGCGTCTCTATCTTCACCGATGTCTTGGTCCTACTCTTGCCCACATGGATCGTATATAATCTTCGCATCGCCCGAAAGCAAAAGTTGATGCTCGTCGGAATTCTGTCTTTCGGTCTTATGTAGGTGGCTCAGCTATCGACTACCATTTTTGAGCTGAAGATAATGACTCCATTTCCGCAGCACGGTAATCTCAGGGATTGTCAGAGTTATCCTCCTTGACCAGTACGATCGACATATCCCTGAAGACCACAGTTACTCCGTCCTCTTCTGCGTATCCACCATCGAAGTCGGTCTTTCCTTCATCGCCGCGTGCGCACCTTCATTAAAACCTCTTTTCGCCAAACTCCTCCCCAAGATGTTCAGCACCAAGTCGAGAAGCCGACCGGTGTACGAAGGAGGTGGAGGTGCCAGTGGTAGGGTCGGATACAATCTTGATCCCCTGTCTCGATCCGGGAGGACGGAGCATGAAGTAAGTGTAATACGGGCACAGGTTGGAGATGATGAGGAATCGTTTAATGCCGGGCCTAGCGATAAATATGGGATTATGATGACCACGGAAACGGAGGTGAAATGGCATGATTCTGGGAGCCATCCTAGGGCCAATGGAGGGAGTAGTACTGAGAGCCTTGTCCAACCTAGACGATGAGATAAAATATAGATGAATTCCATATTACTGCTTTACTTTATGAAGGAGCTGCTTACTCCTTGGGGATATACCTCTAACATGCGTACGGGTAGGGATCGCTTTCGTGTAAATTCTGCCGCTTCTATTAAACATGGAACGTGGGAAGGCTCTAGAGTATTGAGAAGAGGACAACATGGTCAATGTAAGACTTTCAAGCATCAAAGTGTGTCATGGACCCGGCGCAATTTCTAGGATTGAGGTGCTGACATTTGATCTTCTGAAGCCCTGCTTTAAAATCACGACGTATGTCTACCACTTGTCACAGTCCCTCTCGAGTATGCTCGCTTTTCAGGAAATACGCTCACTCTAAGTCTCTGACTCTAGCTGGGACCAGGGGATCAGAATAGTTTTGCAGCCCTACGCCATAATATCTGCCAGGCAGGTCTATGATTGATCGGAATGCAGTATGACGCCGACCAATCTATAGGTGCAGTAGCGCACGAACCCGTTGAGAGCTCATTTGCCTGAATAGTGGCCATAACCAGGTAAAAACGGGTTCGATTGACCCAATACCTTGGCATGGTACTGCTTTTGGTTCCTTTTATACACTCTAATCTACTAGAGCCTCCAAGGTTAGAGAATCCCGGTGGTGCCGATTCTGAATTCCGCACTTATGTCCAGGTATAAAGTTGCGACGGGCTGTATTTATGCACCACTTGTACAAGGCGATTGTAGACAGGTGGGCTATAGACTTATTAGATATGTGGAAGAGAAAAAGTGGTAGAAGAACAAGGGAAATGGGCAAAGGGAAAAAAGAAAAGAGCAATACATGATCAAAACACAATAGTGAAGGACAAGATAATTAGTTATGAACGGCTTCGTGAATTAGGTAATATCAAGCTGACATAACGGCTTATGCCAAAGAGGTTCAGACCCCACTCCCAATAATTAGGCTACCCCGTACACATTTCCGGATTTATTGAAGCATTCTTTAAGACCAACCATACAAGACCAATGATGGCCTCCGAATACCAGTACTCGTGTCCAAGACCAAGGATATCATGGGCATGTGTTCAGTGTAAAAATAAAAGGACTCGCTGTTTGAGGGAAAACCCACAAATGCCATGTCGACGGTAATGTAAATGAACTCATCGAGGTTCTCACATACTGATGATGATACAGATGCCAAACCCTTAAGCAAGAATGCCGGATGGCCACAAATAAAACTAAAAGCCGAAACGAAACGAAGCCAGAAGGAGCCGATGTTCTGTCGGGGTTGTTCCGTGCTCAACAGAAGCCTCCATTGCCAGACAATGTGGTGGATATGCACCGCGAGATATTCCAGAAACAGTTCGCAATTCATGGGCAGGGGCCTGGTAATACAACGTTTCATCCTGCCTCAGATGAATCAACAGCTAGTCCTCCAGTTCTTGACCAGATCAAGGCCGATCAGCTTCTAAGCAAGTTCCGAATCAAGAGCGGCTACTTCCCTTTTGTGGCCATCCCAGAGAACATAGCATCAACGGACCATCGCTTCCTCTACCTTGCTGTTCTCACAGTAGCATCCTCTGACGATATTCCCCTGTTAAGAAGCCTGGACCACAGATTCCGATCTGTCCTAGCCGATCGGGTCGTCAAGGGTGGCGAGAAGAGTCTGGACTATCTGCAAGGATTGCTTGTCTACATAGCATGGTTCGTATCGCCAAGCCACAAACCAACTACTTGCGGGGTGTGCTAAATTAGATTGAACAGGTACAACTTGAACTTGAATCCTAGAAGCTTTCAACTCTACCAATATCTTCAGATTGCCATCAGCATAATGGTGGATCTAAGATTGAATGATGGCCCTCCTACAGGAACAGCGTTCGACCCACCGTTGCCATATAGTGTTGCAGCAGCTAAGGATGCATGCCTGGGTTGTTACTTTCTTTCTTCTGCGTAAGCCCCCGATGCCCTGGAAACTGACTAAGTCGCTGATTGTTGTGGACCAGAATGGCAACAGGGAGCAAGAGACAAAATAATGTTGTACTTTGCAATGATCTTAAAAGCTACCTCTTTCAATTAGCCGAAGCAGGTTGTCCTAAAGATCAAACGAAGTTCCAGTACATTCGACTTCAAACGGCAATAGAATCAGCATACAAAGGCTGTGACAGGCCAACTATCATCTGGCCAGCGAACAGCTGTCTAATGCTAGACCGCACTCTGAATACTGGTGAGTACTTCACTGGCTCTCATAGGCACAGATCCTTACGTCTAATACCCTTAACACCTTAGCTTCGATTGGTATTGCACAGCTTGCCCTTTCATTCTTGGTGGAAGCAAGTCTATACATTCGGGAGCCGATGCTCCTAGAATGCGACATCTGCAGATTTCAATCTATTATGACCAGAGGGAAAGCATTTCTGGACCATTTTCTGTCCATCTCTGTGCCAGAATTTTCAAAATTCTCGTTTGCCGAGTGGGGCCGTCTGATCACAGTCATTCGTGTGCTCACAGAAATCCTATCAGCTTCAGCAGGTCTACCAGCCATCGTTGTAGCGGCAGTAGAGGAATCTCGGCAGCTAAGCATATACCTCGACTGCTTGGCAAATCGCATGGAAAAGCTTTCGAAGTCTGGTCGCAATCCGGGTGATTTCCCCGATGTGTTCTACTTGTTCAAGTCCGTTCTAGACATATTAAGTCCTCTACCTCTCGCCACGAATTATGACAACGATCCGCAATTCCCGCTCGATTCCGAACCAGAATGGAAAATGAACCGATGCCCAGTTTTAGCAGGTATTCAAGACACTGACTTCTGGAATGCATATCAAATTTCTGTGCCTCCTCATGACATCGGGGCTGATTTCGACATGTTACTTCCCAATGATGACTGTCTGTTGGGACTGCCCCTCGCTGAACGCACGAACCCTACTCAAACCGCCGGTTACCCTTGAACGTTTCTGCAGGGTCTCCTATTTGTATATAATGATAATCTCCGTTCACCAAATCCTGCACCTTTCTCAAGTGCTTACGCGATATCGCTTACTCGGACTAATGGATTTTGAGATATGAAAACCTTACTTTCCTATATGACTAACGAGACCTCCCGAGAGTTGAGAATTTAGGCAGCTATCTACAAAAGGAAAGCAGACGCTAGACATTCCACGAAAATGCATGGTCGGCTGATCCGGTGTTATCCCTGATATCGGATAGCCCCCTGCTTACTCAATGAGCTTACCGTTGACATTCCGGGGCTGATAGTCAAGCCCCCTGTGTGCCATTGTAAGCACAGTGTCAGTGGTCTTCCCACGAAGCCAATGGTCGAACATATCCAGGCCAGCGAGAGCACCAGCCGCAGTCCAGAACTTGCCATCGATCACCCACTGAGTCTTCTCCCATTTTGTTTCAGGCAATTGGGCCGGAAGGAAATCCATGAACTCATGGTTGGTTGTGGCCCTCTTGCCGCGGAGCAAACCCGCCTTGCCGGCCACAATGCCACCCGTGCAGGTGGTGAAGAAATACTCGACTTCTTCCGCTTTCTGGTGAAAGAATTTCACATATGACTCCGGGATGTTGTCCCAGAAATCAGGACCGGGGCCACCGAGGAGGATTGCATCGAGCTTGGGGCAGTCCTCGAAGGTGGTGGTTGGTTGCAACCTGAAGCCAGTCATAAGGGTCACGCTGTCCAGCGTCGGCGCGAGGTAGTGGAACTCGATGTCAAGGCCTTCATTTGAAGTGCCTTTTGTGAGATGACCAGTTCTTTCAAGTGTGGTCAACATCTTTTTGGAAACTGAGGACAATAAGTCGATCGGAGCGGCAACATCGAGGAGTTGGAAGTCGTAGAGGACGATACCAAACTGAAGAGGAGCCATTTTGGGGTAGGATCTGGAGCAATAAAGGGGCTTGAATGAAGATTGACAGAGAAATGTTGTCTAGATGTGGACGAATGAAGCAGAAATAGTATGTGGCTATTCATCGTTTATATAGATGCTGTATAGATGCTGTATACGCTAGGTCGGCTAAAGCTTCCTTCCGCCGCATGCCCTCGCGTATGGTTTCCTTCCACCTTGCAGCCTTGGCAGCCAATCACCGCATCACCCTAGCCCTAAGCAGTAATACACCATTATGCTTTCATAGGCGTATGAGTAGGTTGAGATATATTTGTACAGATGAATGATGAACCAGGGCAATAGCCTTGTTCTAACAGCAGTCCTGCCCCCATGGCCCTGAGTATTCCATGTAATTAGCTCTGATTCATATTGACGAACCCGCCATAAGTTACCCGACATCATCCGGAAGTAACCTGCTTATCCTCATATCCGACACATTCATACCGAGCTTTTACTTAATGTATATTCCTATTATCCGACTATTCAGTCTCTCTTTCAAAGGGAACTCGTTTCTGATAATGAAAACCTTCCCCTCTTAACAAAGCCCCTGGTAATATATAGGTGACTTAGTGCTCAGACATCCCCACAGATGAGAAAGAAATTCCACATACCTGGAGTCACTCCCGAGGGAGACCTACCCTCTATGCATACCGATGTTGCGCGAGCGTTGTTCACTTCTCTCCCATGCCACTGAGTCGTAACGTGTTATAAGAATGACTGATGGGAGGAGTGAACATGTTCGAGCGCCTCTTCATAACTCAATTGGCTCGGCTATTCGCCTGATTCAGTCCCCCTTTTCCTAAATCAACGGATTGGACTATTGAAAACGATGAAAGAAACTGGATTTCTTTGTAGATCTCCCATATATCAAGCCTCAGGGCTTAAACTTGAAAATTTCATAGATAGCACGACTTCGATTAGATTAAGGAGACTTTTCACCATCTTTATAAAAAGACATGCCTCACCTATGAAAGGGTCAATTGCTGACATTGCAAGTTGGTAAAAGGACTTTCATTCGTCAAGTCCCCTATAGTGAGGGCATATATGAACAGATGTCGCTCATATATTATAATGGGGCTCACTTCGAGAAGTCCAGCAGCCGCAGAAGAGAGTTTTATTTGGGACAAGCAGCTAAGGGAGATCGCTTATATCTGCCGACCACTCTAAGGCAACAGAGTAAGCAACAATTCCTCCTTCGAGCGTCGATACGAACCGACCTATTATGTAATGGTGTTGGTGGAACTATCTAACGTTCTACTGGTATATCTCATTCACGAACTGGACACTGAGATCAGTATGTTGCAGTGTGCCCTTTTTAACCATTCTCTTACCATTTTAGACAGTGATCGGGATAAGCCTCAATCAGGATATGCGTCTCTATTTCTTCCACGCGCGCCTCCGCTCTAATGCGGAGCAAGGGTTATACGACATCAGTATGGACGAATAGAAATGGCTGTCAAGAGTTCCAATAGACGACAAATTACTCTGTATAGCAAAATGGGCAGAACACCAGTAGTGGGGGTCTCGCGATAACTTACTATCAAAACAGGGGTACATGGACAAGTCATGACTCATCGAGAGAGGTTGATCACAAGCAAGATTGTCGCATTTAGAATACATCTCTTGCGTATAACAGAGGCCAGTGGGCACAAATGAGTCCAGGCCTTCCTTCTGTCCTGCCTATCAAGGAGAGAAGTGAAAAGCCGAGCAGGATGTAAGAGGCTCTCTGAAACTACGAGGTATATAAAATCAGGCGAATAGAAAAGGAAGAAAAATAACGCCTGACGACTCAACAGAACTAGGCATTTTTCCTCGCCATTATTTCCACATATTATAAAATTCATTTAAGATTTATTCACCGTAGCGTTATCGTTCAGAAAACAACTCGAAAAGTGGATGTATGAGGCACTTTCCTGCCGCTCTTGAGCAGATTAAACGGATAAGCTGTAGCGTAAGGAAAATCCCGCATGAATTAATTTTAGTTTGAAGGATGCAGCTTGAACCACCCTATGCCTACTGTGTACAAGTCCAATAAGTTGGTCTCTGTGAAACCCAATTAATAGCCAAGATGAGCCTGGAATAAGATTTTTACTATTCCAAATCAGGAGCAAAGGGATTCCAGATTTTGTACAACGGACTGTCAATCAATCACCCGGGATGCACTCATTCCGGCAACCCTTCCACATAAATTGTGCGGCCCACAAGCTTCTCGACAAAACTTGGCCCTCATTCCAACTTATCCAGACAAACCGAAAAAAAAAATGCTAATCGACGGTGTAAAGTGGGCTTGCGGGCGTTGCGTCCGTGGGCACCGTGTAAGTACATGCGAACACCATGGTACAGTGTCGTGTTTTTTGAACTCCACCCCTTCCCTTCCTTCGCCGTACAGTTTTATGCTAAGCTAGATAGCAGATCGACCACTAGTTCGCATTAAGCGGAAAGGCCGTCCTTTTGCAACCTGCCCTGTATGCAATGAGACCCCGTGTCCGATGCCAAGAGAGCACTACAAGTTAAAGGATAACTCGAGGATCAGGAAGATGAAATCCTCATCAAAAGTATATACTTTCATTGCTACTACCCACTACTTGCCTCAGCCTTACCGCTTGGAAATCTGATTTTATTGCACCAAAAACCATCGAGCTGATTCATGTTTCTGGATATGGAATAGAAGCTTGCCGCTAGGGTTTCTTCCCGCTTGAAGGAGACATGTTTACCACTTGCACCCCGACCATCAGAGTCTTCAAATACTTCACTTGCCGTACTTCCTCCGATTCGCGCTAATCCCGGCCTTGAAAAGGGCTATTTGCCTGCCAATATGGATGCGCCGCGAGGAACGGGTATCCGCCTGTCATCTTTACTTAGCCTCACACCCGGCCAGCAACAACAGCCAAATCCGAGCAAGACATGGGAAGCTTCATTTTCGTCGGACGGTTCGCTCGTGGCTGTCCTTGGCGACAGTCATCTACCTAAGTCTGAGTCCGGGGCAGGAGGACCAAGTCTTAGGATCCCTCCCATTACCAGTCTCTCGATTCCCACTGCACCATCTGCTCCTGATGTGAAGTCTATGGCGACCTCGAACAGTCAAAAATCATTGATTGGAGGTTCATACTAATTTCGCTTCTGCTGAATGCGATACATATGTTTAGTGAGTATGGTTAAGGCTGGCGACTGCTTTGATATGAAAATTTGATGTTAATATATCTTTATCGCAAGTCATAGATGGACAGTCATGTGTATGGGACAAAGGTGACGACAGCATCCAACCCATGATAGCTACTTGTGATGTTTCATACACACCAGGCCGACCAGATTAAAGCTAGCTGCTTGAAAGAGACCAACGTTACTTACGTCAGTCTGTTTTTGAGGAATCGCTCCAAACGGAGTTGAGCTGACGAACGGAAGAGGGTTTCACACCACACGTTCGAATTGCGCGGATGGTTACACAAGATATGCGAGGCCAGATATCTGAGAGGTTTATTAGAAACGGCATGTGTTGAACTACACTGAGTCCTCATATATGGCTCCAGTTATGGTAGCAGGCTGCAATAAATGGAGTGTCTATTAACGGTGTTAATGGGGGCGGTTAATGAAGGCTTCCGTGACGTTGATCGGGCGCTACGAATTGTCAAGTGTGATTTGGATCTCAAGCTTTCAAAGTCCCGTAAAAGTACAATAGTTACTACTTCATGACTACTAAAGTGGTCTATCGGACCTTCCCGACGGCTTAGGGCTAGGCGACCTTGTGACAGGACAAATCAAGCCTCAAGAGGACAACGCCTAACCAGCCAATTATAGTATATAGTGTAGTTTTGACAATTAGAAATAGATTCTCTTTGCCTTTAACAGCTTATCTCTCCGAGTCAGGACAGGGTGGCTTTTTGCCCGAAGATATCAGTGGCGCGTTGAAAAAGATCTGGTTGGGCTATCAAATCGCTCTTAAGATGTCATATTAAGGCCCCTCTCAACACTAAGCTTCTTCTCTATAGAGCACCAGCTCCCCACCCGCTCGAGGCATTTACCGGCTTATTTGAACCAGTCGTTTAGCCATATTAATCACGCACTGCCACTATCGAAACACGAGCCCATGCATTCACCATCCCATTACCACATGGCTGCACAGACATACCTATTTAAGGCTGCATGAGGCTGGCTGCTGTGAACGGCTGTTAAAGAAAAATTCTTTACTGCGGTTGCTTTGCTTTGTCTTGTTCCTCTATACTCTCTTTGCGTCTATTTACTCACCTCTGGGTGACAGGCCTTGGTTATGGAGGAGAAAAACCCCAAAGTGGAGGCGACTCGTCTGCGTTGGCAGACAGGCGACGAGGAAATTGGTGAAAGTGACAGGCCCCGTTTGAATAGACTGAATCGCACTGCCTCCAATAGTTCCCAGCTCTCTTCCCGCAGTCTCCAAGGAAGGACTACTGTTGACCCCTCTCTCTCACTGCCAATTCACTATCGTACAGTGTACGTGGAGTGACTTCCTCATGACTAAAGGATGCCCTGGTCGGTGGCTAAACAAAACAACTAGTTCTTTTGACATTGACGAAGCCGATGCCTCTCGCCGTAGCAAAGTTCTTCAAGCAAAGAGTGAAATCGCCACTGGTAAGTCTACTTCTTTCCTGGTCAACTATGCCAAGCGACAGAGTTCTTTCATTTCCAAATCTAACATATCGAGTCTTCAGACCTCTCAAACCTCGACTGGCATACTATCTCCGTCGAAGAGTTGCAGAAACGTTGGCAAGTTGATGCATCCCAAGGCTTGTCGCAAGACCAGGTCCAAAAGCGCCTCCGGCAATATGGCAAAAACGCCATCTCGCCCATCCCTCACCGATGGTTCTGGCAGATATTCGGATACTTCTTTAAAGGTTTCGGGGCGATCCTCCTCGTCGGATGCATTCTCGTCTTCATTTCGTGGAAGCCCCTGGGCCAACCTCCATCGCAAGCAAACCTAGCACTAGCAATCGTCCTGCTTGCCGTATTCTTTATCCAAGCAGGCTTTAATGCGTGGCAAGATTGGTCCTCCTCCCGTGTAATGGCATCGATTACTGCTATGTTACCGGAAAGCTGCTTAGTCCAGAGAGACGGATCTCAGCTCAATGTGGATGCCCCAAATATTGTGCCGGGAGATGTTGTCTACCTCAAGGCTGGAAACAAACTACCCGCTGATGTGCGGCTGATTGAAGTTTCGAACGATGCAAGTTTCGACCGGTCGATCCTGACTGGTATGGTCATCTAGCCCACTTATACCATCATTGTTCCACTAACGCTTTCGCAGGCGAATCCTTGCCAGTTCATGGGACGGTGGATTCGACAGATAATAACTATCTTGAAACCCATTGCATTGGCCTTCAGGGGACCCATTGTGTTTCAGGAAGTGCGAAGGGAATCGTTGTTGCCACGGCCGACTCTACGGTCTTCGGTGGAATTGCTAAATTGACTAACGAGCCTAACAAAGGTCTGACAACTCTAGAAAAGGAAGTCTTGCGCTTTGTCGTACTGATAGTCCTGATCATGCTGACAATGATCATTGTTGTTGTCGTCGTTTGGGCTGCCTGGCTTCGAACTGATCATCCGGACTGGATTAATGTCCCTACCCTAATCGTGGACTGTGTTAGCATCGCGATCGCATTCATTCCAGAGGGTCTCCCAATTGCGTTAACTGCGAGCTTGACCATCACTGCTAATATCATGCGGAAGAATCAAATTCTTTGCAAGTCACTGAAGACAGTCGAGACTCTGGGTGCGGTGTCAGTCATCTGCTCCGATAAAACGGGCACCTTAACAAGAGTACGTATTCTTCCCCCCGGATAGGCACACGTAACTGCAGCTAACAAAACGCCACTTTAGAACAAAATGTTCGTTACCAATTGTGCCATATCGACCTCAACCTTGAGTCCCGAGACCGCGAGAGACCAGATGGTAGCGGATGGGAGAACATCGGGTATCCACCAACTCCGTGCTGTAAGCGCTCTCTGCAATGCGGCTGAGTTCGATGCTTCATCCACTGGCCTTCCTCTTCCTGAGAGACGTATATATGGAGATGCAACCGATCAGGCTGTCCTCAGGTTCTCCGAAAGTCTAGGTTCCGTCTTGGAGATGCGGCAGGCGTGGAGAATGACCTACGAGCTGCCATTCAATAGCAAGAACAAATTCATGATCCGGACGTTTAATGTAGCGCAGCCGAACGGATATCGTCTAGCACTGTCGCCAGCAGAAGCAATGCAATTCAAACAAGGGGACACTTTACTGACGATTAAAGGCGCTCCAGATATTTTGATCGAGCGATGTACCCACACCATTGGTCTCGACGGTAATGTCGAGACACTCGATGGCCATGTACGCAGGAAAGTACTCGAGATAAAGGACCAGTGGTCCAGCGAAGGTAGACGTGTTATTCTGCTTGCTCGCAAGGTTCTTCCAGCTGCTGAAATCCTTGTACACCCATCCTCTCGCGAGTTCGACTCTGAAGTGGTGAGCCAAGCCAAAGCTGACCTGGTCCTTGTGGGTCTCGTTGGAATCGTTGATCCTCCAAGGGAAGAGATTCCTGACGTGGTCAGAACGCTGAGACGTGCTGGGATAAGGATATTTATGGTTAATTTGTTCTCTTTTCCACAAATCTGAATTGAGATACTGACTGTATGTCATCAGGTTACCGGTGACTTTGGGCTCACTGCTCTAGCTATTGCACGACAATGTGGGATTGTGACAACTGAAGGCATTGTGGATACGGTCGCTTCCCTACAAAGGTCTAATCAAATGAGCGAGAAGCTTACCCCATCGACACCGTCTCCCGCAATCGTCGTGAGTGGCCGTGAGCTTATGTCTCTGGATGACTGTCAGTGGGACCAGCTTTGCCAGTACCAGGAGATTGTCTTTGCACGGACTACCCCCGAGCAGAAGCTTCGCATCGTCAGAGAACTCCGTTCGCGGGACGAGATTGTTGGCATGACTGGAGACGGAGTCAACGATGCTCCCTCTCTCAAGGCTGCGGACATTGGCATCGCCCTAGGCAGTGGCTCCGATATTGCCATTGAAGCGGCCGATATGGTCCTTCTTGACAGCTTCTCGGCGGTTGTAGAGGCCGTACAATACGGTCGAGTTGTTTTTGACAACCTGAAGAAGACCATCGTGTACCTGCTGCCTGCCGGTTCCTTCTCTGAGTTCTGGCCCGTTTTTACCAATGTTATGTTCGGGCTTCCTCAGGTCCTCTCGTCATTTCTGATGATTATCATTTGGTGAATATCCTCCTTCCACTCTTATCTCTAGGTGTCTGAAATTACTAACGCCGCGCAGTTGTTTCACTGATTGTGCTGCCGCCACCGTTTTGGCTTATGAAGCCCCCGAAGCCGACGTTCTACTACGCCCGCCTCGCAAACCAAAGCGCGATCGACTCGTCAACTGGAAGTTGATATTCCATGCCTATGGTATCCTGGGTATGATAGAGAGCATCGCCTCCTTCGCCATGGCATATTGGTACCTTGAACGCAGCGGTATTCCCTTCTCAGCATTATGGTTTAAGTTCGGAGCTGTTCCCTCCAACCTCGACCAGGACTACTACCAAGCCCGTCTGAATGAAGCCAGTTCAATCTATTTCATCAATCTGGTTGTAATGTATGCCATTTCCCCCTCCCTTCTTCATTTTGTGCCCGATGAATTGAAACTGATGTCTTCTAGGCAATGGTTTAACCTAATGGCCATTCGAACCCGGCGCTTGTCCATCTTCCAGCACCCACCCGCCTTCAATAAGGACACTCAAAACCTCCTCCTCTTCCCAGCGATTGCCTTTGCCCTATGCATGGCCGTCTTTTGGCTGTATGTACCGGCCTTCCAGGAGGTGCTGGATACAAGCAGTGTTCCTGTAGAACATTATTTCCTTCCCGCTGCTTTTGGCTTGGGTATTTTGTGCCTTGATGAATTGCGTAAGGCAGCTGTGAGGAGGTGGCCTACAGGAATTTTGGCGAAGTGTGCCTGGTAGGTTGATCTTGTTCGTGTATCTTGGTTGTGTCGTGATTTGGGCCGGTCTATTTTCTCATTATAGGTAGAATAGTACTTGGTCTAGAAGAGAGCGAAGATATATTAAATTCTCTCATATACATAATTACTGCTACTCTTTTGAATATAATTGAACAAGTTCATCAGCCATAGCATTTATTGTAATGGTGTCTCTGAATGAAGATATTCTAGTAATATAAGAAATCGAAGCCCTAGGATAAGAGCCATAAGAACAATCCTCAGCAAGAATCCAGTCCCCTTCCTAATTGGTAATAGGGCACAACCCCGGAGGCCAAATAGGGCTTAGTGTTGTTTGATTCTGACCGCCTACCAATTCAGGGACAAATCCTTTACCTCTGATCCTTTGATGCCAAACGGCGACATTTCATGTACGATCAAAGAAGATGGATCCCTTTGGTACTTCCCGTCAATCAACGGGGGAGGGAATGATCTTATCGCCAGGAACCCATTCACAATCGGAGAGTTCGTACACTGCACATCCACGCTTCCTCGAGTTACAAGAAGAGCTCCGAAGTGCTTTGTTCACCGCCGTCGCTGATTCAACCCCAAAACAATACCTCGGAGAAGCGACAGCTGAACCTGAGCTGTCTGAGCTCCGGCGGGATGTAGATCTCTTTGCTAGATCTCCACTCCCCAAGGCTCGGCTGGTCTCTTATTTGAAGAATTGGATCACGGAATGCGCTCCTTACCTCGATAAATTCGACGAGGCTCGCCACTTTGGGGTCCACGTTCCGATCCTAGCCCGAGAATCTCCTGGATTATTCTATGCGATCCTTGCATTTTCTGCCCGGCAAACCGAAAGAAAAGGTGGACTGCGCAATTGCCATGATAGCCTCGAACTCTACCAGGAGGCAATTCGGTGGGTAACGCCAGGCCTCCAAGCCAGGGATCCAAATGTTCTGGTGACCGCCTGTGTTCTCGCAGTCATGGAGTTAATGTCTGTCAGTCCACAGGACTGGAGACGTCATGTGGATGGCTGCGCAGCTCTATTTGACTGCTTTAACGTGAACGGCTTTTCGGGTGGTCATTTACAGGCTGTCTTCTGGTGCTATGTGCGGATGGAGCTGTGTGGAGTGATCGTGTCCAACGGCGCAGAGAGAACGGTGCTTCCCCTCGAGAAGTGGGTACCCGCTGTGTCTTCGGGCCTGGATGCGGAAAGCATTGAGGATTACGAGAAACGAGTTCGGGAGCTGTTCTTGGAACAAAGCCGACTGACTGCTGACATGCATGCAAATTGGGCCGTGTATCTATGTGCCAAAGCATGCGATCTAGTATGCAGGCGCACAAGGCACCTAGAGCTAGGGGAGTATGATACGGCCGACCTGCGACCATTCCATGAACAATGGAGCCGACTTTGGGACGACCTACAGTACTGGCTGGAACAACGGCCGGTATCTATTCTCCCCATGAAATCTACCAGTATGCAAGGTGATCGAATTTTTCCGGAGATCTTCTTCGCTCATCAAGCAGCTATATCCAGCAACCAACTGTACCACACGGCCTGCATTTTGCTTCTGGAGATTAAACCCCCTACCATTTTATTGCCCTCATCAAGTCACTTGGCCTCCTCGGTTTGGCACGCAAGGAGGGTCTGCGGGATTTCCCTCACAAACCCACATCCAGGCAACCTCATCAACGCTATTCAGCCGTTGTATATCGCTGGAAAGCTTCTAAGCCATCGGCGCGAGCAGATGACTGTGGCAAGACTCTTCAAAGCCATCGAGGCGACCACAGGGTGGGGGGCACTATGGCGACTCAAGGATCTTGAAGCAGTTTGGGGCTACGAAACGAACGAGATATTATCAGCTATCTGACTCTAAATTCTGTCACATCTTAGGACATCATAAAATGTGGCTGTATGAGCGACTTACCTGTCGCACTGCGGACACTCCTATGCTCATTGAATAGCAATCAATGCTGGTCTGACCTCCAGGGCGATCTATCTTGAGGGAGGCACGTGGAGGATACACATATCACTATCCCCTCTTCCAAAAGACCCCTTGTCAAGGTGTGAAATGGCTTTTGCGGCTTCGCAGCATGCTAACGCTACTGGGGTGGTGTATGTTCACGTACCCACTCAAGACTCGCTTTTGACAAGTGATATTAGGTCTGTCGTATGAAGGGGATGACTTCTGCAATGAAGCGTACCTATTATGCACATGGTATGCCGCAAACAGAAACTACGAGCCCTCTCGATCTAAGTATCGGTGTCATTTTGCTGGAAATGCAACTAGTTTCCGTGCTTTGCTAATTCACCGCAAACAATAATGGTCGCTAAACAAGTGTGAAGTTCAACACGCACCCGCAATCGGTCATGTTTATACCGTTGTTATAATGACTCGTTCGGACCTAGTTCCACATACCTACTATTCGCTCCAACTGGTTGTCGGATTACTGCTATACTGTTCAGTGGATGATGGACGCCACTTTATACTAGTGCATAAATTCATAACATTAATTTTCGTACTAATTGAACGGTCAAGCGACCGCTACCTGTCATCATGCACCATATATTACAGTACTATGCAGAAAAAAAAACCCTTAAGACGCCAGTATTCCTGAATGGAATCTCCGCCAGCTTATACCTTCTCAACATGGAATCCATGACTATCTTTATCCACGGACACTTCACCCTTGGACAGCCGTTCGAGGCATGCAGTCAACCCTACTTCTCTCTGGGCCTCACGCAGAAGTTCAGCATCCTGCTCCCCAGTATTGCTCTTAAACACCCGATCCATCTCCTCCAAGGACGCATTCTTCGTCTCAGGAAGAAAGAACCATACCCAGAGAATGCCGACTAGCAGAAAAACGGCAAAGAAGATGTAAGTACCCCATGCCCATGCATTCAGCATCGGGGGCACAAAGAATGCAATAGCAAAGTTGTTGAGCCAGTTGCTAAATGCTCCAATCGAAGCGCCCTTGGCACGAATGGAGAGGGGGAAAATTTCCGACACCAATGTCCATGAACAGGGGCCCCATGTAGCACCAAAGCCAGCGATGTAGACCCAGATGAGGGCTGTTGTCTTAATTAGCCTGAGGACTCCAAACGCAACACTAGCAAGGGGGAAATGAGGATACTCACCAACAGCAGTCCAGCCAGCCGCAACATGAGAAGGCCAATCATGACGGAACTTGGCCACGATCACTCCCACGATCACCATGCTGACCAACATGACTATTGAGCCGACTATCAACATGGGTTTCCGACCGACTTTGTCAATAATTAACTAGTCTGAGTTAGTGGAACGTGCATTTGTAGATGGACGTGGACGTGAAATCCCGTTTACATACCATTCCGGGCATTGTGCTGATGATGAAGACCACGCCAGTCACACCGGTTGCCAAGAGGGCGACAGTACCGCCCGTAAGCCCAAGACTCTCGAAAACATTCGACGCGTAATAGATAACTGTGCACACTGTTGTTAAACCTTTTTCTATGCGGGCTAAGACGGGACCACCTACTAGCGTCGATACCACTCCATTGCTGGAAGAACATAATCAGCCATGCGGTGCAGACCCTTTTGAAGTTGCCCATAGTCCGGAAGCAATTGGCATATTGGGCAATTTGGCTCATGAAGACGCTCGTGTTTTCTCTCTCGGCCAACCAGGGCGTTGCCTTGGCGAAGGCTCTCTCCTCAAATAGGGCCTCCGCCTTCATCTCCAGATACTCCACTTGAACGAGTTCATGGTCCTGTGGAAGCTTCCGGACCCATGCGAGGGTAGCAAGGGCCTCCTCATCCCTGCCCTTCTTGACCAGCCATCTAGGGGAGAACGGCATGAACCAGATCCCGGCCGCCAGAGCAACCGCAGGGATACCCTGGATGATGGAGGGTATGCGCCATGCAAGGTCCGACTGTGTCTCGCCTGTACCCCCAATGTAGTTACTTCCGTAACCCACCCAGAAGGAAATCATGATGCCCAGGATAGTGGCAAACTGGTAGAAGGAGACGAGGAGACCACGCATTTCGGGGGCGGCCAGTTCGGCGTTATACAACGGGCCAACACCGCTGAACAGACCGACTCCTACACCCGTGAAGAATCGTCCGGCGTACAAAAGCGACGCGTTGCCGGCCGTGGCGCCAACGTAAAGATAGCTTCCTAGGATAACCCAGCAGCAGGCGACGAACATGGTGTACTTGCGTGAATAAATTTCGCCCAAGACTCCGGCGGATAAAGACCCAATAATTCCGCCCAACTGGAGAATCGAGGTCAACCATCCCTTTGCTGCATCAGAGTCTACAACCGAGGGGAAATTCTCTTTGAAACGGGTCATGACCAAAGATTGGCCTAAGACGCCTTGTTGATAGCCATATTCAAACCCACCAAAACTATACGATGTCAGTTGATCTGCAACTCATCCTGAGAGAAGGGAACTTACGAGGCAAAGAAGGCAATAAGGAGCACCTTAGGGTTAGCGGCTAGAGACTGCCACATCGACTTTTTAACGACCTGAATATGCTGGTGGTCGTTGGTTTCACGATCAGAGGACATTTCAACAGCCATCGTGAAAAAGAATTTTTCATGTAGAGAAAGAAAACGAGTCCGGGGACATTCCGGGGAAGGGACAGTGGGGGATCTGGGGAAATATATCCTTGATTTTTTTGCCTTGATTTTATCTACACCTAAGCTGTCCAGCTCATATTCGTGGAAAATCCTTTATTTGCAGGCGACACGTTTGGGCAATTTTTATTTTTAATTTTATTTACTCTTTTTTTCTTTTTTTTCTATGGAGACTGCAGAGTTTTGAGCTTATTTTGTGCCGCCACATGGGTGATGGCATGTTTCCCACTGCAAGTCTTTACCAGGAACGAGAGTGATGGAGCCTCTGTTTACTAAATTGGGACGAAGGAACCATTTTTTTTTCAGTCTCACGTGGGTGGATTAGGGCTAAAGTTAGGTAATAATTTCCCCAAGTCTGGATTCCTTCTCCAGCTCTTCGTGTCGGCGGCCTCCGGGCCCACCTTGTCTTCCTTTTCGGCGTGCGGAGGCTCGACAACCTCTTTTTGGTCGACTCTTTCCCCATAACCTTGCAGTCAACAACATTGAACATCCCAGTCAGGCCGCTATGTCTCCCAGGAGATCACCGGTTACGGGGAAACAAAAACGTGTCCGCACGGGATGTTGGACTTGCCGCCGGCGGAGAAGAAAATGTACGTACGGTCTTTCCCCACATGTTGAGTTGAGAGGCTGACGCCAGGATTTCTCAGGCGATGAGCGGAAACCTCGCTGCGAAAACTGCGAGGCAAAGGGATTTTCGTGCCGCTATGGGGCCGATCTTACCTTTGTATCAGTTCCCAATCCCAAGACGCGCTCACCTAAGGAGACGACTGCTGGAGCCGTGAATTACAACGCAATCCAGGTAGGATGTTATTTTATTAGTAAAAGTTAAATTTACTGATTGACTGGTAGTTTGTTGACGACGGTCCGGCTTCGTCAAATGTATTACGGAACTGTGAAAATGATCAGGGCTCCAGAAGTGCCGCAGCTCCTGCCATGAGAGCTACGCCAAGCCCTATCATCGAACAGCCGGTAGAACATGATCGTGCCCAAGCTCCAACATTAAACCGACTTGCATGCTTTTCGGGTGTTGATGCCGATATCCCCCGGGAATCCACTCTTCCAGACTCGATTAATTCTTCCCATCTCGAAGATAACCGGGGGACCGTTGCCAAGAGCCGTGATTTGGGCTATGCCTCCGGCAATTACACGTCTAGCTCCCATCTCGCCAACACCGATAACCCGCCATATCTTACCTCTATTAGTGAAACTGATGAGATTGGTCTACTGCGCTATTTCCGCTACAATCTGGCGCCCTGGATCGATGCCGGGGACCCTGAGTGCGGGTTTGAGATCCAGGCATTGCTTCTCGCCAAGACCGAACGACCACTGTTGGCCGCAATACTAGCACTTGCCTCATCTCATTGTTCACGGCGGCAAAAAGCTAACGTCATAAGGGTCAGTGATACGTTTCAGGAAGAGGCTGAACGTGGTCTAGCCGAGGCGAATGATCAGATCAGGTCAATGGGGCAAGCTCTCTTGATGTTGCAAGATTTCTGCTCCTCTCGTCCGCATCAATGGAGGGACTTCCTGCTATCTCGAATTCGTACGTATACTCGTCTAGCCGCCGTCACCACCCCACAAGGTATGCTCAATCAGCCATGGTGGCTGCTCCACTTTCGAATTGGTACGCATCCTTACTCCACCTAGTGACCTGACAAGGCTGACACTTGTGCCGAAGATCTTGCTGCCGGCATCTTTAGTGCGAAGGCGCCACTGATGCCCTACTCATCACAATTATTACCCGATGGCTCATTCTCACTAGCGCCACAACAGCGACCGGCGAAATGGGTATTCCTACGTGCTCTACTTCTTCTAGCGGATTGTCTATCTCTCCTCTTCGGTCAAGTTGACTCGTCCTCGAGTTCCGAAAGTGAGAGGACCCTAGCCGTCCATACCTTACTTCAAACCGATTTTACCTCACGATGGACGTCAATATGGGCCAACTGCCAAGAATGGTACCACAATCGGCACGTGGAGATGCGGCCGGTCTTGGATATTCGGGGCGTGGAGGCCGATGAAATTAACTTTGGGAACGGTTCATCTTTTCCTATTCTTATTTACACGACACCTCTTGCACTTCTCGCCAATACCGTATACCATATCTCATCATTCCTCCTACTTAATCACAAACCAAGGCTGCTGAAACAACTGGCAGGCCCGAGACGTTTCGCTTCCCGGCTCTGGCACGCTCAGGCTATTGCGGGGCTCGCTGCAAGCAACGATTTCAAAGAGCAATGGGATCCCATTCTGATTGTTAGCCTCCTCACTGTAGCACCTGAGATGACCCACGCATCACAGCAATCGATCTTGCTTAAGCAGCTAGGCAATATCACTATGGCCACTGGAATAAAGTTAGATTGCGAGATCGATACCCTGCGATCTGGCTGGGACATTTCACAATATGATGAAGACACAGTGGGCTAATGTAGGCCGGATTCATTATCATCCCTCGTGCTGCTCAGCATCATTGATGGTCTCTGATTTCGTACGCAAACGGAATACTCTCAATCGCGCCCTTCCTCTGCACACACATCGCCGCTGCTTGATTCGCCTCCTGTACGGCCGACTCAATTAAAGCGTCGAAGTGCTCGAGGGTTTGTCCCGTGGCGGCATATTTCGCAAACGCTGCCGAGAAGTAGCCAACAAAGGTGTCTCCAGCGGCTGTAGTGTCCACCACATTCTTGACGCGCACACCCTGCACAAATCCATGGCGACCCGTGGCCGTTGAGAAGAACACTCCCTTTGCACCCAGTGTAATCAGAACGATGGGGATCTTCGCCACCTGGTGGAAAAGCGGGGCTAGCAGCTCCGGTTGCAAATCGGCTTCGGTTTGAGATATCGCCGGAAAATTCGGGATAGACTCTGCCATCTGAATAGTCTCTGTTTCATTCATGATCAACACGGCTGTACCAGCCAAGGCGTTGAGCGGGATGCCATCCGGATACACCGGTGCAATGTTCAGGACAACGTTGGTCGGGTTTTTAGGATCATTATAATGTTGCATTAAGCCCACCACCGTCGATCTCGGAATCTCTCCCTGTAGGACCACAACTTGCGGAGAAGCGGGACACTGGGTCTGGACAAGTGCAAGGATTTTATCAACATCGCTCATTCCATCATGATTCGCCCCGGGAACAACAACAATGCGATTCTCTCCATTCTCCCCTTCTTCCACGATGATAGTCGCCGAGCCCGTTTGACACCCTGCCTTTTGCTCGATGCCCGTCGTGTCCACCCCTGACTTTTCCAATGCGGGCCGCAGCAATGAGGAATAATAGGGATCCTCTGCACCGACCGCTCCGATCATTTTCACGGCCACGTCTTGCTGAGTCTCAGTAATGAAACCCGCTCGAGCGCATGCTACCGCTTGATTGGCGCCTTTCCCGCCTGCATCGATCGAAAGGGAGGAGCCTGTCAGTGTCTCTCCCGGTCCGGGGCAGCGTCGGGCATATGTGACAAAGTCGATATTGAGGGATCCGATAACGCAGATCTGAGGTTTCTGAGCCATCTTTGCAAGTATTCAACGTTTCTTTCTTGCTTAATTTCGTCGCTCTAAACCAAATAACTTCTATGTGCAAGTGGGGGGATAGTGGTGCCTTTTCCAAGACAACTCCAAAGCTCGTTAATTCGCAGTATTTAAAATTTTTAAAAATTTACACAACGGAATTGAAAGATCGCCCGTTGCCCTTAGCAATGATTTAAGTAATTCAATGTCGCTGTTAATAACAAAAATGGTCCCTTAGTTCATCTCTAGAGTCTAGATGCCGTGATAAAACGGAACCTGAACTCCAGTCGCAAGCCATACCACATCGGGAATCCATAGGCTACATCCTAGTCGGCGGCCCGTTTGTCGGAAGCGCGTCTCATGAGTTTCGAGCCCTTCCCAGAGTCGTAGGCTATGGTAACCTGATTAGGATTGGCGCACGGTATCGGAAAATGTCTCTCGTCCATGATTTGGGCTATCCATTTTGCCACATCATGAAACCATTGAGTTTTGAGTCAAGATCGTGTCAGATGATCTTATGTTCTTCTAGGAGAATATGCTCGTTCATGTGATTTTTTAATCAGGTCTGTTGTTGTCACATAATCACTCTCGAAACTTCGATTCGATTGTTTTGTGTTCTTGTGGGTCTAGGGCCGAGGAGAGTTGCATTGGGATTTTCAATTTTCAACTTTCGGGGCGGGTTCCCACGTCCACATCGGCACGGCTTGGACCGGGAAGCGGGTTGAAAACTGTAACACAATACTTCCCCGAGAACTTCCCGATGGTATTCTATTTATTGTCTCAATGAATGGAATATCTAATCATCTATCAAAACCAACTAATTGAAATAATAGTCCAATTATTGCATCGTTTGAAATGTTTACTTATAAAGTGATTGTGGTGTATGTTCACATAATTATATCGGACGCCTGACTGGTAGAATCCTTTATACCGTCAATGCTCTCCTCTGCAAACAAAGATAGATGGCTATTTGAATCCACTATGACGTACCGTTTGGAGAGAACTCTGTGGACTTGAAAATTTATGGCCATGTAAGACAAGACTGCGAGCAATTTTCCCCGTAGCACAGTAACAAAGTCTCCCGATTTGGGTGCCTGCATATCGATGGCATAATAATGTCTACGGAGACATGGTCCACTATTAACACACGATGAATTGCCTAGTGGAGAAAGCTATGTCCTGACTTTGTATTATGTCTTGTAGACGAAACATATGCATTAGTGGCCTAAAGAACAATAGAACTTCTTGCACACTGAATATATATTCCATATGTGCTTGCAACGTACGCTCTGTGCTGCGACTTAACTGTTTGAACTGTGTGCCATTTGTTTATCGTCTATTACGAAGGATCACTTATAAGGTAGTCATTATGGCAGTTGTTTCCCTTGTCTTTTGCTTCGCATAGTATGATATGACGATGTTTTACGATGACTGCAAGAATGGAGTAGTCCCATGGTTCACAAAAGCTTTGCAATCATGTCTTGCCAAGAAGTTAATTATGCATTATACTTTTCAACTCTAGTAGAAACACCTCCTTTGCTCAGTTCGTCATGGTGTCCCACAACCGAGCCAGCTTGGGATGTGAAAATTGCCGGAAACGAAGATGTAGAGTGGGCTTTCTGGTTTCTAGTCTAATCAACCGAAGCCGAGATGCTCCCAGTGTGCACGTGCAGGTTTGCACTGCTCAGGGTACAGAAGCCAGTCAGATATTCAGTTCTGCGATCAGACAGCAGCTGTACCTTGGAAGCTCCAGCCCGCAACTACCAAGGATGCCACTAAATCTCCTTGCTCTGACTATTCGTGATCTTAATGTGTCAGTCAATGGGGCAATGATCGCGGCCAGTTTTAATATGTCTGTATTTGAGGTGTTCTCTTCTCGAAATATGTATCACTGGAGGCTGCCAATAGGCATAGATGATAGCTTCTGACGCTCCCCCAACGGCCGTCTGTGGTTTAAAACACATCAAGGGGACGGTTGTGCTCCTGCACCTGAATTTGAAGACAGGTGGATTCATCGATGGCATACAGTGACTACTCCATGTCTGCTATATTGCAGCAAGATTACAAAAGCTTAATCCTCGATCATGAAACTGTATGTATTTGCTCCGTTTCCATAGGCATTGGGTTGTCTACTCAATGGAGAGACATTTCCGAGATTTCTTGTGGACGCGATACAAGCTTGCACGAAAGATACTACGGAAAATGATCTTCATCGATCGTATATCTGTTTCTTATATTGAGCACTTTGATCAGCCTTTATAGTCGATTGAAACAGGGCCGTCGGCAAGACCCTGTACAGGCTATTTCTGCTGCTATTCAGCTTGAACAAAGTCTAGCTGCGTGGGCGGCTAGGCTCCCCACAACAGATCAATGTAATGCGGCCACGGAGATCTCTTTGCGGTCTGACGAGTACAGGTGGCTTTTAAGGGCCTGGAGCTACTATCGGCTCTGCAGGGTACTTGTCCATAGGATAGTCCTCGATAACCTTGATAGGCTTTCGCCTGATATTCAGACAACTTATCCAACATTGATCACCCTGTCCAAGGTACAGTATAGCACATTGCCATCTTTTGACATGATCCGGTACGCCGTATCCAAAGCCGCTGGCTTTATCTTCGCCGAGGAATTGTAGCGTCAGCTAGACGAACAGGGTCTCTCGGTTCTCTCGATTGCGGTGCATCCAGGAGATGACGCGACTGAAAGAGTAAGGGCGAGTAATTTTGAGGTGGTTAGGGTTATAGCACGTTTGTTCTTCCTTACATCTTATCAGGGTTCTGCGTCACCTTTTTTCGCGGCTACGGCGGAGGAGGTGCGGCGGGATCCTGGGAGGTATAAAGGAAGGTTTCTGGTACCTATCAGCAAAGCCAAACTCAATTACCGATGATGAGGTACAGCTGAAAAGGGCTATGGGTACATACGATTATGGAGATCTACAGACAGCTCGCTGCGAATGGCTTTCCTCCGTTGCAGGCTTATATATAATTGTCTCCTGTCTGTCGACTCTCAACAGGGGGATTCTACTCATATATTGATTAGATTGTTGTTGTCTTTGTACAACACGACGTATTCCTGCACTCGACTGTGATAACAACTAGTTATCTTGAGAGGCTTACAAACCATAAAGGGTATCAGGTGGGCCCAACTCTAGCAGCAGCTTCGTAATTCTTTGCTCAAACACATCTTCACAGAAAGAGCGCATGTGCTACTATCCCGGGGAGACCATCATCACCGGAGCTTGTGAACAAACATCGTAAATGACCAGACTTAATCGCAGTGAAACTAGGCTTCACGCTCTAATGAAACAATCACTTACTTCCTGGTCTTTGGGCTCATCACATGTCATTTCGCTAGGGAGCTTACCTGACAAGTCTATTATTGGTGGCAGCTGGGATTCACTAAAAGCTGTGGCCATAGCGTGGTCACACGGGGTCGTTCAAGGGGATGGGTTTGCGGGTCAAGTGAGGAAAGTCATTCCAAACGTGGAAGAGTATTATAACGCACTGACTTGGTTCTATGCAATAGAGAGGCGGAATAATGGAAGAGGATAGCCAGTGTATGATTCTAAAAAAAAGAGATAGAAGGGACCATGCGGAATGACCCGCTGAGCACTCTCTAGTACAGCTTGGATACTGCCTAAATAGTGCAGGGAACCTATTTGATAAGACACAAAATAGACTGCAAATGAATGACAAGCAAAAGACAACGTAAATACATGGTAGTACTAGTAAGAATGGGTCCTATTAAGTATGGATGTCAGACTTCAGTGTTGGAGGGATACATGGACAAGCAAGAAAGAACAAAAAAGATTAAGATCCTCTAACTAGAGAAGATTCAATGCCAGACACCTACAAAGAGCCTCGATTTAAAACGGCTCTGGTGGCGGTATCAAATGTGTTCCCTACAAGGTTTGGAGGTTATGAAACGTAGCTGGAGAGGTGAATAATAAACTAGACGCGTATGATGAACGGAGTACTAACTCTCCTTGCCTATCCTTGTAATGTAATAGGCTGTAGGTCTATAAATAGTCGTTCATGTTCTCGCAGCATAAAGCAGGTTTCAGAATCTCCGTTAAACAATGAATCATTGCTTACCACGATATAACCCTAGACCGCCACCATGGTTGAAGACAAAACAAACAACTACCTCGAGAACAATGAATACAGATGCCCCTATCTCAAACCATTATATCATCTCTTAAATGTGAAAGGCGCGTGGATTATTGAACAGGTCGCTCAGCTGGCCTGAGGTGCTCGAGAATATAGATAGCTATTGGATATTGTGATGGTGATTCGGTGTACTACATCCGAGTCCTTAGGGATCGTATTTGCACAAAGCGCAGTAGGCACATCATGTACGACTAAATAGCCGGTGACAAAGGAGAGCCTCCCTTCTGCAGCTGGCCCGACTGGAGTACTCGTTGATGACAGGTTTACAAAATTCACGGTAAGCATTAGACCAGCATCTATACAATATTTAGGCACTTTCTATTTTTGTACTATTCCCCGCGACCAAAGGCAAGGCGAATTATGGCCGTAGATAGCTATGTACCGCGTCCTGAATGAAAAAAGGTTATCTAGAAATGCCTACGCACCAGGAATTAGCCATAATGGAATGCTGACGCGACGGGTTACACTTCTAGTGTCTGAATAATTATGAATGGACCGCTACGAGGATTGCTATGATAGTAGATGCTTGAGATTCACATCTGCGTAACTGTTTGTCTTCCGGGGGCTGATGATATCAGTATATCAAAGAAGGTCTAAACTTAAATGCCACATAAATTTACCATCGACCACATACTCTATATTCACAGTTTCTTATGTGGTTGTGTACAGAAAAGGAAAGAATATGCTCAAGATTCACTATATAATGACCACAACAATATGAGTATTATGAATGTGGTTCACCTTGTTGCACTTATTCCTGCCGTTACCTCAATTTATATTTCCCATACCTCAAGAGAATCATACCCAGGATGAAGCTTCACTTCGGAGTCTTACTGTGCCTGTGCGCCCTAGCGGCTTCACTTACACCCCTTAAGGACCATTCTGAACACGGTACGGTACCCATCCTCCGTATACTCTTTGAAACACTACTGGCAAAGGCTGATTACACCCCAGGCTTATTCGACATCCCTATTCAGATCAAAAATGACTACGAAGACACCATGGATACAGATGAACACACGATTCGCTCTCGCGTTGTCTCCCGAAGATCCCATTGCCTAAGCTACGCGGACTGCAATGGTGGCTGGTGCCACAAAGGGCAATGTCTGGATGGTGCCTGTGACGGAGACAAACTATGTCCCGATGGCTACGGCTACGAGTGCGATGGCAAGAATTGCTTCAAGTACCGTCCACCTTGGGTGCAAGAGATCCCCGGTAGTAAGTTGCTTCCTTATCTTCTTATCAAAGCATGAAACAAGGCTGTGGCTAATACTGTCTGGTATAGAGGATGCTACTAAAGGGGGGAGTTGCGAGTCACCTAAGGATTGTCCTGATTGGGGGTGGTGCTTTCGAAATTCCTGTTACGAACAGTCGTGTAAGGGGAACAGGGATTGCCCTGCGTGGTATGCTTGCCATAAGAAGCGTTGCACCAAGTGGCCTCGGTCTTAGAGGGACGAGGGTTGGAGCGAGTATGGAGATGTTCACGAGGAGGGGATGGACAGTGGAGATACCTGCTCGAGTCCTCAGGGCTTCGATGGAAACAATTTGTTCCCTGGGCGGAAGTATTGGTCTTTCTAGCTGCTGTTGCAGTGATAATCGAGTTTGATATCCGAGATCAGTATAACTAATGGGCCTCGTCTCTTATTTAAATCCTGGCCGTATTCTCTATTTCCCTATGAGCAATATGCGGGTTAATAATAAGATCTTAGCTTAGATCTATCCCTACACGCCCCACCGACTGTTAAGAGTGGGATGTCATATCGAGGCCGACATAATGAGTGAGACCTACTTCGTATCACTGGCGAGACTTATCGGTAATGCACAGTGTTGCCCATATTTTGTTGGTTTATATTATTTACTACTCCTACTATTTAATGATCTATATATGATCCAATATAGTAGAGAAGAGGCGATGCTAAGGAAGAGCGAAGGTATGCAATCATACTGAAGACAATCCTAGTTGACACTAAACATAGAGACTAAAGTATTCATAAATAATTATACAGCTTTTGGTTTATGCAAACCTGGAAGAAAACCACCTCGACGGATGAGGTACCCCTAGATGGTTATGTACTGTATTGGCAAAAAGCCATCCATGTATTGTCTGCCCATCCATAATTCAAGTTCTTGAATCAGTTCAATCAAATGACAGGGCCGCACACGTTCTCAACTCCTCACTCACTCTAAGTATAGCCAAAACTGAACCACGAGTCAAATCCCCGCTTCTTCAGCGATACTTGGTTTCCTAGCTTCCAGTATATTGAGGGCATGCGCGCACACCGTTTTCTAGGACCAATGTCCGGCATCAGGATAAGTCCATGACTCGACATTCTGGTTCGCCCATCGCCCTGGAACTCGCCATGAGAGTCTACAGATGCAGACGCTACAAGAACCAAATTCCCACCGCCACTTCCGTAGTGCGGTTAAGAATGCGGCGCCAAATTCGCATGATCAAACGCGGTTCGCTACCCCTGCGGTCAAGATTGGATGCGCAAAGCCCGGGATTCACTATGTTGATGATCACGGGGGGAACAGTCGCTGGCTTATCTTTCAGCCGTGCAACGAGTTCACGTGTGAAGAGAACTTCAATTAGCTTCGTGATTTGATACCTTTCTTCTCAGTCAATATGGTGGTTGGGTGACTTTCCTAAGCCCTAGATATACCAACAACATATGCCTCCGTAAAATGAAAAGATTGCGATTTAACTTATGGTAGCTTTCCCTTTGCTATGAATCCAGTGATGCCGAGCTTCTGGCTAGACAAGGTGAACTCGAATTGGAGATCGATAACCACGATGTACTCGAAACTCTTGTTCATCCCCCCTCCCCCTCCCCCCCACATATCACGGCCACCTTTAAGATGGCCTAAAGAACCAGATTCTCTCCACGTTGCTCGGCCGCGCCAAAACACCGGCTGAGGCGCAGACCTCCCTGAAGGTGTACGACCAGGTCCGCCGCCCGCCCACGCGACGCATTGGCGAGGCGAGTCGGGACACGGAGCTTATCGCTGCTGGTTTGGGAGAAACGAAAAGGCTGAACTTGGCGGATCTGAGAGCGAAATTGCAGCCGAGGTGGAATTCCATTATAGATTCCGACAATGAGAAGCACCGTGATGAGGCGCTAGAGCTGCTAGTGCGGGAGTTGAAGTCTTAGGGTGTCTCTCGAAATGCGAAACATATCGTGCAGTGAATATTGTTCCACATCATCTAGATCGTAGAACTAAATCAGTCATTTTGTTACAAGGTCTCCCTTATCACAACCCTGGGCACGTCAGCAGCCTGGAGCGGGAAAGTGAGTCGAGGACGGGATTAACATACTGAGGGAAGATATAAGGAAGTCATTGCACCCACATGATTAGCAGCATTTCTATGATTATTTTCCTCGCAACCTACACGGCCCCCTTCCATTCTGCCCTCCCTTTTTCTTCTCCCTATTCCCATTCCAGTTTCCCAATGACCTCTCCTCCAAAGCACACTTTTTCGTGAAGATGCCCCCTACATTTATAACGTGAACAACTTCAAGCCATGGATATCCCCCCTCACACTGAATCATTCCCGCACCGCAAATCACTGATTTCCTGCCTCTGAATCCCAAATCCCCAAACCCCGTCATAATCCCTCCTTAAGTACTTTGCCAATTCCCAAGCACCACCTCCCCGCACGGCCACCGGCCGAAGTTTGCGTGCATACTAATACAAAAAGCTTGCCATGTACACCATCGAGCTCCCAATCTCAACTACGCCAGATATCCATCCCTCCGCCCAATACACCACATTCAGAGAACTTCAAGCACGGCACAACATCTCAACATGGTTCAGCACATCGCACCTTAAATTTGGATCCAAATCTAGGCCGCGAGTTGCTAGACATTACCGACGCTCCGATGAGTATACCAGTACAAAAAGCCGTCGGCCAGATACCCCTTTAAGCTCCCAATCTCAACAACGGGGGATATCCATATGAGCAAAATGCGGGGCGTTGGGTGGTGTTCTATGCGGGAAACCTCGCTGTTGAGCTTCAGAACACCCACGGTTCACCATGGGCCAGTCCAGATCAATCGAAAAGAAGCCTATTTTCTGATAGCCTTTCAGGTTTCCCACATCTATTTTCGTTCAGTACTATATATAAAACATGTCATAGCTATTACCCTTGAGTTATAGCGATTGGAACATCTCGTTTAGAGGGTTTGGTGTAATCCTTTTACGGAACTTACTTACTAAGTCCACCCGCGCACTTCATTGGCTCTCCGCCAGCTACGATATCATGAGACTCATTAGCTAGGTTGGATATGCTCGTGTTGTAGCCGTGAAATTAGTGGTCATTCAAACTATTTCTATCCGCATCCGTCGAAACGGCCGTGTGCAAGTGGTGAGATAACAGCACGATGGGACTACGGGTATCTGTGGAATACAATTAATTGACCACGTGGGAGGGTCGAGACTTCTGCAGGTCAGGGGAAGTGATATTCTAGCTTCATATGATATACATTCTTATGGCAGCGACCTTAGGATACTCGGTACCATTCGAAAGATTCACGCGGATTTTAAGGCGGGCAACGGTCAAAAAGAGGCAACAGTCTTGCAGAAACACCGCAAAACTGCCCGCCTCGATGGGAAAGGGTAGGCGCCACTGATTACAGCAGTTATATGATCCACGTCAGCCTAATTAGCTGATGTTGATATCATCTTACGGCGAGCAGCAAGGGTTAGAAGTATAAATCAAGTCGTTCACCCCGGGATATCTAATTCAGATTCAATCTCATCAGTCCACTGACCAGTTAACCAATTCCAACAACACAGATCTTTTCTAAGATATATCAAGCCCCCATCCTCAACAATGTCCTCTGGTTCCACTAGCAATATGCTGCGGGTCAGCATTGAGTCTCAGAAATTCCCTAGTTCGTACCTTCGCCTCGACGGACGGGGAGTGACCGCACCCTCCGCTTCTGGCGGAGGAGTTGCCAACTGCCAGACCTATGTGGGCTCATATGAAACTCTTATCATCGTGAATTATCCCGAGGACAATACCTTCTCCATTCTTTCTTCTGCTTTCCCCAATATCTATCTTCGTATGGATGGCTCCGACGTCAAGACCGGGGAACCCTATGCCCAGGGGGCTGGAAGGGTCAACTGCCAGTGCGTATCCCGTGCTCCATTGCCTCCTTCTTCTCATAAATTAGTTACTGGAACTCAACCTAGCAGATCTAAGCTAACGTTCCGGACTACTAGGTACGGTAGCCGCACTTATGAGAAATTCCGCTTCGTAAACCAGGACGATGGAAGCAAGGCCATCGTTTCGGTGCAGTTCCCAAACGCCTACCTTCGCATGGACAATGTCTCCGGCCAGGGTGGTCCTGGTGGTGGAGGAACCGTTAACTGCCAGAGCTATATTGGTACCTACGAGAAATTCAAGATTCATGTGCTGTAGTGTGTAGGCGTGGGGCGGCGATGTTTTGTTGATTATCTCTTGTTGCGTTTTTGGGCTTCCCGGTGTTATCATGTTTTACCACCAATAGGAAAAAGTAAGAAAAAAACATAATGGAACAGCAAAAAGTAAAAAAGTAAAAGGCAAAGTTGCGGCCTGTATTTTGCTGTCTGGTCAGGAGACTTTTTAGGTTGAATAGCCTCTCCCTTACATACTATCTTTGAATGGAAATGCCTTGTCTACCTCTATAAAAGCGGTACCATCTTCTTTAAAGTAACAATGTACCTCCTATACAGTATTAAAATGTGGATGACCATGCCCTACCACTCTAAACGAAGATATTACCACAAAAAAAAAACAACAGATAATGTAGAGAATCAGGGGGAAGACAGCAAGCCACAAAGGGCGGTATGTGTATCACGCGGAGAAAAAGTCCTAACAATCATCTGGTTTCAGGTGAACCTTGAGCATGTGCTCCTTTAGATTATCTCCCTATTGAAAGATTTGGAACAGCCATTTGTAGCACATCGATAAGGCCTGGGGTAGATGTGGAGGTTTTAACTTGCCGCATAAGCTCTGCCTCACGGTTGAAATGCTTTGTGAAAGTGCAGCCCTCCCATCGACACCTAAGTCTAAGTCGTGCAGCCGGTACTGTATATCCAGTTAGAAGTTCAGCAATAGAAATTAATCAGAGATGTAGATGCTGATATCTCTCGCTCCTGTCTACAGGGGCTTTGCGCGGCGCGGGTCCAGGTCCAGGTTCAATTGACTGGATAGCAGGCGTAGCTGTAGGGTTGCTAGATAAAAGACAATGTTGGCATCCAGTGGCATTTCTCTCAACCATAGCACTGTCTCGCTTACGTCTGGAACCAAGCCTACAGAAGGCTACCATTGCATCCCTCGGGTTGGATACCCGAACTAACCGCGATCTGGTTGGATCGCAGGCTTGTCAGGTTGAGGTTTACCTCTAGATCACATTCCACACTCGAGTAGGGGATCATGGCCATTGCATCTGATACGATATCAGCTTGGTATGGTGGGTTGTTAAGCGATATGGCTGGCGTCCATACTTTGTTGCGAGGCGATAGTTCATGTCGGAGTCTACTACCATTGAGCCCTAAATAGCTGTGCGCTGAATACGGATCGTTATCGTTTTGGCAATGGACAGAAGATAAAGATGCCGCATAGACGGGCTCAGCAGTTGCTGATAGACACGTCAGGCATTTCTAGGGAGTATAATAAATTGATATACAGATCCACACCGAGAAATGAAAATGTAAGACGGGAGCGATGCTGATCAATGCGAATCGATTTATAAGATGCATTAGTAAGATAATCAGTGTGTACCTCAGGATTATCTACAAGTATGGGAGAAAGGAAGTTGTATGAACCATGACTCCTTCAGTGAGGTTGTGAGGCGAGTCGAATTTATATAGATTCGATTTGGCAGTGGATTTGGTCTGACGCCCGCAGGTCGGGGCGGCACATACTGGCTATGATCTACCACGCGAGTTCTGGATCTGGACCTGAAGTAAAGGGACCGGCAACCCAATAATCAACAGGATCACTAGTAGTAGCTTAACCGTATGCACGGAAGAAGGTTTTTGTAGTTTAGTCTCGGGGCGACAGCTGTCCAACCTACCAAACTGAAATGTTTCCTCTATGGACACATTTAATCACTGATCAGATTGACATCTTGCAGAACGCAGAGAGAGTTTACTCTTGTTTAATCATTCGCCGATATCATAACTTACTAATCTTTGCCCTTTCGTCCAGATTAGCTTCGTGATCAGCCCTGACTGCCATTCTAGCATACAAGAGGTTTTCCACATTTCAGCTTCAATTTCCCAATGAGTTCAGCATACAGACATCAGAAAACAAGACGTATAACTCCCTTAGATCGTTGAACCCGACAATGAAAACAAAAATACATCATCCATGCCTTGGAGTCACACGTGCACATCAATAGCGAACCTTAAAAGGGTGAGTATAGATTAAAGAACCCTCAACCTTTCCCATCGCTGAAGTGCTTTGTGGTAACGAGCTCGGGATCTCTCCAGTCTCGCTCGCATACGGTTCTCGCCTTCATCTTCACCGGCAACAGTGTTCAATTCTTCGTCTTCGAGCTGACCCAATGTCTCGGCGGAGACAGTGCGCATCGGACATTTGGGCCCAAGCACATGTCGCTCGATGACCTGCATTGCGACATTGTCAATGAACCGGTAGATGGCAATGTTATAATATGACTGTAGTCTTGCGCGGACGAAAAGTATCTGGTTCAAAAATGTAGACATAAATTGGGGTTCTTTATCTTCCTCACTTCGAGCCCCGTCGGCCCTGTTGTTCAATACGTCCTTGGACGCACCATTTTTCGCTGTCTTCTTTCCGAGTAGGATTTCGCCTCGCTGCCGATCGGTCATGCTGGTTTCAGACTGTAGAAACGGATTTCGAGTAATCAACGGGCGAGCTTGATTATCCTCAATCAATTCCTGGAGTGCCTTGTCCGTATCTTTGTTCCACTCCTCTAGCGTTTTCTCAACGATACGGCTCACTTCCAGTCGCACTTTGCTGTTCTCTATTGCTAGCTTCAGGAGAACGTCGTGGCATTCCTTGACAAAGTCTTTGACATCCTCGACGAACTCGCGAGCAATTCTTTCCCAATGCGCTGACTGCTTGCGAAAGATTTTCTCTTCTACGTCGGGATGGACCGCTCCTGGCAGGTTCCGGCCTTCACATATTTTCGCTTCTTCATAGATCTCCTTGTATATTCCTTTGCCCCCTTTGACAAACTCCTCCCACTGTTCAGGATCGGAGCTGTGGGATCTGAGGAACTCTAGTTCAACTTTGTAGTTCCCAAAAGGGAGCATCATTTTGTCGCTATGAACGATATCATAGGTGAATTGGTCCAAACGACGTTGGACTTTGTAACGAAGCATAACCCTCGGATCCTTTGAGGGAATGTCTTGATATTGCCCCCTTAAAGTCCCTTCGGCCATACGCTGCATCTCATTGCAGAATTGTAGGACAAAGAACCGCTGCGCTCGTGGGCTATCCCTAGCCTCTCCCATTCTCTTTAAATGCGCTTCGCACTCACCGAAAAGTTGACGTATCTCCGCTATAATGTGGGGTATCTCCTTTTGAATTTGAGCTCGTCGCTCCTTGTCGATATAGTTCATCAACGATCGGATTCCCGTTCTATCTTTCGATATGCTTTCCCAGGCTGGTTTCGCAAATTCTTGGGTCTCGAGATCATCACGCTCTGCATCAGAGACGTCCCTCTCCTTGGGCATCCTGTTTCGCAGTCCGAACCAACCATGGTCCAGGTGCGGAACTGTAGGTAAGTCGTTTTGGAGTAGTTTTACCATCTATTATCGTCAGCAGTGCGTATTAGTATACAAGATGCTTAGAAGCCATACCCATTGGTCGGATCCTTCCTGCTTCCTATCACAATTGGTGAGAACACCAATGCATCGAGCTTGCAAACCTGGTATCGTTTCTATTATTTCAAAAGTCTTGTGTCGCTCCACATCCACATCGTCCACGACAACCCTAAACCACATTAGCAAACAACACCGCTGCCTGATCGTAGTCGATGCACTCACAAGATGATATTTCGTTCATTATCCAGATAAGTGCGAGCCAGCTGTTCTGCCACTGTCGCGTTGTTCTGGCCAGGTGGTTCTGCGTTCAATGTATTGCTGGAGTTTTCCGATGCTTTTTCACCTTTACCCGACTTTCCTCCCCGTATGAGTCCTGGCAGGTCGACAATCGTCCAGTGCATCTCATCCGGCCCCGATCTCTCGATTCGGAGGGTCGCGTCACTGAGCGTCAAGTGCTTCGTTGACTTCTGCTCGCCGAAAATACATTCCGTTGCCTGCTCCATTAGCGACAGTAAGAGAACCTGTAACAAAGTCCCGGCGTACCTTGTCTATAATCTCCCCCATGGCCTCTGAAGTCAATTCCTTCTTCTCGATCGCGAAGTCTTGTACCCGAGCGCGGAGATCGTCATCTTCCTTCGACAGTGGCCCGGGAACGACAGTAGCCTTGACGGGGAATTCCTTCGTAGTGGAGGTTTGCCGGAAGGAAATTTGGATCGGAAAGCGTGTACACATTGTATCTTTGACGGGGAACGAGACCTCGGTAATGGCCTGGAGCACGGAACTCTTGCCGGTATTTTGATCGCCCACTACGACGAGCTGATTGTGACCACCAGCATTAGTATGTAACTCGGCTGCAAGTTCATGCAACTGACTGACCTCAGGAAGCTTAATTGTGTTGCTGAGCCCAAGCGCCTGCAACTCATCGATAAAAGCCAGCTGCTCGGAGCTCTCGACTCCGACGAAATGGCGCACTCTCTTTCCCATGATTGCAGCTCTGGTCCTATGCCCACGGTTGCAAAAATAAAATAATGGCTTAATCCCCTTTCAATCCACAGGCACGGGGGGAGAGCCCCCATATTTCAAATGCCTTAAGCGCCGGGCATCGGAACATGGAGTCAGGGCGGCACGGGAAGGTCGGGAGGTGCGGCGCAGCTACTTGCATTAGGGCACTGCTAGGGGGCACTAAAAATATGGCTAACTACGAACCCTAGTATGCTTGGGGAACTTCTATTTGTTGTTCTGGCAACAATCCTGACAATCCTCTTGTTTTGAGACAACAGCGAATGCCGCGAGTTTTACGTCTGGAAGGGATTTTCGGCCGTACAACTCGGCCTTGCCAGAAAAGAGTCTTGGGTTTGTTTATTGGCCGAGCAGATTCCACCATTCGGGGCAGTGTCGCAATGCTCAATGTAACCTAATCCCCTGAACGAACCTGTGACTTGACTTCAACCCTGTCTAGGCCTTAGATGGCGTGCTAGGCAGATGGACCGACTATTCGCGAAGTGTAACCTTCACTGTCATCTAGCGACCCAGTTTTACCTTCTCATACAGAGAGACCGCTAGTATCCTCCCCCTCGTGTGAAGCTCGCCGCGTCTTCTGTCTTCCATATACCCCTGACCATTGGAACAACGGCCTGCTCTTCGACGTCACAGCTTAAATAGCGCATCTTCCGCCCATAAATGACTCTCACATGCCCACTCAAATTCCGTGGATAACCCGACTCGACAACAAGCCGTTCAATTGCACTAAAAGGTCTAAAGAATATATCTTTTGGTTCTTCCACAGAAAGCAACAGTTTACAATTTAGGGATCTTGACAGTGCGTAGATAGTATGTAATCCAGTCTATGTCTTTCAATTCTCCTAGTACTCATACAGTGATATGCACAGAGCCTGCGGGTCATACATGTGAATAATATCACCAGCATCTTCACTAAAAGAGTTGAAAAAGAAAGGCCAGGCACTATACCTAGAATGTAACCGTAATTGGCGCGTAGCCTAATCCGGCACAAAAGTATATGAATTTTGGCAACGGCGTCATGAAAGATGGCTGCAAGCCGGAGTCCATAAGCATGGGTACGATCTCCAGAGTATTTGGACAGGTCGATATTTGGGTATATTTGGGTAAATATTGATATCTATTATTAAGATCATCCTCGAACACCAAGTCGAAGTCCTCCCAGTGGCTTATCTAGGTGGCAGCATAGTAATGATTGGTAGATCCAGCTCAGGGAACAGAAACCTTCCCATCTTTATTCTTGTCTGTATGGTTGGTGAAGATATAGGTTAGTAGGCCGGTATACTGTAGAGAAGAAAATAGGGTATACATTATGAATTGCATGAATTAGACCATACCATGCCCGACATCTGTGATTGGACCCATTTTTTTTTTTTTTTTTTTGAAATCCCGCTGGGCTTCGGGTCGTACGCTAACAGATCGTTGGTAGTCAGTTTGAAGACGAGTAAGAACTCCGACAATATAGTCCAATGTCCCTTCGATACCCGGGAAGGCTAAGGCTAACCCATTTATCGGGCAGTTCGGTGGATGGAACGTTGAACTTAGCATTAGTACAGAATAACCTTTGGAGTATCTTAGAAACATGACATCAGACCAAAGAAACTAAGAAACTAGGCCACCATTGCCGCCAAATAACCCTAACAGGGGCCCTCGGGCCCCAACAATCGGACAGAGTCATACCGCTACTTCCGACAACTTTGAAACCGCGGGGAATATGGATTGAAGCCGGTTTCACAGACGACAACATCTCATCCACACTCGTCCTCAGTCTCCGTTCTTACCCTGTCTTCTGTTAGATCAGCGACGTGGTCTTGCACAAGGTGAATATACGGCTTCTAGACAGCAGCTATGTACTGTTCACTAGGAGTCCATCGACGACATCCCGGGGTAACATCCGGGTTCATCTTCCCCTGTAATTCAGGATCATCTACTTTGGGATTTCAGATACGGCTCCGCCAGAGATCAAAGACCTTTACTGTGGAGCGTGTGCTCCTCCAGAGAATCGCGAATGCCGACAACATGGCTTTCTCCATAATCAATCGAAATCTATAATAGGCCTGAGTATTTCTCCTAAATTAGAGCTTCTCCTCTTCGCTATCTATCCCTAATCAGTATCGAAGCAGTTGGTATATGCCCTCTTATTACACCTATGCACTCGATTCTCAGCCTCGAAAGGGGTAGGGCCGAGGCATAGGGCAAGTCGTGTAAAGTTGAAGACCTCCGCGGCTTCTTCAGCAGTTGTCAGTTACGAGGTTGCTGAAACGAGAAATGGGCATACCAGATTGGATACTAGTCCCGCATTGAATCCCACTCGCGCCATTCCCAAGGATGACAACTCATTTCCCATGGATGTCAAGTTCATTAAGCCACGTAGCCGTATGAATCACTCGACCTTTAAACTTATGGCGACCTTCAAAGGAGGGGATTTGATATTTATCCAGTCTTCCCATGGCGTAGATCAATATATCAGATTAAACGACAGTCTCCTCGTGAGAAATCTCATGTCGAAATGTAGAAGTCCACTGCGATCTTTCCTCGCTCCATGCCGCAGAGATACAGTGACAGTAGAATTTATCCGAATATCATGCTTGTCAATAACAGTATCCAGATAGGCGCGTATTTCGTCAGCCAGAACGTACACTTTCGACCAGGAAGGATCCAGCTATATTAGTAGTACCCATGAGCGGGTACATCACATGCGCAGCTAGAATCGGTGACAAAAGCGCCCTTCTTATTCCGTGAACTGGGCTTGGGGAGATGTATAGGGTGCGTACCCCGGATATCTATTCTCGAACCATGTCCCGCCTGCTTCAGGCTTCTTCTCATATATCTCTAAGTCAATATCAGACATCTGAGTCACGACATCATAGGCGAACTGAATGCCCGATATCCTGTCTCACAAAAGGTTAAAGCGGATATAAAGCCCTGATAGGAAAACGAACCCAGCACCGATGACCACCACCTTCAGTGGCCTAGGTATGAAAACCGTGGGAATCACATTATGATAATTATGAGCAACCATATCTGAGGATAATGATATGGTCGGAAACTAGTACTCAATCAAGTATATTCGGCGATAACGGGGTATGAAGTACAAATGCTCGGTATATCTATCATGGGTAGGTCCAACGACCCATAGTGCTAGGCTTCTAGGCTCGAGCCGATGATTTGAGCTCCAGCTCATCCTCAACTGTTGCGTTAAACAGTTAAGCGCTGCCAATGAGCTTGTCCGACCAGATACAATAACTCCGTAGTGGCAAGTAGCCACGTATCAAAGCCAGGATACATTAGGATGAGACTGATATCTCCATATTTTCTAGGCATTCAGCTTAGGTGACATGTTGAGGATCCCTGTCATAGTCAATGAACTGTAGTAAAACTGGCGTCGTGTAAATAGCCAATGCGCCTCTGATATGTATGCTACAATTTAATGAATCCCTCATTTATACCGTGTTCTTTTCAAACTTTATTGTATAGAAAGAGAATGGAAAGGCCTACTATAAGGTTCTCATATGACCTCAAACGCCCTCATCCAGTAGTAGCTCTTGGTAGTATAGCACTCAGCTTATACATATCCATCGGCTAGTATTTTTGCTTATATTAAATATCTATGCATCGCATCAGTCTAGACTGGTCACTCATCACATCGATGATCCCACTAAACTAGCCACCAGAAAACACCAACCAACCAATAAGCAACCAATAACAACCCTCAACCCAGTGAAAAGGGAGCTAAATCAGGTACTCGTGCGGAGAAAAGGTCTCATGACGCATTAGCCTGCTGCAAGTTCCCGGTTGCCAAGCTACTACTTCATCAGATTGGACCGGATCCGGTCCTCAGGTGGAGTGCGATCGCTATCACCGAGTGTAACCCCAGTGTTCCCCGCAGAAGAGCGAGTTATACCAACTAGGTGCATATATGCAGTAAGCAAGTTTATCAGTACCCCTGTTGATATAACGCACAGAATGAACCGAAGTCGAAGCCGAGGTGCCGATACGAGTTTGGTTTATGAATAGCCGTGGTAAGGGCTTTTACCCCTCACTTGAAGTTCTTTAGACAGGTAGCTACTTCTTGTTCTTTTCCCCAGATTTATTTGTTGTGAAGTGTAAATCCACTCCTGTATATAGAACAATACTACCCAACATGACTGTTCCAACTATCCCAACACAGCAACGCGCTGCTGTTCGTCAAGGGGAGGGTGAATCCGCTACCACGGCTATCAAGAACATCGACGTCGAAAAGCCCGGTCCTGGCCAAATCCTGGTGAAAATCAATTGGACTGGCGTGTGCGGCTCCGACAAGTCCCTCCTGCACGACGACTGGAAGGGTTTCGGCGTGAGTATGTTACCCCAGAGTCATGGAATCGCAGGACACGAAGGGGCCGGCGTTGTTGTTGCTGTTGGGGAGGGTATGCAGAAGCGGTGGAAGATCGGAGACCGGGCGGGAATTAAGTGGATTGCGAGCACCTGTGGTGAATGCGAGTTCTGCTTGAATGGTAATGACGAGGTTCATTGCGAGAAGCAGATTAATAGTGGCTTTTCCGCACCAGGGACGTTCCAGGAATATTGTCTAGTCGATGGGAGGTATACCTCGAAGATTCCGGATGGGGTGACGGATGAAGAAGCCGGGCCGATCATGTGTGGGGGAGTGACTGCTTATACGGCTTGTAAACGGTAAGGGGAATATTCTATCTCTCTTTGGGACATTGTTGTGATAATGTGTAATTTCTTTTCATTCTAGATCCGCCGTCAAACCAGGACAATGGCTCGTTCTCCCCGGAGCTGGGGGTGGACTGGGTCACCTGGCTATTCAGTATGCACGAGCAATGGGCATGAGAGTCATCGCTATTGATGGGGGAGATGAGAAGCGAGATCTCTGCCAGAAACTTGGAGCTGAAGCATACATCGATTTCCTGAAATTCAAAGCCCCCGCAGACCTCAAGGACGAGATCATGAAGATCACGAAGCACGGCGCGCACGGCGTGATCGTGACGGCTGCCAATAAGACCGTCTACGAGTGGGGACCCATGTACCTCCGTCCCGGTGGTACGATGGTTGTGGTAGGTCTTCCCAAAGACCCTGCCATTCTTGCAGGTGCTCCGCCGCTCGTCATAGCGTTAAGACGGTTGAATATCGTCGGGAACATCACCGGCAGCTTGAAAGATGTAGAGGAAGCACTTGATTTTACGGCGCGGGGTATTGTCCACGTAAGTTTTTCTCGAAATGCGAGTCCTCCGGCTTGAATACTAAATACGGAGATAGCCAATCCTGTCCAAGGGAAAATTAGAGGATCTGGATTCGTGGGTGGAAAAGCTGAAGACTGGTCAGGTGGCCGGTCGTGCTGTATTGCAAGTGGCATAGGCAGTCAAATGAGGCTATTTAGCACATTCTAATAACATTCGATCAGTCCAAGAAACTGAACTTTGACGTGAACTTACAATATAACCAGTATGGCCCAGACCCATAATTGGATAATCCGTGCGCCGTCGGCGACTCAATTCGTGACTAAGTGGCCGATATTTAGACCCACATCCGGGATTATCTCCGCGTCATGTCAGCCCGTCGCATATAAAACGACTCTTGCGGTCCATGCCACAGTATACATCTATACAGTTCATTAAAGAATTCCCTTCTATATCTACCGTAATGAGCATCTCGCAGGAGCCCCCAGCGCCAACAACAGCACCCGTAGTTCAAGGCCGACTCATCGGTCACTTTCAGGACCGGTACGCGAGTCATTTTACTCCAGCATTAATTTCAGCATTGCGATCGAGCTTAATCTAACGTCGCCAGTCCGCTGAATGGCCACGCTTCCGGCTGGTCTTCCCTCTGGGGCTCAAATGAGAGTGGTCTCTGGGATCGCGGGAGACCCTCTCTCGCACTAGTTGACCTCATCGAGGAAGAGGAAAACGCCATCTTCCAACCAACAAAGTCAAATGGCGAGCGGAAAAAAGCCCTCGTACCCGTATGAGCTCCGTTCTTTGGAACCTCCCAAGCGGGTCGATACTAATCAGCGTACCGTACCAGGGCTGTGGACGTGGCTACGACGTAGTCATGCTCGCTCTACATGGTTTTGATGCCTACGGGCTCGAGATATCAGCAACTGGGGTAGCCGCCGCCAGAAAATACGCGGCAACTGAACTACGAAAGCCTCAAAAGTATAACTTTGGGGCTGGGTGGACAGGACCGGTGGAGCCGGGGAGTGTTACTTTCGTGGAGGGAGATTTCTTTAAAAACTGGGAACGACAGGTCTCCACAGACGGAGAAGTCAAATTTGACCTAGTGTATGATTACACGGTATGTTCGCCTTGGCGGTTCTTGATTGTTGATGCGCATCGGGAGGAAACTGACTTGAGCAGTTCCTTTGCGCTTTACACCCGCAGATGCGCCCGCAGTGGGTAGCGCGCATGGGCCAGCTAGTACGACCCGACGGAGTCTTGGTTTGTCTGGAGTTCCCCATGTACAAGGATCTGACCCAGCCTGGTCCGCCTTGGGGACTGAACGGTGTCCATTGGGACATTCTGGCGCGGGGAGGCGATGGGTTGAAGAACATAGGCAAAGAGACTGAGGTTGATCAGGTCGATGAATTACCCGGTCGGTTTAGGAGGTTACTCTATCGGAAACCCTCCCGATCGTACGAGGCTGGGAGAGGACAGGACATGTTGAGCGTTTATGCGCCCAAGTAGACGGTCGTCTATAAGCGGATGCTCTCTGAAACTAGAGGCAATTAGTAATGATCCAAATCTCTCATGCGATTAGACGAGGTGATCATGATGATATTCAGACGCTAGACCAAGGATTTAGCTCGGTATCTTGGCGGCATAAGCACTAAACCTCAACGGTCCCGAGATGGGGAATTCCCGAAGCCAAGATTGCTGAAGGACCAATGGCGCGATCGTGGCTATGGCGCCTATTCAGAATCAGACATTGCACGCGAGGGAGCCTTAACCCCTGATTCTGCCTTGTTGATGGTTCACACCCTTCGTTTTACAATGTCTGTCGCGGACTATCCCGGATCTTTGGAGTTGATTCATGACACAGTCTTCACAGGCATACATCCGACATGCCTCGAGGGATACACAACCCGCTGCCTGCTTCTTTGCGCAGTATGTATTCTATCTTTTTACCATAGCCCTTGCCAGTCATTGAGTGTAAGCATTAACACTGCAGCAGGCGAGTGCGAAAAAGCATGTCAGATCCTTGAATCCTTCGTGAATGCACGAAACTTCGGCAACCCTGGGAAAGAGCTCCCAGCTAAAGTGCTTGCCAATGCCAAGGTACGCAAAACAATTCTAATCTTAAGCAGATGAAGTTTCCTAACTCTCCTTCTAGGGACTGGCAATATGCACAGTAGCCAAAGCCGGAATGCTTGGATCCGCCCGGTTCGGGTCCGGGCTCGTGATCGCACGGTTGGACAACGGCAGCTGGTCTGGCCCGTCCGCGATTTCGCTGGCCGGAGTCGGATTCGGCGGCCAATTCGGATTCGAATTGACCGATTTCGTCTTTATTCTCGATGATGCCGCGCTTCGCTCCTTCTTGCGAATGGGGAGTTTAACCTTAGGCGCAAACATTTCGATCGCCTTTGGGCCCGTGGGCAGAAATGCCGAATTCGCTGGGAATGCTAATTTGGATGGAGTCGCGATGATGTACGCGTATTCGAAGACCAAAGGGTTATTCGGAGGGGTCAGCGTGGAAGGGGGTCTGTTGGTGGAACGAAGGTCCGCAAATAAAAAGCTCTATAACTGCAAGGCCACTGCGAGTCAGTTGCTCAGTGGGGAGATCCCCCCGCCAGCCGAGGCTGCGTCCCTTCTGCGCATCTTAGAGTCACCCAGATTCCAGGGGGAGGCCACGATGGCCCCTTCAGAACCAAATACTCCAAATACACGAAGTCTGGGGACAGATCCTCAGGGGTTGGAGTTGCATACAGGAGCTGAACATCAGCCACCGGTGGAATTGCCCCCGGATGGAGGGCAGCCAAATTCTCGTCATTTCCCGGCCGAGCTGCATGCTGAATCAAGTGTCTCACTGCCCGCAGAACTACCAGTGGAAACAATCATACATGTGCCCGATGAACCGACGGTGACGCACACCACTGGAGAAGAGGATAGACCCCAAAACCACACCCCACCACCGGCTGAAATAAAGCAAAAGCCGCATGCTGCATTGTTTTCTGAGTCAATCCCTTCGGAATCGCAGACGGAACCCAGAGCAGACACGTCTGAAAAAGCGAAAAGCGCACCTGCCGTTGAAGCGACTGCTCGTGACGCGCCCTTACAGAATGTCTAAGTCACTATTGGGGCGAGTAGGAAATTGCATGGGGCGCCTATTATACCGACCTACTGGCATAGAAATCAAGGAATTGGGAATTCATCAAGATAAAATGGATATATAATGATAAATAATAAATAATGATTCCCTTCAAAAGTAGCTTGATCTTAATCGGCATGTCACATGCTCCGTGTCCAAAAGCTTGGCTCCTGAACAGGTAAAGCGCAGAATCCGAGGCATGGATTTGTATATGTTCAGTGTCGTCTCTAAAAGAGATGACAATCGCTATGCACTAATGAAATACACTTGAACGTCTTCTGGCATGGCATTAAGTGAAAAGTGAAGTCTTCGTCTTGAGATTCAGTGGGTGACTGTCGCGGTAGTGCTGTGGGAGGCTCATGATGGTTAAATATATATATCCACGGGAGATAGCATTAGGCTGAACGGTATGTCGATAAAAATGGTCCAAGTAGGGTTGAAGTTTAGCTGCGCAGCTGTTGACTGGAATGGTTACTCAATATAGCATAGTTAGTAATGAAATGCATGTAACCACAACGCTTGATTGTTCCCGCCTGACGAATGTAGAACTTCAACATAGAATAAAGGCCTGGACCACACACATGACATTTAAAGTAGGTTGATATCTTATATAAGGCAAGGCTCGTCCAATCGCTGGATCATCTTCTTGATTGACCGGGATATGCTAACATAATAAGCGTAACCTGGGCAAGCTGGCTCATTTATTCCTACCAAATAGAGCCGATTCTAGGGTACCAACTACGAACCCTTGCAAGGAGGCTTATCTTCGTGAATACTGGCTCATATTGACCGGATATCTAAGGACACGAAGAAAATGGCGGTGGAACGAGATGTCTTGATCATGACAAAAGAAGCATTCTTTGCCCTCGGGTGCAATTCAGCGATTTACAGAACTGCTAAAACATGACAGAAATTCGAGAAAAGGTCTGGCGTATCATTTTTTCACCCTAAAGATGCCCGGAACCTATTTCTCCAAAGTAACTATTCCTGAAGTCTTTTGACGCCATTACCCATCCCTGGAAAAGTCACATCATCATCACCACCACCATTCCCTTAGGGAGGTCAACCGTATCATGTCATTTTTTGGTGTTCCCTAATCCGTCTCATCCTGCACGACTAACTATTTACCGGACGAAGCGGCGGGGACGGTCAGAGACCTGCTGCTGGGAAACCTGGATGACGTTGGTAGGGATAGCATCGAACTGTGGGTCGTTGGGGTTAGCACAGCGTCATCCGGGATCCGGAAGGAAGAGGTATCCATCACATACACCAATGCTCTTAAGGAGATCCTTGGTGTCCTGGTCAACGTCGAGCTTGCCAGTCTCGGAGTGCTGGCTGAAGTCGAGAGCGGAGACCTCAGGAACGTATTGATCCTTACGCTCACGCTCCTCCTCCTGGAGCTTGAAGGAGATACCACGAACAGGGCCGCGCTGGATACGCTTCATCCTATTGAGTTGGAAAAAAGTCGAGTTAGTCGTGGGGTTCTTTGTTTCTTTCTTGTCCTTTCGAGACCAGTCCATCGTCGCAAATATCAAGCACACGGGAGTTCATACAAGTGAGTGGTGTATCCGGCAATCTATTCCAGCGAAAAAAAAAAAATCCTTCGTTAGTTTCAACGTTGACCTCACTGGCGGACGAGGGGATTTTACCTTGTTGCGCAGACGCTTGCTGGCAATGATGGCGACCTCATCGCACAGCTTCTTGTTGACCTCGAAGTCAAGGGTGAGCTTAGGGTAGTAACGCTCAATGATGACCTTGGCGGACCGCTTGACGGTCTTTGTGCGAACGCGACCCATTTTGGCGTATTATTTGTCGACCTCGAAAAGCTGCGATGTTGTTCGGGTGGTTGTGAGGTTGGGCAATTTTGGTGTGCATTCCGATTTCCGCCAAGTCTCGCTTAACCGACCGGGCGTCCCACGTGACATGTGGTCACATGATACTATTTCCAAGATCGTCCTCTTCTTCTGCTTGCTTCTCATACTTCCCTGGTGTTGTGCAATGATCATTATCCCATGTATATCTTCTGGTATATCCTTTCAGGTAGTGTTTCTATGATTGTGATCTCTCTGAAGGCTGTAAATTGAACAATGCCGTCATGCATCTGTTGTTCACGGCCGCTGGGCGGTCAGGAAGTATATCTGTCTTTCAGCCTTATGGTTCAGGCAGCAAACTCGTTAGCCCTATCCCACATTATCTTCCAATCGTAAAATCTTCCTTTCTCCTCCCAGGCTATTCCTCTTCCAGAACAGCCGTCGCCCATCCAATCATCATTCGGCACCCTTGTTACTCCGTATAAAGCAGGGTAACATTACAAAGTGAGCATGACATGTAAATCCTCTCCATTCTTTCCTTTTCTTTTTTCCCCTGTTCTTCATATTCCTTTTTCCAGACCCCGTAGAACACATTGATCTCCCATATACCATCATAAAATCAACCTTTTATGACTCGTGGTGAGCCCTCAGGCTCGAGACTAGATGTATATTGTCCTAATGGGGCTGTGGGGGAACGCTGTTGCTGACTGAGTGTGGGGTCATGAGGGATGCATTGTCAACCGTTTCAAGTTCCCGTTCAAGCAACATCTAGATAAATAGCCATTATTGAGAAGTTCATTCTACAAAGGTTTATTGGGCTTTTCCTTAGCTCAGCAGACTGTTCCTTTCTTTATGGTGGCCCCCCTTTGATTGTTGTCCTTGGCTAACCTCCCCGCTATCATATAATCTGTACGATTGACTATCTTTATTGCCAGTCAATGATATGCAACTGATGCTGCTTAATTATATCTGCAATGAAATAGACTCAACAAGAAGTTACTGCTCGACACCTACCCATAGAGATACACATATGAATTGGCCAGCGTAAATGTTGCTTAATCAGGAATAGTGGACAACTATCAGTTCAGCAATTCGCTGAATCAGATGACTAAATCACGTGCGTATCCGTCAGAAGCTGATTAATAAGTCCCTCAGTACACTAACTAAGCCCAAAAGAGTATGTACACAAAAGTCCGACCCTTGACTGTTGAGCTGGCTGGCTGGTCCATCGTTCATGGTTGCCTGCTTTTCCCGATTAAGTTATCTGACTATCAACCCGCTGTTACCAATATCTTGCACTACCATCAATGAAAAAAAGGTTCTAAAGGCGACCTAAGGGATTGGAATATATAGCAGCTTGAATTGAACCCCCTTTTTTATTTTTATTTTTACCTTTCTGGTTCATCTCTTGTTTCCTTTAGTGCCGAAGTTTCCGCTCTTGAAAGGAGTAATGATGAAGAAAAGTAGTACCAAAACCAATCAATGGTGCGAAGGCTGCAGGTAAAGTAAGTTATAATAATATTTCTCTCGAGTGGCTGCCGTACTGAAGAGCTGAATGAGTTCCACAGTGTATAATACATTGTAGGTTATCTTTTGCAAGGCTATGCTTTTTTGATGTGCCGGATCGATATATATTTTACCTTGGGCCTACGGGTAGGAAGTATTTTCTTTTCTTTTTACCCCCATCCATTCATGATCTTTTTTTATCCTTTACAGAGGCTTTAGTCAACGACGATACATAGAAACTTTATACTTCCATAGTGGACCATTGTATCAAATATCGGCAATTTCTACGATCCTACCCTACTGCCGCACTGATCCACTACATGTCCCGGTATGTTACATCTCGGACATACCATGAAACAGACTAACATAATGCCAATGAATAGAATACCGAACAGTCCTAGAAGCTTGTTCCGGATTATCCGGTAGTTACAGATTTGCTAGTACGATATGCGAAGTATGTGTTGCGTTACGTATCCACAGAGCATTAAACCCAAGAAATCATCCACAGATATACAAAACAATTCAGAAGATCCTACTATATAAAAATAAATAGATAGTAGTAGTAGTAGTAGTAGTAGTAGTAGTAGTAGTAGTAGTAGTAGTCTCCTGAGATGTATAGTACAATGATCGGACGCCGACTACTTCCACACCACAATATGAAAAGAATGAGAGCTGATTACAAAACCACCAGAACGTAACCCCTACCCCAGACAACACCACCAACCCCAAACTCAATCAATCGTTCAACAATGCTTTTTGTCTCAGGAAGTAATGGCTCAGCTTAGGGCCGGCAGTTGAGGAAAGCCGCTGTAATCCACGTTAGACTCGTCAATTGGTGAGAAATTCGCCAAAACTTACACTTAGAGAAGAACGCGTAGCTCTCCGCATTCTCCAACGCAGCACCAGCATTCAGTCCATGAATTTGATCGTAGCCATACGTCTCAGGCCCAAAGACACCCTTGGTATGGGCCATCTCGTGCAAGCTGGAAGTGGCCTGATCCAGGACATCGCAGGAATTCGACCACGAGGGGAACTTGGTGAAGTATGCCGGGCAAGTGCGGATGCGTCCGTAGGTTCCATCCGTCTCACCGTAGGCAGTCATGGTGAAAGCGTGGCTGTCAACACAGTTGATACCCTCCGGTGTGCAGTAGTAGGACACAACGCCCTGGTTTCCGGCCCGCGCTTCCTGAGCGATTCTCTCCAAGGCGCTTACAACGCGGTTCTTGGATTGGTCATCGGTGACCTTGAAGAAGGCCTGGAAGAGATTGTTCGAGTAGTCGGATCTGGAGCGGATAAGGTCGACTCCCGCCTGGGCCATCTTGCCGGCCTGGGCAATGGCGTTGTTGATCATTTCTGTTCTCTCACCGCTGCAGTTTTCAAGGGTCGCGCGTGTGTCCAGAGGGCTGGCGACGGCGCCGGCAATGAGCGGGAGAGCGACGAGAGCTTGGAAGAAACGCATTTTGATAGCTGAGATGCAAGAAAGGCTCGCAAAATGAAAAGATTGAAATAAATGCTAAAGATCGACTTAAAGCTAATGTTCAACAGCCACCAGGGCTTGTAAAGAATGTATAGGAGGTAGAAAGAAGGAAGTTGGTTTTCGAGAAGACTGTCGAGTGAAAGACTGCGAGTTGATCTTTTATACCAGTCGAAAACGGCCCAACAGGCTGTCCCTGATGGGGCCCTACATTAGTTGTTTCAGTGGGTTCCATTGATCTGTCCACAGGCTGTCGTCCCAGGTTTCACTACCATAGTGCCGATCGCCTGCCAGCCGATTCCGTAAAAAGGCGCCAATGTTTGTCAGACCCACCTCTACTATTGCCATAATAGATAGACAGACCGCTCAAACAGCTGGTGGGAGTCCCTCACAGGGGCTCATATGAGGAATTAGCACTGGTGCCTATAGCCTTGTAATTTGATTTTGCTTTCGTATCATGTAACCACTCCACTTATACCGCTCTGGATACATACTCATCTCTGCAATCTCTACGAGAGCAGCCAAGACTCCCCTGGCTAGAACCATGGTAGACCCGCGCGGATAGAGAACTCCATGTGGTGGCCAAAAAGGAAAAATTTCTTTTCTAGATGCTTAACTAAGCGGAGAAACATTGCTTGGGTGAATCAAGAAAATCAGACTGGTTAACATACCTAGAATGAGAAAGGTATCTTTAACTTTTTTATTTTTTTTTATTTCCAAGCCTCGAATGTCTTGAAGGAAGTGACTTCAGAGGCAGTGTTCTGGAAAGGCACCTTACCTGAAACCCTACTTACCTAAAGTGAATTAGGTAGGGTTTGCCTTTCTGAAACTGTCAGTTTAGAGTTTAGCCTTGCCTGAGGCTAATATCGAACCCTTTTTTCCCGCGGAATATTCCCGGTCGAGGTGACCTATCGATCCTGTTCCTTGTCTCCTCAATTTCGGGAATTGCCTTCCGTATAGGGCGAATACAAGGGTCTAGTATAGGCAGTCAATCTGGGTTATTAGGGTAATAATCGTACCCAATCCTGTGTAGACAAGCACTCAAGAAACAGCTACGAAGCAGCCACCCTTAGCTTGAATACCATTTCTCTACGAACTACTACTCCACTTAACTGAAACGTTTTACAAAAGATCTCAGGAGTTCAGCAGCCGCTCTACCAGACCCCGCGGGGATCTTGCCACCAGGCTAAAAATATATCTTGATGTCTTCCCAAACTTATCTAGAGGCAGAATGTCTCAGCATCCTGTATTGTTTTACTTCCCATAGGCCGGATTATCATTAAACGATTTGCGTTTCTAGTTCACAACGGGCAGGGATTTTAAAGTGATAATATGGCTGTGACTGCTGATCACAGCGCCCAGATCAGTATGACAATCTATCTTCAGCACGATGGTCTAGAGTCGGGGATCGATATTCCCTTTTGTCTTGCTCTAATATCCCACTAAGCATCGGTTATGAGATGTAGTCTGATGCCCCGGATTTATCAATATCCGCCTCATATATTGAACCGGTTTATAGAAGAGGCTGCCTAATGGGTCGGCTTGGAGTAGCGGGATCGGGAGCCGTCATATCAGTGTAAGGATTTGGTTTGGGCCATGAAACCGAGTACGATCATGGGACTCTATAGAGCTGAATTTCTACATAACGGAAACGTAGTAGAGTGCGACTCTACCTAAAAACAGAACTTCGGGTTTTATATGCTATATATGCCTTGTCTAATGACTGTGGAGAAGTGCGGAGTGGATCTTAACACGGGTCTAACATCTTACAAATTACCCCTGCATCACCGACGCCCTTCTGTATAGGGAATAAACGTGTCACATGTGGAGATGAGACAGGTGTTCTGGACAGGTTTCAAAACAATGGAACATCAGTGATTAGATCGGTTAAATCGACTTGACTAATTGCCAAGGCTGATGAAATCGACTGCGAACAACTGCTGGGGCTAAAGGGGCAGAAAGCAGAGAGCTAATTCGAGGCTATAACAGGGTGGACAATTATAGGATACCATTACAGATGGCGTGAACCCTCTGGCCGAGCGCAAAGTTACTGCCCTAAATACCTGCGACAATCTCAAATTTTCCGAATGCCTTCGGGATGTCATAAACGATCTTGACGACGGGATAACGGAATTCTGAGATGTGCTATAACCGTAAGAAGGCATCTTCCCGGATTTCTTACGCTTTTCTCGAATTCAGTTTCTTACGGGAACGGGGCACCAGCCTTGAGCAATCACTCTGCACGGCCTTTCTTGAATACTCAGATTGGCGTCGCAACCGGGCAGCCCTCATACCGGGCGCTACCCCTGACACATTCCTCTAAAGCCCGTCTCTCAAATCACTATTTCTCTCAGCACCGTCCCCGCAGACATAGCTACTTCGTAAGACGCTGTTGTTCTTGCCGTTTCTCAACCACCTGTTTCTCAACCTCTTGCACCGTCTAACTCCGCGTCGGATCCTATGTCTGCCTCCCCAGTACCGGAGCTCGTGATAAGAAGCGAAAACTAGATAGCGATGTCGGCAGACATGTCTATACAAGACCTGGACTTCGGACATAGATATAATCTAACTTCCTATTTGTTTATTTGCATAACTCTAGTTGGGGTCTGAAAAGGTTCACCACTTCTACAGGCATGTCACGATAGGATTGCAAGTTGCCGTCAATGAGAAGATCACGAAGACATGCTTTGGGATACTCCTTCAGGTCCCACATATCTTGTCCTACCATGGCAACTTGCTGCCCGGTTCCCCATATCTTGCGACAGTAGTATGCCAATGCAAAAGCGCTACCAGATGCTATGGCATTCTCGATCTTCTCATTAATGGACTGCGTAGTTTCCGATGTGCTGAGGGTTCGGGAACCAAATTTTTCGGTCAATGCCGCGGCTATATCTTTCCCAGTTGGCCTCAGTTCAGAAAGCGCCAATGTCCGATTTTTGAGTTTATCGATCGGAGTAAAGGCGAATATAGATACATACGCTGCTGCAACATAGGCCCGTGTACTGTTAAGCCTGTCAGAGAATATGCAGCATAGCTATTCATGTTGGGAACTCACCAAAGATTGATGGGCTGGGTAGCACTGTCGCCGGTGAAGATAATCCTGTTGTTGATGTAGTCCACGCCCATAGCTCTTGTATATTTTTAGTCGTGCCCAAATGGAACGAAGGGAGATTGTGCATACGGTGTAGCTAGTGCGAACTCCGCGAAGTTTCCCGTCAGAACCACTGCTGTTGGAATGCCCGCATCTCGTGCTGCGGTTTCCACTAGTCCCTTTGATTGGTTAACTGGGATGCGCATGCCCTGTTCATCATATCGCGCAGCTAAGTCTGATGGGACAAATAGTTGCACCTTCGTTTTGGCAATGGCAGTGACGAGTTGATATTGTCTTAATACGCCTTCGTGGCCAACGAGGGATCTAGCATATACCAATGTTAGTACGAGATCGGGCATAATTAATTTCGTTTTGTTTTTCATTGTTTCCCTTGTAGGTAAGATCTATTTAGGGACTTACATGACAATGTCAATTTCCTGGAGAGCATTAACTAGGGCTTCCTGATCTGCTACATCGACTTGAACGGCGGTGACATGACTTGGAAGGGCTGATGTATCAGAGCCTGGGCGGTATAAGACCGTGATAGGAGCCCCCGACAAGCTGAGGGCTTCGACAATTGCGGAGCTAGCCCAGCCCCGATGCCCGTAAATAGCGATGCGATTGAAAGCCATTGCAATACTCAAATAATACACAATTCTTGGATAGGAAAGTCTCTACAACAATCTACATATTTCGCAGAAGCGAGCCTCTTTTATATAGGCATCATTGTTTGATTTAACGAACTGTAGGCTAAGTTTGAGCCTTTTACAATGTTTGCGTTTACTCGAGCGCCCTATGTGATTGGCGTATTAAGATCTCGTTGCTTCATCATTCATGTTTGCTACGTTTGCTACGTTTACTACGTTTGCTACGTTTGCTATGTTTGAGAGATTTGTTTCATTTGGTTTCTCCTGAAAAGAACGAGCTAACCGAGTTAGGATTAGGTAGATTCTCAACGGCCAATTGAATCTTGTCGCACATTTTATGCGGTATGTTAATAAATTCATCCACAAAATATCTATTCTGTATCCCTTGCTGAACAGAACGATCTACGATCTTTAAATTTCAAGAGACCAAAAAAAAGCCCTCAATACTATCATTCATATACGCATACCTACATACTAGATACAATTCTGTAGCGCTGTTCCAAAGAAGACATCACAGCATCATATCATTAATCTCTGTATTCGAAAATAAAAACACGCTAGCCTTCCTAGTAGAGTAATAACCTACTAGGCTCAATGGCATACTTATCACTGCGACGAGCTCCAAGTTAGCTTTCTTGACAGCTCATTGTAAGAAAAATTAGATGTTTTACTAATAGCGTGTTCGTTCCGTAGAACATATGGCTAATTCCGAGCATAAGGATTATTGCTGCTAGTCTAGAGAATAGGTCAGTCGTAGTGGATACTATCTCCCTAAATTTGAGGACACACTGGATTTGCAGCCTGATACTGAGCCGAATGATCAACCCTGAGCTTACCGTCGGGGTACTGAACTCTCTGCAGCTGCTCATTGACCCTCGCCTTGGTCCACTAAATTGACAACGCCGGAGATAGCATCAGCTCCAGCCCATCCACTGTTGAGGCCAGCGCCCAGGGCGCCATTGAAGGCTTCGCCGTCTTTGTAGGGACTCAGTGTTGTTAGGGGATAGAAGGTCGAGAAAGTGTCCGGCAGAGAGAATCTGGTAATATTGATGTAGAGAGCTGGTTTACTTGCTTTAGCATCTGGAGGATATACGGCTTGATTTATATTTTTTATTCTATAGTGGACTTTCACTGTCGAGTATAGTCTATCTTGGTATCAATAGATAATGATTATGTAGAAGGAGACATACACACGAGGCTGAGTGGTTGGCGAATGAATACAACTGAGCCTCACTTTCTGTAGCTACAGGTGCAGGATCTCGAAATCGAAGGTTCTGCAGCAAAAAACATCTGTTATTCGTCTCTACAAATTTGTCACATATCAGAGGCTATGTGTATTAGCGTTGCCAAGAGCGTGGGTCTGCTCGGGATTAGAACGTTCAAATCCCAATATTGGTGCAGCGCATCCCTAATGGGGATAAGAGCAGTGGGTGATAGAATAGGGCGGGATGTCGGATACCAAGTGCCCAAAACTAATTGCGATCGGCGGGAAATTCTTCGTCTAGCTGCCGGATATTGCTTACAATACTGCTTTGAGTAAGTCAGGAAGCTCTGGCACAAGGCTCGAAGAATATAGCTAGTCGATTCCATATAGTAGGAAATGAAGACTAATATTTCGCCGATGTTCTTAGTTCCCTGCAACGGAATGTGGCAAGCAAATACTATTCACTATGTTCATGGACATATGGTTCGACTTGTATATCTTCTATGTCACAAGGTGTCTTGTGTCTAGAATGATGGATGCATCTCATGACTGCAAAAATGCATTATATAACCCATTGGCCCATGCCCTTGACACACAATGGTAGCGACGGAATAGGTTACCTGTCGTGAACTGCACGGACCACCTAGCGTAGTTAGCTTGGAAAGTAAAGTTAGGGTAGTGTGATAACCTTGACTGATCTAGAGTTAGATATGCTGCATCTCCACCTATGGTTAGCTTGCAGTGCCGAAAAGCACCTGCCATTTTACGTATGTGACGTCTCGACCCTCATTCAATCATATCATTCCACCTCAGTTGGATAGTTAATTAAGACGCCCAGCCCTTACTTTAAGCATCCTCGCGCTTGTACCAGCAATGCATGAAAATCGGGTGGTGCGACGCTAGGTCTGCTTACAGAGCATGATACATGGGCACATGTTATATGTTCTACGCTAGGTGGCGATATCATTGAGTTGGCCATCATCTGGACGAGTCTAAGAAGTCTGAGGCATATTGGTAGGGGCTGTATCAGCCTCACTGTAAGATACTGAATCTCAAGTACTCATTATGGGTCAACATGAGCTCGCTTCAAACCTAGTCTTGATATCAAGCCAATTTGTATAGCCGGGTTTATACAGAGAAGAGGCCCCAAAGCCGGGGCACATTTGGTTAGCTGTTGGAAGAAACACTGGAGATCTAACCCGTTTAGTAGTCGGTAATATATTATCCATACTATCCACTTTCTTGACCAATGGCTAGACAGACGAAATATTCCAGCTTCAACAAGAAAGCTTTGATTGGAGCAGAAGCACCGTACACCGACGCAAAGCAACAGGGAAGATGCGGAACAAGTTGCGACAACAGAAACTAGCACAGAATCGTGTCGCAAGAGTCCAATTCTATTTATGGAAGCATACAGTGTTAAATTTCGAGTCACTACAGTTAAGTTGCAATATGTTGTTGAAAGTAGTATCGAAGGAGGAATGGCAGAGAACACAGTAATTGGTAAATTACATCAAGTATCAACAATCATAATGGGCGTTAATACGTTTGAGAATTGCATCCAAAGGGTTTAATTGCTAGAATAATCCACTTCGTATTATCTAGTCTTTTGAACTTTCAGTATCCTTGTACATTTCACCCTAGCGCAAGAATTGTGGGAATCAGGCCTTCGAAGCCATGAAAATGATCGCATGAATGGCTCTCTTTGTCTTTGTATTGAGATCCCCATCTCCCTTGAAATGACCAGTCCACACCTGCCGAGAGAAAGCTGAAGACTCAAGTCTTCCCTTGCCGCGTTTGCCAAATCCACCATAGAGCTCTGGATCATAGAATGACATTCTTGGGTCGGCTTTGACGATAACCAGGGCCGACTCCTGCAACATCGGGGCAATAATATCGATGAACTTGAACAGAGCATCATAAACTGCCTTGGCGACCTTCGCCTTCACGGCATCGGTGAACCCATTCCTGGAGAAGACTGCCTCCACCATTTTCCATGCGTTTGGAGACCGATCCTTAGCGTACTCTCCCAGGGCATAGTCAAGGTTTCCATGCACATCTCTCCCAGGCTGAACGGGAGGATTCGCGCGCGGGAAGCTATCCGTGACACTTATATCCCCTTTCTTCACCATAGCCCAAATCAGATGTGGAAATGATTCGTATGCGGCGAGGGCGTCCCCGGTGACGCCTTTCTCGATGTTGTCATCCGCTTCGGCTGTGGAGCTACAGAATCGGGGATCGTAGGCAGCTTTGAGGAATGTTTCAACTTGATGCCAGGTCAAATTTGAGATCGGCTCCAAGTCTTCTTCTTTGTAGTGTTTTATGTTCTGATCAAGTTAGTAATGTATATGTGGGAACAGCCATTAGTAGACCTACGCTCATTTTTATGGCATCGGAGGGGGCTAGCGGGAGTTTTGTTTATTTAATGTGGGATTCAGATCTCTATTAAAGAGGGAGGGTTTCGTGTGGGATAGATAGATAGTCGAAGCCCTTTATATATGTGAATTATACGGGATGGTAAATGAAAATATTAGGGGGAATCTCATCCGCTGAGACCCCGCAGTGATATGTACGTGGGGTTGCATCGACTCTGACCAGAATTCCGTACATACCTAGAAAAAAGCAATAATAACGTGCCTTGAGTGGTAAATCAGATGTACGTGATGAATAGTGGATACAGCAATGAGCCTATCATTGTATATGCATGCTTAATCTGTTCTATTTTGAGTGAAATATTTAATTATAGGTCGGAGACGTGCATCCAGTTATGTGGCTGCTCAGCTCAGCTAGCCACGCAGCTTGAAAGTCGAGACCCAACCGAAACCCTGAACCTTGTGGTACTGGTTCAGATTTAGAGATAGTTATACTTCTTTACAAGTATAATTATAATTAACACCTTTCCATTTAGCAATATCAAGATGATTTAGAAAGATGTTTGGTCGGGATCTTTGCCATATCTGCAAAACCAGAGATGCAGGGTTGGCACTTGTGTAGAGCGTCAATCTCTATTTATCCGTGGAGTGTGTCCATACACGTCGGGCGTCGGGATAGCAATCTATTGCTTCCATCGTTATATTTATAACCATTTATATATCCACAGGCACATTGAGTAACCATTGGTTTCAAAAAAAAAAAAAAAAATCAAAAGTCCGATGTTGTAGCTCGGAAGCCTACGAGGTAGAGGGTAGAAACAACCATCATCCATTAGAAACAGCCACTGTGTCCAGGAACCGCTTTCTGGTATGCCATACAATGAGTAAAGGATATCTCACCCTTGAGTGGTGAGGAATCATGATTTTGAAACTGAATAGGGGTAATACGCAAGTATTTACAGGACACGCTGGCACGAATGGTTCCACGTACGACGCAATACTATATGAATTTGAGCCGCCAGGTCAACGTCTAGCCAGTATATCAACCAAAAAATATCTGAGCATAAGCTTGAAGCTACACGAGGAATTGGAATCAATCACTCAATCCGGCAATATGTCATTAAGAGTCGCCACTAGCCCGTAACATATTGACATGCTGCAAATCTTTGCCTTTCTTCACCTCGTCGCACTCTGTTACCTTTGTAAGCTAGAATCAACAGTTATGAAGCATACAGCGATCCATGATGGGTTAGAATGATCAGAAAAGTACTCCCAGGGTTGTCTAGATGGAGAGAAGAATCTGTGCTGAAATGAGCTGAAGGATACATTTGATTCTCGTAGGTCTGACCACATTACGGACACACGGGCCCAAGAGATGAGTGGATTGGACGTGGACCAGGCTAGGAACTAACCGCTGACTCGGAATTTAGCTGCATTAGACTGCTAGGGACATGTAACTGTCTCGACATGAGTTAAAATTTGTCTTCTACCTTGATAAATCTTCTTTTTTGTCTTATTTGCATCTGTGAGGGAGCAAAAAAATATATCAAGAGCCCTAAAAACCGTAGCTATCAAACCAGGGGCGCGAAGTATCTTTTGATACTAGTAGCCTGGTAACGTCCGTGGCGACTCTCGGCCTGATGACCGGTCTTCTCTCTGCTAAATCCCCTGCCCTCTGGTCTCCCCTTTTACTGGGTGTAAGAAGGCTAAGTGAAGACATTACAAGAAGCATCTCGATGGCTGCTGTTCCCCCATTAGCTAGGCCTTGGTCTTACCATACCCTGCCTGTATTTTCTCGATCTTCGTCCCCGCCATGTACTCTACTGTGCTTCAATTTGTCACCGTCCTAACCGCTGTTTGTAATAGTATTGAGCGAATCCTCGGTGAAAGGGAGACAAAATAATTACCGGCCTATACGGTCAGATTTTGAACTCAGTAGAATAATGTTTTGGAGACGCGACTTACCATGGTGAAATCTGAACCGGCTACGCTGGCGGGCCATACCTGTTGCATGAAGGATGTGTACAAGAGCGCTGTAGGCTTCGAGGAGCAAGGGATGGGGTAGCGGATATCTACCATCATGTGCGGTAAGGTTCACGAGTCCATGTTTAGCCATATAAGGGCCCAGGAAAGTAGAGAACCGGATGAAGGTCTTGATCTTGTAGACGTTAGGGGCTGTTAGTGGTAGAAGCAAAAATTCTTTGCTTCTACCACTCAACCAAAAGCGAACATTGGCTGAAGGTTTAGCCTTGCACCTGAATATATTTAACAGTTGTTGTGGCTATAAGTGACGAACGAAAGGATCCGAAGTCGGTATGAATGGGTTGCAGAAGTGTTATGGCGTTGTCATGATTGTTAATGTCTTTCGAACAAAAGTTCAACCGCGATCAAAGGTCTAGGAAGTACCGCTATAGATTTGTCTAAATTACCGAGGATCCAACACGTCCAACATCCTCTTCGAAAGAGCCTAGTGAGAACGGAATAACGTTGGCTGCTTCTATGTGACCAGAGGCAGCACGAACAGGAGCATTCTTCCTATTGTATACACCCAAGATTATGCAACGGTCTCCATCCTTTAGGAGGAATTCAGAATGTAAATTCTCCTGCTCGTCCCTGGTCCCTGACTACAAACCCATTGCGATCATATTCTCAGTGGAGTATACAACTCCCAGCCGAGGGAAGGTATGACAGGAGGACTCTTGCCCCCGCAGGGTTTTCATGGGAAACAGTAGACTAGTGTGGACGCTCTTTACTAGCTGGCGGAGTTTGTCGCTTGAAGCTCTGGACTCGCAGTCCTATACTGTGGCAGAAAGCAATTATAATGGTGAAGCATGGGTAGCGAGAACAGAGGTGATCATGTGATTAGCGTATATATGACATACACTAGGAAGTAGAGTCTATTGAATACTCCTATTCCAAAACAGTTTAATGTAGATATCTATAATGATAACTACACAGAAGCTGGCACGACAAGGGGTAAAGTGGCCTCGGCAGGTTCTGCACCTCATGCGGCGTTGCCGGATTGGAAAGCTGCTAGGGTAGTGTGCTCATATGCCTGAAACTATACCGCTGATGATAAACCGCAGTTTCAGCTAGGGATCCAGATAACTTCGTTAGTTATACTTTTTACTACTGCTTACTGTGATGCTTGAAATAGGTTTCTCTGCAACCTGTAATCTTGCACTGTTATTACGGTGACCTGAAACTGGTCAGCACGAGTGAATGTGATTCATATATGAACAGGGTCGGCCAATTGTGCATCTCATAGTATCGACAATGGACATATATATCAGGCTCGTAGGAAGGTAGGGGTTTTATTCCTCCGTCGTATTGTTCTTCGCCCCTTGCGTTGTCCCATACTCAATTAAAGGGCAGCGGCGCCAGAAGGCGAAGCTTTTGGAACCCGGCTAATGCGCACGGCGGGTCTAATAGCCACATGGGTATTTCTTGTTGTAAATGCCAAGTTAGGCATACAGGGCGGAGTCAAGTCCCTACAATAGCTGTCGCTGAACGTGAAGTGGTAAGGATTTAGGTCTGAGGCTTGCTATGCCTTCTTAAAGGTCCAACCAATACGCCCTGAAGATGAATGGACATGAGACACTTATACCGAAATACTTTATATGAAATACATAAACTAGATATAGTGTGTTTACACTGTGCTAGAAATTCAGAATTTGGCCTGCTCAAAGGCTTGCTAAGAAATAGCGGAAATACAGCTCAGGGTCTATTACAGGCTATAGAGCCTTAGAGATAATGCTAGTAGTACTTCTAGGTTCTTTGCTAGGCTAACCTTTCAAGTCTTAGGTTTCGTATTCATATAATCACTCAAAAACCTGATTGGGAAGGAACATGAAAGGTAAGGGAAGTCAGCTTACTGTTTTATTTTGCCATCATCGCCCAGAGAACGAGCGGCAATGAGTGCTGATGCCTTTGCTCAGGGCGATGGTGTCATCACTGGCACTAGGTGCAGCGGAAGGCTGAACGATAGGGCAAGCGTAAGCATCCAAGCCCTTGGCAGGGGCCCAAGTCCCGGAACCCTTTGATATAATAGATCTGCCAAGCAGCTTGGCCTTGTGCCGAGCACCGGCCCATGACTTATTTTGCTGGCATCAGGAGTGGATTGAAAATTTCGTTCGATGTCTCCCCATATTTCCATTGCCACTCAAAATGCCACAATGCCCTGGATATGTCCTCCGCACATGAAATCTTTAACTGTATGCATATGCGAGTATAAGTCTCGTGATTGCACGTACCCTCTTGTCCTCAGTTCAACTCGACGATGTTTATTGTGCCGTACCTGAATAAGATCGCGGGATGGCTGGCGCCGCCGCCCAAAAAGTCGGAAGATGGGCGCGATCAATGGCCCTCGCGGGCGGCCTTTCTCCTGGCAGCCATGGGTGGTTGCGCTGGACAGGGAAACTTGCTGCGGTACCCATCGGTCGTCTATAACAATTACGGAGCGCAATGGTTCATCCCCTATTTGTTAGCTGTATTCCTCATTGCCATTCCTGCCCTCATTTTAGAAATCGCCATCGGCCAGGCCTACCGCGGAGGCAGTGTGATCGCTTTCAACAACATCAATCGACGGCTCAAGGGTGTGGGATTAGGCCCAATCCTGGTAAGCTTCATTGTCACGCAGTACTTCACCGTGAATCTCGCCTGGATCATGAACTATTTCCGCAACTCCTTCCGCAGTCCTTTACCGTGGGAGGGCCGGATTGAAGAATTCTATATGGGCGATGTCATTCATAATGTCGACCCTGTGGAGGGCGTCTTGAGCCAAGGAAACAAATCTGTGGTCGCGTTCACCAAATATCCCGGACTTGCAGTGCTTGGAGAGACAGTAGGCTGGAGCGCATTTATTTGGTTCCTGATCTGGGTATCCATCTTCCGTGGTGTGGGTCTGACAGGGCGCGTGGTCTACTGGACCATGGGTCTGCCGATTGTCACCACCATCATTTTCGTCGGCCGTTCTCTGAGTCTGGAGAATGCCGGCGAAGGAGTGCGCCTACTCTGGGCTACCTGGCGAAGTTCGCAGCTAGCCTCCGGGACGGTCTGGCAGACGGCAGTCGGACAAGTCTTCTTTTCCACCGGAATCGGATTTGGCTATTTCACCTCCTACGCCTCGTATAATGCGAAACACTCTAACGCTGTGATGGATGCCATTCTCATATGTGGTAGTAATGTACTATTCGAGAACTTCGCAGCGTTTGCCGTCTTCGGCGTGGTGGGCTACTTGCGACGATGGCCCGAAGAGGGAGAGAGGCTGGGTGCCTTCGTCGTCGGCTTCCTGACGTTGCCTGAGGCGGTCCTTCATATGCCGGGGTCAAATTTCTGGGCCATCCTGCTTTTCTTCACTCTTGTGGTGCTCGGATTTAGCTCAGCGTTTGTGATGCTGGACGCGGTTACGACCCTCGCGGTCGATTCGGGCCTCAAGTTCTCGCGTCCCACGATCGTGACGACACTGACTTTGATCTCCTTTCTCATGTGTTTGCCATACTGTACTGAGTTTGGATTCTACCTTCTGGATGGAATCGACCGTTGGATCAACAACATCGCCTTGATCTTCGTTGTATGGTCCGAGCTGGTAGGGGCTACTACCACCTACCGTTGGCACGATGTAACGGGGCAAACGGGGCTCCCAGCCTTTGTCGTCTATAATATCGGCTATTTTGGAGGACAGATAGCCGGTGTTGCAGTGGCCCATGGCGCTGAAAATCCATCAGCTGGAGCCGGTGCAGGCTTTGGCCTGTATATCCTCTGTTCCATCGTCGCTGTATGCATTGCGAAAACCCCGGAGATGCGAGCAGCTAGTTTCTGGAATCGAAACGCCGTTCTCCGCCGATTCTGGTACCTGGCGTTCTATTCGGTAAGCTCATTTAGGGCGTCCTCATTACTGGTCTATCCGTTCTATTAAAGTCTAACACTGATTCAAGGGCAACCAATTACGACACGACCTTAATCATATCGTCGGCGGCGGTAGCAACTGGAATATTCCAGTCTTCTGGCCGGTTCTACTGCGGTATGTTAGCGCTCCAGTTCTGGCTATCATTTTTAGCTTTGCATACCCGGAGTTTCACACGCTCCGGTACGATCCGATGATGGTCGCCGGTTTTATTCTGGCCCACTTGTGCTTGTTGGCCATGCTACTGGGCCTTATTCTGCCACGCTACTATGATTGTTTCGTTCCACTCAACCGCCGGCATGAAGGTATACAAGAAACTGCCCCAAATCAGCCGCGGGGGCAGGACGGGCAATCAGCCATGACTTCCTTTCACCATACCGGGATTGAAGCGGTCTCGGCAGGTGCTTCCCTTGGAGGTATAAACTCTTTAGAGCTCAAGAGAGATACGAACCATGTTGTGAAGAAGTTTTAAACATCCTGTGTGAGATAGCGGATTTGATTGGCTTGTGTGGGGTTTAAATCATCCATATAGAACTGTTGCCGAGGCAAGGACCATCGTTGATCCAGACGAATATGATATTGCTGTGAGACTAGTCCAACATTGACCCAGTGCCATGTCAATATCTTTGATGAAGCGTTATTCCAAGAATGTAGGGGCCACCTGAGGCTGTCTGGCAAATCCCGATGATGGAGATTGGAAGGGTCCCTTCAAATATTGGCTATAAATATGAGGGAACGCCCCTTCGAATCTCAGTTTCACAATCAACAACATCCTATCAGAGTTATTCTTCAAGAGAAAACTTTGCCTGCTTTTCCCTCCTTGTTTACGTTCTCTCATACTTTAGGCCTTGGCGTTACAGCGGTTGGAATCAGCCATGGAAAAGAACTATGGTGCTGAATGTTACAATGAGGAGTTGCCTCAAAATGTCCGAGCAACCATTATACGGCGCACATTTGATCGCAACGGCTGCCATCTGAGATGAGCTATCAAATGCTGCTTGCTCTAATGCTCTAAAGATACTCATTGGTCTACTAATCTTTGCCTTTGCTTACCTTGCCATCTAATTGAACAAAGAGCATGACTTAGTGCAAATCCACGAATATGAGACCCACGGCAACGTAGTCAGCAAGCGAGAAATTCCCTGGTTCCTTGGAGCAGCATTCTGGGTCACGAACCAAGTCTTCGTGTTCCACGGCCTAGCGATGAGCTGTAAGTCCTTCACAGATAGTGCCCGCAACGCAGCTATGTGCGTCTGGGGCACTATCTTAACAGTGGTGACTTTTAACAGCACTGTGTCCCATGGAGCCACAATGGGGAAGATTACCCATGACAAAATGGCCCAGAACGGCGTCACTATCGGAAACTGGAAGCGGGATAAAATTATCTCTGAGGCTGAAGTTTAGATAAGTGAGCTATTCCAGCTTCCCATTATTCTGGATAGGTTCGCCCCGAATCACCACCCCAAGATTACGTGCATGAAACTTGCCAAGGGTACTATATAACTTGTGTTTCACTTCTACAATCTCCAGAACATCAGCATACATCTTACCATGACAGTATTTGAAGAGAACCATACAGTTATATTCCTTGGATTTAGATACAAGAGTAACTAACAATGGCAGGCTTGGAAAGCGCGAACACTATAAGAATAAGTACTTTACCAGATGGTGGCATCCATTTCACCGATCGTTTTAACGATATGCAGAACACATATCTGCTCAATATGTACTCGGATTACCAGCAGATGGATAGAGATATTCAATGGTACTTCCCGGATTTGCAGAATATTTGGCGAGCGGAGATTCAGATCTATGACTCCGAGAAGAGGCGACTGTTAGCTCCGGGTCAATTGCTGCTCTCAGGGAAAGTGATCATGCTAGTAGCATTAGTGTGATGCCGGGTTTTCCTTCCAATATCCAAGCCACGTCTGAATATGAGAGAGCATAAGGTGGACGATATCACTATGATGGCCATTTGTAAAAGTGGAATACGGAGACTCTATGGGGTGGTCGAAATACTCTGGGTACCGCTGTGAACCTATAAAATAGATTTTATTCGTACCGTACTTGGATACACACTATGGCAAGTACTCACCGGTGGTGATCTTGCCTATTGATCAGTAGCTTACAAGTGGCTAATCTGTGTATTTTGTAACACAAAGCATTAGAAAAGCTCTGATTCCAGTATTCGATTGTTTGAACTATATATGTTACAGCAATGGGAAGACCTCATAATATCACATAATTCGAGGATCTATCTTCTTCAGAGTCGAAGCTCTTAGAAAAGAGCATAACTGATGCCCACAGAAGAGGATGCCATTTTCTTGCTAAGGTTTACTTTGTAGTTCTTCGGTCAACAAGGTAAAAGTTGATCTTGGGACAGGATTATTAGATCGTGCTCGCGGATATATGAAATTGATATGAGTGTTTGAGACAAATTACGTGTTGCGATAGCTGACAGCGGCTGTACCACCCAACTACTAACCGGCCAGCGTGTGGCTTATGCGTGGTCAAAAGGTCGCTGGGTACTGGGGATCAATGCTGCACCCGGCCGGACCTTTCGTGTGGGTGTCTTTTAGAGGGGGTTAGTATGCTCGGTAAGAATAGAAGTCCATTTGTTTGTCTTTGACTGTCAACTATTACAAAGCAGACTAGAAGGGCTTGATCATCGAGGAAACCGCAGTGTGGAATCAGCAGACAGTCCACGGATTTACATGACAGGTTAAACACCGCTAGCTATGTTATTCTCCCCATCATGATCCATGCTATCAGCGTCAACTCTAGGGCTGGACACAATGCCTCCAGGAAACACAACGGTCACCGTAGAAAATCCAACGATCCCTTCTTCTCTTCCCACAAAGCCCACCTTCTCATTCGTGCCAGCCTTGATAGATACTCGCGATTTATTCAAGGATAGAATACGAGCCACAGACGTCTTCAACGCATCGCGATGTGGACCAATCTTGGGCTTCTCGCAAACCAATGTGACGTCCACGTGGGTGATGACCCCACCAGCCTCAATCACAAGCCTCCTAGCATGTTGAACGAATTGAACGGATGAAGCGCCTTTCCAACAAGGATCCGAGGGTGAGAAATGGCTACCAATGTCATCGGCGCCAATAGTACCTAACAGTGCGTTGGTTACAGCGTGCAGGCCTACATCGGCGTCCGAGTGGCCAAGCAGCCCGGAAGTGTGAGGCAGCTTGACACCGCAGAGGGTAATTTCGGTAGCTGAGATTAGTCGATGAGTGTCGTAGCCATGCCCTACACGAACGTCAGGAATAGATAATCCTGGTGGTGGCAGGGACCTTGCTAGCAGGATGCGTTCTGCTTGTTCAAAGTCTGACGGGTAGGTGAGTTTCATGTTTCTCTCCTCGCCTGGCAAAACTCGAACGGGCAGCCCGGCCTGTTCGAAGAGGGAGGCATCATCTGTGTATCCGGCCTGCCCACAGAGAGCAAATTGCTTGTGAACTTTGAGCGCCTCGCGGAGAGTAAACGCTTGCGGCGTCTGAGCGCGATAAAGACCGTCGCGTGGTACCGTACCTGTGATCTGTCCACACTCGTTGACAGACTTCACAGTGTCAGACACTCGGATCGCAAGAATGAAGCCGACATCAGGCTCCTTGCTCAGTGCATCTCGAATTTTATCCAATAGCGAAGCCGAGAGAAAAGGTCTGGCAGCGTCATGAATCAGAACATGCGAAGGGGGATGTTCAAGTGAGGCCAGAAACTCCAGCCCCTTAAGCGTAGAAAGCTGTCGCGTGTCTCCACCAACTGTTTCGTACGTCCGCGAATCACGGTCCGGAATGGCATGCGCAAGGGATTGTGCGTCGTTCCTGTTCCGCACGATCACAACGGGGTGGTTGGGGTCCCAATTCCGGAAAAGTCGTACAACACGAGAGATGACAGTCTCACCGGCGATTTGTCTATATACCTTGGACCCCAGCGAATTTCCTGCTCGTGTGCTCGTTCCAGCGGCCAGGAGCACGGTACCAAACGTGGGTTGTGCCGAAGACATTGGATCTCACTGCGAATGTTCTTCCAGGGGTGATTCTATCGCTTGGAAACAGTTGTGGATACTCGCTTAAGAGGTAAGAGGGAGTTTTGGAGGGAGTTATATTCATTCTGTCGCATATTAATATAGTTTCCTCAGCTACCAGACGCGCTATCTTACCCAAAAGCGGAATGCGAAGCCCGGACTGCAAGGAATATATATCATCACCTTCATGTAACCTGCATGAAAGCCACCAGGCTTTACACTTGAATGTGCATAAGACCTTCTTCTGTCTTTGCTCGGTATTCTACGCGTAGACCTCTCTCTCCTGGAAACCCCGTCTCACAACTATCCCATCATGGGTTCATGAGATCTATCGACCTCTGCAGTTCATCAAGCTATGCTACCGAATTACGAGACAGAAATATAGGGTTACCCCACCATTACGCCCAGCCACCTACCGATCTACATTGAGTCGTCTAATCGAGTACTAGACCCTGGAGCGGTTCCCCACAGAAGCATGTAACGTGAGGGGATCTGCAGATTTCGATAGGTATCATGGTGGACATTGGTGGGAATCCATTTTCTAAAAAGCTGAGGACTGAGCGTAGCCATATCATTAGCTGAATCACTCACCGCAAATTCTACTACTGTTAAACCCATGCAATGGTGCCATACATGCATCGTATTTGCGATCTGTGCCCAAGCTAGGATGGTGGGCGGACTGTCGCGTGCCTACCTGCTCTGTTTACTATCTTCCATATCGCTATCTCACTAGATCAACTTCAGCTTATATTGGAATATATCATTTGCAATGACCATCCCAGGCTTTAATCCCATCACCCTCAAAATCCCCGCCAAGCTAAACCTCTACCTCCACGCCGGCGCACTCCGCAAAGATGGATACCACGATGTCACCATGGTATATCAAGCTATCTCTCTCTATGACACCATGACCATAAGTTCCTCTATAGAGCCCCACACAGACTTCACAATGGCAGTTACAGGAATCGATAGCGATCGCATTCCCGTTGATGCGCGCAATCTCGTAATCAAAGCCGCGAAACGCCTCGCCGGTCACATCGGCATCACAAACGCCACCCTGCACTTCGACCTAGTCAAGTCCATCCCTACTGAGGCCGGACTGGGCGGAGGAAGTGCTGATGCTGCAGCTGCCTTGATCGGATGTAATTATCTTTGGAATACAGGGCTGAATGAGACGCAGTTAATGGAGATCGGGGCTCAAATCGGAGAAGACGTCCCGTTTTTCATTCGGGGCTTGGTCGGGATAGGTACGGGCTATCGTCGTCCTGTGGTTCCTGTGGATGTTGATCCCAAATCTATGAGGACGTGGTACTGGGTGCTTGGTATCATGCCACGGGGGCTATCGACGAAGCTGGTCTTCGAGAAGTCAGATGAATTCATTGATAGGAGGGTCCGACGTGGGGAAGTAATATCTAGCCAGAGCGAGCAACTTGCGAAATGTTTAAAGGTCGACTGGGGCAATACACCGTTTCAACTTCTGGTACCTGAGTTAGCGAATAATCTCCAGGAGGTGGCTGAAGAATTAGACCCTGATATTGAGGTGGCTTTACAGGCAGGGAGGGAAGCTGGTGTGATCGTTAGCTTGATGGCGGGGACAGGAACAACGTGCTTGTTTCTGGCAATGGATGAGGGACACGCGGAGGCTTTGGTTGGTGCTTTGACTGAGAGGGGAATATTCAGAAGGGTTGTTAGGGCTGTTGGGCCGGTGGAAGGTGTTCGGATTATAAGATAAGTATTGTGAAGGCCCGGTATGATATTAGATATTAGACTGGCATTGCAAGGCCATTGCAAACCCCTAGACATTGTATCGTTTCCTGCGAGCATGACCCAATCAACTACTCTAAGGGTACAATGTAGCCCTATGTCTTCTAGCAGCATTGCTCTGAGCTCGACCAAGGTGGGGTGGTGAGAACCCGCTGAAGCCTCCAAATCGCAAATTCCGTTCACCTGTAGGGCAGTCCGTAGGATATTTCACAAATCTAATCCTACCTATAAATGCGTGATATATACGTGACACGAGTGTGTGGATTTTGTCTAAACCATTGGACCACAGCTTCCCCTTTTCATTGTCCTACTACACGTGCAGGGTTATATTAAGGAACTCACAAATGTACCCAATAACTCTGGTGGCGTACGATCGCTGAGCACTGCTGGCGAAATAATACACTGCGAACTTCCCCGTCGTGGGTCCTTTAGATCTACAGAAGATTATCTTCTATCATATAAGAATGAGGGCGTCCCTCTGATCCACCAAATTTATCTCTTTAGCAAGCTAGTATTGTCACATATGGATTGGGATCTCCTCGAAAATCGTGTTACATCCGAAACTGGATTCAGTGGCAGGGGTAATTGACTGGGAACGAGCAGCCTTCTTTCCAGAGGGAGGGAGGCGTATCCATCGAATGTGCCGTCAGTAGCAGGGGCGGGAGACACTCTTTGGTGGGATACAATTTCCGCTAGAAGGCTAGGTCGTCATATGGAATCAATCTACTTATGTATGAGCTTTCCATATGTGAGAGTGATGTCGATTAGGCCCTCTGGAATTTCGTGCCCAGCTTCCTAATTCGGCACGCGAAGACAGTCCTACTTGATTAAAGATGTAATGGAGACTGTTTCGTTTAAAATTCCTGTCTATCATGAGGATAATCGGTGTGGATATGCCCGGACTTTGGAGGACACGTAGAGGTGTGGAATTGATACCTTAGCAGCAACATAGATCGTTCACTTTCCGCATTCTATATAGCCTTAGCATTGTGTTTACTTCCGTCGTACGATGTAATCATTTATTCATAGATCCTAACAGAGCACTTAGGAAGTTATATATTTTGTTACTATAACAATTTGGCTAACCAAAGATAATATATGCTTACGTAAGATAAATATGTTAGTTACGGCCGAGGGTTCGGAGGTAACGGAGCGACATCCCGTCAGCACTTCATCTCTACATCTCCATTAGAAATTTACTGAGGGCATAAACAAATGGACCGTCTCTCTCAGCCGACTCGAAAACGCCGACGACCGGCTTACTCATGCACCGAGTGTCGTCGTCGTAAAGTGCGATGCGACCGGAACCAACCTTGCAACCAGTGTACCGGGCACGATGTGGCTTTCGCCTGCACGTATGAGGAACACCCCCGTAGTCTCGCTGTAGGGCAGCAAAAAAGACAAATACAGAGGACTCCGGAGGAGCTCCCCTCCCCTGATACGTCCCTACACAGCTCAGCCACCTCGAACCAGATCCGGGGCACTGTATCAAAGACTAGGGTTTTTGGCCGCGGGCATTGGATGAACACCGTTGCTAGGGTAGAGTGCTCCGATGTGGCTTGATGTGGCCTCTTGCTGACAGCCCTTAAAGGTGGAAGAATTGACTAGCCTGCAGCCCATCGGGGAGTTCTATGATGCGATTTTTCAGGCGACAAATCATGGCCCTCAGGACAAGATTGCAGAGAAAGTCAACCAGTGTAAACAGCTGTCTCGGGATGTCAAGAACAAACGCCCAAGTCGCGGATGCCTCCCAGCTGATCTCCCTCGATCCTTTCCTGGCCACCAGGTAATGGGCGAACTCATCGAGCTCTATTTCGCTACCTTTGAGTCCTGCTACCGTATTCTTAATCGCCCCTCGTTTCAGAAAGAATATGAGGGCTATATCAATGATTCGGAACCGCCGAAGAGCCCCTTTATGCTACAGCTTCTTCTTGTGATGGTTCTAGCAAGTACGATACATGGCGATGCTAATATCCGTAGCCAGATAATGACAAAAAGCTCGACCTGGATCCATATTGCTCAGTCATGGCTTTCTGCGCCGTTGGAAAAGGATCGCTTGACGCTAGAGGGTATTCAAACCAATTGCTTGCTACTTCTTGCCCGCCAGGTGACTCGAATAGGAGCCGACTTGGTTTGGATCTCGGCGGGCTCACTTATCAGAATGGCCATGCAGATGGGCTTACATCAGGACCCTGACTATCTTGAAGAGATGAGTAGGCAGCAAGAGGATATTCGACGGCGACTATGGTACACCATCCTAGAAATGAACGTACAGACGGCGTTAGATTCGGGCATGTTGCCCATGATAACGGACACGGACTATAATACCCACCCGCCGTCCAATGTCAGTGACAATGACCTGGAAGGTACAATGCGCGAGCAATCTCAAGAGGGGGGTCATTCGAATCATGTGTCATTCCAGTCATTGCTGGCAGACTCTCTTTCTCTCAGACTGCGCGCTACCAGAGTCATAAACAGTCTACAAGATGAACCACCATACGACCAGGTTCTAGCGCTCGGAAATGAGCTCGCATCGGCTTGTAGCAATGCTACCATTGCGATTGAGCAGGCCTCCACTACGGATTGTGGGCGCTCTGTAGGATTTGCATCCAGCTTTTGCAACCACCTCCTTCGTCGTTTCCCTTTGTGCCTCCATTACCAATATGCGGTGAAGGCTAAGAAAAGTCCGATTTACAGCTACTCCCAGAAGGTCTGTCTCGAAGCCGCTCAGGATCTAGTTTTATTCCTTGAAGACGATCAGTACTATCGCCTTCTCCTCACCGGTGGTGGCATGTTTCGTGATATTATCACGCGGGGGGCGTTGCTCCTGTTTCTAGAACTAAACCCAGAGCCCCAAGAAGACAATTCCAGTTTTGCGAGGCGACGGAGGCGCGCTCGTCAAGAACCACTGCTTCAAGATGCTAGGCGCGTTGTACAATACGCAAAAGACAGAATGCGGCACGGCGAAACGAACGTGAAAGTATATGTATGCCTTAGTATGATGATGGCCCAGGCGGAGTCTCATCTGGATGGACTGCCTCCAAAAGAGGCCATTTCGAAGGCTCTGCATGATAGTCTAGACATATGCCATAGACTTTTGGAGCAGAGGGTCGCTGATGCCTGCACAAGTCCCACAGATCCTGTTCTCGAGTCTTGGGCATCAAGCGGCATGGTAATACCTGCGTTGGCAGATCTTGATGCTGATTTTGACTTCTTGGATGGCGAGAACCTTGACATGGGCTTCTTAGAAAACCTTTCGAATACGTGGTAGGGTGGAAACACATGTTAGTATTTGATGAAGGCATTTTAAGTTGGGGTAATGTTAACACATTTGGGTTAACTAGGTAGGCCAAGTTACTTGATTATCTCCTTATCGTGGTTCTACTAAGGAAAGCCCCAACATTTGCCTCTGTCAACAAGAGATGCAACCTAGATCTATACATGACCATATGGTATTCCTAGCTTTTATATCAAGTAGACTCTGTGTAAGCACATTGGCGAGGACTACTAGGCAATTATGTAACTGATTAACAATATTGTTTCGACATTCTCATTCATGAACCTTCCCCTAATAAGGGTTTCAGAGGAACAAAAAATGTAGATAGTTGAGGACAAAGTATTGCTAACGCAACGAGAACTCGCCTTTTCTATACAAGGGATTTTGATAAAAAAAGTATAATCATTAACAGCAGGAATCTAACCTGGAATAAGAACACAATGGGGGAGGACACTGGCGAAAAACTGCATTCTTATCCATTCTCAACCGGAAACAAAATCCATGTCTTTGTACACCGGAAGCATCCAACCCTTGGTGTCTTCGCGCAAAATATATTTGGCGAGCAAGTCGAGCCTTAGAAGAGAAGTAACCCAGAATAAGATATACATCATTTGAACTGCTATGGGTGACGATGGAAATTTACTCATGTAGTCCTCACTGTCCGTGAGTCCTCTTTGGACTGTATTGATGAACGGTCTGAGCTTTCCCTCGTACGTAGCCAACGCAGTCGTGATGCTGTCCTTGGAGCCCGCGGCGTTTAGGTCATCTCCTTTGACACTCATGCCACAGTGTCTCAAAATCTCACCAGCCAGAACGTAGGCGCCAGCCATAGCACAGGTGGTGCCCATGCCTGTCATGGCAGTCGGACAGTAGGCGGCATCCCCTAGTAGAGCGATACGGCCACAGGACCAATGGTCCATCGTAACAACGGCCATCCGCTCGCAATAGAAGTCGTCAGCATTGGCCAACCCCTTGAGAATTTCGTTCGTCTTCCACCCGGTGCCACTGAACGCCTCCGCCAGCCCTTGCTTTTCGTCATCAATATCGCCCTTGCTGGCACTCCTAAGCCGCTGCGAGGTATTTGGATTGCAAAACATATACGCCTGGTACTTGTCGGGGTGACCTCGACGAGTCATAATGCCTTTGCTCCCTGGAGCCATAAAGATGGTGGCGTTGTATCCCTCACCGTCCGTGACAGGCTCCCGAATCGTAAAATAACCCGCATATGCACCCAGAGGGTGAACGGGGTCTGCCACATCGGGGCCGAGGATCATCTTCCGCATATGAGACCCGGCACCATCCGCCCCTACAACAAGATCGAACCTCTCCCTGCTCCCATCAGAGAGGTGTACTTCCGCGTATTCCTCTGTCTGCGAAATATCCCTTACGTACATCCCGAACCGATACCTGACCCGGTCCTTACAATGGTCGTATAGAAGCTGACACAAATCGCCTCTCATGATTTCAAAATCGGTAGTAAAGCTCTGCAATCCTTTCCCAGACCGGTTGGCCGGGATGTATCCCCAGCTTCTGCCCTTCCTATCGACAAGCTGCAGACCTTGTTCGGGGACTGAACGAGCGCGAAAGGCTTCCTCGAGGCCCATTCTTCGCATAGCCTGGATCCCAGGTCCTCGAAGGTCTACCTGTAGTCCTGTGACGCGAAGACCTGGAAAACGTTCGATGACGGTGGTTTCATGGCCGAGCTTTGAGAGCCAGAATGCGAGGGCGTTACCGGCGATGCCAGCGCCGCAGACGAGGACTTTCAGTTGGGCCATTGTTTAAGTAGATGCAAAGGATTGAAAAATATTAATAAGGATACTACAATGCTCAAGAGGGTCACAATGATGCGCATTTTAAGTTGACTTCGGACTTCTACCGGATATATCGTTTTGGATGATGCCTGACGTCCGTGGACCGATATGGCCGATACAACCGACATCCCCGAGAGCGCATTCTACGAACTACCAATACTTAATTACTGGTACTCCAGGCCAAAGGTTACAGGTTCTAAACGGCGATGATGATCTACTTGGACGATCTAAAGATCTGTATTCTATTACCACTGTCGCTTATCCCCCCAAAAGGCCAGGGATTCTCACTGATAATCTGGAATACCTCTCCATCAACACGGGAGTCAGAGTCCGTAAGAGGCGCTTTACCCCATGCTTTAAGTAGAGCATAGGCGGCGAGGAGGTGCGATCAGTTACATTGTTCAAATAGACAAAGTCATAAATGTTCTCGCCGTCACCCATAAGGTACAGGGCCAGCCTTGACGCGCGGAGGAGACCTTTTTACCCAGGCCATGGATACAGCGATCACCAAAGGTATAGCACGGGAGAGCAGGTCAGAACCCCGTCTTTGCGATTTGCGGCGAGCACAGTCTCCTCTGCATTGCTTTTCTCAAAATATAAATCCGCTTCCGCCAAGCCTTGAGTTGATGGTAAAGAAATTTCCTTTGCGCTAGGTGTCAATTTTCGAAGTGTGAAAGAGAATTTGCTCACTCCAGAATGATAGTTTTGAACTCTGGGCATGCTTCAACCCATTTCCGGAGAGCAATCTCCCCAATACCCACACGGCGAGCAATGTTAGTCCCAACGTCCGTTTCTATAAGCATCGCCGTTGCAAATGGAATCTGCCTAAAGTTGTTCGAAAAGGGGTGTGGGTCGTACTTTTGGAATGGATAGATATCCCCGTCAGGGTGGCGATACAGCAAACTGTCCACGTATTTCTGATGTATGAAAATGTAATTTGAGGTTAGCTTGCCAGCACATCTATGATGTTTCTAATGACACTTGGGAGTGTCTACTTACCTTCACTGCTAGGTTGTCCGATGTGTCCTCAGGAAAGATATCGAAGAAATTTGGGCATTTGCCTATACAATCCACGGATAGCAGGATGAATTCACACAAAGCTCCATGATCCAGCTGGTTGCGATGTGATACGTTGACCCTGCCTATTAACTCCCCATTGCTTGTTTGGACACTCAGCGCACTATTGGCCCGGGGTATAGCAGAATACATGATACGGAAGCATGTCACTTGAGTATGGACTAGGATCCGACCATAACCGGATGCTGCCACTTGGCAATCTTGATGACTGAATGTACTCCTAAGATCTGGGCCATCAAAGGCCTCTTGCCAGAAGACATCGTATGTGGGCCATCGCTTGAAGAGATCTTGAAAGCGCCCATATGCAGAGCCCAGGGTTAATTCAGAAGGGCAAGCCCTGTTGATGCAGCCTTTCGTCCAAGCTAACCACACTGTCCAAAGTATGTGTTGCTTTTCCTCCCCAATCGCGTTGGTAGTGGAGGGATAGTCATCCCATTGTAACCCCTGGCTTGGTCTGCAAATGGTAATTTCTGTTGCTGACTTTTGATTTGGCACTGCCCAGAGTGCTAGTCCGACGTTCGATGGGGAGTGGTTGATTTGTCCATGATATGAAGCCCATGACCAGGAAGGAAAGCCTTCTCGTCTCGTTCGCTCATCGTCAAGGTTGGGATGCCAGCGGATAGCCCTATCTATATGATGCGTTGGCAAGCCAAAATATGTATTAGGACCGTAAAGATTCCGCAATACCCCTGTAAAGGCCCGGATTGCGTCACCACCGAATGTGAGGTGCCTTGCAGTGTAGGCATGAAGCGAAGACCAATAATCACTCAGAGCGGGAATGGGTATGGACCCTCGTTGACCATAGTTGACTTCTAATAGAGGGTCAGTCCACCGATTCCCATCGCGACGCACAAAATAAGCACCGGCTTTTGTTAGAAAAAGAAGCTGTGCGGAGAACATAGCTTCCTGAAACGTCCAGCCTCGGGTTGGCCATACGCACTGAGAGTAGTATTGGTCAATATTGGATGTCGTTTCGGCGATTAGTATACCCCCCAATGAACAATATGCAGGTTTCCAGACACGGCGCGACCCGACACCAGGCAGTCCAGCATGGGCGTCCGTGCCGTCTAATGCAACGAGAGTACATGTGGCATTCTGATATACAAGAGTCATCTGATTTATTTGCTGATGTAGGTGCTCTGAGCTTCCCTGGTCTATGCAAAGCTGATCAACCCATAGATAGCTGACGCTCAACCGACCACACGCTGTCATGGCATCACGAATAGTAGAGGGCAAATAATCTCTAATAATCCCACCAGAGCTAGTAACTGCTTCTTTGTTCAAGATGACTCCCCCGAAAACATAGCTTAGGGCAAGATATTGACAACCAGTTGGTGCGTCGATCAAACGGTCTTGGTAGACATCGATGACTTTTAGTCCCTTAAGATTCCAAGAAAGGTGATCATTGATAGACTTTCCTGGGGGCGTTGCTTCAATCCAAGAACATACTTTCTGCCAGTCAACATACGTCTTGAGGGAGTTTGGTGTAATTGGCCAGCCTTGATGAAGTGTCCTTTCAGAGTCTAGGGACGCGGAACTATTTGACTTCCAAACCTCATGGCGTAATTCATATACCTCAGCTAACTTATCACGTCCCTTATCATTAATCAGACATCGGATGGTATGCCCATCATGACGAAGACAAATTGCCAGTCTAACTGGTATGCTCGACACATTTACACCACAAATGGTTCCATGATTTCCAATCAGCATGCTGAAAAAGTGGCAAAGTTGGCAGTATGATTGCCGGTCGCGGATTGTGTCCAAGGTCAGGATGTTGAGAAAAACCATTGTATTAGTTGTCCTGCATTTAAATATGTGATCGAGCCGCAAATGAGTGCAGAATGTACAAAGAGAAAGGTCCTTCGGGCGCCTCCAGGACTGGCATTTACTGCAGGGAGCATGAAACAGCTTAGCCAAAGATGACCGGCGGTGTTTGAAGCCCGGATATTGGGCCGTGTATTCACAGAGCTTGCAAGAAGTACCATGAACACTATCGAGCGCCCCAGTCCTAAGTATCTGTCCATTTTCCGTGTCTGGCTTATTGGGGTGTGCTCCGAAGTTAGAAGACATTATGAAACAAGCGTGTTGATCCAGGAACGCTATGATGGCAAGCAGACGCGGAGGACGAAAATTCCGGTATATATATGCCCAAAGGCTTTGGCTATTCGTTGGTCCCCATACCACGGAACCTGATGAAACAGAACCCCTTCAGCTTCAAGATGCGCTCGTATTTGCTTAGTCATTGCTACTAAGTTAAGACGCTATGCTTGAGTTGGTTTAACCTGATTTATGCTTGCATTGCTTGCCTTATCCTGCGCATAAACATCGCCTCTCCCCGGCACCCAGTACGTTAGTAATCTTTTATAAGATCTAATATACGGTACGTAGTTTAACTAGGTAAATCAAGTGAACCTTGCCATTCATACTTTAGAATTTAGCGACTCACATCGCAACATTAAGCACAGACCGGGGGCATCTTCATAAAAAACATGGCCACCCGCAAGTTCACAGAACAGGTCCCAGCCGACTTAAACACATAATTCCACAATGACGTCCCCGATAAGCCAAGATTCTCTCCAACCATGACCTAACGGCTAACAGGCTTACACGGCATTTCGGATGTCTGTATCGAGCTAGCCCGTAGCCCGCTGGCCTATGTCCTCGTCATCTCTATTCGTATCCTCTATAGAGGCGATCAGGGAAGACTGTAAACGGGAAACCGATCACTACTTCGACAGCAAGCTTTCGGCTAAACCGAGAAGGGTGGAAGGTAAACAGCAGGAAGTTCACCGGGATGATAAGCATGTACTGCATTTCCAAAAGATCAGCATAAGAAGCATATTCAGAAGATGGCTATGGCAACGCGACTGGTACAGACAGGCATAATGTGACTACCAACCTCACGAGAAAGGAGCCTCAGCCATGGTCAGCTGCATGAAGGCACTTACAAAAACAACAAAAGCACGGCATCACCATAACAATCACGAGATCGTATTTTTGGGGACCCGGGGCTAGGCCCTAGGGAGGGACGTGAGAGAGAAATGTAGATTAGGTTCAGAAAACAAGAAAGGGACCAAGCTGGTCCTCATGCTCTCTCGCGTAGCGTACCCAGTTTGTCCCCCTCGAAGCATCGGGTCTTGCCCAAAACGCATATAGAAACTGAAGTCCGCTGTAATTGCACCACAGCCCGGTTATAGACATGAATTCTTTGTATATAGTGTTGATGAGAGTCTGCTGTAATGTATCGACGCTGCATTCCGTGCCGGCAATAAACAACGGAAAGAAAAGGGCATGGGCAAATGAGTGGGGGGAGTCAGCAGTGATCGCACGTATTTCATAGAACAGAAGACGGACAAAATAGGTAATCTGTTGAGACGTTTTGTCTGCAGGGGGCGCCAATGCCTGGTGGATATAGATATAGCAGGCGTAATAGTGTGCTCGGATGACAGCGTCGAACCGATGGCGCGCCGTCTCATCATCGAAGACGCAGCTGGCGCTGGTGGAAACAAGAAGTGAAGCCTGATCAAGCTTGTCTCTCCACATACCGATGTCTACGTCTGGCGCCTCTCGGCCTTCTGATATCAGCTTGTGCCGATGTCGCTCGACCGCAGTTGCCTCGCTGATGATATCCGTGAATGTCCAGAAGTGATTCTGTACCGTGGACGGTGCAGCAGATGCTACATTTTTAGGACTTTGCCATCGAGTGAATGAAGTCATGCTGCTCAGTATGGTGACGTCTATTACCTCCTTAATGAGAAATTGGCGCACCTCGGCCTCTGGTTCACGCGGTCCCTGAAGGCGATATCTATCGATTATCGTGCGACACGCATTTAAATGGATCCCCCAGTTCGTGGAACGTGGAGTAAGCATCTCTCCGTAACAGAGAACAAGAGCCGTGGCTAGGATGGTCGACAATGAAGAACCGTCCGAGCTGGGCTCAATGAGCTCTAGCTCACGGCCTAGCTCGCGGTTCAAGGCTCGCAATGTCGCATAGTGAAGAAACCTATTCGCTTGTAGTATAAAGCTGTTCGCAGATTTGACCGACTTGTGAGCTGCAGAGAGGCTAAGAATTGAGAGTCGAAGACACAGAGAGTCCTGAGCTAAAGGAAGGACGACTTTCCGCCACGGATGATCTGAACGATCTAGCCAGGTCAATTGCGAAACCACTTCCAAGTGAAAATGGCGCAGTAGGTTGTCTATAAAGCTGGCCGATGCAAATTGATTGCTAAGATGGTGTTGCGCAGTCAGTGCATGGTTCGCGTTTCTCTCTTTGCTAGCCTCATTACTGTCGTTTTCGGACTGTTTATATTGTTTTCCCTTCCCCCATCGGAGTTGAACTGGATCGAACCCTGGGCAGGATAGCCCTCGAACGATGCACTTCTGGCATTTTGGGCTGGTTCGGTCGCATCGGATGCGCCGCCTGATGCAGAGACGGCAGTCTAGGGCTGTTACGACATGGGTTCACTCTACTTTGTAGTTGCGACAAACCTACCTCTCGGGCCCACCGCACGATTAGGGGGGAGTGAAGACACACGAATATTCTTCCTCATCACGGAACATTCTCAAGACGTTGGAGTTAAAAGGTTTGCTGATTCTTGTTCCCACTCAGCCCCGCATTGAAGATTTTTAGCGGGATTTTGAGTCTTGGCTTTTTACTCTACCTTTTGTCTCACCTCTTGGCCTGGCTTGAGGGAATAAAAATCAATCAGAAGATAAATTTAGTTAATCACCCCCGAGGATATATAAACTAGTTCCACTGTAGGCGAGGGAATCTTAACCTTCTAATACACGACTTGGTTCCTCTACCCTAGGATACTATATTAAATATGTAGATGTCCTTCTATCCCCGTGTGGTAGTGGAATCGTTATGTTACCAGGAGTACAAAAGGATATGTTAAAGGGCAGCGGCCAGGTTGAAGGCTCACTATCACAGTACGAGTCGAGTTCACTCTTACAACACCCTAGCGACCATATTATTTGGCTCCTATCATACAACAGCAGATGGAGCATGTGGAATAACTGATAGTCATTCATCAATGCCATCCAAGGCCTCTACATGTCTCCCCATAAATTTTCTAGAGCCCATTTACGATGAGTCTCATCCGTGATGCTCGAGCATGCCTCCACGAAAGCCATAATGATACCACTGTTTCCACTCCTTCCTATGTCTTTCAGACAACGCCACTCTGTGCCAATGGTCGCACCGTGACCGAGTAGTAGACGAACCGTCGATTCATGGCCATTGTAAGCCGCAAGATACAAAGACCTCATATCCCGGTCATCAGCCCGTTCAGTATCCGCCCCTTGGGACAGTACATAATGAACAACATTGTCCCTTCCACAGGTCGCCGCACGAAGTAGTGCATCGCCAAGATGTATCCACAAACGAGTCTGGTGATTCCTCTTAACATCCTCGATCATCAACCGTACCATGGCAAGGTCTCCCTTGCCCGCAGGTTCCACGACTGGTGGAACGCTCATATTACACTTCTCATGAAAGAACGTGTCTGCAGTGGCACCTTTGGCGAGTAATTTTTGCGCGATGGATATGGAGCCCTGCTTGGCCACGAGCGATAGAGGTGTGTCCCCAGTATCACATACCACGTTAGGGTCTAAGCCTTGTTCCAAAAGATAGTCGATCATGGAATCCTGCCCATGTTGTGCCGCCACGATCATCAGTGGGGTGTCTGGCGGCGGGTACAACGCCCACTTCGTCCAGCGACCCAGAGAAGGGATAGGGACTTTTCTTCCCTCCTTCTCTTCATGTAGGTCGGCACCTGCTTCTACCAACCTTTTGACTGTACTAACCAGACCGTGCTTTGCCGCCCATTGTAATGCGGAGCTGTCATGGTTGAGGACATGGAACCGATACAAATGTGTGACCAAGAGGTCATAGAGATACTTATTCGCTTGGCACAAAGCATTGATATCTCGTTGGGCTCCTAGAGATCCTGCAATGATAAGAATTAACTCAGTAGGTAATAATAGGAGCGACATGGTTCTACAGCTCTGTTCTGTTGATTGTCGAGAACATTGCCTTCCCCAGATAACTGAGCTAAACCTGATCCGCTCTAGCATTATTATGCAGTATGACTAATCCATACGGTGCATAACTAATATGCGTATGTGAAATATCTATGCATACAACCAGATATATGTACGACGCCATTCACTATGGAGACAACAACCTTCCCGCGTGAATACCACCAGTAATTAGAAGGTAATCGGAAGTATGATAGGCACTGGCATCAGACAAAAAGATATACAACCAGGACTTTTATATCAGTTTGACCACCCATCCGCCGCATCGGCGGCCCTTTATTCATAATATCTTCCAGCTAGGGGCATCGGTCACAAAGGTCAAGGATCATGTCCGCTCTCATGTACCTAAATGCAAATGATGCATGAGCATAGAGCCATTCATTAGCTTCTGCTGTTTCGCATACCTAGATGATATGCTATTAACTCTGACCTGCTTCTCAGCCTAACTTGACACCTACTGTGTTCGCCAGCGAGACGACAGCTGTATGCGGTCTATATGAAAACAGATACACCTTAAGTGTCGAAGCAGGAGGCCTTAGAGTAATCCTACCTTCGTTCAACGAGGGACCACTTGACAGCGTCTACATCGAAATGGGAGTATTGTTACTTTAATTCAACTTGTGTCCACTTGCTTCACTCTCCTTGGATTGAAAGTGGTGGGTCCAAGTTCCTTTCCTCCTATTGCTTATAACCCAATTCCAAACGATCTCGGCATTGGTGAGCTATTGATGCTACGGAAGTCGACTCCGATCAAAAAATAGTATGCAGCTAGTCCGGTACGTTCATTATCCAAGCTACGAGTTTCGGTCTCCAACAGGCAAATGCCTACAGTTAAGTGTAGAATGTCTCTTGCTAGGGGGTACAAGTTTTCAACATCATTCAATATGAAACCGGAAATACAAAGAAGAGAGCATTCCTGGCTGAGAACTGATACAAATTTCCATCGGTTATTCTAACCCCCCCACAACCCCCCATCGATTGGATTAAGTACCATGTTCAAGATATGGTGATTTGAAATGGACAACTCGGAAATAATCCGACAAGGGACCAGTGAGAGGGAACGTCGGTAAGTCCAAAAACGATGTATGTACTTCTTCCTAAGCATGGGAGACTTACCAACTAAGTTCTAGCCCCAGATCGTTATTTTTTGAATTCAAATTTTAGTTGTTAGGGGAAATGGAGGATCATGTAGACTGCATGCATGTAGGACGTAGATCGGCCCCGCTTCCCGTAGCCGAGAAGAATCCGGATACAGGTTCCCGAAAGAGAGCCCAACATCAATTTCAACCTCCACACTTTATACGACTCTCCGATTGGAAGCAATAGAGGGACTTGAGCTGCATGTACCTTTCATCATGGCACCAACAAAGCAACCATCCAAGCGAAAAAATGTGACAACAGCTTGCCTCTTTTGCCGCGAGAGTAAAGTAAAGGTTCGTACTCCCGGAACTTTAATTCCAGACCTGAATCAACCACATATATGCTCATCATAACAGTGTGATGGAGCCCGGCCTAACTGTTCGAACTGCGAAATTAAAGGCAAATCATGCTATTATCAACTGGGGATTGACAAGCGAAAGTATGTACTGCCGGATTCAGAATTCGAAATGATTTCCGTCTCACGATTACTCCCCGAGACGACGTATTATTGGTTCATCTATTGATATGAATAAAAATGCTCCTTCTAGATTATCTTTACGGCTTGCAGTGGATCTCCTTGTGAAACGGGTGGGCCAACTATACCAATTCATCAATGATCAAGGGTTTAGACCGCCGCCGATGTCCGAGGAGGACGACTCGGCTTTGCGGGAATTACTGCGCACGCGTGGATTGGAAAACATGCAGTCGGCCCTACATGAAGCAGAGAACAACCAAAAGGATATCCAAGAATCGAGAATTCATCATGACCCATCACCAGATAGAGAAGGCGAACTTTCTTTTGTCGACGATTTCAACCCTGAGCTCGTGGACCCGAGCCTTTTTATACTGTCCCTTCCGGAAGTGATTAAAGATACATCACCAGATCCGCATAACACGCAATCTGCTTCATCTCAGCCAACAACTTCGGGTGAATCATTTATCCAGGCATGCAGGGAAGATAACTTTGTCGAAACTAACACAGGAACTTCAAAAGAAACACACTTCGCAACCAGTACGTCTCCATCTGAAGGCGATCGGCCACACAGTGGAAGTGACGTTCGATCAAATGTAGTGCAGCCACGGCCTAGCGCATCACGACTACCGCTGTCCGTTCAGCAGCTACTAACCAATGACTCTGTGAGCCTACAGGGAACTTCAAGAGGAGATAATACCATCAGCAATAGCGAAGGGGTGGAAGAACTGGTTACCCAATTATCGGATCGAATGGGTAGTCTGCAGATCGGGTCCGATGGACACGTTCGATACTATGGTCCGACATCCCACTTTAACCTGCTGAGAATGCCCACTCCGGACAATTTGACTATCCACCGCACGATTCGACAGGATGGGCCAGATATTCTGGACCGCCTAGGAGTGGGAAAGGATATCCCTACAGGATTTGAAGAGCATTTGATTAACCTTTATTTCACGTGGCATAATCCATTATCTCAAGTAGTAGACAGGGAGATGTACGAATCAGCAAGGCAGAAGTGGCATACAAAGATGGAAGACACACCCTACTATTCTGAGTCTTTAACTAATGCAATGTAAGAACACACTCCCCAAGGAGGCTTCTCTCGCACAAGAAATTTATCTGACTGTCGAAGGTGTTGTCTCGGGGCGGCATTTGAGCCTCGTTATCATCCCAACTTCATCACGTATCCCAGATCAGTTTCTGACTTCTTCGCTGATCGTGCTAAGGCGCTTCTAGAGATTGAGCTGGACTCACCGACCGTGGCGACTGTTCAGGCAATGACAGTTCTAAGCGCGCATGATGTTGGATGCAAGAGAAACGCCAGAGGGTGGCTTTACAGTGGTTAGTATCCGTCGTTAGTTCTACTAGACCACAAGTAACAATTTTCAATGAAGGAATGGCCATGCGTTTGGCCTTTGATTTGGGATTGCACATCGATATGGCACCACATGTGACCGAGAGATTGATCAACGAAGCTGAGGCAGAGCTTCGTCGCACAGTATTCTGGGGGACTTTTACAGTTGATCAGTAAGGCAGCTCTTTGCTTAGTATCTTGGTCATGCTTACTGACCTACTTAACTTCCAAGTCTCTGGGGCTTTTCCCTTGGCAGACCCGTTCGAATTAACATGGAAGACGTCACAGTCGACAAGCCAGGTCGCAATCAGACGAACGATTCTGACCGAAAATGGGCCCCCTATGGTCTTCCTTGTCCACCACCCTCTTCCTTGGCTGCTTCTGTTCCTGATCCGGTTGATATTCTTAGCCAACATCGGATTCAGCTCTGCGAGATAATGACTCCACTCGGCCATGTCCTGTAAGTTATATAGTTATATATGGAATGATGACTGTACTCGATAGCTAATTAATCCTGTTAAGTTACGGGTGCTCCCGAGTCTCAAAGCGTGCACTGCAGGGATTGAATGAGAATACAACTGGCCGACTCCTAAAATGGAAAGCCAACCTGCCTCAATCCCTACAGGTCGATCTCGAGAACCCCGATACCCCTGCTTTGCCTCATATCCTACTTCTTCAGTAAGTCAGATATCCCCCGTACCGATTAATGACATGAGCTCACATCAACATTAGTATGCAGTATCACCAGGCAATCATCCACGCGCATCGCCCCTGGATTTCAAAACGCTATATCCAACCACAGCCACCACAAGGCCCAGGACATGTACACGCCCGGACAATGTGTATTGAATCAGCAATCGCCATATCCCAACTACTCCATCTCTACGAGACGCAATATGGTTTCCGACGCATGAATGTTCAAGCCGTCTCGATCACCTGTTCCGCCGCTCTAATGCTCATCTTTGCCACAATCGCAAGTCTCCAGCCCGAGGGAGACCAAGAAATCTCTGCGTACCTAAGCGTGTGCTTCCGAGCACTAGAAGATTTCGGGATATCTTGGGAAAGCGCGAAGAGAGCGCAGAACTTTCTGATCAGTTTGCAGAGACGGTGGGAATCCCGCATCCGGTCGTATAACTCTGCGAAGCGTGCGGTGTCTCAGTCGCAGAGTCGATCTCAGTCTTGCTTTCCTACGCCGAAGAGGGCTCGTGTATCGAGTGAATCGGATCTGCATTCAAGTGAGTCTGCCGTCTTCGTTGGTGGGGAGGATACACAGGAGTTCGACCCCAAGAGGAGCGAATTTCCGATCGACTCTGATATGATAGAGGAGCTGGATTGGTTGTGCACGGAGAGTTTACAAAATATGTCCACTTCGTGTTAACTTTCGTATTTTGTACTCTCTCTCTCTCTCTCTCTTTAAAAAAAAAAAAAAAAACTCACACTGTACTGCCAAGTTTTCGTGCGCCTTTACCATTTCAGCAAAAATTACCAATTGGTATGCCGCAAAATCTTGTTTTAACTAATTGTTATTCAACATTGAATACGCTAATGAAATTACATAGCATTTGAGGCACCTGACATATGCCTTGTGAATTGACCACCCGCGGAAGTTATGTGGATTGTTGAATACTATGGTAATCTGACCACATATAGAATGCCCCATAATTCCAACCTAGATAGGCCTTCTCGATAGTTTGGTAAGGATCATAAATCCGATCATTTTGATACTGAATCATTCGATATCTTACCAAGTAATTCAACATTCAAGAAGACTCTAAACATCCCCATCCCCAGCCTATGAATATATTTAATTCAGTGTGTGGACATACAATGGACCAGTTCAACTTCTCATTAAGGCCTTAGTATTTCAATTGCGTACCGTGAGTTCAATTCAAGTCGAAATAAACCATTGTTCTCACTTATGAATAATTACCCATACCACTGAAAAATCTCTACTTTTGAAGGACAAGTTGCGATACCTAACTTGTCACTTAATCGGAAATCAATCTCCGTTACTCTGTACCATAGGTGATCACCTGACAAACGATTTCTCACACAGCAACCACATTACAAATGAAGCCGTAGAGCCACATACAATTAGTATTATATAGAGGCATTTTGGACTATAACATTAAGCTTAAAAAGAAGCTACGTTAATTATCCCGAAAGGGCTGCGGTAGCCGCATTAGCCCCTTTCTCGACGATTTTATATTGTAGCGGCGTCTTTAACAATATTAGCAGCTAAATCACTAGTATCTTCCTGATCCTTAGCTATATGAGATTTAGGACATTCATTCTTGCCTTTTCTAATCTGCTTGATGTCATTTTGAGGCTGGATATAAGCTTCTTTAGCCAGGTGTTCCTCTTTCTTCTAAAGTTCTTTTTGCTCTACTTTCCTGATATGTAGTTATCTATTAGATTCAGTATAGCGTGTTTCGAAAGAGAGTTCGAAATAATCTCTCTGAGTAAATGGTGAAACTGATGTCGGTCCATTCTGTAGCATTATAGTAGATCTCCTCGACATAAGTCTGTTCTCACAATGGCTGTCTTAAGGCGTATGTAGCCTAGCTTTCATCCCTATATACTTGGATACTAGATTATGGGAGTGGTAGCATACCAACAAATTGATTAGCCCCTTCGGCAGGACGGATCCAACTGACGCGTCTATCAGTGTATATCTCCGCCCCGGGCTCGTGCTCGTTCAGAATTCCGATATCATCTAGTATTCCTGCCCGGAGGATTATTGTCTCGTCAGGAGTTCCAGCAGAATTTATTCTCAGCCCATAGAGCGGCGTTCCTATGGGTATCGTCAGTTAATGCCTTACCAAACTCGTTTTATAGTGCACACCGCAATCCGAACAGAAATAATTCTTAATATGATTTCCACTGTCTGACGTTTTTGCCACTTCTTTAGGACTTCCAGTGATCTTCAGGTCGGCACTTTTGACGACAAAATTATACGTGTAGAGAGTGCCGGTAAGTTTGCGACAATCAAGACAGTGGCAGAGTGCCTATTGAAAGAAAGTATAACACTAAGTCAATGAAGATAATCCGTACCTCGGACATACACTAACCGATGTTATAGGCTGGCCATTATATTGGATCCGAACCTTTCCGCAAAAACAGCCGCCAACAGCCATTTTCAAAGAGCAAGTGTCAGGTGCTATAACACTACAAAAGGGAAAGGGATTTTATGAAGAGAAATCAAAAAAAATATGTTTCCCCTGAAGTCGGTCCGGGAGAACTATTGCCCAGAGCATAACATCAGGACTAGAACCGCTTACAAAAGAAGGTCAATGAGTTTTGTTGGCCCCAACATAAGAGTGTTGAGTATGGACATTCAGCCAGAATTTTGGCGGGGTACGGGGTCATGATTGCTTCTGACTTGTATCTGGTTCTTGTTAGCATCCCGTGGGGTAAAAAGATCTATTTTTAGAAATGGGTTGATTATGTACGCTGTAAGTTATTACGGGTTAGCATGGTTACAGGTACGGGGCCCAGAAACAAAGCGTTAGTATCTGTACCCTAGCGATGTGCTGATATGCCGATGTGCTGCCCTTCATCTATGAAAGACGTCCTCCCTCCCTTCAACTGAACAGCGCAGTTCAGTTGCGGGTTTGCCGGTAACTCAGCTAAGGACTACGTCGGCACTGGCAAGGTTTTCTACGACTTTGTCCACCAGATGCGGACATTTTACCGATAGATGGGAGGCTACTCTAGCAGCAGCGGTAGCTTCTGGCGCATGAGCGGCCTTCCGAAGCCTATGGACGTGGATGACGGTAAGATGGAGACCGGCTATTGCCATAAGTGCGTTGCCATATGAAATGCTAGGCCTTAAGCTATTAACTATTAAGAAAACGGTTTAAATCGAAGCCGGAAGAAGCCGTGGGAGTTTCATATCAGTTGGTAGAAAGTGATAGCTTTTGCTTTTGTGGGGAGAATCCATTGACGGCACTATGATGTACTAGGCGACTAGGCGGTACTTATGGGCGTGGTTCTTCATAGCCCAAGGATGGGGAGGGATATCTGTTTGTATCTTATAACCATCCAGTCACATTCCTATCGCTTCATTTCGACAGTCATGTGGGTTCTTTTAGGAACAGTTTCCTGGTTCATCGCCGTCATTTGACATGACGGCTCGCAAAATGGCACGGCCTTCTTCTCGATCCTCGTCCTTGAAGATGCTTAACCCGTGGACTCGGAGAAAATTGAATTCAGTTCTGTAGTGCCTCTTTAGCCATGCCTTCTCGGCGCTTGTTAGAGGCCCAGAGGCAGTGGCTGGAATCTGACGAGAGGCCTGTAAGGCTGCAAATCTCTGCCGCTCGCTCTCGGGCCAGAAAGCATGAATCATGTATTCCTCGGACGAGTTAAAAGGCGGTGGCCCAACCTTGGGGCCGACTGGAAGCCCGCTAAGCCGGACTTCGAACACCGGGTACCTCGATTCAAAGGGTTGAAGTAGGCTACGGAGCGACCGTCGGAGAGCTTGGTAATAGAACCGGAGCTACCCAAGGAGCTTTCGGAGAACGAAGTTAAGACGTTGCAGTCATCCAGAAGGGGTTGTCCAATGATATTGCAGATGATGCTAGGAGCGTGCAGCACCTTCTTCAAGTGGAGGACGCCGTGCGAGCTCGGACCGGTCTGGGTTGGCGAGATCTTGGTGGGGAAGTCGACAGTTCCGATCCCAACGACCTTCGATCGAGTTCCCAAACATGTCCGTGAAAAAGGACACGAGCGGTGTGTAATCGTCGCCGAGCCAACAGCGATCTTTAGCGGCACTAGCCCAGTTGGGAGGATGGACTTAGCCCAACAGACAGAAAATCAGATGGCTCTTAGCCTTGCGGAGGGAAGAATACTCACTGAATGTCAGAATTGGTGGACCAAACCCAGGCGGGACAAGGAAGAGAAGAACTGCTCGTTCCTCCGAGACGGTGATGCCATAGCGAGGCACTGATTTCCAGTTAACTTTCGGCCGTCGGGGATAAGGAATTTGGAAATTCAGCTATTCTGGTAGATTGAGGGGGGCCCGAGCAGCCGGGCTACATTACGAGTGGATGGCCGACGGCAGACGAGGGTGGCAGAAAACCGAGCCGACCTACGCAGAGGAACACCTGACGCTAAGGCCCGTGTCGGTGAGCAAAACGCTTACAACGGCGTCAAAAGGCGGCCGATTCAGGCTTCCCATTCACAGTCTCATCATTTAAGTGGAGTATGCTAATAAGAAAGCCATTCTTATCTATATTATAGATATTCTCTGGCTGTATACCATATTTCTTTATCTTTCTATAAGCTCGAAGTATAAAGTATATTTATATACAGAATCAGCCTCCTGGCGTGAGGCATCCATGCCAATTGTATGGCGAGCAATAAGATTATATGTTGGGTGGGGATTCCGGTTGGTCCTGATTGGACCGGCCAATAAGATGATCCGGCCGGCAAGCGTTTAAGTGTTAGTGGTAGGATAGCTGTATATAGTAGGAATAAGAATGATCATTGGGATGAAAATGATCACCATATAGAGCCTTAAGATTATATTTGTTTAAAAAACAGTTAGGCTAGTGTTTTCTAGGCTTAATTCTAGTACTTTCCTTGGCGAGATTTCTCAGCAATTCATGTGTAGAACAAAGGCCACAGTTAATAAGTCTATTAATCTATTCATAAGCTCCTTGGTTTGTTACTGGTTGAGAACTTCCTAACTTTTATATTGGTCTTCTTATAACCCTTATATGCCACGGTGCCGTTTCGATCGTGCAGGTCGGCTTGCACCAAACTTTTTGGCAAACTTAGTGTAATTTATATTCTCTCCTAGCTCTAACGAGCTGATAAAGCCTAAAGCCGTTTCAATTGAGCCTACGACGAAAGAGTTATGGTGATTTGGAATCTACGCCTAAAAGTCGGTGTATAGAAAAAAGTTCGTCAGGCGATCAATCACCTACGGTATCTTATTGGCCATGCAGACGTACATTAAAATGATCCGAGAAACCCCCAGTCCCTCAGTCTCCGAGTCGAATAGGAACAGAACGACAATCTGTTCACTATTATGACAGACACAAAAACGGCGTTGAAGAAGAGATTTGATGGGCTCAGTTCGCGATTCTAGATCTGGGGGATAGCCGGGATTTCCGCCGCCCGAATAATACCAAATCCACTAGGCGCCCAGAGCGAGTGCTGCAAAAGCCTCCGTCGTTCCGGTCGACTCTGTGTTATTTTGCTGATGGTGAACTCTATTCCAGAGTGATGCTACTCGAATATCTTTCAGATACTGAAAGCTTGAGTTGCGAGAATCACTCCGAGGCACGTTGCTACTGTGTAAATAGATGGTATGAAACAGATGCACATTGCTTATGCTCAATACCAAGATATAAAGCCCAAAAATATCTTAATTGTTCCTGGTGCTTAAAGTAGGGTGATATGGGTCGCTTTGATGTTGCAACAAACTCTTCGAGTGTGGGACGCAATGAACAGCGGTATAGTCTATACGAAGATGCGCTTGTTGCGGGGATACGAGGAGGCTTTGGTTTGTCCAGACGACGCAGAGGAAAGTAACTTTTTCAATGTCAGGCGAGAGTAGGGGCTCTTTTTCTTGGGATTTTAAGTTTTATTCGTATAACTTGACTTGATGAACGAATTAGGGGTCTTAGCTCTCCCCCGGTGTCCCCGTCCTATGAAAATTTCTACGATGTCAGTCAGTGACTGACCGACAGAGATATTATTTGTTTAGATAAGCGAAAAACCCGGTAACATAAAGAAGCTGGAAAGTACCATACCTATCAAGGAATAAGACTATGTAGATGAGGACCTTCAACAAGACCATTCAAACTTCCAAGTAGGGATGGGGAGATGCGTCAGAGCAATCGTGGTGGTACTCATAGCTCGAGGACGATGTATACCACTGTGCTGATTTGAATGACGATAGTATCTGCACGAGACATTGGTAATTCGAACCCAAAAAGGAGCTGGAGGTTTTGGCAAAAGATTACTTGACTGCATGTGCACTGTAGGAGCTCCGTACATGATGATGACTTGCACTCAAAGCCACACCCTCGATTGCCGCGTAGAAGGGACTCGCGTGTCCTATAAAGGAAGAGAATCACGTCATTGATAGCTTCCTGTCTCAGTTCATTCATTGATCCTACAACTACATTTGACGCCAAGCACTTTTAGGGTTCGTCCGCCCTTACCTATGACTTTATCGGAGATTGGAAGCTCCCAGTTGGTAATTAAACCGGCACTTCATGACATGGCAATCGATGTTGATCCTTTGAACTGGGCAGAGAGTCGGAAAAACCAGGAATCCTAAAACCTCAACATAACATCTCGAGAATATATTGTGGGGGCTTTTTCCTCCAGAGCGTTGATCCATGTATCCGTAAAAAAAAAAATGCACAGCTTACATTCTTAGTAATTTATTAGGACAGCAATTTTAGCGAGCATCCCAAGAGTTAGCTTTCGCGGTATATGGCAGTGTTGACCTTAAATAACACGAAGCAGAATCAAGAGCGCTTCGATATTCCAGCTTTCACAAGCAATCTCAACCAAGCCCTTTTGCAGATAAGTAAGGCTTTCCTTCCAACCACCAGGGAGTATCTTTTTGAAAACTGAGGAGGCAAGTATTAAAGGCTCCACGGAGACTTGGATGCCGAAGCAACTCTCGTTCAGCGGTTCACAGACGAGTCCACTTTTGGTTGGCTCTTTGATAGGTTGCTCTTCGGTAGGCTCTGTGGCAGACTCTTCTATTGGCGGTGGAGTGGGTTCAAGTGATGTCTGAATAGCCCTAGATCCTTTTCTCTTCTTCGACCGCCCGCTCCTACGAATCGGCATTAGCTTTTTTGTATACTCTTTTGAGATTTCACTCTTCAGCAGGGCTCTAGATGTCATTACATGATTCTAGATGATGTGAGAGACCAGGCCGACAACCATATCTTCATCCGATTGGGCAAAAGCTATACTGGAATTGCGCAGTAATATCATAACTTCGCTGTCTGGATCAATAATATGAGTCGCTTGATTCACAGTGGTTGCCGAATACACTAAAAGATGAAACTTTCTTGGCAAACCGGGGAGAAGAATGAGGGCAGAGAATAATTTAAGATGAACCCGAGAGCCCAAAGCGGCCCAACGCGTACAGGTATTGACTGTTCTTTTACCGTACTGTGAAGGCGTGGCGGTCTTTGCTTTGAGTCGGTGTTGACACCCCCCCCCCCCCCCACAACACACCCCATACGACAAAAATTACGTGGTCATTGATTAGTGTGTCACTTACCAAGAGAGCTTTTATTCACCATATTAATTTGTTCTGCAAATTACTAAAGGTCTGTCTGATTAGATACTAAGCCTAGTGATACACTATGCAGTTTGTTTTAGTGGTCACTAGTTCAGCGATATGTACCATTTTCATCTAATCCTGTGCAGCTCACGAGACGCCCAGAAGTGGTAAGCGTACTGAAAATGACTATTATTGAGCTGACTATAGTGTACTGTAAATGCCACTAATGGATACATATTACAGGATTCTTCCAAGGTTAATTTAATGAGAGGCCTCATACTTGTTCGGCTGTTCACGAATCTCGTCGATAAAGCGGCGGGCTCTACGATATTGAGGTTGATAAAGAAGTCCGGGCCTTTGGTTCTTGTCTATCTGCCTCAAGGTTACTTTCTAAGACGATATTACGTATATTTTTAATGTTGTCTTTATATACCTGCGAGCCTATTTATGAAAGTTATCTGTCGCTATACTCTCTCATAGCTTTATCTAGCGAAAGATCTAGGGTCACAATGCTGTTAACTAGGCTAGCATGTGTACGTGTATATGGTAATAAAGGCGGCGAAATATTAGTAGCTAGTAAACTAATTGTAGACAGTTATTTTGCCTAATAAGCAAGTGCCAGTAAGATGTTTATACCAATTAATAGATAAAAAATTCGACTGTAGGATAATTAAAAATCTTTTTAATGTTTTTAAGCCACTGTTGCTTCTCTATAAGGCGCATCAGGTTCGACAACAATCTTCTCTTTCTTCAGTTCGAGACTGTGCGGGCTGTACACATCAGGTGTCGGGTTTGGATAGTGTCAGCCATCAGGTATGCTCCATGTCGTCGTGTCGGAATTCGCTCGCCGGTAGCTATACCGGGGGGTTCTCACCATGATGCCATGGCTTTTTGAAACAGCAACTGAGCACCTTGGCTGTTGTGCCCGATACTATAGCTACCCTCGTGATGAGAAAGGTACCCCCAGGATAGATCCCCTTAAAGCCTTGACGACCTTGTGTTGTTGGCTAAGTGCCACCAGATACTCTAAGGTTGGAATGAAACTCGAGATATCAAGAGTTCAAACATGTATTCTCGCCTGGGTCAAGCGCGGCCCTTCCATCGGAAGCTGATAGAGTGCCACTATCATCTTTAATGTCTAACGTCCTGGAGTGGTCGCGGAACTGCATCTTTACAGGATCCACAACGAGGAAGAGAGGTGCGTTTCCATCATTGGGATTAAAAATGAATTAGGATTAAATATAGCCTTATCAAGTTCAAGGATGCGATTGACAACGTCACCAAGCTTTATACTGGGACGAGCATAGTGCGGGTCGATATCCACAAAGATGAAACAAAGGCTGTTTGTCTCTAAACAACCTGCAGCCGTGGAACCTTTCCACTTTTTTAGCATCAGCACCATAAGCTACAAGAACAAGGGGACATGTTGTTGCAATGTGGAACAAAATATTGCCTCTGCGGTTGGGATGTCTTGCTATGGCTGCTTTGTGGTGTAAGTACTGCTTGAGGTGAGGCTCTTAGTTCTTCTTTATGTACTTAGTAGTGAATTGGGGCTCCAGGGGGAAGAACTCCTTTTAACTTGGCCGCTCAAGGTTGGAGTTATTTGTTGTTGGGTCCTTCGTAATTCTAGTAAGGTTAAGTATGCCAACCACACAAAATCCCTGCTTGCGTATTCGCGACTTGTTGTTTGCATTGTCACATATGGGGAGAAAACAATATGATCTAGCTCGTCTCCAACTTAGAGGCGCGGTAAGTAGAAGGTTATCACTGTAATCTAGTTTAATGTTCTATAGAGATCTAGCCCACATAAATAAAAATACACTAGGCCATCATCATACCACTACTCCCAGCCCTCTCGAACCGGAGTATCTCCCTACACACAGTCCCACTTCCCTTCAACCACGCGTTGAGCTCACTTGGGTGCTCCACATGGAAGATCAACATCGTCCCGAACATCAACAGTGCGTCAAATATATACATAAACCACTCATGACTGACCAGATACCCGTCATTCCCCTGCGCATATTCGATAAGTCGAAAGATGGAACGGATCAGAATGAGAGCGCTGGCACCATACAGTGCATATAGCAGGCGTCGCCAGTTGAACCCAGACCCGCCATCAGCGACGGGGTCACGGTTCATGCGCATATGGAAGACAGCGGATGAGATCATGAAGAAGCCGAAGAAGAGGATCTGGACGACGAGACCGCCGACAATAATATGGGGACCGTTCTCGCGCGATTTCGATTTCATACCCATTAATCCGGCACCTGATTGTTTCGTCGGGTGAGCTGAGTGATCACAGGTCATCTTGGCTTTTTACCATGATAGGGTTGCCCTTACCTGCTGATTGCATGAGGAAGGATAGAACATCTCCCGCTACGAAGATCTTAGTCAACCATTTGACGCGGATCAGACTGTGCTTTTCGGCGTGTAGCACCACGATGGTTCGTCCTAGTTCCATGTAAATACTGGCGGCAAACAGGGCGGGCGCGACGAGAGTCAGAACAGCCTGTACGATATATGGCCCGAGTGTCCAGTTTGGTGTTTGGTTACAGGCTATGGCGCGTGCGACATATCCGACCCACTCGACTATCATGAACAATTAGTATGGCCTTGTTTCTGAAGAATTTTGGAAGGTATTTGAATTCGGGGCTTACAATAACCACCCAGCAGAAACGGGATGAAAAACCACGTTCGCGTCCGGAAAAGCTGGTAAGTGTGTAGAATTGTGGTCGCAAGAAAACAAATTATGAAGATCGCCGCTGCCGCGAGGGACGGGTCATAGTGGAATAGTTTGAAGCCACCATCGCTCTCCGATGTTGGCATATTGTCTCTGGTATTATTTCAATGTACTTAATATCCATGTAGTGGGCCAATTGGCAAAAAAGTACATGGGGATTAGGCATGGGAGCTAGATTTATACATTTAACTTGCGGAAGAATATTCTGTCACACGGTCTGGACCCCTAATGGCACTACTATATGTCCATAAGAATAGATTCGAAAACTATACTTCATTTAGGAAAAAAAACGCTTGAATGTCCAAGGAGTTCGTGGCTCAATGAGTATCCATGTTCAAATTGTGGACCCAAAGCCTCATGGGTGCATTGTGTTAAGGGATATCAACGCCCACATGTATCAACATCCTTTCCACTATGCAAAGAACCAATCCTATAAGAGTACTTGGAAGTAGGGAGTAAAGGATCCTTGTTGACAGGCAGCAACCGTCCATTCCTGTGGGGGATAGGGAGGCTTTGAATAACTGCATATGTTCCTCACCCAGACTTTGGCTTTTCCCGGACCCATTCATTAGTTTGCGACGGACCAATGATTTCTTGGAAATGGAAGCGAAGAAATCTCCACTGTCGAGAACTATACCCGAAGAAGGATAAAGTACGAGACAATGTGCCAAGATATCCAGTTCAAAGAATCTCCGAAGTATCTATCGATTCTGCTAATCTCCACATCCCGAATCCGATGAGCCACGGTGGTTCGAAGCTCGTCTCCTTATCCCAAGCAGATCTGATTTTTATTATTCCTCCTCTAAGCGACATACCTACCACCCTAACAAGGAAGGTGCTGGAGCCTGGTCAAAGCAGAGAGCCATGCCATTACGAAGGTCTCACAAAAAATCCCACCATGGTTGCACCCAGTGTAAACAGCGTCGAATAAAATGCGATGAAGCTCGGCCTAGCTGTGGCTCGTGCCGAAAGAAACGAGTGGCGTGCACATTCCTGAGCCATGCCCCGGTACCTCTAAATCCACTTCAACAGCATTCAACCCAGTTGGATGGCCCTAGATCGGAGGTACAGTCCACGATCCCCCTCCTGGAGCTGGAGCTGCTGCACCATTGGCACACGGCAACAGCCGCATCATTAGCGCACAGCAACTCAATCCAAGAGCTGTTTCGTATTACCTTTCCGGAAGTGGCTCTATCCTATCCGTTCCTTATGCACAGCCTGCTGGCTGTCTCAGCTCTACATATCAGACACAAATGCTCGACTGAGCGCCGACGCATATACACAGAAGCAGCCATTAAACATAACGATCTCTCCGTATCACTATGTACCCCGCTGCTAAGTAATATGACGTCCGAAAATTGTCACGCTCTGTTCGCCTTTTCCTGTCTGGTGGCTGTTTTTGCCTATGCTGCACAGGATCCCACAGCCACTTGCCATGCCCTGGATATAGGTGATGTTGTGAAGGTTTTCAAACTGGTACGTGGGGCAGGCTCGATAGTAGTACAGGCGCGACCTTGGATTCAGCAAGGTGAAATGCGGCCGTTACTTAGCCTGGGCCACAGGTTACGGCAACCCTCAGGCGCGAAATATGCCCATGAACTTTACGCCAGATTAGAAGAGCTCTTCCAACAACATACGTACTCTGTGCTGCCTGCCTCTCCAACGAGTGCGCTACTCTCCGAGTCCTTTCAGCATCTGCTTAGCGTGTTAAAACGGGGTGCCGCACAAGAAGACACAAGTCCTATTATGGCGTGGCCTGTGTTAGTGGACGCGAAATACCTCGACTTGCTGCAGGAAGGGGAGCCGACATCCTTTGTAATTCTTGGGTACTATGGAGCGGCACTGGAGCTGCTACGGGATGAGTGGTGGTTAGAAGGTTGGGGTGAATCCTTGATGTGTCTGTCGCTCAAGACTTTGGGTGTCGCAAACGACTGGAAGATGGTGCGGTGTTTAGAATTGATCCGAAAACATAGAGCATCAAGGAGTTTGATTACATGACCGCAGCCTTGACCGCAGCCTTGATGGGCCGTCGGCGTATGACCAGATTGATATATATCTCTTTTCTTTTGCGCAGGGCACCCATACGATCCTTCCCATTCAACCTCCTGAGACGACCACTTCTAACATGATGTTGACAAACATCTCTTGCTGTATTATTTGCCGTTTTCTCTTTCTATCTGTTTCCTTATATTTTTTTTTGCTTCCTCTAAAGTTTTCTTGTCTTCTTTACATGGCCTGGAACTCGAGACATACACTCACGACGAAAAGCGTTGCGATACTTCCTCGGTCTACAGTTGACTAAACAACACAGTGCTAATCATACTCTTACCTGTTTCGCATCTGTATTCCCAACATTACAGGCTCTCCGTAAATGGCGCTCCCAGAACACCCCTATCGCTTCTCGTACAACAAGAGGAAACCATTGTTGGTAACTATCTTGATGCTTCCTCACTAGCGGTGCCGCGAGCTTCGGCCAACGGGAATCATTATCGGAGCTTAAGATGATACGGAGGTGGAAGAGACCCAGGATCCTGTTGGTTGAAGTAGGGTGAACGGAGTGATACGTTCGTTCTTCGCATGGACGCTAGTTCCGTTATGTCTGTATATCCTCAGGCCCCTTCATTCATCTTCCATCTCCAACCTCTCGAACGACCTCCGTATACCTGATTAAGGCCTGATAAGTTTCATTGAGTATGATCCACACGCGTTTTCCCCGCTTAACGCCACGAAGTAAAACATCACTACTTCATCGATCAAAGAGAAGCCTCATCCGACAAACCCACACAGATTGGAACTCACACGATGAATTTTTCAACTACACAATAGGCCGCTTCGTGGCGAATGAAGCCCACAAAAGGGCAATCCGCTATATTAAAATTCAATACGAATGAACTGGTGAAGTGAGCGGTCGAAGGGTTTGGCGGTCCTCATGCGCGATGTGTCCGTGTTGAGGAATTCCCTGACGGAGTGTTCAATAAGGGTTTTCTTTTCACAATGCAGGACGGCTGCGCAGGTTGTGGGCAAAGTGCGGAATCCGAACTCGGGACGGGAGCATTATACCACTGCTAGTGAAATGGCGACGATGAACTTCGTAAGATCGATATTTTCTTTTGACCTTGATATAATTTTTCTAAGTGTTTGTAGGTTAGAAATATGTTGGGTACACCTGTGCCGAGGGTATTAGGCTGGTGCTCTAGAGGGGGTAAGAGTCCCGTTGGGGCTGAGTATATTCTTATGGAAAAGGTTCCTGGTGCCCAGCTTGAGCAAGTTTAGCCGAAACTGGATATTAAAGCAATGTTCGACATTGTCAAGGCGATGGCGTGATACCAGAGGTTATGGATAAGCATCTCTTTTACGCAATACGGGAGTTATACTACTCGCGTGATCTGTCCAATACCGATGGATGTTCTCTGACGAAAGAGGATGTATCACAATTCGAAGGCCATCGGTCCCTTGATGAGTCGAACATTCCTAGATGATGGGCGAATTGGCGTGTAGTTCTATCGAGGCCCCTGTATGGGCTTTAAAACCCATATGTTTGAATAGTGCCGTTGACCTATACATTCCAGGGGATAGTGTAGAACGATACAAAATAGCAATTGACGAACGAGAGATTGCCTTAGTACAGGAGATCTCGAAGCTACCTCGCTCATCCACGCCACTGTATAGTCTAGACACATATCGCCCCTTCTGCTCGAAGAAAATAGCTGCCCTGCAGAACTACTTCGCATGTTGAGACCCCTCCTACGAGTCGATTTCGTCCTCCTACTTCTACTGCCCCGATCTTCACGTTGAGAACATATCTGTCAACCCCAAAATGCCTTCAGAGGCGCTTGGTATAAAAGATTGGCAATCAAGCGAACTTCTACCGCTCTGTGATCGATCTCGTTACCCATATTTCCTCGATCATGAGGGCCCTAAAGTGGTCAGTCTCGATGCGCCCGTGTTCCCGGAGGATTATCACCAGCTATACTCTTCTGAAAAAGATCAAGCCCACAGGTCGTATTTGAATGTGCCACTCGCTGCCCTGTATCGCAGGCCCACGCACAACACCAACAAATGACTGTACAAAGAGATGGAGTTTCGGGAGACCGCAAGCTTTGAGATGTTGTTACTGGCTCATAATATCTTGATCAATGAGGTCCAATCAGAGCGAAGGGGCGTAGGACTTGAGACGGTCACTGGGTGAAGCATGGCCGGAGAATGGTGTGGTACGGCATGATCAATACATTCGAACTAAAATGTTCTTACAACAGGCGAAAGTAGAGATCATTGCTCGGCTTGGACAGTCAGAGGATGAGCGGATCGCTTGGAGTAGGACATGGCCGTTCAATGATTAATCTGTGAAATTTTGTTATGTTAGCTAGTCTTTGGTTCGTTTTGACTGTTGTGATGGTGGGGATTCCATAGAGTCGTGTGTATTATAGGTGTTCTAGTGGTCAGTCGACTTGTTAAAACATACTACATAAACCTACACAGGTATTCAGGATAGACGAGAGAGGTTGTTGGTCGTATCGTGGACCCTAGTTGTGACTACTAACAGCATGGCACAGAAACCTTTAACTGTCGTCAATGTGCGCCCGCACCGTTTATTTCTGGGTGATAAAGATGCTATGGTACATACGTCCAAGATAATCTGACGTTCAGGACAAGAGAATGGTTAGAGCGGAAGAAATTGAGCTTGAAAAATACAGTATAGAAGAACGAATAATTCACGCTGGAAAGCACAAAAACTGAAAGAAAAACGAGTGGAAAACAATAGCCGTACCAGGGGGTCGAAACATTATTCATATAAAGAAGAAGCAGACTTATTTAAGGGCGTCGAACTTGCGTAACTCGGACTCAGTCCATTCCCATAGACGTCTTCCCATTTCCTCGCTGCCGGCATACCGGTTATGGGGCTTGTGGTGTCCTACCGGAATATAGTAACTGCCATTGGATAGGTCTTGCTTCTTTGCACCAGCAGCGGCCCACAGCTGGTTATAGGCGCCCGCGTGAACCGGTGTTCCGAAAAAGCCCAATGTCTTTGAGCCCAACGCAGCGATGATAGATCGTTCGCTCAGAGAATTATATAGATCTGTGAGAATGACTCCAGGATGAACGGAAACAGAGGTTATCGACGGATAGCGCCGAGCCAGCTCAGCAGCGAACAGGATATTTGCAGCCTTTGAAGCTCCATAGCGCGTATTAGTGTTGCATCTCTTCAGCCGATCTTGGTCTAAGATGGTGTCGAATGACGGTGCCAGGTTATGTCCTACTGACGAAAGAGATATGATCCGGACATCTGAGTTGGGTTCCTCTGCCGTCTTTAATAACGTCGGAAGCAAAAGCGTCGTGAGCAGGAAATGACCGGTGTGATTGGTACCAAACTGGATCTCATGGCCCATATCCGTCTCTCCCGGCGGAAGAGACATCACACCAGCATTGAGGATCAAGATATCGAGGCGTGAAGATTGTACGTGAAATGCCCGTGCAGCCTGCTGGATTGATTTAAGGGACATTAAGTCCAGACGAAGCCAGATGATCTCCACTTGATGATCGAGCTCCGCTTTTATGGAACTGATGGCCTTTTGCGCTTTCGTCTCCGACCGCGCAGCAAGAAATATCTTGTTTGGTTTGTGCTTGGCTAGCTGTATGATCGATTCCTTTCCCAGACCAGCATTTCCTGCAGCACACATCATTAGACCACGCTGTGGGTGAAACAAATGCCTTATCACATACCACCAGTTACCAAGACGACCTTTCCCGACAAGTCTGGGATATCTTGGTCAGGATTAAAGCTCTTTCCCCCGAAGTAGTTGCAAGGATTTAGATTTGCCGCGAGAAATGCTGCCATTTTGCTCGCTATGGTGATGATTTCTCGGATTTTTCTTTACTACCAAATGGGAACTTGAACTCAATAATATGCGAGAACAAAGTGCTCGAAGGTAAAGTTTGGCCGACGTTGGTATCACTTGATAAACTAGCTGCTGTGAAGCTATCCATACCAGTGCCTCTCCATCTTTTTATAGAAACCTAGTGAACACAATGTACAGTGAATCCCCCTTCTCTTAAGGCTAGTTGCCACGCGGCAATTACTCACCAACGAATGCGGTAGACGGATCTCGCAACACTAGCTATATAAGGTTAGAGTTACTTCTAGCTCAAATAGCTTGCCGATGATCGACCAAACCCTAAAGACGGTCGGATAGTTTAATATGCCGCGGACTCACCCCTCCTTCCCTTTCAAGTACAACGAATTGTAGATCGTCCGGAGTAAGTCTATCTTCATACCTCATTTCCCTAGGTGGCAAAGCATGGACCAACTTCTTGGCCCTTGCTCGGTCCACGGTGGGCTAGACCAGGTATGGCTAAGATGTATGTATGATTGATCGTCATGGTCGATTGGTTGTTCGGCTCAAATTTCATTAACCAATGTTAGTCAATTACGCCAGACTTCTAGAACTCTCAGTTGCTGCCATATAAAACACAAGAACAAGTTTTGATGCCAGTCAGAATGCGTTAAGGCGTAACTACTAAGGTTCGCATACGTAAACTTCATGAACTTTAGAATACCCCATGGGTATCTTAGTCGTCAACGTCATCGAGGAATACCAACTTCCCCCCAGCAAAGCAAAGCACTATGCAAGGATGGACCTGTTTATAGAAAGTGCTTTTAACCTTTTGACGTGTCGTGCAATTCTTATCAAGCCCTCTTATGTCCAACTCTGAATACAAGAACGCATCATTTTCCACCCACGGGGCAAAAATGTCAGATATCCTTGATCCCATTAATCAAGACTTCGTCAAGAAGCTCTCCCAGGGCCCGCCCTTGCACGAAAAACCCCCACAGGAAGCTCGTGACATTGTCGAAACCCTCCAGAAACATACCCCGGCTGCCGATATCAGCCAAGCGAAAATTGACATTCCCTTTGATGGTCACGAAGTGCAAACTGTTATTTTCAAACCCAAGATTGCCCAGGGTACTCTGCCCGTGATATTCTATACGCACGGTGGCGGGTGGATTCTCGGCAGGTATAACAAGTCTACGTCTGAAATTTGGAAATTTAGATCAACAAAGTATTGACGAAACTAGCCCCACCGTCCATGGGTCCTTAATGGAAGACCTCGCTCGCCAGACAGGCGCGGCAGTAGTATTTCCCTATTACACACCAGCACCAGAGCGGCAGTATCCCGTCCAATTTGAAGAGTCGTACGCGGTTCTCCAGTATATCGTGGAACATGCGAATGAATTGCATCTGAAGACAGACAAGATCGCCTTTTCAGGCGACAGCGTGGGAGGTAAGTCACTTTCACGCCACGGTAGACTGCCACAGCGTCTCACACAAAGTGCCAGGCCACATGGCCATTGCAATGGTCCAGCTTGCTCACGAGCGAAAACTCCCCGTTAACATCGCTCACCTGGTTCTTCTCTACCCGGTAACCGATACGCACGCCAAGAGCGAGACGTACAAGACCTACATGAACGGTCCGTATCTGACGGAGAAGATGATGGACTGGATGATTGACGCTTTTCTTCCTAACGTTGCGGATAGGCGCAATCCGTTGACCTCCCCGTTAGCGTTCGTACCTGATGAGAAGTTGGCAAAGTTTCCACCTACAACTATTTTTGTTTCAGGCGCGGATCCACTTCTCGGTGAAGGTCAGGCCTTTGGTCAGCGACTTCAGAAGGCGGGGGTCGAGACGGCGATATTGAGAGCCGATGGTCAGATCCATGACTTCGTGATGTTGGAGGCCATTAGGCATACGGCTACTGCTAGGGCTGTAGTTGAACTTGCATCCCGGAAGATTAAGAGGAGTTTGGAGTAAATTGAGAGGTAATCATTTAACGCACTATCACAGCTAATGTTATCTTTTGGGGACGGTCGCCTCCAAAGTTCTTCGCGATAAATACAGAATCTGCGAGTCTTGATCTTCGTAAAAAGGATGGAAACACAACTCATTTGCTCTTTTCCCGTAGAGAACGGTAAATTCTGAGACTAACCTACTTTTGTATTAACACAAATGTGTTGGCTATTCTTAAGTCCAAGAGGAAGCAGCTAAGACGCTGTATATAGTGCTTGTTTACACAAGTTCATAGGAGATATACTGTTTGCTCTAACCCTCGTACTGAGGCCCGGAGTTCGTTTGTACATCTGCTCCCTCATTAAGAAGACTCTGCATGAGCCTTTCATTGCTAGCCTTTGTGTCGAGTAGTTCCTGTGTGTAAAAGATTGGGTGTTGGGGATCCCATCGCTGTATTGTAGAGCTTCTAGCCTTAGAGACAGGGAGTCACGTTCCAACAGAAACCCAATACTAGTAAAGTAAAGGACATCAGTTATCCTTCACATAGCTGATTCAATGGAACGCCGAGGCCTCCTTCGGCCGGATATTCAACTTCCGTGGCGGGAGTCCGGAACTCGCTCTCTCGGCATAATTTGTCCTCGGAAGAGGGGAAGGAGGCGCATTGAATTCTGAGAGGCAGTATCAAGATATTTACAGACAATATGACATCACAGATACCAAGCGATCAGAAAATTCAAGAGGTGAAGGTGCAAACTTTGAAGTTTTGATAGTGGGGCATGGGAGGGCTGGTGGGTCACTCTAGCCAGATCGAGGTGGGCTTGCGAGAAGCTAATACCACGGTAGTAACGCCGATTGCTCAGAAATAGGACCGATAAATTCCGCACGGAGATGACAGACGAAAGCTTGGCTGACGATGATCTGGTCTAGACCGGTACAGATTACATGTCGCGTGGTAGCCTATGCGTCCAAACTCCCTTGGAAGTAAGTAAAGGGAATCAATGCGGTGATCTTGTTCTTCAACTGAATCGCTATAATAGTGGAGGATTAACAGAGCTAATTGCGACTGTGAATGACAACCTGTTCTCTTCAAAAGCATTATGATAGTAGGTGTAGAGAGATCATTAGTCAACAGGTTCATCGTCACACCAGAAAGCATACGGGATGGTGTCATTGCAAGATGTCCGCGCACATAAAGCATCCCTGAAGAATTTGGGACCTGGACTTGTTGCTGTATTCGGTAGGCATACCTCCATAGCACGGATTTATTCCCTTCGACCACGATCGCTTCATCTCTGGATACAACATCTAAATCCAACTAACAGTGTATCCCAGTGGGTGGCACCAGCGGCATCGGGCTGTACACTGCGCGCGAATTTGTCCGTTATACAATCTCCCCACGTGTGTATCTTGTTGGCCGTAATGAGGTGGAGGCTAAGCGTACCATTGACGAGCTACATTCACTTAACCTGGATGGCAAGGTGCAGTTTATCAAGAGCGACGTATCACTCCTAAAGGGAGTCGATAAGGCATGCGACGAGATACTGCGGACAGCAAACCGAGTGAACCTTTTATTCTTAAGCTGCGGAATGATGTCGACTGGAGGCAGAGATGGTATGTTCGACTTTCTTTCTCACCACCAATCGTGTCCGCATATGATGGTGGACTTCTATTGGATTTGTCGCTGATGATTGAGAACCTCCAGAGACCACCGAAGGTCTTGATAAAAAGTTCAGCCTGCCATTATTACGCTCGCATGCGCTTCATCAATCGGCTTCTTCGTAGACTAGCCCGCGCAGCTGGTGATGATTCGAACCCATCCCTTTCCCGTGTCGTTTCTGTCCTTGGTGCCGGCCATGAATCAAAGCTATATCTAGATGATCTCGACCTGAAGAAAAACTATAGTGTTAGCAACTGCGCTGGACAAGCGACAAGCATGACCTCGTTAATAATGGGGGAGTTCGCGCGGCGGCATCCATCTACAACGTTTATCCATGCGTACCCAGGTATTGTAAAGTCTGGGATTGCTCGTGGTCTTGGGCCCATGATGCGCTACGTGGCTGGAGCTTTGATGTTTCTAGGACATCCGTGGATGGTGCCTCAGCGGGAGAGTGGAGAGCGGAACTTGTTTGCATCGACCAGTGAGCTCTTCTCACCCGCAGGAATATCAGAGTTCCAAGGGGAAAGTAGTACATCAGCTATTGGAGCTGATGGTGTTCGGGGAAGTGGTGCTTATCTGGTGCATTGGGACGGGTCCGAGGTTGGAAAGGAGAAGGTTCTCAGGGTGTATCAGGAGGGTGATGTAAGTGAGACGGTATGGGAACATACTCTGGAAGTGCTCAATTCATGTTAGGCAAGGTTGGACGGGTTACGTAGTACATGTATAGCATTTCGGGATCGCCAAGCTAGATGATTTCCGAGAGACCGTGAGTATTCAACTAAAAGATCAGGAAAAGATAATTGTATCAAATCGTAGGATCCCTAGTCGTATGGGCTAAATCAATAACCCACCACTTCACATTAAAGCATCTTCGCGGAACAGCTTTGCTCCGCGCACATCAAAACTATGTGCATATTCAGAACTTCAGGACAGCTTTGCCCTTGTTTTTACCATGGAAAATACCCACCAAGCATTCAGCTGCATTTTCAATACCAACGGTTTCATGAGTGAGGGCCTTGAAGCTTCCTTGCTTGATCAAAGGCTGAACCGTCTTCTGAAGTTTTTCGAAATAGACATCCCCATAACCAGGGTCCGCAACGATGAAGCCACGCATCGCAATGCGCTTGGAAACAACACTGTGCAGGTTCTTAATCGGATAAGGAGTGCTGTTGTACTCCGAGATCATTCCGCACGCGACGATGCGGCCGAAAGGGTTCATGGCGTCAATGGCAGCTTCCAGGTGCTCGCCACCAACATTTTCATAATAGATATCCAACCCTTCGGGAGCGAGTCGAGCCAGGGCACTCGCAGGGGACTCCTTCTTGTAGTTGAAACCACCATCAAAGCCAAGCTCATTCAAGATATAATCCAATTTCTCATCCGAGCCCACACTACCAATCACCTTTAGGCCCTCGTGCATGGCCAGCTGGCCGGCAACCTGGCCGACGGCGCCACTGGCAGCAGAGATAAAGATTGTTTCGCCCTTCTTAGGCTCACCGATTTTATAAAGTGATGAAAATGCGGTCAGACCCGGCATACCAAGGGCGCCTAGGAAAACACGGATGTCTTCAAGGCCCAGGGGGTTTTCGAGGGGGCGAATTTTGGCAATTAAACTCTCATCCAGCGAGATAACCTCTTGGATCGGTAGCTGGCCAATGACCAGGTCTCTCTCCTTAAAGGTGGTATTGTTTGAGCGGAGTACCTTGGCGATCCCGAAGCTGTCAATCGGTTTGTTCAGCTCGTATGCCGGAATGTATGAAGTTTTGGCTGCAGGCCTCATGCGACCCCTCATGTAAGGGTCGAAACTAGCATAGAGAGACTGTACAACAACACCGTTCTCGGTGGGAGCGACGTTCGCATCGTATAGGGCAGGTTCAGTAGCAAGATCTTCCCCAGGAATGGGATATCCGCTGGGAACCTTCTTGAAGATCAAAGCCTTGTTGGAGCTCATTTTGAGACGCTTTGCGGTAATACTTAAGTAGAAAGATAGATTGGAGCGGATTTGTATATGTCGAGCAATAAGCCAGAGTACATAGGGTCGGTTTTGCAGTCCTTATATAGAGCATCGGAGGCAGGAATCACTACGCCACGGTAGGTTACACATTTGCCGCCACCCTCCCCAGGTGCATACTTTGAAACAGCCTAGATAGAGATACTGTATGGTATGGCAGATGAAGGTTACTGTCGAGGGTACGATCGATCATCGCAATGAGTAAGAGCAAAGCGTTGGAGTGGGTCAAGGCGGAGGATTTGATCCCACCGTCCCCGGCGGCAAGAGGAGCTCCTTCGATCTAAACCTACTACTACCACTGTTCGATGTGGTGTGTGGAATAATGCACAACATATTGACATACATACAGCTGTGGTATGTACTGAATGAATTATGGTTAAATCTCCCCGGAATATGTAATCAAGGAGCATTAATAATTAACGTTATTTCAGCTTTAATTATCTCATAGGTGATCACTCGAGTCCAAGACCCAATAGAACGGTGGGTCCCGCGACCTTTGGTGGAGATCAAGGTTTTAGCTGGAATGATAATTGCCATGCCCAAGGATATATGTAACCTTGGATCTATCACTGGTCAACTTGCAGAAAGAATGATATACGTATCGCACACTCGCGCTCCTGTCTTTCCTCACCCGATTTCTTTTACCGAACCGTCTGAGATAGGTTATAATGTTGTCCCTTAACATCCCTTCGTACTCCGACCCATCCGGGTACATCCTGTCCGACCTACCTAAGCCGGAAATCACCGACTCCAAGGATGTGGTTATCAAGGTACATGCTGCTAGTGTTAATCCGGTCGATGTGAAGAAGGCAGATGGCGTCCTCAAAATGGCACTCAAGGACACGTTAGTGCGCCCTTACTTCCAAGGAAGGAAAAAAGAAGACAGCGGAAAGCAAATAAGCTATTGTGATTAACATAAGCCAGGTTCCCCTACAAGATCGGGTATGACTGCGCCGGAATAGTCTCTGAAATCGGGAAAAGTGTGTCTCGGTTTAAAGTTGGAGATGAGGTTTATGTTAGATTACCGGAGTCACATCGAGGTACCCATTCACTCCATTAATATGAGAAATCACCGATCACCTACTAGAAGATCCACACAGGAGCATGGAGCGAATATGCTAGATGCCCGGAAGAATTTATCGCTCTGAAGCCCCCGTCGTTATCGTTTGAGAGTGCAGCCGCCATTCCACTAGCAGCGACAACGGCGTTTCAGGCACTACAAAAATATAATGGGGACCTCACGGGCAAGACTGTCTTCGTACCCGCTGGCTGTACGCATGCATTCCTGCCTCTTACTTAGTGCGCACATCTAACAACCCAACAGTAGGCGGAGTCGGCCTATATGCGCTCCAATTAGCAAAACATGTCTTCCACGCAGGCAATGTGATTACGACTGTCTCTACATCAAAAATCCCTAAAGTGGAGGAATTGTTAGGAAAGGGAACCGTTGACCAGAGTACGAAGCCACTACTTTCAAATAGCTTCCCCCCTGTCCCCCCTCCCTATATACCCCTCGTCAGAGCACCTGCTAATCCTGTCAAAGTTATCGATTACAAAAAGTCTGATCCTAAGGATGTCATTCCGCACGGCTCGGTTGACTTTCTCTTCGATACTATGGCCGTTTCCATGGAGTATTTGTGTCTTATGCGACCGAAGACCAGCCGCATCGTGTCGATCTCAACCTTGCCATCGGGAACCCTGCTACAAAATTCTTCAGTGATGAGGCTTCCCGACCGTCCAACTCTTCCCTTCGCCTACAAGGCGGTGTTGAATGTGTTAGATGCAACCCGCAGGCTGCGTGCGCGACGGTACGGCGTGGAGTATTCCTATATGTTCCTTGAGCCGAGTGGGAATGACTTGGACACTTTACGGGAATATATCGAGGAGAGGAAATTGAAAACGGTGATTGGTACTACAGTTAATCTACGGGACATACAAGAGGTGCGAAAGGCTTGCCAGATTGTATATGGTGGCCAGGGTGGTCTTGGTAAGGTGGTCATCAGGGTTGCGGAATCTGATCCATAGTTGCTATATTCCGGTACGCTTCATTATGCCTCTTCTTCTTTTTCTTTCCTCATTTCTATGTTGCCATTTTCATTTATGGTATAATAAAGTAACATAATGGCCATCGTGGTATCTAATTGTATGGATATTTCTTCCCACTCCTCAAGACCCTTTTTTCGTATACCTAGTAAGGCTTCATGCATGCCCAGTCATTGCTTGCCTTACTACTCGGTGCCCAATGTATCACAAGGGAATAATTCCGCGGTAAGTATAACAATCAAATGACGCCCAGTTAACCGCGCAGGAAGCCAGAACGGCAAAAGACAGACATCCATACGCAGAATGCACCGGTACTCTCGAAATCAGGTATTTACTTCAGAGACATACATGACACTGCATATCAAAGCTTATGCCTATAACTCGTCTTTTATGCGGAGTATTGGACCATGAAGACAAGGAACGCAAATTTGGGACTGAAACATGCCATCATATGAAGTTCCACAACAACAGCATATGACCAACAGACATGCTTCAGAAATATGTACACACACAAGGAAGGTCCGTCTAGTTACGCAGGGTTATCCAGCCATGGATTGCTCCAGCAGCGGCAGTGATAAGGCCACTCGATACCACTCCTCCCCTCAGATACGAAATCGAACTGCCCCAAGCGATCAGAGTGATCAATCCGGCGATAGCCCGGTTGAGCGGTTCCTCCAGTGCCTGCGGATTCGATGCCCATTGAAAATTAAGCAAAGCTGAAGATAAGATTGGTCAGTGTGCACGGTTATAATCATTTGAATTTAGCGTAAATACCTATCAGAATCAAATAGCCACTCCCTTGATACCATCCCACCGTGGAGCAAGTGTATGCCAAACTCGGCAGCTCTTGGAACCGCCGTAACTTCTGGAATTTGCGACCAGTCAACTGCCCAAATATTAGCTAATTTCTCGCGCTTCCAGGTTTAGTATGTTAATAGTAACTGACAGCGTGCCCCACAGATAGGAGTAAAGAGCCATATGCAAGGGCCTTCAGTTGCGCTGGGTTCGCCATTATGTTCGCGGAGGTTTTCAAGCTAAGATTGAGGCGTGAAAGGTGTTTAGTTACCCGGCTGGGAGAAGCTTAGGAGGCCCAACATAATAAAGCTCCCTCATCCTGCGACATCATTTGCCATGTAACCCGGGATAAGGAAATGTTCCCCGACAACCTAGGTTCAACTAAAGAAAAGTGGAGTACAAGAGCTTGGATTAGCACGGGGTAATAATCTCCCCGGACCGTATTCTTTTCCGACCAGCCTAATAGAGGGTGGCTTGCGAGAGTGGTATGTGGGCCCAATTATGAATACTCCCAATGAGGTCTTGACAGAGGGGCCAAGATAGACTGTCGTGGATTCTAGTCGCCGCATTCTGATCCACAGTTATGCCTCTTTTATTGACCTTTGAGATGGATGACACCACTCTCTGTGCCATCTCATATGGAAAGGTTTGCTATTGGGGAGAGTGGCGCGGAAGGACCCGAACATGAACGACCCGCATCTAAGCGTCAACCGAATGACACAGTATACCAAATAGTTTTATAGCGTGGCCTAGCTGAATTACGAATCCACTTGCGGCACCTTTAGTCAAGTCACCATATTTTCATCGCCAGGTTTCTCATAGGAAATCACCCAGGGTACGAATCTGTTATGAATGAAATCGCGTTCTACACTCAAGATATGATTGTCATAGAGTCACTAGCAAAATGGCCTGCACCAACACACACGTCAAATTTGTTTTCCAGCCCCACAGCCAAGGTGCTAGCCAGAAAATCTATTTAACTACAAATTAAATTTGAGGGCTACTATAAGTTTCATACTGTATTTGATAGTAATATAACTTAACTAATTTACAATACATGTGTTAAGTTTAACTACGCTCCACCAAATACTGTACATTTGAGGATACAGCCCATAAGATGTTTAATTTATTCCTAAGAATGAAGTGGTTATTTTCTACGAAAAGTCCTAGACCCCATTTCCTGTCTGCGGCGCGTTGGAGGTTTGACTAATGCACTTAACCTATCTGCAACTTGTTGGGTCTTATGGTGGTCTGGACCCAGTGCTTTTTCATATCCTGCCAGTGCTCGCTGGTACATGCTCTCCGCCTCCTTCAGCTTGCCTTGGTTAGAGTAGAGAATACCAAGATTGTTGACTGTAAAAAGGGTGGATGTATGGTCTGGGCCCAGTGCTTTTTCTTTGCCTGCCAGTGCTCGCTGGTACATTCGCTCTGCCTCCTTCAGCTTGCCTTGGTCAGAGTAGAGATTACCAATGTTATTAACTGTAAAAAGAGTGGATATATGGTCTGGGCCCAGTGTCTTTTCACGGCCTGCCAGTACTCGCTGGTATATCTTCTCTGCCTCCTTCAGCTTACCTTGGTCTCTGTAGAGAAGGCCAAGGTTATGGACTATACCAAGAGTAGATATATAGTCTGGACTCAGTGTCTTTTCACAGCCTACCAGTGCTTGCTGGTATATACTCTCCGCCTCCTTCAGCTTGCCTTGGTCTCTGTAGAGAAGACCAAGATTGTTGACTGTAAAAAGGGTGGATATATGGTCTGGGCCCAGTGCTTCTTTATAGCCTGCCAGTGCTCGCTGGTACATCCGCTCTGCCTCCTTCAGCTTGCCTTGGTCAGAGTAGAGAAGACCAAGGTTGTTGACTGTAAAAAGGG